CAGAAGAAACCTCGGTCTTGCATCGCTGCGAACAGTCGGGTCGAGTGCATCTGCACCTGTTGGACATTAGAGCTTGATTCAGCTTGACGGGTTCATGAACGCACTGTTATGCAGTCTCTCTGTTTCTGTGGATCCGTCTGCGCTCGACAAAGCTCTGACACTGGAGCACCCCGTTCGCTGTCGAAAGTATACCGTCCTTCTGGGGCTTTCTATGCACGCTTCAGTCATGCGAAGGGATCCTCTGATGACTGCGACGCACAGAGACGAAATCCTTCACAGCTACTTCAGCATCAGGTTCTTGGCCGTCTGAACGGGCTTTTCCTCTCGAGAATATGGTGGTCGATGACATTGTGGACGGGTGGAGACCACAGATGACGTCATCGGTGATCCCATTCACGCCCATGTGATCGCGTTATCTTGCCATCAAATTACCATTTTCGCCAATGACCGTGCTCGACCCTTAGGGTTGAGCAGGCCCTGGGAAGAGAAGCACTTGGGGGGGTAGATAATAGTTCGAAATTGAACACGCAGTCTCATCCCTTTCTCAGCTACCACTGCATTTCTCGTCGTTCCCCCCCATGTCTCCGCTCAAAGGTGCAGAAATTTCCGATCGACGACAGCGCGTCAACGCTGATCGTATAAGCACAGATAAATCCGATCGCATCTATCGCTCCGGGCTCATTGATAAGGCTTGCGGAACACTCCATGAGCGCATCGTGAAGGAGTTCGACGGCGAGCCCGGCTGGGACGCGACCGCTGCAAAGGTACGTTGGGGAACGCGGGTGATGAATTCGTCTAAACGCTGTAGTAGGAGAGGTACCGTGCGGTTGGGAGGAGACATTGGAGAACTAGCCGTGTTCTTTCAACTCAGCCGGAGGCAATGAAAGCCATCAGGAATGAGGTAGGTCTCCTCGAAATATGGGTCATGGCAGTAGCGACTGAAGGGGCTCAGCTGCGGACCCATTTTCGAGAGTTCAGAGACCGCACTGAGATCCGACTGGATCTGATCATAAAATATCTAAAGATCGTGTTCAACGAGCAGCGTCGTAAGATGAACCGAGCGGCAAAGAAGCAATCCACTCAGCAATCCAGTCAGCAAAACTGGATAAAGAGCTTGAACCTGAAGCGAATTTACTAGTAGTCGTGCGAAGGGATTGATTAAATTCAGATAATTCTACTGTTTCCATGGGAGAATTCCATCCAGCATACTCCTTTCCTGGATATCTTTACTACGACCTCTGATAGCCCAAATGCCCCAGTTTGCCTTGATCATGACCCGCGGGTCGAAATCGGCAATCTCCCACTTTTCGCTGCCAAACGGATTGGGGCCAGGAGTAATGACCCACTCGAACTGGCCAGCAACGTCCGGCGCCTCCGAAAGCGACCGCACGTCACGCTCAATGTCGGTAGGAGAGAACCCAGTCACGAAGATTGGGCATTTTGACTCGAGCAGAGCAGGCAGCACGGGCCCCCATTCGGTGGGAGAGGCGATCTGCGGGAGCGGTGTCACCCCATCCTCCGCAAAGGACTTTTCTGACGGAAATCCGAAGCCTGGCGAAAAGAAGAAGAACACGTCGCTGTACGGATCGAGCGTTTCCGAGAAGTGGTGGTGCACGTCAATGTAGTTCGTCCGCAGGCCGGAGACGGTCAGCTCCTTCGTATATGGAGTTGTGTACGATGGAACCCCATATCGGCTGACCGAGTTGCGAGTGTACTTTTGGCGGTCAATGGGCATCGGAGCGGGTGGTCTATAGATGTTCGGGGTATAGTCCGATCGCTGCTGGAGCTCCTGGAGCTTGTTCAGCTTGACGGGAACAGCCGAGGTCTGGGAAGAGTCAGATCCAGATGGCATCTCCGTCGTGGAATCTTTCGCAATTGGTTCGGCGGTGTTGCCAGACTGAGATTGATTCGGAGGAGCCGGGGTGTCTGGCTTGGGTAGCGAGACTTGCGGGCCGATGAAAAGGAGATGTAGTTGAGCAGCGGGGAAGAGGAGACAAAGTTGCTCCCAAACATGGACGGGAAGCGACGACTCAGCTCGCGCTCCCAGAATGAACACCCGGACTTGAGGTTTTCCAACTTGAGCTTCGGGCGTTTCAGGAGCTCCAAGGGGAACATGAAGAGTCGACCGGATAGCTAGTGAGCGACAGCATGAGTTGCGGAAGCGACAATCGAGTGGGATGCAAGCCGTACCTGCCAAGGACCGACTACCCTCCGGGGTTACTCTCTGGTTGCTTGTCATGAGCGGGCTAAACTGGTGCAGAGCACCGCCAATGGTGATCGGGTAAGTCAACAGTTTACTGGCATGTCGCCGTGACCGCTCCGTGTCCATCGACATAAACCCACGGGTATACCAAAAGATATCCCAGTTTGAAAACGAGATAGCTTCTTCGTAGCCCTGTGGACCTGAACACGGTCTAGCGCGAGCATAGAAGTACACAACCTCGCGTACCCGGCAGTTCAAATTCAGTCATTCTCCGTCCACTCCGAAGGTCATGTTCGTCCTCATTCGCCTCCCGTAGCCGCATGCAGTACTTTTTATGCTCCTCGTCCTGCTGCCAGTGCTCCTCCGAACAGTGCGTAGGCCAGCCGCAATCCGGACATTCATACGAAACGTTCTGCGGCTCCGTCGCGTGGGGGTGTCCATGCTCATGCGAAGACGTGCAGACAGGACACGGAGCAAGATTTTTGATGGCTTCTCCTCGGGCGCGCAACATAGGGAACGGGGACTTGGAAAATGGATGGAAGAGATTATCCTCGGTCAAAAGCGGGACGTGCTGCTCCCGTTCGGCCGGTTTGGCGGTCTTGCGAAAGAAGGAGAAGAAAGAGCGCCTCGAGGACGGACATGGTCGAGTGATGAAGCGAGAGTATAGTGGTGCGCCGAGCGCGACCTGCAAACGCGCGCGGCGTGCTAGGAAGCAGGTCATGATCAAGCAAAATGAGCGGTGTCGTGACCACACTAGATCTGGCTTCCATTTTCCCGCGCCCGAGTCAGATCTCCGCCCTCGTCCTTACCGTCATGTCGCGCACCGCTAATATCTCCCGGAAAACCAGCGAAACATCCATTGAATGTTTCCTGGACTTGGACTGCGCTCCAGGCTCGGGAGTCAAACAAACGATCGAGGTCTCGACAGGAATCGGATTTTTGGACCATGTACGTCTTCAACGACCATGCCGCTAGAAGCCTTCTATACAGCTCATTCAAGATGTATACTGCCCTGGCTAAGCATGGTGGGATGTCGCTCACCATGAAATGCAAGGGCGATCTCTGGATTGACGACCACCACACGGCAGATAAGTCGACGTATCCTGTGCAGCACACCTATTCTAACACCTCGAAGCACAGGACAGCGCGATCGCTCTCGGAACTGCTTTCAAGGAGGCCCTAGGGGAAGTCCGTGGCATCCGACGCTACGGTACCGGCTTTGCTCCTCTGGATGAGGTACCCATTCCACAACTGGTCGCATATGTTCCATCTGAATCTCTAAAAGGCCCTCTCTCGTGCTGTCATCGACATCTGTTCGAGGCCGTACTGTGTGACTGATCTTGGGCTCAAGAGGGAGAAAATCGGCGACCTTTCAACGGAGATGATCCCTCACATCTTCTACTCCTTCGCCATCGCGTCGGGCGTGACATTGCACGTCGATGTCTTGCGCGGAGAGAACGACCATCATCGGTAAGCCACTCGTTGGTCAGATTATGAGTATACTCAGTCGGATTCCCCAGTTCTGAATCTGCTTTCAAAGCTCTCGCGCTTGCCATCCGACAAGCGATCGAGAAAACGGGCAGTAACGATGTGCCGAGCACCAAGGGTGTGCTATAAGTCTCGTGTAGAATACAATATCCGGAAATTCGATTCCTTTAATTTATCGGCTACGACTACGACCAAAACAGACACTGTTTCTCAGGAGGAGGATTCAACTTGGAACCTTTGGGGCAGTTGAATGCCGCGGCAAATTCAGGGGTGTTGTAGAGAGTTCCCTCGACACGGAAGATGTTGGGGGAATGGGGATCGGTTCTGACCCGTTGGAGTTGAGCAGCGATCTTCATGTTGTTTGACCAGATCCGCCCAAATGCAATGAAGAACATTTGCTCTCTGGACTCTTTGTTAGGCTGGATCGGATTCGGGAAAGATGATCGCTTACCGGGTGTACTTGAGCCCTGGAAGAAGGAACTCGTTCCCGGCCGCGTACGATTCTTCGTATTGCGCTTTCCAAGCTCGGTAGGCTTGTATGAGACCACTGTCACCAATATTTTCACCTGACGTCCTGTGGATGCCGGTCAGCGAATTGAATCAGCGTCAAATGTCGAACGTACAAGTTTCCCTGGAGATCTATCAGCAGGCGTTATCAAAGCAAGATTATTGACACTCACGTTCACATGAACGGCCCCTCCTTTCCCATCAGGGATAGTGTATGCTGAGCGAGAGTCAGTTACGAACCTCGAAGATGGCGGAGGACTAACCGGAATACTGAGTTTCAATGCACTCTTGCTTGAGGTTGAAGCCGGCATTGCTAGCATTCGTCCACCAGTTCTCCAGCTTTCCATCTTGGTTATACAGACGACCAGCCGAGTCAAAAGCGTGCTATAGCAGAACAGTTGGTAACTTCTCCGTCCAAAAGCTGCAGATCATACCGTGAGCTCATGTGCAGCTACTTGACCAAATGCACCATAGGACAGATACGACGGCCTAGAGCAACGCATTGAGCAAGCCCACAAAAAGACAAGGAAGAGAAATCTACCAATCGCGGGAGAAGAAAGGAGGCTGGAGAATGCCTGCAGGGAAGACAATCTAGAGCTAGATTTGAGCACAAACGCGGGCCATGATAGGGTAGGACCGGACCTCGTTGCTAGGAGGGTTGAAGTAAGCATTGACCATGGAGGGGAACATTTCCCACTCCAGATCGTTGCGGACTTTTCCGACCTTCTGCCATTGCTTGTACACGTCGCTCGCACTAACCTCATCATCAGATAGATGATGCGAATTGATAGCCGGAACTCACGTGGCTGAGAGCATATTGCCGAAGTAGTCACGCTCATCAATGTTGACGATTCCATAGTAAGCCAGAAGCGAGCTCGGATTCAAGGTGTTCGGATAGGCGGGGTACCCAACCTTGACCTTGATAGCATCAGCCTATGCCGGACAGGTGAGTGGTGATTTTGTAGATATGGAAGAATGAGCGAAACCTTCTCAGCAGCAGCTTCGGCTGAAGGTTCGTCCAACCAAGAAACATTGGGCAAAGACTCTTTGAAGCTTTCGATGATGTCTGTTCAAGTGTCAGAGCACATCCCCTTTGTCTTCCTTCGCAAGGCTACCTGTTATGATCTTGGCCGCCTTCTCTTGCGAATCACCACCGAAAGTCTCGTTCACAAAGTAGCGGCCGGCCGCAAAACCTAGCGCGCCTTCGAGCTTGCCGATACAGTACTCCGCCCGGTCACCGACTGCGCCTTTCTTGATGCCAGTCAACGTCTCAAGAAGAGTGCGCTGCGCCTGCCAGGCCTCAGTGGCCATCCCCAGATTCGGAGCCAGATTGAGAGCTGCGCGGACAATTAGATAAGACTCGATGACTTCTGAGTCAGTGGCGGCCAGAATCTCCGAAAGGTCTGAAGCATATTTAGGCGATGCAACCACCACGTTTTCGGGAAAGTTCCGAGGAGTGAACGTGGCAAAGTACTCGTTGAAGTTGACTTGGGGCAGCGACTCGGAGAGATTGGAGAGCGGAACGCGGTTATAAACGAAGAAAGGGTCCTGGTATAGGTCGCTGTTAGGAATGTTGAATGAGAATCAAAGTTCACTCAGAGAGCAGCCCACTCACCCATCGAGGGAAGCATTTGCAATCTTGGTTTCAAACGCGATAACCTTCTTTGCCATCTGGTGTGCGATATCTGAACGGTTGGGCTTCTTCTCCTCGGGCTCATCATCCCATGGGGGCCAGGGCCAAGATGGCCAAGGTGCATTCTCAACGAGAACGGATGATCGCAACGCTTGTAGCTTTTCCTCCTCTTCAGAGAGAGTGAAGAGCAGGCGCTCGACCACACCCTGATATACTTCCACAATGGACTCTTCTTCATAGTACTCTTTGGATGGAAGACCCAGATCGGCTTGGTCAAACTGGGGTACCATGAAATTGGGGTCGACCCCGACATCGCCTTCAATTTCGAAGGCGAAGAAAGATGTGATACCTAGAGTGTGTTCAGCTTGGGAACACTAGGCTGTCGCTTTTGCACTCACCTCGTGTATGCAAGAAAGCCAATGCAGCAGTGAGCCCGTTCTTCTTCAACCCATCTTGCGTGGTCTCGAGGCTGTCTCCACGATACAAACTCTGCAGCGTCTTGGCGAAATGGATCAGAGGCGCAGTGCCAAGGTCATCGAGCAGGTTCTCATTTAAGCAAGAGTCGTAGAACCCGCGCAACTTCTGCAGCAGCTTCTCGTCGTCTGTGGAGGTAAACGCCGCCGTTGCTCCGGGTCGCTCGAGAAGGTCCTGCAGGATGCGCTTGTTGGCTTGACCGAGACTCTCGAATTGTCCGACGCTGCCCTTGTCTGCTGGAAGCGGGTGCGCAGATATCCATCCTCCACCGGTGAACCGGAAAAAGTCCTCGCAGGGATCTTGCGACTGGTCCATAGAAGACATGATAGCAGCCGAAAGCTCGATACATGCCGGAGTAAGACAGACAGCCTATTCAAACGGTCATTTCAACCCGAAGATAGGAGGAATACACGGTATTACCTCTGCGGGAGGAGAAGTAGGTCCCGGAGGAGAGGCTGTAGCAGTCACGGTTTGAGTGGAAGTCGCAGTGACGGTGAGCGTAGACTGAGGCTCATCCACATGTCTCTGCAGCTTAGTGTATTCTCCCAAGAATAATCCCAGGAACACCGAGCACAAGAGAAGAAGGACGAGCGCCAGGACGAGGAGAACTTGGTTGAGAGGAGTCAGCGGCTCTTGCGCAAGCGCGCTGACCCGCTCAGCAAAGGTCGGCGAGGGCTCGCTCTCACTTCCGGCGTCTTCATCGTCATTTCTCAGGAGGGGCGCAGCCTCTGCAAGTCGTGTGAGTGCCTGAACAAAGTTGAGGGCCGCCAAATTGACCTTGGTCCGAATATCGGTCGGTCATGGTTTGAGGAAGAGCTTGCGCGTATGCAACAAAACAGTGACGCAATAGACACGGCCTCAAGGCCTGAAGTCGTGCTCAGTGGAGGAGAGGGAGAGATACAGCAGGCAAGCAACAAGCCTCGATGAACACGCGTGAACGTGATGACTGATCTAGCTAATCCGCTACGCCGCGGCAACCGAATTGGCTTTGACCAAAAGATTATGACCCAATACACATTCTCCAATCGTTGGCAGAGGGCGGGAACACATGGGCGCAAAGGAAACCAGGCAGAATGATGCGATGTGAATCAAGAACCCAATAGTAGAGACAGTAAGATAGGTAAGTAACGTAACGAGAGACCATAGGCGAATATAGACAGCGTAGATATTGGATAGGAAATTACATCCGGTTTGATACAGGAGGGTCAAAAATTTACATGCAGCGTGTTAGCGGCTAAAACACATTGGTTTGGGAATCAATGCTTCTCAGACTAGAGAGATTCTTCAGGGGAAGGCAGTGGGAGCGGAATGGCAGCCGGAGAGAGGGAGATCGGAGAGACCGAGCCCGGGGATAACTGGTCTGCATAAGATTGCCGCTGGAATGGGTTACGAGTGTTCATGCGTGAAATTGGCGAGGCTGAAATGATGCGTAAGAAATAGGACACAAGTAGATGGTCACATACATAAAACATTGGAAGCAAACCAGCGCACAGGAATGGTATTCATGTCATAGTCGTCGAATGTCTCTCCGTCCGGCGTGGACATGTTACGGCTGGATTGAGTGGAACGCGCGATGTCAAGGTCGTCGCTCAAATCCTGGAGCAGGGCCCGGCCCTTGCGTGAGTATGGGCGTTCCTGATGAAGAGCCGGCAGAGAAACGGCTGGATGACGCCGAGTGAGGAGCACAGGCGAGGAAGGCGGAAAGAAGGACGGTCGGAGGATGGAAAGGAACTCTTCGAGGGCTTCCGTTGGAAGCGACCTGGGACATTAAGTCAGTCGACTAGCAGGCTTCACGGCTGGAAGAAAGCCTAAACTTCAGATACTGACCTCGGGGACGAACGTGCAGACGGGGAAGATAATTCTTTATCAGAGTCACTGAGAGAGATGGCAGGAGTTTTACGATCATCGGCTGCGTCTGAGATATCTTCCGAAACACGAGCACGTTCGAAAAGATCCGGTCCCGACAAGATTCGGTTACGGGCAAGAAGGGTATTGAACCGAATGGGCCGTGGAGCGACGAGGACTGGGTTGTCGGAGGGCATCAATTCAAGAGATTGGTAAACAAAGAAACGAAGATTGTGTGGATGGATTGATATAAAAGTAGATTGCGGATATGGAGTGGTTGAGCAGTGGCGCGTTGTGACGGCTGGAGACAAGGAACGAGCTGTTTGGATGAGTTTACAAGCTTAGTTAGCCTGACTTCAATCACTTCACCTCGGCTGAGTTCGGCAAAGTCATATATGTTCCTCCATGTTGTGCACCCCCCTTCTCTGACTTCGTCTAATGGCTGGACAGTTTACCAACACCTCGGAAGACTGTTGATGATCTCCGGATCTTTTCACCTTCGACGGCTTGCGGAGATTGAATCGGTCTTCCAGCATTTACGAGATGGGATAGAGTGAAGCGTTATAAGAGGCCGCCTCGGTCCACCTCTCCCCCACTGCTGTCCTAATGCCCCCATCATCCGACGAGACGACTCCTCTCTTGACTGATGGTTCTTCTCTCGAGGAGCAGAGGGAAAGCAAGGCAGCAGCAACACCAATCCCCATGGCACAATTGGCCGCATTGTGTGTCGCCAGGCTGACCGATCCTATTGCATACTGTCAGATTTTCCCTTACATCAATGCGCTCCTGGTCTCTCTCCATGTCACCGATGATGTCTCGAAGATTGGGTTCTATTCTGGCCTCGTTGTGCGTACTCGTGGCTTCTATCATCGATATCGTTGACCTCCGAGGGCAGGAGTCGACCTTTGCGGTGACACAGTCACTGACGTGTTATTATTGGGCCACTCTCTCTGATAAAGTAGGACGCCGACCCATCGTTCTCATCGGGTCGACGGGCCTTGCAATCTCGATCTTGTTATTTGGCTTCGCGACCTCACTAACTCAGATAATTGCCGTTCGAGCTCTTGGTGCGCAATAATCACTCAGATTGCAGTCATCGGCTGATTGCGTCTGACAGCTGGCTTTTTCGGTGGTAATCTCGCCGTCTACCATTCTATCTTGGCCGAAATCACGGACATCAGTAATCAGGCAGTCGCGTACCCACTCTATTCGTTCACTTGGCCACTGGGTCTGTGCTTGTTCTCTGCTTCTAATCGAATTTGGAACTCTCTTGTCAGGTGCTACACTGGGACCGTTGTTGGGATCGCAGCTGTCAAATCTTGGCACCAAGTATCCGGCCTATTGGGGCTACGATTTCATCATAGAGCGTCCTTACTTGATGCCCAATGTCGCCACTTCGCTGGTCGTTGTCACCGGTGTCTTTCTGGCTTATCTGTTCCTAGAAGAGGTACTGGCTTGTGCCGATTTCACTTTGGCAGCCGTTTACGAAGTTTCCAGACACTGCCCAGCAAGCGGCCAGGTTTTTGTGTGCACGGTACATCGAGCAGCGGCCAGTCTACCTCGGATTCACTGGGAGTCGGCGAACTGCTCGCAATCCCCATGATCCGGATACTAGCTTGCGCGGGATTCATGCTGGCGCTCATTAGCGGAGCATTCGATGTAGTATTCGTGCTGTTCTGCTATACCCCAATTGCACGCGGCGGGCTCTCATTTTCGGTAAATATCCTCAGATCCGACGCGTCTCTCGGCACTCATCCCATGCTACAGGTGGACGAAATCGGCTATGCTCTTGCCTTGAGCAGCATCATTCTTGCCCTGCTACAGCTATTCGTGATGCCCCATCTGCTGCGACTGTTTAGGCCAGTTGTTCTTTTGCATTTCACAATGTGGATGTGGCTGGTTCCCTTTGCGTTGATGCCGTGGATCCACATCATTGCAAAGAATGGATTGGCTGCAGGGACAGGATCTCAAGATCCTGAGAACTATGTTCGGATGTGGATCGCGGTGGCGATCATGCTCAGCACTTCCCGAATCGGAGCGCTGGGTTTTGCGTATGTTTCATGCTGCCGCCCTCTTTTCATGGCCACTGATGTGTTTTCGTCAGCGCCAACATGCTATTGGTCAAAGACCAAGCACCGAGCCCGAGTTCACTTGGTGCACTGAATGGAATGATCCAGGTTATCATGGGGCTATCACGGTGCTTCAGTCCGGTTTTTGTTAGGTCAGCATACGCAATACATGTTCCCGGCCTTTTACCAACGTCACACGCAGCTCTATCTACGCATTGTCAAGCCACAGCCAAGGCCCGTTCCCTCAATGGGTCCTCGTTATGTTTGTTCTATGTGGGGCAGGAGGTTGGATCTCGCGCAAACTGCTCGTCTTGGAAAGACAGAAGTAAAGCATTGCCGCACTGAGTAGTTACATACGCAATCTACACTTGCAGCATCAATACAGTCTATGGGTTCTAGGGACTCCATGGTGATGTCGCCGCTCCTCCAATCCCCGCAGTGAGGAACACAGGTTGTCCGTTTTCGCCGACGTAAAAGCAGTCCTCGAGTCTTACACCGACCTGAACGATTTTTGAGTGAGAGGATAATGAACTTCTCGTCAGACGCACCTTTCCCACAATGTAGATTCCTGCAGAATGGGCAATGAACTTGATGTGCAGAGTCGCTGAAACGACTGCGCTCACCTGGCTCATCGGAAAATGCATGGCCGATCTCCAAGATGCTCTTGCTTCCTCCATTCAAGTATGGCTCCTCGTGCGTCTCAAGCCCGATGCCATGGCCGAGCCGATGCGTGAAATATTTACTGTCATTAAGTGCAACTCGCGCGGCTTTGTCGATCTCGGCCGCGATCACGCCTTCCCCAGCAGTCGCGAAAGCGGTCTTCTGAGCATGAAGGACATTGTCCCAGATTTCTAGATGATCTTGCGGGATCTTGGAATCCGGAAGAGCGACTGTCTAAGAGACGGAGGAGTCACGAGACGTTCGTCGAGTTCTGCGGGGAGACTCACCCTCGTCACGTCGCTTTTATAGCCGTGGAGATCGCCCCCACAATCAAATAGGGCAAAGTCGGATGGTCCCAAGGCGCGATCGGTTCCTGATCCATGAGGGAGCGCCGCGTTCTCTGCGTTACGTATTCAGCTAGCGCCAGACCATCGAAACATGTGACCTGCCCCCGAAGAGTGTCAAGCAGCCGCCATCCTTCAGGCCGGCCGCTGAGAGGGCTTCAGTCAACATAGAGGACGCAGTCGATTCGTGTATTCCGAAATATAGCTTCTTGTGCACCGCGCGGATAGCGAGGACGGTGGCCTGGCGAGCATCAGTTTCCGAACGACCGAGAAGCGAAGGACGGGGATAGGTACTTCGTTGGCGCACTTCATGAGCTCAAGCTCAGCGTCAGACTTTCGCTCACGCAAACGACGGATTTCGTAAGGGGCCGAGTGCACGTCGGAATCGGGATGCGCAGCTCGTAGGCCATCGACAATGAAAGTGCGGATGGACGCGTCAACGTAGATGCTCCCGGGCGTGTCGGAAAGCACGGCCAACGCATGCAGGTACGGATTCGCCTCTTCCGCCCAGGACACGAATGTGACGTCTGTTGCACACATCAGTCCTGGGTACCCAATCAAACGGTAAGGGTGAAAATGAACCTGAGGACGGCAGAGGAAGCATTTTGGCGCGCGGCGCCTCGAATGCTGGAGTCAATACCGACAGCTTGCCTCGGACACGGCCGTCGACTTCCTCGGGTGTGACCAAAAGCAAGAGTGGCCGCTCTGACAAACCCCAGTTCGACTTGGAGATATTCCCGTAGAATAGACTGCTAGCACCCGGCTCTGCGACATACATCGATGCATTCAGGTCACGCAGAGTTTGTGCCAACGCATCTCGGCGTGCGAGGAACTCGTCGGCACCGATGGGGGACAAGTGCGCGCAGTGGTCGGCGATTTCTACGTCGCGGAGGCGAGCTGGAACGCGAACGTGACGCGGGGTTGATTGAAAGAAGTGTGTCAAGGCAAATAAGATGCAAAGAAGGAGGACCAGCGAGGCTCGAGCCTGAAGATTCCGTGAGATTAAGACACTGGAGTTGATACGGAGCGATCGACAACTCACCAGTTTGACCCAACGAGACCCAGCTTGAGTCGGAACAGCCCCAATAATGCCCTTATCCATGTCCTGCTATTCCCGACCACGAACGCACGAGGGGAAGAGAGATGGGACGGAGCTGGCAGGGACTCAGACTGAGATAGTACTGCCGAGTCTGCCCCGGCGAATGATCGGCGTGATTGATAATCAGCTTGACCCGAACCACTCACCCTCATCATTCGCGCACATACATAAGTATGGATCCAGATATGGACACAGACACTCTCATCGCCATCACGGAGAGCCTCTTGAATGCAACGCACACGCGAGAAGATATTCTCAATGCACTTATTCGCTTCGAGGGAGATTCCGATGCAGCGGCGCAGCTTCTGAATCTCGAGTCTCAGACAGGCCCGAGTCGACAGAACCTCACAACCGGAAAGAAAAGGAAACGGGGAGACTTGGATGCTTGGCTCAAGCCTCAGACTGCCGCGAAGAAGCGACGAGGAACCCCCCGCCGATCCTCAGAACCCGAGGCGTCTACCTCTCGACTCGTCCTCCGATCTGAAGCTCCATCACCGCGGCGCGAAACGAGGCCAGCTACAGACTTGATGACTGTTTTGCGACAGCCTCCGAAAATTGAAAAGCCAATACTTAAACTGCCTCCTCTAACGTTGAGCACACCAAAGATGGTCGCTGAACACACTCCTTGTACACTACATCCTTCCATCCTGCCCCCAGAACTAGCGACGAAGCTGTTTTATTCAATGATCGACGCTTCACAACAGTGGAAACGCAACAAGTGGTGGTTGTTTGATAGAGTGGTCGAATCCCCGCACAAGACGTCTTTCTTTGCAAGGCGGACAAACGGTCTCAACGAAGACGCGTCCTGGCAAGAAGCAGCAAGATTCTGGTCTGTGTTTGCCCAGTCGCTGAGAGGACCTGCTTTTACATTTTCCAGGTATAACGGACGCATGACGGACGTCCCTCCGGTCTTTCCCCCAGAGATGGAGGAAGCCTGCCGCATCGTTGAGCGGGCTGTGAATGCAGAGATGTCGAAACGAACGCGTCACGCTCTGGAGTGGGTGGACCCGGATGGCAAGCCTAGCTGGCGGGCAAACGTTGCAGCATCCAACTGGTGGGCGGTTTCTTGCGCCTGTCGATGTGCGTTCGCTGAGACACCTCCAGCTATGAAGGTAACGCAGGGCTTCTCCAGCGTTGACGGACCTGATCTGATCACAACCTCCCCAGGCGGTAAGGAGAGCGTTGGGTGAGTTATCCTCTTTGTTGTCATTCGCATCTAATGCCTCTCTGAAGCTGGCACTCGGATCAGTTGACCTATCTTGGACCCTATGCAACTATTGGTGAGCCAGTTGACTTGACGTCGCTCATCCCTGACTCACAAACCCAAGCCTCGCTGAGTTTGGGTGTGTATCGTCAACCGATGTATGAAAACATGAATTCACCGAGATCCAGGTACATGTAGATTGTTTGGATTACGGGAGGTAGTTCCTACTAACGAAGCGAATACCCGCAAAGCACGCACTTTCAACGTCCCTCTGCCACATAATTCAGCAAGTCATCGCATTCAGATCTCTTTGATGCTCTTACCATTCTCGCGCAGCTCGCTATCATGCATGCATCGTGTCAAGAATCGTTCAAACATTGCATTGTCCCTCAAACCGCAATTGACTTATTCCGCCCAACATATCCTCGATCGCCCGGAGAACCCATTGAGCCGTCTAAATGTCGAATCAACATCACGTTCCGGTTCTATCGGCCTGATTTTCGTCCCGAAAGTATACCGCATTGCAAGTGTGGCATCCCTACCATTCTTCGCACGGAAATGAAAAGTAGAGGTGTGGGAAAGTCCGATCGGTATTGGTGGACCTGTTATGCCGGGGCTCAGAATGACGGCAAAGGTTGCGACTTTTGGCGTTTGATGGACCTGGAAGCGGAGGGAAGAGGTCAAAAACCCAAGTCCAGATGATGGAATTGGCTGTGTGTGAACACAGGAGATTACTCATACAATATTATCACATGCTAACTACCCGCGTTGTTGCAAGCGTGTCGTGGAAAATCCTACTGATGATCCGGCTCGCCGCTCGGATCGACGAACAGAGGGGCTTTCGCATCTACACGTGCGCAGAACATGACCGCACGTGCAAGCTCGCCCCTCGCAGGGTGAGCGCAGCACCGAGCAAGCCGCCACGCAGTGCGTCATATCTCTTGCGCGTGACAATAGCTCGCTTGTTCATTTCTCCCTCGTCTGACTCTAAGTTCCTCCACAACGCACGAAATCACATGATGGTGGTTCCATCAGACACCGGGTGCCGGAGTTTCCGAAATGGCTACTAGACGGCTGAGCGGATGTCACCGAACACATCGTCCGGCTTCTTACCACTTACTAGCATGTCTCCCTCCAATTATCTTGTCGAGGACGCTCTGGTGGCCCTGCCAGCCAAGATTCCATTTGACAAGCAGTCTCTGCCTTTGCCTGGCACCAAACGTCCCGGCCAAACTGGTGTGTGTGTCGATCCCCGTTCCTTCCCCGCACGCTCAACGCGGTAAACACCAGCCCACTATGTCAATGGTATAGTTTCCCGGCTGGCTTTCGAATGTCAAATAGTGTTGCTTACCACGATCAGCCATGTGGGGTCTACTCGATCCTGCTGAGCATAGGCTGAAGACGGTGGCTGACATCTTTATCAGTGGGATGTCACTCGGGAAGGACCGGCCTTTGCTCGGGCACCGACCAGTTCTTTCGAAGAAGCCGCTGACGTTTGCGAACCGCTACGAGTGGCTCACATACGGACAAGTCGATGTGCGGCGCAGGAACTTGGGTAGTGGTCTGTTGCAACTATTCAGCGACCCTGCATCCGGAGTCGGTGGTGGAGAGCTGGAGACGGTCGGGATTTGGTCAATCAACCGCCCCGGTGTGTATCTATTATTCGCATCGCGGCGTTTGGCCTGACGGACACAGAATGGCAAATCGTTGACCTGGCTCTTATGAGCTACAAGAAGGTCAACGTTAGTTTGTACGATACTTTGGGCAAGGATTCTGTCGGCAAGTTCCTCAATCGCTTCAGATGTATTCAATCGGCTTATCATCTTTCCAGAATTCATGTACATTCGTTGTTTTCTGCTCCGAAGGTCCATCTGACACGTTTCTAGCATCAACCATGCCCACCTCACCATCATATTCGCGACTCTGGATCACATCCCGGCTTTGCTAAAGCTTGCACCGAAGACTCCGCAGTTGAAGGTCGTGGTCAGCATGGATGTTCTGTCTGCTGACGTGCGACAAGTCTTCGGCGAGTGGGGGCAATCCGTCGGCGTTTCCGTTGTGGACATGGGAGACAGTACGTCCTGTGCCGCGTTCTAGGTAACAACTCATATTTGCAGTCGAGGCACTTGGCTTGGCTCACCTCTCTGAACCGATCCCCCCGTCACCGGAAGATATCGCGTCTATCTGCTACACGTCGGTTCGTGCATCTGGCTGTGTTATTACGTCCGTTGAATTTCGCTTCAGGGAACGACGAGCATGCCCAAAGGTGCTGTGCTGACCCATGGTCAATTGAGCAGCTCAGTCGTGACCAATCTGCTGGGTCTCAATATCCCATCGAACACCACCATGATGTCTTATCTTCCTCTGGCCCATATCTACGAAGTGCGTTCTTGTGTCTGTCACTATCCGGTGGCCTCACGAACTTTGAAGCGTGTCAACGAGCAAAACTGTATCGCCGTCGGTGGAAACATTGGGTTCTTCACGGGTGATCCCTTGCGCTTGATCGAAGACTGCCAGATCCTCAAGCCCGCTTTCTTCCCTGGGGTTCCGCGTGTTCTGAATCGAGTGTATCAATCGGCGATGGCTGCTGCCAACGTGCCCGGCTTCAAGGGCGACTTGTTTAGGAGAGCTATGGCCGCGAAATTGGAGAAGTTCCGCGCGACTGGAGACAACACGCACTTCTTCTGGGATAAGCTTGTCTTCCGCAAGGTCCGTCCCTTGAACTCTGTCCTCTTCGCTCCTCACAATTCAGCAGATTCAAGCCGTACTCGGAGGAAATATCCTCCTCGTCACCAGTGGCTCTGCCCCAATCAGCGGAGATGTCGTCGACTTCTTGAATGTGGCGTTTGGCTGCCAGATCATTGAAGGTATGTCGCAGTCTTGCGCTGCTTTCCAGAGATGCTCAAAGACAGCCAGGCTACGGGATGACGGAGACCTGTGCCGTGGCGACAAAAACATGGCCGGGAGACGCATCCGCTGGAGGCTCTGTCGGTCCCCCGCAATCAGCCAATCTCATCAAGCTGGTGGATGTCCCTGCTATGAACTACACGTCCGAAGACAAACCCAATCCCCGGGGTGAGATGTGTGTAAAGGGCATCAACACTTTCTTGCGCTATTACAAAGGTCAATCCAAGAGATGCGTGCTTGAATTAGAAGCTGACGATTCCACAGATGAGAAGAACACTGCGAGCACCATCGATTCGGAAGGCTGGTTGCACACCGGGGATGTCGCTGAAATCGACTCTTGCGGACGCTTCAGGATCATCGATAGGGTCAAGGTGCGCTGGTTTTCCCCGTTCTCTAAGGGTGTTTGATGCTCAAGGTCGGATGACAGAACATCATGAAACTGGCTCAAGGCGAATACGTCGCCCTCGAGAAGGTCGAAAACACGTACAGCACGGTTCCTGTAGTGGCTCAGCTCTACGTCCATGGAGACTCGCTGCAGTCCTTCCTGATCGGTGTGGTCGTCGCCGACCCGATTCAGCTCGCCCCTCTTGTTTCGAGGGTCCTGGACAAGAAGGTCGCTTCTGATGACCTGGTTGCCCTGTCCGCGGCCTGCAAGGACGAAGGGGTCGTTGCCAGCGTTTTGAATCTCCTTTCGAAAGAAGCCAAGAAGAATGCGCTCAAAGGGTGGGTTTCTCTTGTTTGGTTGAACGCGTAATGTGACTAAGCACATACAGATTCGAGACTGTGAAGCGCATCCACTTGACCTTGGACATGTTCACGGTTGAGGAGGGGACCATGACGCCAACGATGAAGCTTAGACGGAAAGATGCGTACAACAAATTCCAGACGGAACTAGATGCCTTATATGCTCTGGGAGAGCCGTCGTCCTCCAGCACAAAACTGTAGGGCTTGGCGTCAGGACTGTCGCATTGTGCATCGTGCACTACACCATCTGATGCTGTATCTAATAAACTAATGATATCCTGGATCATGCTACATTTGGGAATTGTGACTACTAGCAGAAAATACAATAAAGGAGGGCGGCCATAATGGGTCTGCTCAGGGTGCAGATAGAATGATCTGGGCATGTTGAGGGTGGCGAAAAAATACACGGAGAAGTACGGCTTACGCTCATGAATTGCTCGTAGTTGATTTGGATCCAACCGTCTCGGTCAGTATCCGCTTTCTGGAACGCCTCAGTCAATGTCTTGACTACGACGCAGGCCCTGACGAAGCGGTCGAACGTGATGCCGGGAGGGGGGCCATAGCCAGTCGTGGGTACAGATGCTGTAGACGGTCCCGTTCAGATAACATTGGTGGATCAAGAGCAAGTCAGAACGCACAGTATTTGCGCTCGACGAGAGTTAGCAGGGTGGGCGACAGATTGTACCCGAAGCTCCGTAATGCCTGAGCCAGCTCCCCTCCCTCAATCGACCCAGATCCATCGCGATCGAAATGCCGGAAGACATTCTGCCAGTCCGATATGTACTTCCAGAGCCCGGTGAACTCTATGGGGGGTCGTGTTCAGCTTCGCCAAGCAACACAACCCGATCTAACCTTTAAAGTCAATCGTGCCGCTCCGATCCGTGTCAAAGATGCCCATGAGCATTTTCACAGTATCAAGATCGAATCCTAGCGAGAACGCGTTCGGTTCGCTCCGGTATTCAGTGCGGAGGCTACGTACGAGTCCAATTCCCCTGTGCCGTTGAATCAGCTTCCTTCCGGGACGAAACACCTTCCCACAGGAACACATACATTCACGAGCGCAGCCTGCAGCTCGGTGACGCTTATAGATCCGGATTTGTCCTGATCCACCGCTGAGAAATACTGATACAGCTGCGGGTCGCCGCCTGCGGGAGAATAGCCTTGTCCGCTGGAGGCAGAGTTGTGGTACCCGTGCCCGTGCCGCGATGCTCGAGCCTGCTGGGTGTAGGGATTTGAGTTGTAGTTGGACTGGGTGTACATGGGTGGAGGGTGGGAGAGCGGAACTTGAGAGGTTCAGAGCCGCGCAGTTGGTTTAGTATGACGCTGACTCGTGGCAGTGTTGTACAGCCACTTGAGGCACGCGATCTCCGGAAACAAAACTGCGGGATTCGCGAGCACAGCTTTTCCGGATGTGCAGTGCGACATTTATTCGAGTCAGTGGAAACGGTTGGGAAGCGCAGACCACAGCCTCGAGGGCTCCTCGGCTAGAAAGGGCAACCGACAGTCGGAATAAGTGGCATGACGTACAGCACCCTGTGAGATCGCTGACACCGGCGAAGCCAGGACATGCAGCTGAATTTCTTGCGCACATCAATCTATGAGTGGGTTGAGCGGCCACTGGCGACGGGACCGCAAGAAAGAGCATGAGGGAATAGTTCTATTAAAGAGTCCAGACCTCGAAGCCGCCCATCGGCGAAGAGACGCTCGAGAGAAGTTAGAACTAGAAGAGAAAGAGTTTTTGAGAAGAGTGTACTGCCACAGGCATGTCATTGCCCGGCCATCAAGGCCCCCACATCCCGGCTGGTGGGGTGCCCGAGCCGGTTAGCCTCTTGGCCCTTCCCTTCATGACCGACTTCAGGGCTGTTATATTCGATGTGTGTGCTGGACGCCTCTTCGAACCCACGACGAAATCGCACTCACTTGGCCCTCAGATTGGCGGCGTGGTGATGGGCAGCCCGTTCGTCGCAATTGCCGCCTACGAACGGAAACTGGGGCTTCCTAAAGACTATCTCAATTGCTCAATGTAAATCGAACACACCTTGACAGTTGGGGTCCTGAAGAGTGCTGCAGCGTCGAAAGAGGGGCCGATGGCGCTTGGCAACGGTTTGAAAGGGGCCAGCTGCCTTTGCTTCCGTTCTACGAGCAGTTCAGCCGTGACCTGAGTGACACCGTTAATGGAAACATTTGGTACAAGAGATACTGCACGCGTAGAGGAATAGGTGTGTGTACTGTCACGTAAACAATTTACGCGTTGCACTATGCTCACTCGCGCAGAATGCCCCGTCCTACCCAGCAGCCTAGCCGTGGATGGCCGAGAAGTCTGCACATCCTTGCTGCACCCGATGGTCTACTGCTTACCATAAAATTCTCCGTAGCTGTTCGGATCTATGATTCGGGAGTCAGGCTATTACGACCCGCATATTCTCCGAGCTATCCGCCGGATTCGAGGTGGGACATGCATGCTACTCGATGTTCTTGCAGCTCAGAATGTTCTCGCAGCTGCTGGAAGACATAGGATAATTGCGCTCACAAATAACTTTGCTCGCACATCGACAGAGAACCCCATTCCCCAGTCGGAACTCGAATTCCTTGGTTGGGACCGGGAAGGCGCTACCCCCAGCTCACTCCGAGGCCTGTTCGACGACTTCTGCGATAGCAGCGAGCTGGGCGCTCGGTAAGCTCTTTGCCACAAACAATGTGGCGGGTTCCTGCATCAGATCCTGGCTAACAAGCGCAACTCAGCAAGCCAGAACGTCGCTTCTATCAAATGGCACTGGACCGTAATGGCATACGCCCGCAGCAGGCTGTGTTCTTGGACGATATCGGCATGTAAGTGCTTCCGCGACTCTCGCCTTGGCTTCCACTTCAACGACGCCTAGAAATCTCAAGGCAGCGAAGGACCTGGGAATGGAGACCATCCGTAAGTCCAACATGCCATGTCTAGCAGCCTTCCTTCATGGCACATCTTCCCTAGATGTCCCCATTGGGGGCACCTTATCCGCGGCGCAACAATTAGAAGCTAAGCTAGGCATTGACCTCACGGGACGTCCATTCGAAGAGGAAGCGACCATGGCCAAGTTGTGATGCAGCTGTTTGGACGCGTCTTCAGGAATGCTTCGGGCTTACTAGTACAGCGATATTCCCGGTAGAGATGGATGTACTTCGAGGATGTTCATCGTTTCTTTGATAGACACACCTACACCCGCGGTACTAACTATCGTCCGACAAAGCACAAAGCTTAGAAAGGTTTGTCGGAGGCAGGCGTTGTGTCCTCGTAGTACAATTTGAGCTGCGGGCAACGATGTCAGTGAATGAGAGCATCCAAAAACCATGGAACCAACAAGAGGCGTCTTGACCAGCACCTCGCGGCGCACGAGAGGAGTGACCGAAAGGAACTGGAAGCAATCCCGAGGCATTAGATGACCATCGTTGGACCGCGGACGATGTAGCGCACCAAGAATGCACCAGCACCAGCTCCGACGGCCCAAATTCCAAGAGAGGACGTCCAACGTTTTGTGAGCTATTTCATGATCCGGGTTTTTTGTAAGCAAGAAAGGCTGAGTGACAAAGGGAACACGAATACGTTGAGCGTGTGCGTCAAGGGAGAAGTGTGCGAGAGTGTGAGTCGAGACATGTCGAGTTCTAAGACGTCGGGGAGAAGCGATGGTTAGCAAAAGGCAATCTGGTGCTCGAAGATACATACTCGGCAGAACCGTGTCTATGTCTAGGATAACAGTAGTTTCGGACTCGGAGGAGTCGGGGTAAGTCGGTGAGGTCACGATTGTCACGGCGGATGCGCAAACGTGACAGGACGTGACAGGGATTTTGGCATTTCATTTGATATCCACGCTCTTCAGCTGCTGAGAGGCACGCGCTGCGCTGCCCGTCTCCTTGTCCTTCGCACCTAAGGCATCGGCACCGAACGTATCATCCGCCAGTTAAGCTATGGCAAACCCGCGTCAAAGAAGAAAAGCGCGTTCTGCAACGCACAGAGCAGTCTCACATTCGCGCAATGTGAAGCGTAACCTTAAGAAAAATCCCCGTGAGTCAACATTCAATTTGCGTAGTCCACATCTGTCCACTGAAAACTTGCAACGCTAGCCATACGCGGCCCCGCATCCGTTATCTTGGCTGAGCGATGGGACAAGCGAAAAACCGTCCGCCAAAAGTGGGTCCCTGTTGCTTCGGATATGGAACACTCGACCGATTTCGAGCCGCTCGAGTGTGCTAGCCCTCACGGTACCGGCGTTCCAAGGTTCCGGTCTTGGCTGCATCTGGTTCTCGGTCGATCATGAACTTGTTGTTCTACTCGATCTAAAATCGCTACGTAGTCCGAATCGGAGGACGCGGCACTGTTCGCATTACAGCTTTCCTATTCATACTCTCTTTTTCCGGGCAATAGGTTCTGACGTTTCCTGTTTGTAGCTACGCCGCGCTTGGACTGGCTCACACTCTAAATCCTACCGCATCAGGCGGTGTGGAGCGAATTGATGCACCAACGACCACTATTACCGAAGATGCATCAGCAAATCAGACGGCCGTCGCTTCTACGTCGTCAACAGCCAATGGAGCAGCTCCGATACCGAAAGGCCACGGACGAATCATTCGTGACGAAAAGGGTCATGTTTTGAGGATTGAGTTGGCAGAAGACGACGAAGAGGAGGCCATGGAACTGGACGAGCGTCAAGTTTTGGATCAGGACATGGAGGCGCTCGGACCTGAGTTGGACTCCGGGCTTGTCCAGAAATGGGTGACCAGTTTAGGAGGGACACAAAGTGGAGCCGGAAATGTTGTCGAAGGTGAGTTCATGAATCACTTTTGGCATACAGTCCGGTACACTAGACCTTTGGGTCGGTGGTTTCGGTGGGCACTGCGTGAATGGGCCTGTTGGTGGGCAAGTGAATTGATGGAGTGCGCGCTTCTAGTCGCTGCCCGATGTTTCAGGAGACGCTACAATCGTAGAAACTCTAGGCAATTTCCCTGCGCCTGAATCGGGATAGCAGAGCATCGAGGAAATTAACCTTGCTCTTGCGGGACCTCGGCGGCGTTGTCGGTGATGGTGCCGTATTTGTCCCAACTTCTGCTGTGCGATTTCTGCGGCCTGGAAAAGGACAGACTCAACGCCGAGCTTGCTTCCTTTTCATTTCTTGCGTTCTTGCGATCACATCAATGACGATGACTTACGGCATAATTGACTGGTAGCTCTCGAACGCATATCGGCGACGACGCAACATAATGGCCAAACAACCTTGTCCGTGTCCAATTCTGGTGTTGGCTCGAGAACTGCATCCGCTGGGGAGCTTGGCTACATGCAGCGACTGGTCCAAAAGTATGGTAACGACGTCGAGCGGATGGCGAGAGATCGCAGGGTGCGTCGCGCGTTCTCGTTTTGTGCCCCACATCGCTGACAGGCAGTCCCAGCTGAACCCGGAACAAAGGACCGCGGGCCAATTGTCGCGTAGCCTGCTCAAGTGCGGGCTCTGAGACATAGTGTGTGTCTCCCCTCTGTCAGCCGGAGTGTAATACATCGCGGACACCAGGTTGGGCGCTGGGTGATTTGGATTGTCGAGTAAGATTTGGCGTGAGCAATGATAGAGGATGGTGAATGCTAGCGAGGATGTGCTGTTCCCCTTTGGACAGAGTTCCATTTTGGACAGTGAACCAGATGTTGATCCAAACGTTGATCCAAACTGGTTGGTCGATTGTGAATGTAACGGGGTTACGAAAAGCGATTGGCACGGGAGGCGGCGAGCGATGGGACATGTATTGGACACGGCTTGGACAGTGCTTCGATCAGGTACTACGGCCGGGCTCGACGTGCCAATACGATGCTTCCTGCTATGTACTTCCCCGCCGAGAAGTGCATCCCGGCCCAAATCATGCCTTTCCCTGTTTGCTCCGACACAACGATTCTTTGACAGCTATTCCACAAGCAAAATCTTTGCAGATCCGCTCTACCGTAATATCCTCCATTCTTATAAAGCGCCACATCTCTTCTCGTCTTCTCCCCAGCTCGCTCTCCTCATGGCCCCGAGAGCAGTGTCTTCCGCCACTCCGGCTCCTTCATTGCGCAACACCGGCACCCGCAGTGTCTCTGCGCCCTACCGTCGGCCAGTCGGCCAGCCAAAATCATCGCGCCAACAGTATTCAGCGTGTGGGGCATGTCGAATGCGAAGGTATATCGCGTCCAAATTATCTTTTCGGTCTCATGTTCACCACGCGTAGGGTCCGCTGCGATCTCAAGGACCTCCCTGTCGCGACTGGGCCGCACCCAGCGTGTTCGAATTGTCAGGAACGGGGGCTGAAATGCGTGTATGTGGCCTGTCATCGCTTACACTTACACCTACATTTCATTCAGCGATGAATTTGCCGATGTCAAAGCCGTCAAGCTACTCAGACGCGGTCGGCGGCTACAGCAAGTGGAGTAAGTCGTCGGAAATTTCCCAATCCCGACCAGCGTTTGATGCGCGTCCTCCAGGGCAATCTATGGCAAGGGTGCCCCGGACGAATCTTCCCCGGGCTCAGTCCCAATTGCCGCCCGGATGCCAAGCATCATTCCCCAACTCAAACCCGAATTTTTCTCGTCGCCGTTCTGGAGTTGGTTTAGCCTGCAAAGTAAGCTACTCATAGTCGCGTTGGCTTTCGCCGCTTGAACTAGTTTCAGGACCGATACTTGATCCGACTGAGTTTCCGGCGCGTTTCCTCGCACATTCAAAGGGCTCTCACCCTCTGGGCAACGAAGGGAAGATACTATTGCATGTGCTGGTTGCGTGGGCGGCATCCTTTGGTATCGATGAACGGGGACTCCCCTACAATGATGCGTCGTCGCGTCCCACGTCTGCACGACCGGAGGATATTCGTACAGATTTGGGCCAAAGGACCATGGTCGCCGAAAGAACTCGAGCAGAGCGCAAAAGCCGTACCGTTGGAATGGTCCAAGAGATTCTAGCGCTGATTGACACGCACGGCATCATGAGACGACCTACTTGGGACGGCGTTCGCATTCTGCTGCTTATTCTGCCCCTCATGGAGGGTAAGGATCGTACCATCTTGGCCAACGTGGGACTGACTGCTTTTGGCTCAGATATCTCCATATCTCCTCTCGACCGCCGATGCATGTATGAAGCCACCCTGAACCAGGCAGCCGCGTGTGTATCGTCCGGCGGACCATCGCTGTCCATGCACTGCTTTCCGCATGCATCAGACGATACGCTCACCCGGGCTCGCATCCTGTGGTACGCGCACATGCATGAAGGATTGACAACTGGAATGCGAGGGGGTCGGTTTATTCTGTGTGTCTACTTCCCATCATTTATTTCTATGACTGATCTATGTTCGCGCAGCACGGAAGACGATATCGATTCTTTCCAGAGCTCTATCGCGCCCCACAGCCTGGGATTCCACTCCAATTCGCCGATCCCGTCCCCGCTCGCTGCATCATTTCCCCCTTCTCCGGATCTGCCGGTGCCGCATCGGCTGATTCATCCGCAAAGCGCGCACCCCCAACTTGTGGGTGCACTCCACTCGTACATGTCAACAGCGGACACTTTTTCGATCCCGCTGCATCTGAGCTTGGTGTGCAGGCGAGTATATGCGGTTCTTACGGGCAGCCGCGCCGCCCGGCGCGCCCAGGAAGGCGGTGGCATCGATGCCGAGGGGATGCGCAATGTTTGGGACGGCTTGGAACAGTGCTGGGAAGATCTGGACATGCTGCGTCATCGTTCTGATCTGAGTGAGGACTGTCATATGTTTGTCGGGGCATGGCAGGTATGTCGATCCACACAAGACAGTTTCAGCCGCTGATTTATGCTCCGCTTAGATGTACATCTTTGAATGCCGTGAGTTTTTTCTGTGATTTAATATACGATTCTGACGGGTTGAGATAGACAACATCATTCGAGAGACGTTGAAGCAGTACTCGATGCAGAGCACGGTAGCAGATCCGACGTCCCCTGTGTTTTCGGGATCTCCGCGGTCCCATGGTGCTACCTTCTTGCCAGCCCCGCAGTTGCATGTCATCGCCAGCCGCAAATGCTTGAGGCTCCTTCCTTCTGTCCTCGGGATCATGCGCTCTTTCCTGGGCCGACCTGAGTGCAGCATCTTTGCCTGGGACGCCGGATTGGTCCGTGACGGATGCTTCTTTGCGGGATTCCTGTGTGCTTGCCTCGAAAATGATGCGGCGGAGTTCGCTGTCGAGAACAGGGAGCTGAATCATGCAGACATGGAAGGAGTGCGCAATGCGTTGGACGCGGACGAAGGCATCCGATTGTGTCTGGCCGTCCTCAAGGAGATGGGATGGGCCTTTTCCAAAAGCGAGGAGCGCGAAGACACTGTTCGCCGCATTTGGGATGACAAGAAGAAGCGTAAGCTCGAGCAACAGCATGCTGTCCAACATTCTCTTCCACCCTATGAGCTCGAGTACCATTCGCCCCCGACGACGTATCACGAGGGTTCGTTCTCTCCCTTTCCTCCGAAATGGGTAGGGGAAGTGGCCACCATGCCTCTGCTCCTTGGGGAACGTCCGATCCTCCCCCCGCTCGTTCTGATGCAGCACGACTCGCCGCCCCGGCAGCTGATCGATTCTGCCCCGAGCACCGGCTACAGCGTCGACGGCACTGGCGCCAGCGGATGGCCGACGTACACTCCGCCGGGGACTGCCAACTCGGGGACCAGCACGAGCACTGGCGTGAGCTCTGGGGGGTCGCCTGTTTTCCCCAATCTCGGCGGGCCGGATATCATGGCGTTCAAGACCGAGAGCGAGACCAACAACCCGTTCTTCCATGTCACGCGGGACTTGGATCATCTCAGTTTCAACGCGCCGACGGTGGTGGTGAGAGATCCGACAGAATGCCCGCCGCCTCACTACAGTCCGTCGGGTTTCATCAACTCGGTCAACTCCGTGTACCAGGAGCATGACGACATGGACCACAGCGCTGCTGCGTTTACGACGGAGAATTGCGCCGGTGAATTTTATCATTAATCTATTTCGGACTCGGCTTGGGCCCCATATCGTTATCCTCTCTGTTATTCTCACGCTTTGTTCGTTATTCGTCATTGTTATCGCCTCGTCCTGGGCGACGAGATCTCATGGACCGATTCATCCGTATTAGTCTACACTGTATCCCTACATCGTTCAGCATGTTAATCGTATACCTGGATCACCCTCAAGCTCGTCTTCTGCCGGACCCTGTTACTCATTCGACTTTGCCTTCTCGTTGTCGCAGCGGATTTAGACTTTTTTTTTATTTGGCTCTGCCTTGAAACACGACCATCAACGTCATGGGCAGCGCGCAGAGCTGTGGCAAAAAGAAATCTCCTGCGCAACCGTGGGTTCCGGGTGGTCGGCAAGTGCGAGAACGTCGAGGAATCCGTGTCCGTTCTAAGATGCGACGTCTGCAATGCGTCTGGCTTCCACTTCCGGGACACCGGGATGGCACATACATACGGTGGGGCGTGACTGTCATGCACCGTGAGAAGCCGGCCTGCAGAATAGTCCCATTCCGCACTGGTTGACTTCTTGGACCACCCTGCTGGCCTGCACATTACGCAGACGCGTTAGGAGCGTAAAAGCATCCTCGAACCGCATGTGCGCGTTTTCCTTTTGCACCTGCAGCTGTCACCCGAATGGTTCTTTCTGACACTCGACCTCGACCTAGCTTCACAATTAGGAGTGGAACTGGGAGCCGCACGGACGCGACGTGCATTGTTCCGCGCAGAAACTGTGTCAGGGCACGGGACAGGAAACGCGCTAGCTCGAATCGACTCGACCCGACTCGACTCATCCGAGCGCTGCAATAGCGGGCTCTCTCGCGCGTGTCGACGCGTTTGGCTTGACAAGGTCCGGGTTTTCTCGCCTTAGGCCAGCTCCCAGGTCACCGTGCTTGCTGGACTGGGCGGACGAAAGCTTGATTCTTGGCATGGGATGATGCCATCGGTGCTGGATCGCGTGGAACGTCCTTCCCAGTCATATAATCTCGCGCTAACTGGAGATGGCGATGGGCTCAAACTGTGGCCCCATGAATTGAATCTTCTTCTCCTTGGGGAGTCTGCGTTTGGAGAGAGGGATCTTGCGATCGGAGCCTTTTCTGACTCGTTCTGGGAGCCACCGCCGCTATCATCTCTTGCTGCCACCCCCTTCCCAAGTCGCCTCTCAACACTGGTCATGACTTGAGAGATTGGGTCTCCTTCATTCGACGACTCAAGCTCCGTTCGGCCCAAATCCAAGACCATTCCCAGACCAAGACCGTTCCAAGTCCAATACCATTCCAACCATCCAGACTGTTTCCCGCGGCGCAGTTATGCGACGAGAATTTCGCTGGTGCATTGAGCCACAGTTTTCTCTCGCCTATCGCATGGTCAACACGCTGGATAATCTATTCAATCACTGCTGGCCCATGCGCGATGTCATTCGGCGCGGCGCGGCGGTTAGTAGCGGTGGCCAGATATATAATCTATATGCATTCCACTAGCTTCCAATTGAGTCAATCGGTGCAAATCATCCAAACTCAATTCCACACATCGATTTAGATGATTGAGGCTGAGAACTAAGAGGCCTACCGACAAAACGCATCTGAGGATTATTGTCATTTAGGTTGGTTGTTGGGCATCGAACATTAGATGCAGATAAGATCATAGATGCGTATTATCTTATCTCCCCTCAGTCACGCATTCGGAACCGTGGACATTGAAACTCCGCTTACTTGCCTCCTGCTTAGCGCGCGCTCTGCTTGAACCATCACGACAAGTATCGAAACATGAGCCATCGCGGTAGTGACAGAGGACGGGGAACTCCGCCTCGTGGGGGTCCTCGCGGAGGTGGACCTACTCCTCGAGGCGCCAGTCCAGACCGAGGTCGCGGAGGTGGTTATGCAGGCCGGGGTGGAGGCGGAGGCGGAGATCGGGGAAGGGGCGGGGGATTTGATCGAGGAAGGGGCGGGGGCTTTGATCGTGGACGGGGTGGCGGCGGTGGCTTCGACCGTGGTCGAGGGGGCGGGCGCGGGGGTCGCCCTGTCGGTGGGTGAGTGTCCATCATCCTCCTGGTTCTCTTGTGTCGTTCTCAAACTCGCCAGTGTCTTCCTCGCTGATGTCCCCGCAACCGTCGACGCTCGTCTGTCTGATAGCTCTGATCTCGCACTCGTCCAATCGTTCCGCAGTGTCCCGATTCAAAGTGGCGAGATTCCTCTGCGTCCTGATTATGGCACCGTTGGCAGACCGATCAAGCTTCGAGCCAACTTCTTCCCCGTCCGTGTCCGAGTTCCTGATGGAGCGTGGTTCGAATACGATGTCAGCATTACCCCCGTTGCGGGGACTGCAGCGCGGAGGGTGAAGAAGCGGATCTTTCATTTGGCCGAACAGTCCCGGGAGTGGACTCAATACGAGCTGAAGGACAATGTGGCTCACGACTATTCGGCAAAACTCATTGCTGCGAAGAAGCTGCGTCAGCCACTGAACATCACCGTGGTCTTCCACGACGAGGATGAAGAAGTACCGAAACCAAAAGACAAAGGTTATAAGGAGTATACTCTGAGCATCAAATTCGTGCAGAACTTGGACAAAGCCGCGCTTGCCAGGTAGGACAATCTTATTCAGGAGCGTTCCTTTTGTGAGCTGATTACGGTTGCAGCTACCTGAATGGCGATATCCAATACCGCAACTACGACATCTTTCCGCTCATCTCAGCGATGAACCTCATTCTTGCCACTCATCCTAATCGTCCCGGCGGTGGCGTCATGGTTGGGCGCAACCGGTTCTTCTTCCCCACTGAGAACGTACCTTCTCCTTTGGGCGGGGGTCTCGAAGCATTCCGCGGTTTCTTCTCGTCGGTTCGGCCCGCTCACAAACAGCTCATGGTCAACGTCAATGGTAAGCTTGACTCATTTGCGTTAATCCAAGTTTGTTCTAAGCCCGCCCCAGTCTGCACGACTGCTTTCTATGTTCCGGGAAATCTTGCCGACGCCATCGACCAGTTTACGCGGTCCAGTTTCGGCGCACGAGCAACTGCTTTTGCGAAAGGTGTTCGCGTCAAGGCCATGCATCTTGGCTATAAGAAGACCGTCAAACGGGTCGCGGACAAGTCTGCACGCCAGTATACCTTCGAATGCTCGGACTTTGGTGGCCAGCGAGTCTCGGTTGAGCAGTATTTCAAACGCAGTAAGCCGGCTCAATGGTCATGTCGCTTCTCGCTCATCCAGTCCTTTTCCTGACCAGAGTATAACATTACGCTTCGCTATCCTGAGCTGCCGCTCGTCGATGTTGGTGGGACCAAAGCGAACTTTTTACCTGCCGAACTCTGTGAAATCCTACCTGGGCAAGCATTCAAGGGCAAATTGACGGACGAGCATACCTCCGAGATGATCCGTGTGGCTGCTCAGCCTCCGAATGTGAATGGGAACGCCATTGTCGAACGCGGTCTCGCGCAGCTGGGGTACAACACCGAGTCTGGTGCTTTGAAAGGTTTCGGACTGAGCATCGGCAAGGAGATGGCTGTTGTGCCCGGGCGAATCCTGGCTCCGCCAGGCATCGAGTACGCCAAAGGTCGCCCGGACGTCGACGACTCCAAGGCCAGCTGGAATCTTCGTAATGTCAAGTTCAAGCGCGGGGCGACTCTGAAGAACTGGGCTGTGCTCCTCATCCGCGACGGCAACCGGAGAACGGAGTTCGACGGCCTGAATGATCCGCAACTCAGACCCACGGTCCAAGGATTCGCCAGCATGTGCACTACGTCAGGCATGCAGGTCGCGGACGCGCCCGAATATGTCGAGGCGTTCATGCCTCCGAAGAATGCACAGGATCCCACCCGATTCAACGCCATCACGGTCATCGACAAGGCGCTCAAGACGCTCAAACGCAAGCCGACGATCGTTCTCGTCCTCCTATCCAGCGGTGACAAGCATATCTATGCCGGAATCAAGCACTTGATGGACGTCCACCTTGATATCGGCTCGGTCTGTGTCCAATCCGAGAAGATACGATCGGAGCGAGGTAGGTTCTCGGATTTTAACCAGTTTCACGGCGGTGGCTGATGCTTTCAGGACAATTGCAATACTTTGCCAACGTCGCGCTCAAGTTCAACATGAAGCTTGGAGGAATCAAGTGCGTGCCTGTGTCCAACTGTCGAGACGTTCTTCTTTGTTGACTCCGTGCAGCCATTCATTGGACGCGCGAAGTGTTGCCTGGTTGAATGAAAAACCGATCATGCTGGTCGGCGTCGACGTGACACATCCGGGCCCTGGCTCCGTCAAGGGCACGCCGTCCGTGTCCGCAGTCGTCGCCAGCATCGACAATCAGTTTGCTCAGTTCCCTGCGAGTATGCGCATCCAGGAAACCAAAAAGGAGGTGTGTGACGTGTGTCTGTCGCGTGACTTCAGTTGGACCTGACGGATGCATGCGCAGATGGTGACCGAGATGGAAGACATGATGGTCGAACGGTTGAAGGCTTTCCAAGGCCGGAACCAGAACAAGCTTCCGGATCGCATTCTTGTCTACCGAGGTTTGTTACTCTCGTTTCTGTGCAACTGGCGGGCTGTAACTGGATTGTCAGATGGTGTGTCTGAAGGGCAATTCAAGATCGTCCGGGAGGACGAGCTGCCTTCAATGAAACGAGCCTTCAAGCGGTTCGGACCCAAGTACAGCCCGAAACTCAGCATCGTTATCTGCGGCAAACGTCACCACACGCGATTCTACCCAACAGAGGCTGGAAATGCTGCGAACGACGGGAATCCCCGACCTGGAACGGTGGTTGATCGAGGAGTCACGGCCGTGTACGAATTTGACTTCTTCCTGCAAGGTCTGTTGATCCGTCTGTTGTTTGTGATGTTTTTTTCTGATGAGAGAACAGCGCATGGCGGACTGCAAGGGACGACACGGCCGACACATTACTACGTCGTGCACGACGAGAATCAGTTCAACGCCGACCGGCTGCAACAGCTGACCAACTCTGTCAGCTACATGTTCGGTGAGCCCACCGATCTTGTTTCCCGTGCATGAGTTGACCGCGTCTACGCAGCTCGGGCCACGAAAGCGGTGTCCCTAGTCTCACCTGCGTATTACGCGGATCTGGCCTGCGAAAGAGGGCGTTGTTATCTGCACCGGCTGCTCCAAGGCCTCTCGAACTCAGCCTCGACATCGGCGAGTGGTGCGTCTGCCGATGAAGCTGTTATGAAGGAGGCTAGCCAAATGTGGCGGGGCGGTGTCAGTGGCCCGCAGCTCAGCAACACGATGTATTATCTCTAGGAAGTATCATGTATCGCTCTCTGTCCTTGTAGTTTTATTTAGCGCCCAGACGGTATCTCGTTCTGACAATGTAGCCATCTCGCATATCCTGACTGCGTGACTGCCATTGAATTTGAACAATTGGATCGAATCGATGGTAGATTTGGTAGAGGGATTACCGGCGCGGTCCCCACCCAGCCGAGCTCTTGCTACGGCAGAGATGCTCGAGCATTGTATAAGTATAATTTCTCGACAGAGACCAGGAGACAATCACCATTCGCATGCTCTCCCAGGTCTCAGCTTCTTACGTGGCCCACATCCGCAATGTGCGGGGCTGCACTGAGCATTTCGACGTCTGGGGGGATCACGGTCAGTGTGGAAGAGATGGTATCCATGAGAAAACACATGAGGGCTACATGTGGTACGTGAGGTTTCAGTTCGGTGGGTAGAACTAGACCGTCGCAACGTAAGTCAAATCAGATTCAGATCGGCGCGATAAAAATCACGGCGGTGCAGCCCCTCCACAGCCGTCGCTCAACTGTGACAGGAAATTATGTACGCTATTATGACGAAGGAAACCGTCCATGAGGACGAAGCAAGCCCAGTTCAATTGCACGTCATACCGTGATGGCAATGCTGTCGATCAATCAGCTGTGCACGTGCTCATTTCTCATCACGTTCTCATCCGCGCTTCACCGTCGCGTGTACCCGTTTCACGCGTCTATGCGCGATGCGCGGTCTCTAACTCCCTCAAACCACATGGCTATTGTTCGAAAATGGCCCCTCTACTCGAGAAGCTCCGCCAGGCTGACATGATCGGCCCAGCAACACTCAAACCGATTGGAAGGAAGATATGGCTGGGATGGAGACAGGGACAGATACGGCCCCCCATGGAGATACGATCAGCGCGTCTGGGGATGACATGGATGTGCTGCGGATAGATATTGTGGGAGACACAAGTCCGCCTTCTTTCTGCTGCCCATCCTCGTTCTCACCGCGTACGGCGGCAAGAACCGAGAACTCTGGCCTCGTGGTCTGGTTTCTTGAGCGAGCCTCGTCATTGTTGAGCTTGGACAGGCCGACGACTTGGTCCCTGAGTTGTTGACTCGACAGCGGTGTGCTGATCCCCGTGCTCGTAGTAGTCCGTGTAGCTTCATGGTGATGAGAACCGTGACAATCCGCCGTTCGATAATACACCAGCGAGCGGAGTCCCTGTCAGAGACAGATGGGCATGGGAATGAACACGGTGGGCGAGCTGACAAGGGAGGCCCAGTGGCAGATCGTTGCTGGAGCCTGGAATATCTGCGAACAGATTTCTGGACGAGAATAGCAGACACTTCCACCTTCCGCCCCGGACCTTGTCTGATCACTGCGCCGTCGATGAGGTGCATTGAATCAGCATGTGGGTTGTCGGATTCCGCGTGAACTTGAGGGGTGTTATTGGCTCGTGGGCTTGTGGTCGCATTCCAAGCGCAGCAGAAGTCATCTGACCCCAATTCATGGCCCCGGATGGCCCACCTACGGCTCTCGATATTTTTACTCCCTCCCCGTGGAGTCTAACCTTTGAACGTGTTGTGTCCCCTTGGGATGCTATAATCGCTGATCAGTTCCGAGATCCATTCCAAAAAAAAGAGAGCTACATTCGAGTACGAATCGCTATGTGAGAACCGGTCCAGTGTTAGGAGGCCGTCCTCCGAGGTGCAATTTTCCAGTACTCCACTGGGGGGACAGCGCAGATCCAACGCTTCATCCATCCTCCAGCTCCGCCCAACCATTCCGGATGTTTCCAGACAATCTATCTCCAATCGATCATTCTGGAATCGAGACAACAGATCTGTGGATCGACTAGGCTGTATGCACTCAGAAAACCGTGCGCCAGCATTCTGATCGCTGCCCTGGTGGAGCAGCCCCGGGACTAGTATTTGGGTGCCGCGGTCCTCGGGAAGCGGGGAGAACTCGCCTTGAACGTAATATCCATAGAATGCAAGATCGCCCCAAGCGAGACAGGTCCGCGCCAAGGACGGCTGAGTTGGTAGCCGGTCCGGTGGTGCGTGAAGTATTCAGGGAGGCCTGCCTTAGCACACCTGGGTCGATTCGTTTGCGCGCCAGATACATGCCGTCCGGTTACGAGCCGTGCGCAGAAGACCGGACACTCGCTGGTCACTACCCGCGGCCGAGGGGCCACCAGAGAGAAGCCGACCAGCATGTGCAGGCATATGGACCCACGACCAGGTAACCGGCACCGTTCGACTGGCGTGTCCACCTCCAGCGTCGGTCAATTGTAGTTCCAATCGAAGAAGGGAACGGACGATTCGAGTTCCCTCCATCTTGCTGGGACCTACGGCATGTTCCAGGAGACAGGCGGAACTCCTGGTCACTCTACCCCAGGGTCGATCAGAATCCTCGGGATCCGTGAGCATTCCTTTGCTTACCTGCTGCGGTTCACCGCTGACAAACGCACAGCACGAGACTGAGCACGTCGGACACTAACAGGTGCCCGGGCGGCTCGCATTCCGCATGGTAGCCATAGATTTGATTGCCCGCCAAACCGAAATGCGCTGCGAGGGTCTCGGTCCTGTCCGGACGAGGCGGACAGTTGATCCGCACGAAGGGCAAAATCGAGAGCCGGATCCTAGGGATGGGTCTCCCAGACATTTTTTCCAAGACGTCTGCTCAACGGTTTGATCTGCTCCAGACCAGCGGCAGTCAGTGGAGACAGCGCCTAGGTCTAGAGTTCGTCTCCCATGTCTATCCACACCGCACATTGGTCAGCGCTGAGCCGGCATGCAGGCCCAATACGCCCAATAGAACGGAAGATCACGCATTTCCTCGGCAGCAGGCAGAGAGAAAGCATGGCTCTGAGCCCCGGAGCACTTGTCTGCGGCCCCGGGTAATTGAATCGGAGTGAGAGAAAGATTAGCGCCCGGCTTTACATCAGAGATCCTGCAGCAAAAAGGCGCTACCACAGGCTCACGGGGCTTCTATAGCATGGCGCCACGGCGGGATATTTCCGCAACTGCCCCCGAGGCCAACAAACGTCCGTTCTCTCCCGTTCTCTGCTCTCAGTGGCGCGTCCGAGCCTGAGAGCCTCCTAACTTCGATCGGCCCACTCGAGCCCAACAGGCCCCGAAGCGGCCTTATCCGGCTCGCGTCGTGTCCCCGCTTTGCAGGGTCGGCACGCCAGAATGAATGCGCCGTCTTTTGCGCACGACCCGAAATCCCGAGCTAGATCCGGGACAGTCCTCGCCGCGTGCTCTGGATGCACATGAGAAACAGATTGTGCCCGTCAAATGGGGAAGGGAGGGACACAGGAGCAGGTTTGAACGGCCTTCTTATCGAGCGAGGATAATACACCAGATCTGAGATGAGCCACGAGGGATGATCGATTCCATGATGCAGGCGCCCTCTGCTCCGTAGCATATAGCATAGAATGGCAGCCTCTGCAGATCTTTTTGGAGGGCCGCGTCCGTCGAACAGGCGGCTTCCATTGCGTTCGGCTTCTCAGAGGAAGTCCAGCTCCGTGGAGACGAATGAACGAGCGAGGGATTCGGCGTCACAAATCTTGCTATTCGCGCGCGCATGTGCGTAAAGAGCAAAGCTCGGTGTCAAGACGAAGAGTCTTCTCAGCTGTTGAGCAGTCGCGCATGGTAGTAGTAGGTCGTGACGTGACTGATGTGGACTACCAAAGGCTAAAGCCCGCTTACACTGTCACAGTGATTACAACTGTCATGAAAACATACATTCCTATCGTGACTACATAATACAAACGCTCAGGCGGCAACGGCAACACTGCTCGGCGGCGGAACAAAGAAACGGGTTTTGATGCCACCGGCGCTGGGCAGGCGCGTGGTGCCGAGCTCGCTCAACCACGCATCGACTTCAGCTGCAACGCCCCGGCCCTCGTTGATGCCCCACACAATCAGACTCTGTCCCCGGCGGCAATCTCCGGCAGCGAAAACACCCTGCACGCTCGTCGCGTACTTGCTCTTCTTGCCAGGGAAAGCTGTCTGGATGTTGGACCGCGCGTCCTGTTGCACGCCGAGTGCCTTGATCAGCTCCGCCTGCGGGCCCAGGAAGCCGAGCGCGAGGAACACGAGCTGTGCGGGGAAGAACTTGGCGGAACCGGGCACTTCTTCCATCTTCCACCGTCCGCCAGAGTCTCTCGTCCATTCGACTCGAACTGTGCGATGTGTTAATTGGTCGGAAAGAAAGAAATGAGACGTGAAAACGAACCGGTGTTGAGACCCTTCAGTTTTCCCTCGTCGTCGACCACAAAGTCCTTGGTCGAGATGCAATACTCTCTGGGATCGGCACCGAAATGGGCAGCAACTTCGTTGTGGCCGTAATCCGTGCGGAAGATCCTCGGCCACTGCGGCCAGGGTTGTCCCGTCCTCGGCTCACAGGCGGTTGGGGCAGCAGCTCAAAGTTGGTCACACTCTTCGCACCATGGCGCATGGACGTCCCGATGCAATCGTTGCCGGTGTCGCCACCGCCGATCACGATCACGTCCTTGCCCTTGGCAGAGATGTACTGTGAGTCGCCCAGCCAGAATCGAGCAGGGACTTGGTATTGAGCTGGAGGAATTCCATCGCGAAATGGATTCCATCAACCTCCCGTTCGGAATCTTCAGATCACGAGGCCAGGTAGCACCGGTGCACACGATGACCGCATCGTGGTCCGCCTGGAGCTCCTCGACAGACACATCGACGCCGACATTGGCGTTCGGCACGAAAGTCTACACAAGAAATTGAGACAGGAAAAAGCACGAGCAGAAACAACACGCACGACACCCTCAGCAGCCATCAGATCCAGCCGGCGCTGCACCACAGCCTTGTCCAGCTTCATGTTCGGGATTCCGTACATCAGCAGGCCACCCATCCGGTCGTTGCGGTCGTACACGGTGACAAAGTGTCCTGCCTTGTTCAGCTGATCCGCAGCGGCCAATCCCGCCGGCCCTGACCCGATGACAGCAACTTTCTTGCCCGTTCGGAAGCTCGGTGGATTCGGTGCCATCCAGCCCATCTCGAAACCCTGCAATGCATCAGATTAAGCAGGATGCAAAAGTGATTGACATACCTTGTCGATGATGGCACACTCGATGCTCTTGATGCCCACCGGCTGCTCGTTGATGCCCAACACACAGGCGCCCTCACACGGAGCAGGGCACACTCGCCCAGTGAATTCAGGGAAATTGTTGGTCAGCAACAGACGGTTCAGCGCATCGCGCCACTGCCCCTTGAAGACCAGGTCGTTCCACTTGGGAATCACATTCGAGATCGGGCAGCCCGAGTCCGACTGACAGAACGGAACACCGCAGTCCATGCATCTCGCCGACTGATACTTGAGCTCGCCCTCGGTCAGTCGCGCGCTGATCTCGTTCCAGTCCTTGACCCGTTTCCGGGGCGGCCGGTAAGCCTCGCCAAGGCGCTTGTATTTCATGAACCCTCGCGTCTTGTCGAGCTTGCTCAGTCGCTGCCGTGTTGTGTTCTCGTCCACAAGCGAGTCCTCCATGTCGGTCACACCAGGCTCCCTCGAGCTGACAGCTCGACTCGGGGTCGGTCTCGGGGGCAGAACATCCTCCAGCCCGCTGGCCAAGTCGACCTGGCTCGCTGTGCGACTCGGGACGAGATCGATCACGCTCTGCCTCATCTTCTCCTCCTTCTCCCGGGCAGCCTGCTCGTTCAGCATCCGCTTGTAGTCGTGCGGCATAACCCGGACAAACAGCGGCAGCAGATGGTGGAAGTCGTGCAGCACCCGATCCGCGACCTCCGACCCGGTGTAGTGCCGGTGGTCCTCAATCAGACTCCGCAGAGCCGCAATCTCGCGCGGATCCGTGACTTTGCCGAGCTCGACCATCTCCATGTTGACCTTGGACGCGAAGGTGTGTGCCGTGTCCAAGACATACGCAATCCCACCGCTCATGCCGGCAGCAAAGTTGCGGCCCGTGGCACCGAGCACAACAACGCGGCCTCCGGTCATGTACTCGCAGCCGTGATCGCCCGTGCCCTCGACGACAGCATTGGCACCCGAGTTGCGCACAGCGAACCGTTCGGCGGCAATGCCGCGGATGAAGGCCTCGCCGGAGGTGGCACCGTACAAACAGACGTTGCCGACGATGATGTTCTCTTCGGCTTTGAATGTGCTCTGCTTCGGCGGGTACACGACGAGGCGACCGCCCGAGAGACCCTTGCCGACGTAATCGTTCGAGTCTCCCTCGAGCTCGATTGTGATCCCCGGCGCCAAGAACGCACCACATGACTGACCAGCGGAACCTTGCATCTTGATGTGGATGGTGTCTTTCGGCAGGCCCTCTTCGCCGTAGAGCTTGCTTACTCGGTAGCTCAACGACGTGCCGAGAGCCCGGTCGGTGTTGGTCACCTCGCAGTCGATGTGCACAGGCAAGCCCTTGGTCAGAGCCGGCTCCGACTCGTCAATGAACTTGTTGTCCAGCCGAATGTACAGCTTGTGGTCCTGCGGCCTGACACGGTACGTCGCAGCACCAGGGCGCATCTGCCATGCGGGTTTGAGGATGGCAGACAGATCCAGGTGGGCCGTCTTGACCGTCCGCATCTTCTCATCCACTTTCAGCATGTCCGCGCGCCCAACCATCTCGTTGATCGTCCGGAATCCGAGTTTGGCCATGTACGATCGCAGTTCTTCCGCCAGGTAATAGAAGAAGTTGATGACTTGTTCCGGCTGGCCAGCGAACTTGGCTCGCAACTGCGGATCCTGTGTCGCAATTCCGACCGGACAGGTGTTCACTGATGAAGAATTTTGAGAAATGAGAGAAGGAACAGCAGCGCACACTCACAATGGCACTTGCGCATCATGATACAACCCATCGCAATCAGGGGCGTCGTGGCGAATCCAAACTCCTCGGCACCCAACAAACAGGCGATCGCAATATCGCGGCCCGTGCGGATCTGGCCGTCAGTCTGCACCGTCACTCTCCCGCGCAGATCGTTCAGCACAAGCGTCTGATGCGTCTCGGACAGACCCAGTTCCCAGGGCAATCCAGCGTACTTGATGCCAGTCCAGCGAGAAGCCCCGGTTCCACCGTCGTGACCTGAGATCAGGATGTGATCGGCCTTGGCTTTAGCGACACCGCTGGCGACGATCCCAACGCCAACCTCGGAAACTAGTTTGACTGAGACCCGAGCACGAGGATTGGAACACTTGAGGTCGTAGATGAGCTGCTTCAGATCTTCGATCGAGTAGATGTCGTGGTGCGGCGGGGGCGAAATCAATCCGACGCCAGCGGTCGAGTGTCTGGTGCGAGCAATGGAGCCTGAGACCTTGTGTCCCGGGAGCTCACCACCTTCTCCAGGCTTGGCGCCCTGGGCCATCTTGATCTGCAGTTCGTCCGCATCAGCGAGATAGTTGGAAGTGACCCCGAATCGCCCAGAAGCGACCTGCTTGATGGCACTGCGCATGGTATCGCCATTGGACAGCACCAAAGACCGTTCCGCATCTTCACCGCCCTCGCCCGTGTTGGATTTGCCACCGAGCCGGTTCATCGCCACCGCCAGCGTCGAGTGCGCTTCCATGGAGATCGATCCATACGACATGGCACCCGTCACAAACCGCCGCACAATCTCATTCCAAGGCTCAACCTGCTCGATCGGGATGGCAGTCGCTTGCTCGTACCGGAAGTCCAACAGCCCACGGAGATGCACCCGCCGTGTCTGCTCGTTGGCGTTCCGCGAGTACGCATCATACGCGCTCTGGTTCTTCTCACGCACAGCATCTTGCAAGTTTGCGATTCCCGCAGGATCGTTGATGTGCGCCTCTCCGCCGTCGCGCCAGTGATACTCGCCCGACTCCGGCATGCCCGGCGGGATGATGGTCTCCCGTGACGGCCAGCCGCGCTCGTGCAGCTCAAAAGCGTCCATCGCCAAAAGGTCGAACGTGGCCCCCTGGACGCGCGAGGCAGTGCCTGTGAAGCAGCGGTCGACAACTTGACTGTGTAGGCCTAGAATCTCGAAGATTTGCGCGCCCTTGTACGAGGCCAGGGTCGAGATGCCCATCTTGGACATGACCTTGAGGATCCCATTATCGATCGAGTGCCGATAGTTCTCCGTGAGTTCGGCCACGGTCTGGTCCCCTTTGATGCTGTAGAATTCAAGTCAGTAATCAGAAAATAGAACACAACGCCATGGCGCACAGATTCTCCCTCTCGACCTTGTGGATGGTCTCCAGCATCAACCACGGGCAAACCGCATCCGCGCCATATCCGACAAGCACGCAGATGTGATGCACCTCCCTCGCCTCGGCAGTCTCGACCATCAACGCAATCTTCGCCCGCTTCTTCTGCAGCACCAAATGATGGTGGACACCGCCACACGCCACAAGGGCCGACAGGGGAACCCGGTCCGGTCCGGTCATCCGGTCTGACAGGATAACCACCTTGATGCCGTCATCGATAGCTTGAGTGGCCTCGCTGCAGATCCTTTCCAGGGCCAACCCGTACCCAGGCAGTCCCTCTGCCTTATCGAAAGTAATGTCGATCGTGCGCGACGGCCAGTGGTCATAGGCGATCTTGAGCTTCTTCATCGCATTCATCTCCTCGATCGAGATGAGAGGTGAAGGAAGCAGGATGCGGTGACACTGCTCAGGCTTCATCTCCAGCAGATTGCCTTCAGGGCCGACGTACGCCTCTAGACTCATTACGACACTTTCTCGGATGGGGTCGATGGGCGGATTGGTCACCTGCGCGAACAGCTGCCGGAAGTAGTCGTAGATCAGTCGGGGCTGGGTTGCCATCGCCGCGAGCGGGGCGTCGTTGCCCATGGACCCGAGGGCCTCTTTCCCGTCAGAAACCATCGGAAGCACGAGCAAATTCAGTTGCTCGATCGTGAAGCCAAACGCCAGCAGCTTAGGGTCGGTTGCCAGAGACGAAGCGTCCAGAATAGGCGCGAGAATGGTGTTGCTCCGCTGAACGCGCTTGATGATGTTGGGCACGTGGAGAATGTGTGACTCGATCCACGACGCAAAGTTCTGCTTCGAGGCAGTCTGGTGCTTGAGCTCCTTGTCGTCGACGATTCTTCCCTCTTCCGTGTCAACCAACAACATGCGGCCGGGTTTAAGCCGCCCCTTCTGCACGACAGTCTCCGGAGCAATGTACACTGCGCCGACCTCCGAGGCACAGATCATGATATCCTCGTTTGTCACCACATAACGGCAAGGGCGCAGACCGTTCCGATCCAGGTTGGCGCCGCAGTATCGTCCATCGGAGAACGCGAACAACGCAGGCCCGTCCCAGGGCTCTTGCAGACAGGCAGCCCAGTTGTAGAAGGCCTTCTTGGCAGGGTCCATGTTCTCGTTTCCCTGCCAGGCCTCGGGGATGAGCATCATCACCGCCTCAGGCAGAGTCAGAACCCCGTTAACCACCAATAGCTCGAGCACGTTGTCGAATGCAGCAGAGTCGGATCCACCGGTCTCAATGATCGGAAACAGCAGGTCAAGTTGCTCTCCGAAGTTCTTGGATGCCAGCACACCTTCCCGGGCTCGCATCCAGTTTTTGTTCCCGCGGACAGTGTTGATTTCACCTGTCACAGACCCTGAGCACACGGAGATGAGCCAGAAGAGAAACATGCGCACCGTTGTGAGCGGCCCATCGCATGGGCTGCGCACGATCCCAACTCGGGAACGTGTTGGTCGAGAATCGCGAATGGACAAGCGCAAAATGCGCCTGATAGAGTACATGGTTCAGATCGTGATAGTAGTTGTACACTTGTGCGGGCGACAACTGGCCCTTGTACACGATGTTCTTCGACGATAGAGAACAGACGTAAAAGCCCTTGGCGAGGGTGCTAGTACAATCAGTCAGAGAGGCAAGATAAGATAAGGGGAGATAAACGGACATGGAGTGCGTCGCATGCTTGCGCAGGACATACAGTTGGCGCTCAAACTGAGCAGCATCGAATTCCCCTTTCTGACTGGCCGATCCAGTCCCGTAATGGGTCTTGAGAACGACGAACGGCTGGTAGATCGAGGGCTCCTTGCTGCTAGCCGCGGGACCGAGAATGGTCCCATCCGTAGGCACCTCTCGCCACCCAAGCACTCGCAACCCGAGGTCATCGGCGATCTTGGCGAACACCCCTTGCTCGCTACGCAGCTGCACTGGATCGTCGCGCCGGAAGAATACATTCCCCACTGCATACTCGCCCGGCTCCGGCAGTGTGCACCCTATGTCACGCTCTGCCTCCCGCTTGAAGAATGCGTGCGGAATCGCAGTCATCACACCCGCACCGTCTCCATCACGGGAGTCGGCTCCAGTTGCACCACGATGCGTCATGGCACAGAGGAGTTGCCGCGCATCGGAGACAATTTTGTGGTTTGGTTTGCCTTTTACATGGCAGATGAATCCAACACCGCACGAGTCTTTCTCGTTTTCGTTCGAGTAGAGGCCCTGGTTGGCGGGAAGAGAGCCATCAAACGACTGGGGGTCCCGCTCAACGGCGTTGAACCCCACTGCGTCGAAGAAGCCCTCCCCGTTGTCGGCGATAGTACTGGTTGTGTAGCTGTTGTTATTTATGGGTTGATCATCGGAGAACGAGACGCTGGCCATGTAAGCCAGAAGATGATAGTGGGTGAGAGCAAGGAAAAAGCTGCAAGAAAACTTTGCCCGAGTCACCAAAGCAAAGTCGCTCGTGCAATCGACAATCGCTTGGGATTTTGACAGTTGATCCAACCAATCACCGATCTCGGATTCGCGGAACGCCTCTGTCACAGGACCTCCGTTCGCCTCCGATCGGATGACATCGGCCTTTCGGGTATTCCGCTCTATATTCTGAAGGGGCCGTTCATACACAATCTCATGCTCTGTGAGGATAATTCAACTGTCCGAACCCCTTCAATACCATATCTGGGCCCTCAGGGTGTATCATTTGGCAATAATCTTGAGATAACCATAATCTAGCCGAAGCAGGTTCTCACCATCCGGCCCCTTTCCCGACGGCCGATGTGGCCGAGAACCCTCGGCCGATCCCGGGGAAAACCCCGGTGCGGGACCCGAGTAGCCCCGGGTGCACGCAGTTATGTGACAAGGTTTAAAACCACAACTTCGGGCTCCAAAACACCGGCATTGACATCCTACATTCGGCCTGCCAAAAGGGCAGCGCCACATCGATAATACAGTCTTACAGAATGTTCGCGTGGACTAGTTAGCGCCATCATGCAGGGCACAACACACAGTCGCTGAGGGTGATAGATCGACAAGCAGTTCCACCTCAAAAGAAGCAACAGACCTTTGTGATGTCCATTGTACTGTCGCACGCTTTCTCCAGTCGCCATGTCCCAGAGACGAGCAGTGTGATCCGACGAGGCTGATCCGTGCTCAGACGGGCATGCGGGACACACAGGAGAATATCATACCAGTCACCAGATAGGCCGAATCCGCACTGAACGCACAGTCCCATACCCATCGCTGATGTCCGACCAATGTCTTCTCCTGCTTGAACTCGTAGTTTTGCGATATCGACCAGATCTTGACGGTCGCATCTGCCGAGCATGTGGCAAGGAACCTGCTCAGATGAGCACATATCCACTGGAAGTGCGACTCGGAACCCACAGCGAATCTGGGCTCAGGAGACATCGAGTGAGATATTTGGAGTGCGCAAGGAACTTGGTCACAGCCTGGAACCGGGGAAGGCCAGAACTTTCATCATTGACCTTCCACACATAGCATTTGCCCTGACAACGATGAAATGGTCAATAGGCACCGAGGAAAGGATCAAAGTCTAACTGAGTGCCAAAGGCACACATACCTTGTTGTTTCCCGCAACTAGAAAAGACCCATCCACAGCAAGGCTGACAGATCGGATCGGGATGTCCCCAGCTGGAGTCTTCACACGCGTCAGCGAGCTATTGGAGCACAGAAGACGACGCCAATCGTACAAGTTCGTGCGAGCAGATATTCTCCAAAAGATCCCACTGTTTGATGCTTCCTGCCTGATCACAGGAGATGAGTTCACCCTGGTTCGGATGCACGCAGACATCGTTGACTGGAGGGATAGTGAATCCACATGCTACGAGCAAAGCTGAGGCGAGGTACCAGGGGCGGAGTTATCATATGTCCTGTGCAAATCAGTGGTCCTGGAGAGGAGATTAGATTCTGTCCAATAGTCGAAACGAGCGATCGTCCACACCGCATATCCCATATTTTGATCGTCCCGTCCTCGCTGCCTGTCACCAACCACTTTCCCTCGTTATGGAATGAGACTGTGGTGACGTTCATTGTATGGCCCTCATAGGTCAAGATCTGATACCGTGAATCACTTGTTGGACAGGCATGGACCATAGAAGCGTACCGGGTCGGAAGAGGCACTTCCGATTTCGTATATGTTCACCTTCTTATGAATAGCAGCGGCGACAAGACGCTTGCTGCATGCTCTCTGAGTTCGAAGGAGCATGTGTACAGGAGCTGAGACTCGTACTCGGGGGATATTGCCAGCCTGTTCACTTGCTGAGAATCGTTAGTGGAAGCAGGAGGGTCAGGAAACAATTCCGCGGCACACCCCAGCTTCCCCAGTTCTTGCAATGGTCCGCGAACATATTCCGCTCCAGGCCTCCCAGAATCTGATCTCATGGTCGTAGGATCCAGTGACGAGAATGACAGACAAGTCTGGTCGAGATGCGGAAGTCGTGCCGCTCAAATTCTTTGGCGCCATAACGTGAACGCGTATGAACGATTCCGATTCCCAGGAAAAGCAAGGAGTGAACGCGATGCACGCTGGGAGAGGGAGAGCTGGAACGGACACGTGATCCCTATCTCCTTCTCTTCCACACAACGCGTTGCCGGCCGCAACAGTTCCGCGGGCGCCTGGACATGACCAGAAAATACGGCCGTGCTACATCCATTCGATCTGTCACTTTCTCGGTTGACTGGGTCTTGGTTCGAGAGTCTCCTGGGTCAATTCTCTATACCCGAGGTCACCGAGGTTCATAATCACAAGAAGTCTACTCCTTCCGAGTTCTGCCCAGCACGATCCGTGGCTTTGGGGACTATTAACGCTCAGTACACACAGTCGGTCGTGTTTTGATTCTGTTTGAAGTTCTCCATCAACCTCGTGTTCAGCATCCCTTCTTCTGACGATAAGTCTCGCGTCTGATTTCATGCTCGACTCTTCACTTCACACCAAGCCTCGACTGGGATGACGATCGATGGAAGCTACTGGTATGGCTGCCTCGCGTATCACTCGCTCTTGAAACAGCCCAGGAGAGTCGGAAGTTGGAACTTCTCTCACCCAGCCTTCATTCTTCCAATGGTGCAGCTTCTTTCCCCAGACTGGTGCGAAAAAAATCTCGTTGGTGGATCGAAGACATGACTGTTTGGATCTATGGGCTTTCTTCCCTCAAGGTGCTTTATGAATAGATATCCCATCGCAGATTCTACGAATCGCCTTCGTGTCGTGTTCGATCGCTCGGGTTACATCCACGGTTTTTCTCTGACCATGTCCGTCCTTTATAAACCCTCCCTCGCTTCCTTGCAAGACCGTACTTTACGAACGAACACCAGCCAAGCCACCCTTCAATCGCTGTGCCCGTCGGCACCGACCCAACTATTTTGGCTATGAATCCGTATCGTGTACGTGCGTCCCTTGGCCGAGCAGTCTCCCAAATTGACACTGGTCCAGGTTGGCATGAAGGTCTGGTTCTGGAACTCAAACGGACAGACTGTATATGGAAGTGTAGCAGATATACGACAAACCGCCGAGGTCAGTCAAAGCTGCATGTCCAGCGGCACCGACGGTCTCATAGCGTGGTATCTACAGGGAAGCATAGTTCTGGGCATCCGCTCGGATGGTTCAGGAGCCGTATTGTCGATGCCGTAAGTAGATCCCGGCTTCACCTCCCCACAAACTCCGACGATTCTCGCAGCTCATCAGCCGTCCATATTGTCCAGTAGAAATCCCAATCCCAATGTATCAGGAACATTGTAGCATCCACACAGCTCTGTATTTTTACACCCCACCCAGCAACTTGTTTTTCATGCTCGCAGCAACTTCTTTTCGTGCTCCAGAACTCCGAAACACCCCCAGATCTGATGGCGTAGAGGCACTTGATATCCGCAGGCGCGCCAAAGTACGCCCTCGTTTTTCTCGCGGGTCCTGTATTGCCGGCACCGTGCGTTTCCTTTGCCGGTTCCAATCTGCAGAGTTTGCCCCGCGGTGGTGCGCACCGGCGTAGATCGCGTCATGTTCTAGAATTTGCTGGGAGAGGATCGCAGCCCTTTGGTTTGGTGATCGATAGTTAACCGAAAATCATGATGTCATGTGCCATGGGGCCCGCCCGGAAGCAAAATCCTACTCTGCATCTACAGATTTGGGACGAACATCACCGTGGCTTGATGGACTTGGGCTGGATCAAGGCTGGGTCAAGAGAGGAACGACCGATAAACATTTGTGAATGCCTGTTCATTTCACGTCTCGAGTCGATCCTTGCCGACGTATCAAGTGCATGCAGAAAGCGGGAGGCCGGTGACACGCACCCGAAGTATCACGCTCACTCGCTGCCCGTCGTCCCCAGCACGCGTCTCCCCCGGAAGAATGGAGTGTTTATAATTGAACCTGACATCGTCGCTGGCTCGGGATTGGCATGTTGCTCAAGAGCTTTCAAGGTAAACGAGCCCACCGTTGCAGATACACGCTCCCTGAAGGCAACACGATTTCGAATCTGTCCTGCTCGTTCTCAAAGACCAGCACACGCTGGCAGCCCAAGCTGAGACCCATGATAACCGATCCGCTGGCTGAAATGTTATCCACGTGAGGATGGATCTCACCCCGCGATGACAAATGCAGCAGATGGGTCTGGACATCTTCGGTCGGGAACAGGGCATATAGGCGCTCGAGAATCGGCTTCAACTCGGGTACGTCGGCCGGCCACGAGGTGAGATGCATCTCGCGGAAATGCTTGATAACTCCGTCGAAATGGCCCTGTGCACATTCTCGTCAATTCGGGTGGACACATCGTGGTAGAACACCGGCCGGACCTCTTCGAAACCGTAATATTCATCGGGTAGAAACAAATCTCGGAGAGGGTTTGTAGCGGTCGGAAATTCAATTGAAGCTGCCTGAGCAGCTGCCAGTGCCTTTCTTCGGCGCCTGCGATTCTGGATACTCTCAGCGCCATCCAACTTGGCCAATGCCGCATTCAGCACGATGCGTTGTTCGGCGAGCGACAGAAAACCGGGCAAATGTGAAGTGGTCCGATGATGGAAGCGTTCGTGCGGTTGCAGTAAATCTCTTTGTGACTTGCTGGTTCACGCACAGTCTAGAAAAGCGAGGCGTCACAGTCAAGTGCCGCAGCAGGATCATGATGGCGATGGGAAGAGATGTTAATAGGTGGCAGTGCTGCTAACGGCCAGTGACAGCGACTGGGCATGTCCGAGTCCAGAATCGACTTGGAGCCCAACGCAACTGCTATTACATCCCAGGCTCAAGGTCGTTGGTTTCATTCTCTGCACGGACTATACTCATATATCCAAAGAGTCTCAAGGAAACTTTGAGGCGGCTGTTGCGCGCACTACAGCGAGGGCCCTTGCACTATACTTCTCTCGTCCCGTGAGACTCTTCCGGCCATCCAAAGGTGCAATCTACAGGATGTGCAGGTTTGATCGATTCTAATCCTAGTCTAGTCAGCGGCTGGCAGTTTCTAAGAGGTTTTGTTCTTGGAGGACAACCTATTCTTACTCACAACGTCAACAGGGCTGGCTGCTCAAGATGGGCTCACTCTTGGTCCCAAATACATCGTCTCTCTTGTCAGGACCCAAGGGGTTTGTCGAAACTGCATCTCTCTCGATACACAGAGTCAACTTTGCGTAGCTCATGATCCTCCCGAAACATTTTCTGCCACCCATGGCTGTCAACGGTGATCGCTCTTGACAAGTACATGGCTTGGATCTCTCATTCGGACATGCGCAGCTCTCCTGGGAACAGTTCTTTGGACAAGTTATTCCGAAGCCTCTGCGTTGTTGATCGGCCATGCACAAATTGGATCCCACGCAGTCGCCGTCGCTGCTCTAGCCGGAGCTCTTGCCGGCGGCACGCAGGGTTCGTTGTAGATCTCCAGCCCGAATGACCTCATCTTGACGTGTTGTCTGGCAGCTATCGTATCTGCGCCTTGCGAAAATGTGCGCTTACTCATCGAGGGTGGCACCAGCGGGAATTCTTGGTCTCATGCGTGGAGGGAAGTATTCCGTGGCTCGGCCCATCCCGCGTCCCGACACGACGCCGTCGAAGAAGCGAGGCAGACCAAGAATTGGATGAAAGAGGTCGGAGACATGGCAGGTCGAGGCTGGCATGGATTAGGTTACACTCTGGGCAAAGATGTGACAGGCCAGTCTGTGCATAATCCGTTCTTTGAACGATCTGACCGATGAACATTCTCCAGGTTTTTCGGCTTTTTTTGCCATCTTCGAAGTCACCAGGCGCCTTGCTCTGCAGGTCAGAGCGGGTACTGTGAATGTGACAGCATCGGGCGAATCTGAGGGTGGAAAACTGAGAAGACACATGCCTCAATTCTTGTACGGATTGACTCTTGTGACTGGCGGGGTAAGTTTGAACTCGATGCTTGACCTATTCTAGAACTTCCGAGCAGGCAATCGCTGGTCTCTCATACGAAATCATTGGACGACCATGGGATGTCGTCAGACATGAGGTCCGATTGAACGCTCTTGCGAAAGAGCGACGTACTCCGATCGCACTTCTGGCGCGGAAGATTGAAGAAGAAGGCTTCTCTCGCCTATTTCGTGATCCGTTGAACACCATCCCCGAGCGGGGCCCTCGTCCCAGGATCTACACAATGCTCAAAACCCTGGCTCGTGTAGGACCCTGGGGAATAGGATTCCTAGTATACCAGGCATATGACACCGGATCAAACTACTAGGTGACAAGCCTGCGTTTGGTCTTTTCACTTGCTAACGGCTGCAGCAAGAAAATAGAAACCCCTGCACACGCGAGACTGTCAGGGACCTGACACTGCAAATGCTCCCTTCACTGTGCCAGCCTACGTCCGACCGGCGCAGCAATGCCAGTTCCCAGGAACATGTTCTACTTATAGCGACGGTTCTGTACTTGGAACTGCTTAATATGCCAATTATAAGACTAGTCAATGAATGCATATCATGTTTGGCATGTACCTGACACGCGGTCCAAGACATGAACTCTGAATCGGACTTTGTGATTCTTCAATCCTCTTGTGAAAATCTACCAGTGTAGTCACTGATCCACGAAGGACGTCGGCACAGCCGGTCCGAGTCGGTCTTTTTACCATATACAGAATCTACCCAAATTCAGTAATCACACTCGATCGCTTCCGAGAGTCGCATAGATGTTAATCGTACCTGTTCTGCGTTTCTTGTCCGACAGTCGCCCAGTTCTAAATCTGTTCCATTGACCTCTGATTAGATGATATCGGCCCATCAGCAGGTCACATGACACACAAGATTGCAGCTATTTGTCCACTACCGCGTTCATCGATCGCCTCAGTGTCTGCTGTTATACATGACTTCTATGCGCTGCACTCGCAAAGGATGTGGCAAGGAATACACATCCGATAGTTCGGAAAAGTGCACATTTCATCCTGGGGCTCCCGTCCGTGCCCCACTTCGAGCCAACCTGCTTCACTCGACGGCTCAACAGATCATAGGTCTTTCACGAAGGGCTCAAATCGTGGTCTTGCTGTTCGGATGTGTATAAACCCGTGCTCGAATTTGAAGAGTTCACCAAAATCCCGGTTAGCTTCCAACACATGGCGAAGGGATTCAGGATCTGAGCAGCACCCCAGGGATGCACACAGACCGACAAGCACACGAGCGAGGCGACCAAGCCCCCACCAGAAACTTCTAAATCTTCTGCGCCAAAGAACGTCACCGTCACCGTCGACGATCAAGGAAACGAGACCTACACGACCGGAAAGGCCGCCGCTCCTTCTGCTCAACCCACAGCACCAGCTGCTGTAGCTTCCGCTGTCATGCGGCCAGCTGTCGTAGAGGAAGAGGAAGATATGAATGCTGTCGTCGACGTGGGAACCTCCTGCAAGCATAAGGGTTGCTCGGTTGTCTTTGCGAGCGACGATGTGCATCGTTTAGGCGATGGACAAGGTGAACAGAATCAATTACCTTGAAAACTTGTCTCTAAAGCGAGTTAGGAACGATCTGTGTATACCACCCATCTCCGGTATGCTCTAGTCGTCTGTTTATGACGAAGAGTACCTCATCACTCGCCAGCCTATCTTCCGGGAAGGCAGCAAGGTGAAGTTGTTCCGTGCTCGACCTTGTCAAGGACTGGCCACCAACCATTCCGTCACCAGGGCTATCTTTGCTGCAAGCGTCGTGTTCTTGAATTCGACGAGTTTCTGAAGATCGAAGGATGTAAGAAGGGTCGCCATCTCTTCGTTCCGAAATCATCCATCGGCAATGTGGTCAGTCTCGTTATTCTTTTTTTAATCAGATCTGACGCCTTCCTCAGGTCGAGCAGATGACGACATGTCGTATCGACCACTATCAGACTGTGGACAAGGTGCATGTCTCAATCTTTGCAAAGAAGGCAGACAAGGAGAGAAGCCAAATCAAGTTCGAAGAAAATCATGTGCGGAAAAATGCCTCGACTTGCGCATGGTACAACTCAAACGAGTGCACAGATCTCCCTAGACATCTATTTGCCTGATTCAAAACGATTCTCTAAGACGGTTGATTTATTTGGGCCCATCGATCCCGACGCATCGTCCTTCACTTTCTTTGGGACCAAGGTCCGTACTCCCCTCACTTTTTGTACTGATCTGAGCAACTGTTAACTTTGGCGTAGGTTGAGCTGGTTTTGCAGAAATCGGACTCGAGAAGCTGGACCATTTTAGAAAAGACTGACCAGAATTTGGGGAACATTAGTTTGACCTTCGGGGTCGGAGGTCGCACGGGAACCGTTGGTTCAAAGACTGTTATATTAGACGAGAGCAACAAAGCCAAGGCTCCTTGAGCCTGATTGTAATGATGAAAAACGTTGCGGGGACAGCTTGTTTACTATTGTTGTCAAGTGCATCTCTCATTTCCGGCTGGCGAAGATAATTTAGACCGACTCCGTCTGCATGCTCTCGGTAGTGCCCAATGTCAGGCGCACATGCACGACCCAGCGCTCAGTTCGCTCTGTAGCGACTGCGGTCAAAACTAAAGTGTGTTCTCGTCTACTCTCATTGCTGTTGAAATAACCGACATGTAGCCCGTGGACGATGCGTCGGGAGAGCGAGACAGGGCAGACCGCACGTCTGCTCTCTCTCGCGGCAAGTGGGCACCTCAAACAAAGTTCTCACTTCCTCCCCCACCGGACGGACATCGACCTTCTTCAGCCTCACCCTCTGCCGGGCAGCCCCGACTTGCTTCCGCCAGCAAATGGTCGCGTCCGGGAACGAGCCAAAAGACGAGCGAAGGACAAGGTTTACCTGGCCAGCCTCCCCGCGCATCTGCACCCTCTCATTTCGAACGCTTTCCGTCATCTCCGTCTACATCGCCTGCTGGCCAGCCGCAACTTTCTTCCACGAGCAGATGGAAGCTACCAGCTGCCAGTCAGGGAGCGAGAGGAGGACCAAGCTCATCATTAACACCCCCACACTGCGCGCGCAGTCTCCGTTGCCCTCTTCGAGCAAATGGGCTGCTCCAGGAGCCAGGACGCAGAATGTCACCGAGCCTTCCGATTCCAATTCGATGCGCTATGAAGCACGAGCACGGGACCCTACCACTGGACAGGGTGCTAGCCCGCGCAGCCGGTGGCCGTCGCTTGCTGCCAAGCCGCTTGGGACGGGGCCGGTGGATAATCTTCTGGGAACGCTTCACTCGCAACAGGAGCGAGTGCCCAAACGACTCGAGCCTACACCGAGGAGAGCTGCTTCTCCTGCATCCCGGCATTCGCCGCCTCACTCCGCCCCTTCACCAACTTCATTCGAGCGTGCGCCGGCTCCACACCTCAATCCATCTCCACGCTGGGGTCAACCGCCGCACTTCAACAAGCCGCCTTCTCGGGATGCACAGCCCGAAGCGAGGCCCTCTGCTTCCCCTTCTTTCGCCCCCCGCTATCAGGAAGCCACGCAGTACGATCAACAAGATTCGCGGCCTGCGCCTGCGAAATCCGCGCTTTCGAAGTCCCGGCCTGCTCATTTCTCCAGAGACCAGGTCGCGACTCGTGGTAAACCTGTCAAGGACCGCCATGCCGCTAGTCAGATTGAAGAGCCTTCGAAGCCGGCTATTGCAAAGGTCAAGAAAGTGTGGAAGCCGGTCGAAAAGCGCATCACTGAAGATGTTTATATTCCGAGTACCGTGACTGTCGAGAATCTGGCACGGCTTTTGGGCGTACGATTGGGTTCGGAGCTTTCTTACATTTCCCACATCTCAGCTTATCCTGTGATGAACAGAGGATCTTCAGGACAAGATGTACATGGCTGGGATGGAAAGCCAGGCCTCTTTCGACTACGGTGAGGGTCTCCTTCGGGGCTGGATGTATGCATCGTCTCAATCGATCAGTGTTGACGTCCGACTATGCTGTGTTGCTCGCCGAGGAAATGGGCCGGAGACCTATTGTGAACGACGAGGCTGCTTTCGATCTTTTCCCTCCGTATGTTTCTGTGCGCTGTCGATGGCTTGCATTTGACTCTGGCTCTGCAGGTCTCCTCATCCGAATCCGGAAACTCTGCCGACTAGACCTCCTGTTGTGACCATCATGGGCCACGTCGATCACGGGAAAACCACTCTTTTGGATACTCTCCGATCCTCGTCCGTGGCAAAAGGTGAGGTTGGGGGGATCACACAGCACATCGGTGCCTTTTCGGTGCCCCTCCCCTCCCCAGATCCGACGGGACCTCAGTCGATCACTTTTCTTGACACTCCCGGGCACGCTGCCTTCTCGGCCATGCGTGCGAGGGGAGCTCAAGTGACGGATATAATCGTGCTGGTCGTCGCAGCTGACGATGGGATCATGCCCCAAACGAGGGAGGTCATCGAGTTAATCAAGAAGGACCGCGACCACATCGGGGTCGTGGTGGCCATTAACAAGATCGACAAGCACGGCAGCAATCCCGTGGGTGACCTGAGCTTGAACTTCGCTTCATTACTGACCCTGTTTGATCCAGGAAGCTGTTCAGAAAGCCCTTTTGGTAGAGGGAATCCAATTGGAGGATTATGGTGGCGACACCCCTGCGGTCCAGGTCTCTGGACTGACGGGTAAAGGATTACCAGACCTCCTGGATACTTTGTCCCTCATTTCCGAGATCCAGGATCTGCGGGCCGAATCCGATGGGCCTGCCTTTGGTTACGTGCTTGAATCCAAAGTCGTCAAAGGTTTAGGGTCAGCATCCTCTCTTCCGTCCAGGAACGTTATATTAATCTTGACTCCCATCTCAGGCCTATTGCTACTGTGCTTGTCCTCCGAGGAACACTGAAGGCCGGTGCCCACATCCTGAGCGGACTGCATCATGGCAAAGTGCGGATGATGCATGACTCGAATGGGAAACTTGTCAAAAATGCTTCTCCGGGCATGGCAATCACCGTGTCCGGCTGGAAGTCGCTGCCCAATGCCGGTGACGAGGTGCTCCAAGGTGCTGAAGGCGATGTCAAGAAGGCGATCGCGAATCGGCAGCGCAAAGCGGACATGCAGGCGTCGTTGGCTGACGTCCAGGCCATCAATGCTAGCCGCAAACTCGAGCGAGACAGACGTCAAGTGGAAGCAGCTGCAGCTGCGACCGCGGCTGCTTCACCGAACATGGCTAAGGTGACCCAAGAACGGGAGGAGGGGGAAACAGGTCCGAAGGAGCTGCGTCTTGTGATCAAAGCGGACGTCAGCGGGTCTGCTGAAGCTGTCGAGGGTGCGCTGCAGGGCATCGGCAACCATCTCGCCATGACTAAAGTCATCTCTTCTGGGGTCGGGCCCATCATGGAATCGGACATCATGATGGCCAAAGCGATTGGAGGTAAGCTTGTCGGATCCGGCGCTCGCTGCTGTCGCTGACACGAAAAATCAATCAGGGACGGTAGTGGGTTTCTCTGTGCCCTCCTCTCGTGCTATCGAGACATTGGCTGGCCAGCACAACGTGCCTATCATCTCCAGCGACATTATCTACCGTCTTATGGAAAGAGTTAAGGACAGCGTCATCGCTCTGCTCCCGGTCACGTACGAATCCAAGGTCCTCGGCGAAGCCAAAGTGCTGCAGCTCTTCGAGATCACGGTCAAGGGCAAGAAACTGAAGACGGTGGCGGGGTCCCGAGTGCTCAACGGCGTGCTGGATAAAACGAAGCAAGCCCGGGTGGTGCGCGATGGGAAGGTCATTCATGAGGGTCAGTTCTCCGAACTATCACCATTTGTCTGCAGCGCTGATGTGTTGCTTGCCAGGCACATTCGAAACGATGCGGCATTTCAAGAAGGATGTGGCCGAGCTGCGCAAGGGGACTGAGTGCGGTCTGAATCTGACAGAGTTCAACGACCTGCAAGTCGACGACGTAATACAGGGCTACGAGATCATAGAGAAGCCTGGAGTACTATAAAAGCTCTAAATGTTAAAAACACTAGATACATACATGGATGTGCTACGGTAATGCGATCTGCGAAGACGCCACCGAGGAGCCAGTGTACATGTAGGTCTGTGTCTGCGCACCGACTTGGTCGTAGGGAACGTATCCGTTGGGGTATCGCATTGGCGTGAAATAAGTGCCTGATCCAGGAGGGCCGTCGATGTCCGGCGTGTATCGGGGAACTGGGACCCGCTGCGGACTGCCGATGGTGCTGGCCTGTCTCCGGCTGCTCGTGCTGCGCGGAGAAAACGGAACAGGAGTGAAGTTGTTCGGATAGGGGGACGAGGTGTATTCTCCCTGGTATCCTACCTGGGGTGACGGGAATCCGGATTTTGGCGACTGGTATCCTCCCATAGGGGACAGATAACCTTCTTTGTTCGAGCCAGCCACGGACATAGCCATATTGGGCGCTGGTGTCATTCCAAAGTCCGCAACAGGATTGGTATTATTGTACCACGAGGCCCGGGACCCACCCGATCGCGGCCGTGGCGACGTTCTGGGCAGCGGACTGCCATATTCACTGGGCGGAAACCGATCTCTCGCGTTCCGCGGAATGAAATCGACCGTTACGCGGTCAGGTGCCACCCACGGCAGATCATTCACCGCCTGCAGGAATCGCTGAAATCGCTGCCAGAGCGACTCCGGACCTTCGGGAAGCGCATCCGAGTTCGGTTTCCCGTACCCTCCTTCCTGAGGAGGTCCCGGCCCCATCTGCGGGGTCCCGTATGCATAGTCTGCATATTGGTGGGGCATTTGCATGTCGTGATTCATGATAGTCGTCCCGTCATACTGCTCTTGCGTCGTGTGCACCGTCTCCGAGACAGACGAATCCGACTCCTGCCTCGTGTGCGGTGGGATGTCCTGGTCAACATAGCGTTCCCCAGAGACGCGATCAAGTTGGGATGTTGGAGATGCGTATCGCTGGCTGGGGACAGGCGTCGAGTACACCCCATGCCGATACACCTGAGAGTGCGTCGGCGTCGGCTCCTGCTCCTCAGGTATCGTCTCGATATCGTAGTAGTGCCCTTCCATATCCGCCCTCGGTACAGCCGCATAGTCTCCTTCTGGCCCGTCCTCATACACGACGGCAGGGTCGGGATACGCGATCCCCGAGTCCCGCACAGGCTGGGACACACCCGCCTTCTGCTGTGCCCAGTTCTTGAGGTTCCCAACGAAGCCGCCGACGAATCTTCGGCGAGCGGGGGCGATCTCTGGCTGTTCAGTTTCGCCGCCTGCGTCGAAAGCCCCGATGCGCGGGTCGAGATTGATGGCCGTGGAGGGATCGTGGAGGTTGGGAGGAATTGTCGCAGGTTCAGAGGGTCCTTCGTAATCAGGCTGGTCGATGTGGGCACCGCCGGAGAAAGGACGGATTCGTTGGCGTCGTGGGGAGGAACGGGACCGGGAGGAAGACGATCTGTGGACCGAGGAACGCGGTGCCCGAGGCGATGAGATTTGCATCTTGTGGATGTGCCAGAAAGCAAGACGCAGGGAGTCTGCTGCAGGGCCCCGTTCAACCCACCACTCGCGTCATGCATCATGCGTGTGCATCATCCCCAAGGCACAGCACCGCCACAGTATCCGTTCGCTTGCTTTAGCCTTCACTCGGTCCCCTGCGTTCTGTCACAGCCCAGCCTCGAGGCTATTCAAGGCCTGCTCAGTTGGCGAGCAGGCCTTTTCATTCCCACACCATGTCGGCGACCGAGGACTCCGACTCCAGAGCTTCATCGCCCAGTCTGCTCGCACCCACGCTCTCGACGTCGACCAATTTCGTGCACGAGGCTATCCTGGCGCCATCCTCAGAGGGCTCCGAATGCGAAGGGACCCCCATCCTACCGTGGCGCACCGGAGCAGACACTCTACCTCAGGACACCCCGCCAGTGTATCTGGGCGCGACAGACAGCGACAGCGATCCTCCAGCAGGCACCACCGTTCTGGGCGTGCGGCGGTATACCAAGAAACGCGTGAGAGTGCGCAGGAAACGGTACACGGTCATAGAGGAAGATGGAATCAGTGTGTTCTCCGTCTCACGCTCCGTGCTGTTTACGATTCAACGCGTGCAGGTCGCGACTTTTTCCTGATCTTGGTCCTCTGTTTCGTGTTCGCCTGTTTGCTGGTCCTCTCCGCGCGCCCCTTCGCCCTTGAAATGGTCTGGTACATGGAAGACCCATAGCGACATGCTCAGGCAGCATTGTATTTCGGCAACCAGGAACTAAATGAAGCGCTATCTACTCCTCGTATATCCGCACGCCTCCCCCTCCCCATTTCAACATGACTGCACTCCCCTTGCTTGTGGGCTGTGTGAATGCTATTTGGCCCTGGCGCGGATCCAACGGGCATCCATACACGAACGTCTCTGCTGCGGCATCTAGCAGCTTGCTTGCCACTCCTTGTCGTCGGTGTGCCGAGGAAACGAAGAGCCGCGGAATCCCGAGAGGCGTTGGGAGGGCCTCGCGATAGCACGATACGGCCTCGCCCATTGGTATCAGATCAGAGTCGGATGCCGTGGGCGGCGCGATTGCCATGGCGGTAGAGATTTGTTGTGCGATGACGCAACCAACAATCGTCTCGCGTGTCCCCGTTACACTCGGAACAAGCAGCAGATACGCCTTGGATGCCTGTAGAATCGCCGGGGTCAAATCAGGCGCGGATAGCGCGAGGTTGATAGTTTTCAGCAGCGTTGCCAACTGGACATTTATAAATCACCCGGACACTCTTAGAATGTATCATAGTAGACGGACCTTGGAACCAATCTTCCCGCCCACATCCGCCTTGAAGTAGATAATCCGCGCGCGATTTCCGCCACGCAAGGTCATGCCCGGCAGCTCGATGACCCCCGCCCTGCCCACCTCCCGCTCCTCCTCCCTCCCCCACTCCATGCCCTTCTGCACGCGCACGCAGTGGGACTTGTGCAGCGCCTCGTCATCGGCCGCGCCCTTCATGTAAGAGAGCGAGCAGAGCGGGCACGCGCGCAGGACCGGCTGGTCGATGCAGAAGTGAAGCTGCGTGAGCGTCTTGGGCGCCTTGGCTTTGCTCTTCGATGTCGCCGCGTGCCTCGATGTGGATTTGAATAGAGATGTGCGCGGGGTCTTGGGCTCCGGGGCGTCGCCCAGCGCGTCAGCGCGTTTCCGTTTCTCGCCCGTGGCGGGCGAGGAGGACGCAGCGAGCGGAGAAGTGGGAGGCGAGGAGAGCGTGGACCGCGATGTGCGTTTCGAGCCGTACGTTCTCTTCACAGTCAGAGACATGGCTCGTGCGTAGTGTGGTGTGTGTATACAGTATACAAATGAAGCGCGTGTGTATTGTTGGTTGTTTACGTGTAATGTCAATATAACGTGATTTGATGTACAACTATTCGATTGGTTCCCAAACAGTGACGGTCGACGCAAAGCCGTTGTTGTTGTCGGCCTGGTTGACGATACCGGCGCCATCGACGCTGATTTGATATGTGCTGGCAACGGTGGCCATGCTGTATATGTACACAGAAGAATCCTTGCTGATGCTGAGGATGTGGCTTTGACAGTTGCGCGTTTGCAAACAGTCTTGGCTGTAGTTTGAGTAGAACGAGTATAAACCGGCGCCTAAAAATTGTTTCACAAGCCATGCTACCAGCCTGGTAAAATCGGTCACGCACCGAATATTAAAATATTCTTTGACCCCGTTACGAGCACCGCCCAAGCCATATTAATCCCAGGAGGGAAGACAGGATCTCCATAGACCGCAGAAGTATGGAATGGAAAGGGGAGTGGGATTTTATACGGCTGGAAATATGGCTAGAAAGCGCTGTTACTGGGGAAGATTCGATCATGGGCAGAAATCGAACATACTATCTCTGTTTGGACGAGTCCCATGTAATGATTCTGGGCGTTTCGGAGCAGGTATTGATAGAGCGTAAAGTGCTCCGCTGAAACAATTGAGAAGGGAAGTTCAACTGAGAACAAGATGGCAACCCACAAGCTTTAGACGAATTTAATCCACCGCGTAAGCGACGCAGAAAACCAACGGGCACACTCACCTGTTCCGATCATCCACACAGGACCCTGCGATTCCGAAAGAATCCCTCGCCCGCTGAAGATAGTCAGCTGCGTCTCGAGTTTATCGTCGAGACCATGATCTGCCGTCCAGACCCAAAGCCCCTGGAGGCACATTCGAGTTGTCAGCCCTCAGTCTTCCGCACTAGCGAACTGCTCAACTTCGAAATATCCCGTAGACTGGGGCGTGAGATGCAACGCCATGAACGCAGCCGTGCAGTTCAGTTCGGGACTCTCCGGAAGGCATTGGGCGGTCTCGAGATTGGTCCCTGCCGCTGCGACACGAATGAACCGTGAGAAAAAGAAGAAAAATAAGGATTTGTGGAGCAAACGACTGACATCCGCCGAGCCGAATATGGGTGTCCCAAGTTCCGGCGGAGCCCTGTTCGCTCTGTTTGATGTTCCATTCCAAGACGATCGCTCCGGCGGCTGTGTGGATTCTCAGTGTCGACACTAGCAGAACGAAGCACAGATACGCACCAGGGCCAGCAGTCGTGAATACGATATCTGTAATCTCCATTACCCCCACCGATCCAGGCTCTCCCGCCCGGACCATGACAGTGGGATTGTTCTGGTCCTGGAACGCCGGTCCCGAGCCAGATATAATCGACCACGCCTCGCCGACGATCCTGGATCCCGCGGGCAGGGTCAGCGTCGACGTGATGTTGTATGCCCCCGCATCAAAGAAGATGATTTTCGAGGTGGCGTACTGAAGATACAGTCAAGCATCAGATAAGATAAGATTCAAAAAATGAGATCTGATCACTTTGTCGAGAACCGCCTGGAGAGCTTGCGTGTCGTCCGCCTTGCCGTCTCCGACCGCACCGTGGTCTCGCACGCTGACAAAGTCCGTGACGGGATGGTCCTCGTACTGCGGATGGACCCTCCCGAATATTCTGCCTTGGGAATCAAGCAACGACGCGGCCTTGGGCGGAGCGCTGACGTAATCCTGTTGAAATGCTCCCGTGGAATTGGTACCTGAGAATTTGTTGCCTTGCGCCCACGAGTCGATGTGCATCTTCGAAGCGGGAGCACCGGCAAGAACCACCTCGCCGCCGACAACAGCGACGGCATCTGTGACATTGTGGAGGTCGATGTTGTTCAGGACCAGCGACCCGACGAGGGTGCCGTTGCTGGGCACCGCAGTCCGAAGGAAGATGGGCGTGTCCTGGACTGTGACATCGATGATGGCCTCTGCGCCGACCCCCTAGCGTTCGATGATCAGATGAGTCACTGCGATGCAACCAAAAAAAAAATCCACATTGAGCAAGTCGAAACCGATCCCACAATTGGTGATCTGCACCCCTTGGAACGTCCAGCCTGGTGCACAACTGTTAGGAGCCAAGAAGTGGAGCAGGCATTGATTTTAATCACCCCAGTTCCAGACACCCTGAATGGCAGTTTGTGCATTGCTGATCGAGACATTTCGCACTGTGAACCTGGTGACATCCTAATCAGGAAGGTGGTCGGTTGGCTATTCGGCGCAAACGCTCACTGTTGATTTCCCACCCACATTCCGAATTTGCCTGGGAACGAACGTTCAGTGATCTTCATACGGCACAGAGGTCCGGCGCACCTCCGTGGAATACAAGATCTCCCATGAACCCACCGCTGCCGTTCTCCATCCAAATTCCTGTGCATCAATCGCATGAGGCGCAACCCTCCTGACCGTATCGAAACCACTCACCCTGGTGAGCCGTGTTCGGATCCTCGGACATGAGAAAGAGGATATTCATCAGGAGGTGCTCTGAGCGACCTGCCAGTGGATCCCCGTCCCGCTCGATGTAGCAGGCACGCTAAGCGCGCCGATCGCGCGTGAGCCCCTGGCCCAAGACCCTGCGACAGATAAAGTCTCACCGTCGGACATCGATCACAAAATTTCGGCTGTACCGGCGCGGCGCATTCAGTCGCAAGCTGCGCAGGACATGGATCTCACCCACACCGAGCGGAAACTATGTAAGCGAGAGATCAGGGGTTATGCTCGCGGCTCCGAGTGTGGAAGAAGACTTGCAAGTTGTTTTGGTTCTTGTACCATTGGCCGAATGCAGTGTAGGGGTCCGCATCTGTCAGAGTCTAGTGCGTCGCCGGATGCAGTTGGAGACGAACGGACCGATCACAGCAATGTCGTGAACGAAGCCGCGGCGAGGAGGGTGGGCGGATCTTTCGGGTTTCCGATGAGCTGGGTGTGATAGTAGGCGATGATCGACTGGGACACGAGATATGTTCTGTGCACAGAACGTTCGGAATGAGACCACACAGACAGACGGAAATCCGACATACCCGCTGGGGAAGTAGACCAGCGCAGGCGTGATTCTGCGGCCGAGATTTAGCCATGGTGGGGCTCAAAATAGATCCCGAGAGACAGCCCACGTCGAGGAGCTGCAGTTCCCATCTCCGCACCGATTTCCGAACGAAACAGCAGCCCTGCATTGCGCAAGTTGATGAGAAGGTCAGACGCCACGCGCGAATATCTAGGAGGTATGTACCGGATAGCCGCAGTGTCGTCGGCGATGCCTGAGAGCATCAGGCGTCAATCCTGGACAAGATCGGCGCCAAGCGCATCGCATCAGGAGCTCACCGTCGCCTACGGCCCCAAAGTCCTTCACGTTGCGGAACACGGTGTAGTTGGCGTCGCTGTTGTACGCCGAGCGGCCCTGGTGCTTGATCGCCTCGAGCCAGAACGTCGCGTTCGTGCTAGGGGATGAGGATATCCGCGGAAGAATCAGTCTCCGGGAGTGCACTCGCAGAAGCCAAAGGGAACCCAGCCGCAATGCCCACGATGATCAGCGCGAGCTTCATGGTGGTAGAGAGAACGAAGGAGGGGAAGGAGGAGGAGCAAGGGATCGAAGCGCGAGAGGTTGGTTTTAAAGTAAGCAAGGACCATGTACCTCTGATCAGACTCGCCGCTGGCAGACACTGGCGTTGGCGTGTGGTTCCTCGATTGCCATCCTTATTTGGGCGTTATTCGGGGCACACGCGGGTGGCACCAAGCGCACTTGATGGCCAGGATCCCTGAATCCGGTGACGCAGGAGGTTCTTCATCGGAGAGCACGGCCACGGTGGTTTCAGACGGACTTCAAGTAAGTAGTCGGACTAGCCAGAATAAGCGATTGTAACATGTCGGCATCTCCCGATCATTCTTGCCGTGACAAATCCGGCCCGTGCATACGCTACTTAGCCAAGTTCAATCCGCATGACTACTTACTATTACTACTTGTCCGCCAATTCCAGCCTTCCCTGCAGTCCTCCCACCAGAGCCTCGACCTCGAGCTCGCTTTCGGCTACTTTGAGTTTGCGAAGATAGGGACGAATGGCCGCCTCGTCGCGCGACTTGAGAACCAAACGCTGAAGATGAGCGGCCCCGGTTATTTTAGCCTGCTCAAAGTTCGCGAGCAGGTGGAGCATGCTGGGCTGGCACTCGGCAAGAAATTTTTCGATGGTGGCGCGTCCGAAGTCGGGTCCATCGGGGGCACGCTGATTCTCGCGCGACGGTTTGGGTACCCTGATAGTAAGCGGAGGCCCAGTGCGGGAGTTCTTCTTGCGTAGTATCAGTAGTATAAGAAACCACTCCGGTCGGATGCACGAGTCCCAATTCAAACACCCACCTTGTCCTGAGTACGACGCGCTGCAGCGTCATCCCCCGCCGACTTGCACATGAGATAGCAGGCCCCGTACCGCTGGAGATGGTGCAACAACTCGATCTCGCGCTCGCACTTGCCGAGTAAATCCGGGAACGCCCGCACGCTCTTCTCAAGGCTCCGTCACATCATCCCTCGACTACACGCAGCAGCAGCAGCAGCTGGCACCCACCTCGTGCACGAATCTGTCCAGGTTCCCCGGTTGCGCACCCACCCCCGGCGCAAAGTCAAAACACTCGTCCGCGATCCCCGCGAGCCTTTCCTGTGCCGGCCGGGCAGCGTGAGTGACCGACCGACCGACCGACCGCGCGCCGCTTCTGCGTACGGCTAACGGCGCTCACCTTCACCGCAGCGAACTGGTCCCGGCGACTCGGATCGCGCAGGCCGACTGCAGACTGCAGCGCATCGGAGGCGTAGTCGAAGACGTGTTGGCGCGCCGCGGAGGCGGAGGCGGAGTCGGAGCGCGAGCTCGAAGATTCGAGAGTCGAGCGCAGAAGCATAGCAAGAGAGAAAAACAAGTTGGGAAGTTCGAAAACCGTGGGTTGAATTCCTAAAATCGAACTCCACCTCACGTGATCCGTTTTCCTTTTTCCGTAGATCTGCGATGGCTAGCAGCAGGACTAAGGAGGGTTCGATTATGCAGTAATTAGCGATAAAAATGATAAAGATAGTAGCGTCAAGTTGGTTAATTGTAAATAAACACACTCTACGGGCTCCACGACGTGACCGTAGCGGCAAATCCGTTCAAGTTCGCAGCGTGGTTGATCACGCCCGCGCCGTTCACGCTGAGCTGTAACGTCGACCCGACGGTCGACAGGCTGTAGATGTTGACGGACGACGCCGAGTCGATGTTGACGACTTGGTTCTGGCAGTTGGACGGCGTCAGACACGTTTGCGAGTAGCTCTGCAGTAACGGCAGCAGTCAGTGGCATGGCCCAAGGAGGGACAGAAGAAGAAAGTCAGCGCACGTTGTAGAAGCTGTAGAATCCGGCGCCAAAGACAAGGATGTTCGAGGAGCCGGTCACGCTGAGAGCCCAGGCGGAGGTGGTCCCAGAGAAGGACGGATCGTGGAACGCGCTGTTGAGCGTGAACGGTCCAGGAACGACGGGGGTCGGCTGGTAGTACGGCTGGAGAAGACAAGTCAGAGCATGACATCATCCGTTCGCCATGAGCACACACCGTCTCCGTCTGCAACAAGCCCATGTAGTGGTTCTTCGCCCCCACGAGATTGAACTGGTACAGAGTGTGGTGCTCGGCCGCAGCGCCGATCATCCACACGGGACCGGCGGACTCGGAGAGGACACCGCGGCCACTGTACAGCGTCAGCTGGGAGTAGCCGTCGCCCTCCATCTCGTGATCCGCGAGCCAAGCCCATGTTCCCTGTGCGAAGACCTGAGCTGCCGGATAGTATCATGCGGTGTGTCGCTCACCTCGAGGTACGCGGAGGAGCCCGCCGTCAGATGCAGTGCGAGGAAGGCCGCGTAGCAGTTCGGCGATCCGCCGGTGGCCGAGCATTGCGCCAGCTCGAGGTTGGTTCCGGCCGCTGGAGACCAGTCAGTTGCGATCACATGCAGCACAAACACACACAGACGCACCTCCGCCCAACCGGATGTGCGAGTCCCACATGCCAACGCTGCCCTGTGTGGACTCGTGGACGTTCCACTCGACGACGATCGCGCCGGGCGCCGGGCCGACCGTGGAGAAGATGATGTCCGTGATCTCCATGATTCCGGACGAGCCGGGCGCACCGACTTGCACGACGACTTGGGGGTTGTTCATGTCGGCGAACGCCGGTCCCTTTCCGGCGATGACCGACCAGCCTTCTCCGACGACCTGGGATCCTGCGGGGATCCGCAGCGTGGACGTGACGATGTATGTCCCGGCGTCGACGAAGATGATCTTGCAGCCCGCGAACTATGTGTGTCGTCCGTCGTCAGTCACTCAGCCACCAGATGTGGACTCAAACGCACAGTGTCAAAGACAGATTGCAACGCGGCTGTGTCGTCTGAGACGCCGTCGCCCTTTGCGCCGTGGTCCTTCACGCTGACTATCTGGGACAGCGCATAGCCGATGTACTGCGGATGTCCGCGCCCGTAGACGCGGCCGGCACTGTCCAGCAGAGCAGCAGGCTTCGCCGGCGCGGGGATGCTGCCCTGCGTGAACGTCCCGGCCCCGTTTCCGTGGTACACGTTGCCCTGTGCCCACGAATCAATCGTCATCGAGCCCGCGCTGCCCGCCAAAACGACTGCGCCGCCGACAACACCGACGGCCGTGGGGACGTTGGTCAGCTTGATGTTGTTAAGGACGAGAGACCCGGCATCGATCACGGCGCCGTGGCTGGCTGTCGAGGTGCGCAGGAAGATCGGCGTGTTGATCGCGACGGCGTCGATGATGGCCTCCGCACCGACCGTCTGTGCCCCGCTTCCGTTCCCGGTAGCCAGATCAAACCCGACTTGGCAGTTCGAGATCGTGACCGTCTGGAACGTCCAGCCCCAGTTCCAAGCCCCGAAGATCGCAGTCTGCACGCCGTTAAACGTGACATTGCGCACAGTAAATCTGGGTGCAAGGATTAGCCCCGACATCGACAATCCCGCTGGCACTCAAACTCACTGCTGGTTCCCGACCCACATCCCGTACTTTCCACCGTTAAAGACCAAGTCGCCCATGAACCCCCGCTGCCGTTCTCCATCCAGATGCCCTGGTGCGCCGTGTTCGGCGCGTTCGACATGTTGATGACAATGTTCATCAGCGACGTCGACTGGGACACCTGCCAGTGGATCCCCGTGCCTTGAGCCACAGTCGGTGGAACGCGCGTCAGGTCGATCACAAAGTTGCGCACAGAGCGGAAGCTGGGTCAGGTCGAATCGGTCTCCGATACATAGCAAAGACGGCGAAGAACGCACAAGTTGTTCTGGTTGACGTAGTACTGGGCTCCTCCGCCGCCGGGGATGTAGGGATCAGCATCGATGACCGCCAGAGCCGAGAAAGAGGGAGCAGCAAGCAGCGTGGGGGCTCAACGGCATCTCCGATCAGCCTGGTGGAATGATGAGAGCGGAGTCATTGAAGAGAACGTTGCGCACTGAGTGTAATAGAATGGGATGATGGAGTCCGAGACCAGATAGATCCTACGCGGTGTCAGATCATGCCTGAAGAGATGAAAGAGCAGACTCACCCCTTGGGGAAGAAGACTACCGCAGGAGACACCCTGCATCGGAGAATTCAGACTGGATGCACAAGAAACAATCCCTCAGCTTACGTGCTTGAGTTGCAGCCCCGCCCGCATCGTCCTCCAGCGGCGATCGCAGCACTGTATCCTATTAGCACGAGAAAAGCTTGGGAAGAAAACCTCGGATCCGACGCACTTGATCGCTGCAAAAGTGGTCAGCAATCAGATCCGCCGCACAGAAAAAGCGAAACCAAACTGACCAGCGGTATCATCGTGCACCCCGTCGCCGATGGCGCCGTAGTCCCTGACGTTGCGGTACACCGGATACGTCGCCGGGCTGGGATTGAACGCAGCGATGCCCTGGTGCCTGATCGTCTGCAGCCAGAAAGCGTCTCTCGGGTTGGCCCTGTCGGACATTCAGCGACGAACGAAAACGGATTCCGGGCGAGTCGACATACGTTCCCGCGCCGAGAGGAGCACTGCACGACGAGCCCAGGGAGCGCACCCCGTTCAGCGCGCCGAGCGCAAGGCTGGCTGCGAACAAAAGCGTCGAAAACATGATGCACTTCTCGCCCGGCGCGCCAGCTCTTTATACCGGGGCCCCAGCTCAGGGAGATCGACCGGAACGGGCCCACGCGAGCCCACGTGGCGTGGAGCGTCGATGTTGTTGTTGTGTTGTGGTGGCGAGACGAACAGCGTCCGGTGACCCTGACGAGCAGAAGCCAGGACAGCCCAGGTTCAGATTATCCGAGAAGCCACGTTGCGCACACTCAGCTGAGTGTGTCGCTGCTCGATCGGGCTGCAGAAAAATGGAACCATCGATGCGTCACATGCCGCGTCGAGATGGTGCGCGCGTAACATGGTCGATACGGCCCATCGCCAAGTTCGGCGATATCTAGCGCGTTGAATCTGCTATCATCCCTGCGACCCGATCTGGGTATCCCTGAGTCCCTGAGACCACCGAACCCAGATCCAGATGCAGGACCTTAGAGCCAGAGGCGATGCAGGGGGAGGGGCATGCGCGCAGAGCACCCCAAGTAGATCGGGATCGACGAGGAACCCCGCACCGTGATGCCGTTGCCATGGCCGATGTAACTTACAGGACCCGAGCGCTGAGAGGATCTGCATGGGCGTTGAGAACGGCTCGAGTGTGCGCGGCGGCCGCCACGTGTCGCTACGCAACCAACGGCGACTCACCCATCCGCCCAGGAGAAATGGCGCGTGGACGTACGGAAGCGAGCGCGGACAAGAAGAGAAGAAGGATTGCATCAGCGGACGACCCTTCCATCGTCGACGACCACTTTATTCACATGGGTGATGCCGGGCATGTATGTACATAGCGCTTGCGACGAACGACCACAGGGACATCATGCTGTTGACACAATAACCCGCTCGCAATGTCGATGTTGGTTGCACCGGCAAGATGGCCATGGAGTGTGAAGACATGACGAGCGAGATGATGACGTCCAGCTTTCTTACGGGTCGACGCCAATGTGCATTGCGAGGGTCTAGCACGAGAATCAACAGGAACCAGAGTAGAACCGCCAGTAACTTGAAGCATCGACTTGATGACGTCATCTGCATACCGCCCACAGTTCGGATGTCACAATCATGTGACTATCTCAGCGACCTCGATCTTCGCCGTGCACCTCCAGTGGCGTTGTCATCCTGTGATATTTCGATTCTCGCATCAAATTTCGGGTGGCTGGGGGAAAATCCTCGGCTGGAGTGGGATCGACGAACACATACGAATTCAGAGGCTGGGCCGTCTCCGCTCTCTTCCAGCGCAGGATCGGTTTCAATCAGGTGTGATACACAGTCTACTCTATGCCCCAAGGGTGTCGGCCGACTCCAAGTAACCCTTCCAGTAGCCGTCTCCATAGGAGAGAAAGAGCTCTTGTCCGCGCTGGATTTTTTTCGCTGAGGCGCTCCATCAGACATCTACGAGCCTGCCGGTCAGATGGCCATGCTTTGATTTGACTCACTGGTTGCGATGAGCAGCCGCACCTCGCCCTCCACCTTGAGCTCTATGAACCGAGATGGGCCCCATTCAACGATCGCATAAATCGGAGAACCCACTGAGTGCGACACAATTGGCCTCGTCTGCTCCTTTCCGCGGCCTGCGACCGAACGGGTGTGGATCGTTGAGGAAACGCGTCGTATTACCCAGGGCCCGCGCTTCATAGAACAGATTATCATCGTCGTCGGCTCCAAACTGGTAATTCGATCTGAGGTGGTCGTTCATGACCCCACCAGCGCTGCAAACCGATGAGCAGGTGCTCGGCCAAGAAACCTGAAAACGCACGCAATCTTTCCTTCCATTCCCAGGTCTGCGGGAGACAGAAGTTCGCCGAGGTATTCTGAGCGTCATTGGCTCCGGAGCAGGACACGGAGAGTTAACAGGGGACGCTAACCTCCAATTGCGTCGCCCGCTTCGAGGTCTTCGCCAGCATATGCACCAAGCTCGTATTTGGATCTTCTCACCACGACATCCTGCAGCAGCGTCAGGCCTTGCCGTCGGAGGTTTCCTCCTCACCTTGAAATCACCGCGCTGCAAACGCACGTTCTTGCAGCATATGCCGCGGTGCCAACTGGTGTCTTGCGACTCTCTGTGCCCGCGTTGGTGTCACGCTGTTTCAACTAGGCAGGTGCACCCACCTCGCATGGCAATGGGTGCAAAGCTCGGGGTCGCATTCCTGGCCTGCTTTGACGCAGAGGCATTCCATTCCTTCACACGATTGGTGTCCCTGTTTCTTGGCACTGCAACTCTTGTTACACCCCGGCCATCGAAGCAAGCCTGTCACGAGTGGGTCAGTGGGTGAGTGTCCTTCTCCGGTCATCGAAACAGGCTGACAGGAGTCACTGCATTGACAGTTTCTTTCGCAGCGCACGTTGTGAGAGATGCAGGAGCACAAGTCTATGTTTTCTGGCGAGCACGGTCCCTGATGATTGCATGGAACGAGGCTGCGGAGAAACTCATTCTAAACTGATGGAAAGGCTGTGATGCAGTGTTCTTACTTGGACTTGAGGTGTCGGTCCTTCACCAACCCTGAACCCGAATAAGCACGACGACCGTTGAACAGTGAGGAGACACCAGCACTAACTCTTCCTTCTGTTAAGAATCGGCGCCATCTCTGTAGACTTTTCCCTGGAATGTGAAGGCTGAGTAATTTGGTTGTCGTCGAATTTCGTCTTCCGATAAGCAAAGACCTAGCAAAATAATCCAACTCCGTTCCATTACTCCGAAATGCACTGGCACACTCACCTCACGGCACGGCAGTTGGCAGATAGTGGCCAGATGACACGGCAGAGAGTCCGGTGAAATTTCAAGGATCGTCTTCAACACCGAATAGCGTGGATCGTCGAGATCACAGTCGATATCCTGAAATACGTTTAGCTTGCGGGAGCTTTCGGACCAAACGAGACAAGATATGCAGATCATTCCATCCGCGTCATCGCAAGAAAAGCAGACGTTGCATTCTGGGACACTCTCGAGCTCTAGTAGCTCATCGCTGGAAAGGCACGGAAATTGGTTTTGGCGCAGACACGATACTATCCCCCTCTCCGGTTGAACTGGAGCCAAACATGAGCCAACAACTTGGCCCCCTTAGAGCCGCTCGTGCTTACTGTGGACTCGACAATAGTGCATATTGCAGCTTCTGTTCGGGCAAAAGTAGCTGTAGCCATTACTCAGCAAAGCCTTCGAGTCCGTCGCTTCAGGGATCCAGCGCATCAAGTCCACAGGCAGCTGCTCTCTATCGCACCATCGACTGCCGTTTGACGAGACGAGAGGCATGTCTCTGGAACAAACTGGTAGTCGGTGTCGCTGAGGATTCCACGGAAGTAGATTTTTTCACCTTCTTACTGTAGAGCTCCGAAGCAGCCGAGGCACTTCCAGTCCCAGCTCCTGAAACAGCCCATCAATGGCCTGAGCAGTCCGAAACCCGTGGATAACATAGAGCCGTCGCGCCAGTTCCATATGAACCGCCTCGTCTGAAAAGACGTGAGCCCGATGTCCCTCCACTCCAGCCGGTCGATCTACCGTCGGGATCGTCCTGGTGCACGATCCACTGCGGATCTTGCGAAAACGAATCGACGTATGAGCGTTGGAACTCACACTCCAGCCTGCGGTGGTCGTCCGCTGATTGACGCTGCGTGCGGGGAAGGGTGGGCAGGAAGGGCGCGCTGAAGCTGTCGACCCCACGCGGTGTGCAGTTTCGTGCAGCGGGGGTGCAGAACCGGTACGCTGGATGCGCCTCGAAGGGCTCCTTCGGGCGGTCCGCTACGCATGCCGCTCGCGAATATTCCAGCACTTGGCTATCGGCATCCAGGTCCCAGCACTCGATCGCTGCATCAGAGTGGTCCGCCCACTCTTGCGAGTCGCGAGGGAGTCGAGGCAGGTGGGCCGCGAGATTCTCCATTCCACGATAGCCTCCTGTCGTGGCACCCCGGCCGGCGGACAGCTCATCCAAGCGTCCGGCGCAGAAGTCGCTTTTCCACGCGTAGAATTCCGAGGTCACCTCTTCCAGTACATCTCCGGCGATCGTATCAGAGCCATCCAGCTCCCTGGTCTCCATCGTGAAAAGCAGCAGAACACGAGATGACCAAAAAAGGAAAGGGGCCAAATAACCCACAGCCAACCACCGTGGAGTCTGTCCTCCATTTTCCTCGCGCAGATTACAGGGAATACAACACCATAAATACAGTTATCGATAAATTAATCGAGACTATACATCGGGATTCTCACACAGCGTCTCTAAAAAGACCTTCAAGTCAGCTTGATTGATCTCCAGCACGCTCGTGTCGAAAGACCCGTGGCGGGTCCGCGCGTTGCACCTCTCCTTCGCATCCAGAAACGACAGACCAAACTCGCTTCAGTGATGTCAGCAAACAGAGGTTCTGCCGAGAGAGAGAGAGAGCAAACCGAGAACGCACTTTTTGCGAACATCACCAAAGTCCAGCGCAGCCACCACTCCAACGACCATGTAGGACTCGTGTGCCTCCCGCAGGCACGCTACGACGAAGGGCAGACTCTTCCGCTTGGATCGGGAGCTAGCATTCATCCCGGGAAGATGATCGCGCAGGGCGTCCACCAGCCACAGCGCCAGCCGAGAGAGTATCCCAGGGTGGGCGAACAGCGCTAGATGGGGTCCCTGGGACAGCACAACAACACGATGATTCCGCATCGTCTTGATATCCTGCTTGTCGATTATGGACGTGCCCTGATCGATGATGGCGCGCTGCACCGTCATCGACAGGCTCAACGCTTGGCGGAGCGAATTCACACTACGAACAGTCAGCGAAAAGAGGCAGGCCGGAATGAATCTGCTCACTTTCCAAGAGCGTCGAATGCTGTCCAAAAGTTTTTCACCCACCACTGAAGCTCACGGGGCCCGTCGACGTTCTCCTCGCCGTCGAACTCGTCGAACCCATCCCCGATCCCTTTAGGCTTAGATGCGGTCGATTGGCCGTTCGGTGGTATATTCTCCCTCTCTTCCCGTCGCTTCCGCTCGTTATCGCGTTCCAGTCCAGGGGCTTCCCACAATCGTCCTCCCCCAAACCACTCCCCACCATTCCTGGCGCCTTCAACCTCGACCTCCAGTCGATGCCCGCCAGCCACATCCAATAAAGCACTGATGCCCTCAGCTGCGTCCGCAGCCGATAGCGGTTGCGAGCGGAATCCATAGCATTTCATGAAGGATGGATATGAGAGCTCGACCATACCGTATTCCGGTGCGATGTCGCTTAGCTTCTCAGTCAGAGACTTCTTCAGATCCATGTCCATGTGTGGATAGGGTTGCTGTGTTTGGAGGATTGAGAATCTGGATCCATGTTAAGATGCGGAGACGAAGTCAGGATCAAGGCACGCACCCCATCTTTGCTAACAACCCTGATAGTCTCTTCCGCCCGCGTTCCTTCCAGATGCCCAGCTTGCTGGCGACATAGCTCGAATGGAGCATTGCATCGTAGAGATTCCAATGTCGGAATAGCATGAAACGGAGTTCTTCCGTCGTTCGGACACTAAGGTCATCTGGATTCAGCCCGATCAAGCCATTCTCTCCGTCTGTCGGCACCGGATTCAGTCGGAAAACTTCGTCGTGGTATAATTGATGAAGATTATCGTAAGTTGTGCGTGGTATTCGTGATGTCGTGTATTGGAACGTCAATCCCAATATTGCAAGCCTAGTCACAATGAGCATTTGGGGGGAACAAGGGGGAAAGGACCGTACCAGAGAAGGTCATTATCCACGCGATCGAGATGGCTGGCGAGAATAAAAATGGTCCCCGCCGCACTCTGCCCGTGCCATGTACCTGCCATGTAATGTTTTTCTAGTCGTAATGAGTGTGCATCGTATTCGTCGTGCGTCATCCGACGTGGTCTCTGTAAAAGCCGAGTGAGAGGATTTCCATGCGTGAAGAATACTACTGACGTTCTCCTTGTCCAATCGTTGTCGTTTTCCGCTAACGCGTTCGCCGTCACCTAATGACCGCCGCTTGCCACTCGTTTGTTCGTATTCTTCATCTTCACCTTCGGCCTCGTTGTCGTCCTCATCCTCATTATCAAGCTCCTCATCCTCCTCATCAGAATCTGGCGGAGGCTCGTACTGTGTGACGAGGTCAGCCCAAGTCTGAGGTATCGCGCAGACAGCGACGGACCGTCAAGGCCTCCCAAGCCTTGCGCTCCTCCTCCAGTTCATCCGCCCCGCCATCGTCCCAAATTTGTATCCGCTCCCTATTATCCCCTCCTCCGAATAAACTGGATAGGTTGTATGGTCGCGCCGAATCGATGACGTGAACGGTAACCCCCGCATGGAAGGCCCCGAACCACTCCTCTGATGGCAAGTCAAGAATGGATCCCATATTTAGGAGGACCAAAGTATGCAGCTACATCATGCGTGAGGACTGAACGCCAGGACCGGCCGACCTCCACGTACCTCTGTCAGCTCGAGCAGCTCGTCCCGCTCTCGTTCCAGGTCTGATACACCGGACACTGGTATTATACGATAGGTCACGTCGTCGTGGTTGAATAGCGCGGCGAGCATGCGAGAGGCACACAGGGCGTCCACATCGGGGGCAACGAGGATGATGACGGACGCGGCAGACGTGAGCGGCGACTGGCGGTGCGCCTTGAGGATTTTGGAGTATGCGTGACCGTAGGATGGCCGGGACGCCGCGAGCTGGGGTGGAGGCAGGTATACCATGCCTGCACTTTCGCAGGAATCGGAGTGGGATAAACAGCCAACGTGACTGTGACAACGCGTCAAAAGTTCACGTGTGCGTGCCACGACGCGGAGCAAGATAAGATTAGATACGATTCTGCTACCCTAAACGTGTTCTCTTCCTGCCATTTCCAGCGGCACCGGCATGCCCCGCGCTCGGCACGACATACGGACCCCCGCCGCTCAAACTAGTGGAACTGCCGGGTTTCGACTGCGAGTTGCCATTGAATGGCGCTGCGGCAACAGGTACCATCGAGGGAGCTTCGTCAGAGGTGATCCTCCTATGAGGTGGTATCTGCTGTGGTGCAGCCTGGAAAGCACTGGGACCACTCATCAGTTGGGTTCGGTTTGGAAGGGAACTTTCACTAACTTCCACGTAGGATAAGGCTCTTCGTGGAACCATTTGTGCTGCAGTGCCTGTTTTGCTGTGAGACGCTTGTCGGGATCGTATACGAACAGCTCTTTCAAGAGCTCGTAGCCATTTTGTGAGCGGACACGGGACTGGCACCAGTCGTATAGACGGTTCGAGAAGCTAAAGACGGTCATCGTCACTTCTAATCCGATAAGAAGCCACCAACTAGTCGAGGCGCTTCATATTCTGATACTCAAGCATGTCCCTCACCCCAGACCAATCCTGGTCTGTGAGACTGGGTCAGTACACGATTGACAGCAGAGAGGTAATTCATACCATCTGGAGTCCCTAGCACCTCGAAGATCTTGAGGAGCTGGTCTCTCTGGAACGGGACGTTCTTCTTCGAATCCAGCTTGGCCTCGTCGCCCTTGAAAATCGGGCGCAGGCTCGCCAATTCTGCCATGACACATCCGACGGCCCAACAATCGATGGCCTTATTGTAGTGTTTAGCACCCATGAGAAGCTCTGGCGCCCGATACCAGATGGTCACCACCACCTTGTCCCCGGCGAAAAGTGGCTGAAGTGGTTGGTAGATCAGTCGCGCGAGCCCCAGATCCCCGATCTTCACGACCCCGGCGGAGTTGATCAGGATGTTGGCTGGCTTGAGGTCCCGGTGGAGGATATGGCATGAGTGGAGGTAGACCAGGCCGTTGAACAGCTGGTAGATGAGCGACTTGAGAACAGGGAGCGATATGGGTGTGCGCAGACTTGTGGCATGATGTTGGATCACTTGCTACACTTGGTCAACAGTACTGTCTATTGGATTAAATGACACGACTTGCCAAAAAGTCATGTTCCGCAAACTCAAACACCATGAAGATTGACTTGTCCTCGAGAATCACTTCCTTGAGCGCGACAATGTTCTCATGGTTGATCTCGCGGTTGAGCTACAGATATGAGATCATTGAAATGTCTTCGGAGAATACAAAGTGCGTACTGCAATCTCTCGGATGGCACTCTGGCTGATCCCAGTGTAGGTGGCGACTTCACCCTCCTTGTCTGGCTTGAACTTCTTGATCGCATATATTTTGGGAGGGTCCTCGTCACCAAGACTTCGAGCTTTGTAGACGCGACCATACGTTCCCGAAGAGATGAACCCTTGGATCTCATATTTGGAGACGACAGCTCGGTGCGAGACGTCCCGTTTCCTGCGGTACACGTTCATGGGATCATTCTGTATCTGGTCCGTGGCCCAGTCAAGCGGGCTGTTTCCCGACGAGGAGTACATGATTCCCTATCAGATGTTCTTTAGCGAGTAATCATAAATGGCCTCACAGCCATTGGGAAGCCAATCGGCCTGGTTTCAGCGTGGGCGATTGAAGCGTCGGTCGGTTTAGTCAGCCATCATGCATCATCGATCATCGACCGGCAACTCCCACCATTTCCTTCTCATCTCGTTATGCGACCGTCTCTTGTTGTTCGCGGGGCACGGGCCGTCTCGGACGCCATCGTCACCTCCCAACCGTTCAAACGGGCACAATTTGGTCTCTTCCAGGGAAAGACCAAGCAATACGGCAACAATGTTCCATTTTCCCTGCGCAAAACTCGTCGTACATGGCTGCCCAACGTACAACGCAAACGGCTTTTCTCCGAGAGCATGCAGGACTTTGTCAGAGTGAAACTGACAACGGCCGCTTTGAAGACGGTGAAGAAGGCACGTCTGGCATCCGCTCTGTGTTCGAGCTTGCTCGTTGACTTCGAGGATTGCAGAAGGGTGGAATAGACAACTACGTGATACAGACGGGCTCAGAGACACTTGGCTTCAAGGGGATGCAGATACGACAACGGGTCCGAGACGCTCAGGCACGAAATGCTGAGAGCGAGGCTGCAGCGCAGGCATCCACGTCGAAGCCCGCCCCAACCCCTTCTCGAGCTGCGACATTTGACCCGATGGAGAGCAGGCGCTCCGCGCTGAAATTCGTTCGGCACACGAGACGGCTCGCTGCCAAGGCGCTGGGTCTGACGGGCTTTGCTTCGTGCGTACACCACCGCAAGCGCGCGGCCGTGTGCTAACCTCGCTTTCAGGGCAAAGGACACGATAAATTACATGAAGGAGCAGAAACTCAAACAGGATCGTTTGCTACCACGCAGGACACCGCAGGTCATACCCGTATAAGTAAATCTCGCGTAACTTACATATGGGAGCTGTTTTGCATTCTGCACTAGAAAATCCTTGGATCCCGTTTTTAGGGTCCTTTCGGTCGGAATAAACACCGTTCTTCACAACACACCAAGCAGTGGGGTGGTGGAAACCTGAAGGAGAACGAAGTAAGTCAAAGCCGATGTTGAGTTGTAAAGTACTCAAACGAGACAGTTTCGGTGCTCATCGGCCGAACCGACCCTATTTGCTACCTAGTTGACCTTGTCCGCATATTGAAACGGAATTTCCATGCATCACCTTCCTCGCGCTCGTTTGCTTTGAATGACAAGCACAGGGTCCTTCTTGCTTTTCTTTCTGATTCGAGGATACTGCCGGTTTCCGCTTCTCTTTGTGGCCAGCTCGTATCCTCGGCTAGTCCTAGCCAAATCCCGTTGGATATCCTGACACCCAGAATTCTCCAACCGGGCCAAGAGATCGAATGCGTGTCGTGCTATCTGCTCCTGAAATCGATGTATTCGTGTCAAGTGCATTGTAATCGGGGGCTCCTCTGATCTGTTGTTCGTATTGTCCGATGCGAACTGGACACATTCCTGAGCTGGACTCTAGAGTCGCACCAAAGCACAGTGCTGGACGGACCGGCTATCCCCCACATGGTATTCAATTTGATCGTGGCTAGATATCCATCCTGCAGCATTCGAAACTCTTTCAGGCTGTGATCATTACCAGTTCAACTGGATGTGCGAAACGCTCCATTTATACCCCTAGATCAAAGCAACCAATCTTGTTTTTGCGATCGCCTTTTGCTTGCCCTTCAGCGTGAACTCTTGAACATTCTCGGTGGCAGAAGATGAAGAGCGGGCAGTCGTACTGAATGACACTACCGCCGGTTGCAGGGAGATCAGCTGCATATCGTTACGACTCGGAGGGCACGTTGACCTCCACAAGAGGCAAGGATCTGGGCGGGAGTGCTCACTTTGCTTGTGATTAGATCAAAAGAACCGCTTCACACGGCATGTTATTTACTACAGACTTGCTGGATTGTGATGACTGCGGATGGAGCCGCTCATCTGTTGTCCGCCATACCCGTCGGTCTAGCTGTTGCCATCGGCAAGGCGCTACCGGGACAGTCAAGCCGGTTGGGTCCAACACAATTGAAGAGGCCGCAGTCTGCCACAGACGAGTGGAGGATTCTTTTGAGATCACATCTGGCCTGAGAATAACGTTGAAAATGTCTCGTAGCTAATGATGAGGACGCATCTCAGAAAACACCTAATCCATCAATTCCCGATGCGATATGCGATTAGAGAAAAGTATATCAATGTATGCCTGTCAGACGGTGAGGGTATCTTGGACGTAGAGTATGTGTGTGCTAACTAATGATAGGAATGACTCGGCCAGCAGGTAGGAGAATGAAAGGGCCGCTTATGATGCGGGGACTGCAGCCTCGGTCTCGGGTTGCTTGGTGCTGGCGCTCGAGTCCTTCCTCCTCACCAGCTTTTTCAAGCTAGCCATGCTCATGGACTTCTTGTGAGACTTCTTCGTCTTGGCCGCGGAGTCATCTGCACCAGGCACGTCGACTACGACCGCCGACCCAACCGACTCCGCTACACTCTCAGCATCGGTATCCACACCCAACTCAAAGTCGCCGTCAAGCTCGTCCTCTGACGGGGAGACACCCGCAAAGCCTCCACCGCCAACAAGTCGAACAGTGACATCAGCATCCTGCGACTCTTCCGGAACTTCGACAAGTTCTGGGCTCCCGTCTTCAGAAATAGGCACTTCCGTGTCGACTAACTGGGCCTCTGCGGAAGAAGGCTCGCTCTCCACAGTGGACGGAGTCTCCGCAGCGGATGGAGTTTCTATAGTTGGTTGGACGGGCAAGGTGTCCACGAGGAGATCCGAGTCCGCTTCTGTGTTAACGAGCAGATCCGCTATCGGTGCAATGGGTGGCGCTGTCGGAACCGGCGTCGGCTCTGCCTTCGGCGGAGGAATAGGGGCCGTCCTGCCTGCAGACAAGGGATCCCCAGGCAGTTCTTGCATGCCCAATCCACGGCCCGACTCCAAGTCATCATCGTAGAAGGCAGAATGCGGTGATTCCGATGGAGACGGTGGAATGTCGATGTCATTTTGAGTGGGTAAATCCACAGGAAGCGGGGCAGGCGGTGGGGGAGGTCTGCTGACGCTAATTGTGGGCACCGAAGGTCGGCCATTGACCGGCGTAAGAGATTCATCCTGCTCCTCTTTGATCGCGGGTGTTTCGAGCGTGGAAACCTCAGAAACGGTCATCTTCTGGGAAAACGATCAGACGTTGACGATAGCAGCCGGAACAGAAAAATCACCTGTTTATCCTCAATGGGGGGTTCAATAGGTTCGGTAATGACACCCATCTCCATCCACTTGCGATAGCTGCGGTCCGCCCAGGCTTCCAAAACATTCCAGCCCCGATATTCGCCAGCCAGTTTGAGACCTCCAGCGGCCCCATTGTCACCCCCTCCGTCGCCTTGCCCTCGACCGCTACCATCATAAAAGTAGCTTTCGTATCCGAGATCGTCTTCGTCTCCATCACTGTTGTCACCAGTACCGATCTCGAAGCCCTCGCCGTTCTCCAGGTCATCAACAAATGCGGCCAACCACTTCGCCCATCCTGAAACACCGTCACCTGGCCAAAGAACGATCTTGGTGTCAAAGTCCCGGCCAAATACGATCACTTGACCGGCAGCGCCTCCGCCATCAGGATTCAAGTCGACCCCTACATAGTTTCCGGCTTTGTCGGCGATGAGTGGGATCCAACCGCGTTGAGAGTATTCCTTTCTGACCCAGCCAGTCGGGATCGACTGCATGACCTCACGCAACTGAGGATTAGCGCCCGTGGTGGGGTCATCGTCGACCTCGCGCCAAAAGCGCCATTCATCATAGACGTCCTCCAATGGCAACAGCGTCAAACCAAAGAATAGACCCTGTGCACAACCGGCGGCTGACTCGGCTTCCTGTCCGTCCACAGCGAGGTAGGACTCCCGGACAACGCGTGGAAGATCGAAGCCAAATTGGACTTCGAGTTGAGCGAGGTCTTGAGGTAAAATGCCATAATTGAGTGTGTCGCCAAGTTCTGGGTATTCCCGTGCGAGCCATGCGCGCAAACGGTTCCATGTGACAGATAGCGGTGGATATGATGGCGTGTGCTGGGCGTCGTGGTGTGTGGGCAGGAGGGATGAACGCTGTGACCTGAGGCTACGTGGTTTTCAGTGCGCGGTTTCATACAGCCTGATTCAATGTAACGCACTTGGTGGGAACTGAGCCGTATACAGAGGAGCCATTGGACGTATTTTGCGGGGGGTACGTGTACGAAGGGCCCGCAGTGTCCGGACTTCTCAGAACGTCGGGATTGAATGCATCCTCTGGGTTATGAGCGCCAAATACGGGAGACGTAGTGCGAAGAGAAAAGGCATCGTGAGTTGAGTGGATAGCTTGCCCCCGACGAGAGTCGAGGTTTGGGGCCGGCGCAAATAGCGACGTGAACCAGCTCATCCTTGCGGTGGTCAAGGTCAATGCCAGGGTTGGAAGGGTCTCCACCACGCAGGCAACAGGGACAAACAGAGTCAACAGATCCGGTTTCCGAGATCAAATCAGGACCCCGGTCCCCGTTCCTACATCCATGCGCGCGAAGGGCGCATGGGCGAGATACTCGGCGTTCCATATGCCCTCGGCTGTAGAGGAATCGGCCTCAATGCAGCATCATTATCTGGGGCATTCCCAGATGCATATCATCCACCACTCTTCACAGCGGGACGTCTCGTTCAATTAAGTACTTGATACCTGATATGACCGTCTTGTACAGCAGATTATCATCGTCAATCCGCGGGTTACGTAGCATTCGGTACCTCGCTTTGAGCTCATTATGTATTGTGCGCTAGTCAGGGGTCGAACTGTTGACCACCACCACATCAACAAAGCATGCCCACGTGTAGAGCACGATCACGTTCAGCTTTTCCAGTTCAAGTCAAACTACACGCTCCTCCCCTTTGACTGTAGCATTCATGGGTCTCATCTCGTTCCTCCTCAACCCTTTCATCTCCATGAGCCCTGCGTGGTCGGACGACGATGACGTTGGGGGTGGGTTCGATATCGTGTACCCGTTGACCGCCTGCATCGCTCTGGGAATCTGGTTGGTCGTCGAACGGTATCGCAAGGCTCAATCTGCACCTGTAGTATTTGAATGGGCGCCGCCACCCGTACGTGAAATGCATGTATCTCATTACTCTCCTTGATGACAGCGACGCAGGCGGCTGAACCGACTTTCACGTCGTATAACATCCCTAACGCACACATCGAGTCGCACCGAGAAGACGAAAACGTGCGACCTGGGATCTCTGTCTCCGGTGCTAAATACATCACTTGCTTCGACCCGTCCACGGGCATGCATTTGGACACCATAAAAGCCGACAGTGAAGACGAAATCCGGCACAAGATCGAGCTGGCACAAAAGGCGCAAAAGTCGTGGCGCGAAACCACCTATGGACGGAGGCGGCGCGTGTTGCGAAGCTTGAACAAGTGGCTGGTGGAAAATCAGGAGATCTGCGCGCGTGTCGCCTGCCGTGACACTGGCAAAACATGTGCGTCATCTTCGCGCGAATAGTGGCCCTTAAACTAAGCCGACTTCAACCACAGTGGTGGATGCTGCCCTCGGGGAGATAATCACAACATGCTCCAAAATCAGCTGGCTCATTGAGCATGGTGAAGACGCTCTCCGACCCGAATCGCGTGCCGCAAATTTTCTGCTCTTCTATAAGCGATCTGAGGTTCACTATGATCCCCTGGGTGTCGTTGCTGGCATCGTTTCATGGAACTACCGTAATATCTGCTTGCTGTCGTGCGACTAGGCAAACTGACTATAACTTTTGTCTAGCTTTGCACAACGCCTGGTCCCCAATCATCGCCTCCATCTTTGCAGGCAACGCAGTCGTCTTGAAATGTTCCGAGAACGTTCTATGGTCTTCTCAATGGTTTGTTGGTGCCATTCGCAAGTGCCTATCGGTCTGTGGATACGAACAAGATCTGGTTCAACTCGTCTGCTGTCTTCCCGAGCAGGCAGATGCACTCACGCGTTCTCCCATCATTCGGCACATCACATTCATCGGCTCGGAGACAGTGGGACGCAAGGTGTGTGCAATCTATCTCATCTATTTCTCGCTGATGCATTCGTGCAGATCGCGATGGCGGCCACGGAGCATCTGACTCCTGTCACACTCGAACTCGGTGGAAAGGATCCAGCGGTCATTCTCGAGGGAACAGATCTGAACAAGTGGGCTAGCCTGTGGATGCGGGGGATTTTGTGCGTCGATATTGGCGCTTGGTCTTTCTGTGGAAATTGACACGTTTGCAGCCAAAATTCGGGTCAAAACTGCATCGGTATCGAACGTCTGATAGTGCATTCCTCCCAGTACGACGATCTGCATAATCTGTTGGAAGCACGTGCAGGAAAGCTGCGTCCAGGATCTGTGCTTTCACCGTCGGACGCAGGATTCATTCCCACCGTGGACAGCGGCGCCATGATCTCACGGGAGCGGTTCAGGAGCTTGGAGATGGTGATTGAGGAAGCTCGGGAAGGTGGCGCTCATGTACTGGGCGGTGGCGAGTATCACCACCCGGTGAATGTGCACGGGTTCTATTTCCAGGCTACGGTGGTGGGCCCTGTGACACCCGACATGCGAATCGCCAACGAAGAGTGTATGAGCCCTCTTTTTCTGATGTACCTTGCTGATGGCTGCCTCAGTGTTTGCTCCTGTTGCGACGTTGATTCCGTACGACACCCTCGATGAAGCGGTCGACATTGCCAATGGGACACGATATGCACTGGGCGCCAGTGTCTTCGGGCCCAGCCAGGATGTTTGTATGGAGGTCGCCAAGAGACTTGAATGTGGCATGGTCTCTGTGAACGACTTCGGAGTGTTCTATGTGAGTCCTGCCTGTTCTGATCGTCTCACGCGTCTGACGGCTTGGACAGCTCAAGTGAGTAAGTCTGGGGAGCAGGAGTGGGTCTGACATGTTCTACAGCCAAGACCTTCCTTTCGGTGGAGTCAAGTCCAGCGGTTATGGGCGATTTGGCGGCAAAGAGGGACTGAGGGCACTGACCAACCCGAAAGCGATTATGATCGACTACATGCCATCTGTGGTCCAGACACAGATCCCTCGCGTTCTAGACTATCCCCTCCGCTCTCTGGTGACTAGCTGGTATGTTTCGGCTTCCACTTTTGTTCATCGATCTCACTGCTGTCCAGGGAGTTTGTCAGTGGATTGATTACATTCGTGTACGGGGATGGATGGCGCCGTCGTCTCGCTGGTCTCGGACGACTCGTCAGGGCATCGAGGGCGTAGAAGAGGTTTCTTACCGCACTCGACTGTACCACTGACTCGATTCTTGAATACCACGTCTTCGGCGGGAGAACGGCCGGACACTTGCCTTGTCTGCGGATGTTGAGTGCCCTGAGCGAAGCGATGCATCCTCTGAACTCTCACAGTGCCACATTGTCTCGTCCCTGGACTTGTCAGAGCAGCGCAGTTGGACTGATGAATGGTGCAAACGCGCGAGAAAGTGGCCCAGCTGACTTCGAAGGCCGCTGTACCGACTCGTCGAAGAGAATGGAATTTGCCGAGGCTCAGGAGTGACGATGCTCTGCTGCGCCCCTCCAGCTCAAGTAAAATTATCTCTCGGCACCAGAGATTTCTGAGCCCGCGATCGGCTCTGTTATCGACTGAACAACAATAGGAACGTCCTTTCACAAGGGATACAGAACCTCTTGGACGCTCCATGTTTCTCGAGCGGCGGGCTACGACAGAAATGGACTGGTGCTTCCTGACCTGCGAGGTGAGAAACGTGCATGAGGTCCATGCATGTTTTCCCCGACAGACGTCTATTTGAGACCGTAACGAGAGAGTCTCAGCGATATAAAAGCGCGCTGGTCTCATTTCAAAACCCCAGTCCACCACAAACTCATAAACTCAAAACAACAGTGCGCAGTCCGCTGCCCACTTCTTCTGCTCACTGACTTTGCGCTGAGACCATGTCCGGAAACGCCAACTTGACCGGCAACGTCGCCATCGTCGGCGCCGACGGAAAATTCATGAAGGTCACTTCCAGCAACGGGCTTGAGTTCGGCAACCAACAGATGGACGACAATGCGCGATTCCAGGTGAAGCCGAGCAGCAACGGGAAGATCCAACTTGTCGGTACGTATCTGCCTGATTCATGCATGCCGTTTCCGCGGTCGACTCACCACCCGTCGGTGATGCAGGCCACAATGGAAAATACGTCAACATGTAAGCACGGGGTGGTCGATGCTGCAGAGCAGGGCTGATGACGCTGTGATTCAGGTACTACATCAACGGTGAGCATGTGTCGTAGATTAGAGCCTACTCGCTGATGTGCAAAGACGTCAAATGCGAGGGCCCTAGTGGTGAGTCGCGGGCCAGCATTCTGCCCTGAGTGCCACATCTCAATGCATCCGACAGGCGGCTTGGAGCTCGGAATCCTCTACCTGAAAGATGGCAAGGTCAATCTGACCGTCAGCGGCTACCAGGGACAAGACGGGCGCACGGCGTTCCTCTCCAGCCATGCCGGAAACGCCAGCTACAACGGATCTCTTGCGGTGCAGGACTTTGAGGATATCACTTGCCGCTTCACCGTCCAGAATCTGTGACCGGTTGCACGGAATGGGGCAATCAATCCGCGGGTCTAATAGTTTTGTAACATGTGTCATATAAGAAAAAGCTGCCGGAGCGCTCGCCCGATTATCAGGCATTCCGGATCTAGCCGAGAATATCCGAGCAAACCCGATCAGCTGAAGCTGTTCCTGTCTTCGAGAAAGTTCTGGATCCGCAAAAATACAGTAACTCAATAGCTAGTTCTGTGTCCGACGCCATCGCTGCTGCTAATCTTCAAGCTCTGACCTTTCCATGAGGACGTCCGCTGTGTGGATAACGTTCGGCTTTCCAAGATGGGCTTGAGAAAGTGGCAGGTCCAAAGCTGCTCAGGTAGCTCCCAGGACACATCCTTGGCCACAAGCGTGTCATTCGACGTCTTAAATGACACTCGACTTGACCTATTCGGAAGCTCCTCCCATTCACTGTCCATCTAGCCGGTGTTCTCGGCCGACTAGCCGCCATCCTAATGATCAAGTCAACTTCCTTTACTCTTTTTTGGAGCGCTTATTGCCCACCGCCCTTACTTATAGGGCAGAATCGACCGGGTAAGTCCACGACGGCTCTGACATGTCCCCCTCGCACTCGACCATTGAGAGCCTTGAAAGCGCATGGGCCGCACTCGTCGCCCTGTGCTTGCTTCTCGCAGTCGGCGCACTGTCCTTGCGGACGCGTCTCGCGCCCAAGGACAGCGAGACGATCCACCAGCTGGGGGGGCTTCCTCTGCTCTCTGCCTGGCTCTTTTTCACACAGCGGTATGATTTTTTGATCGATACCTTCAAGAAAACGGGCCAGAAGATGTTTCGGTTTCGGGTTCTGCAGGTATCCAGGCGTTCAAGCTTTACGGACCGTCGTCTGATCTTCTTGCCCAGTACCAGGTCGTAGCGCTCTCGGGAGAAGACGGACGCCGGTTCTTCTTTGGAGAACGTAACCTTAGTATGGAGGAAGGTTTCCGGATTCTCGGAGGACCCACTCCTAATCCGCGAGATATCAACATCGACACAATGACCGATGCCTCGGTGCCCTTCATCAAACACGTTCACACGCTCCTCCGCAAGGATCGCCTCGAGAACAGTGCGGATTCCGTGTGCTACCCGCCTTGGTCATGGGCTGACGCCGCTGCCTCCAGTGTTACCGGAGCTGCTCAAGGACACGCACCAGAGCATGCTCCGCCTGGGCTCCCGCGGACGACTGAATCCATTCGAGGACATGTACAATGTGAATTCCATGTTGTCCACCGGTCGACGCTGATTCCATTTCGTGCAGCTCGTCTTCCAGATGACAGTGCGGATGGCTACATGCCGTGAGCTCGCAGAAGAGCGATCCACGGTCAGCCGGCTTCTAGAGCTATTCGCGCTCCATGAGAAAACGAGTTCGCCGATATCCCTCCTATTTCCGTGGCTTCCCGGGAGATCGAAGCGGACGAAAGAAGCAGCCACGCGCGAATTGTTTGATATCTTGGCCCGCTATGTTTCGCTGCGGCGGAACGCGGTCGAGCCGTCCAGTGATGGCATCGACCTCCTGATGCAGGCTGGTTATGACGACACGACCAACATTTCGGTGCGTCAATTCTGCTTTGGTATGCTGAGCTTTTGGCGAATGAGGTCCCCGCTAGTATACGCTGGGTGTCATATTTGCGGGCGTGACGAACACAGGGATTAATGGTATGTGCTCCCCGAGAATCGCGGGCCGAACTGACACCCGCAGTCTGCTGGTGCCTCATCTATCTCGGCGCCCGTCCGGACTGGAAGGACAGGATCACTGCAGAAGTTCAACGCTTGCTTTCCCGATATGGAAACCCACTTGATCCGACGCACATCCAGTTTGCTGCCGTCCCACTGCATGCTTGGGAGGACGAGATGCCGATGCTCGAGACATTTCTGAAGGAGACAATGCGATTCACTATGGCTGGTACCGCGCTCAGGCGGAACGTGGGCACCAACATCGTCATCGCGAACTCGGGGAAGCAGATACGGCCCAAAGACTTTATCGCATATTCGCTCGGCGATGCACATTTCGACGCGGAAATCTATGAAGATCCGTTTGCTTTCGATCCCTCCAGATTTGAAGAACAGATTCGATCGCCCAAAGCTGTTTATCCCTTCCTCGGCTGGGGAGCTGGTGAGAAACTGCGATATCGCATCTGACCGCTCCCACATCTGAACAAACTTTTTCTGCAGGCCGTCATCCCTGTGCCGGAATGCGCGTCGCCAAACTTGAAATTAAAGTCGCCGTCGCCATGTTCTGTTCTCTTTTTACGTACGAGCTCGTCGACGCATCGGGAAAGTACCCGCGCTCGCTGCCTCGCCCAGACAGGAATGATCTACAAAACGTTCGTTGTCCCGCCTTTTGTCTAGAAATGCGCATTACCCACGCATGCTTCAACAGGCAAAACCTATTGGAGAACCATGTTATCTTAGTTACAAACGGATTGTTGAACCGTAATTTTAGCAATTTTACGCGACTAGTCACAGACCCCGTGATCCCAGATTGGAGTGACGTCATGCACACTTTCGACGGGAACTTCATTCACGACAGGCAAGCGTTTGTTTGTACAAATACGTCTCTCTTGTCTCTCACTATCAGGACATCCTACTAGCCGCTCTTTCATCCCACGTTCTTTTGTTTTTACGACCCCGCCACGATGCCATCCCTGCTCAGAACCCTCGCCATGTTGCTCATAGTTGTGTCTTCTACAGGTGTCCTGGCGTTTCAGCCGAACAACGTCGCTTTACCGTGCGATCTGAGTGCAGAGCAGTCGCATTCTTACGAGTCTTGTCGCGCTCTTGGAGCAACCTTCGAGACTCGCGCTCAGCGTGAAACCAGCGCCTCGGCGGCGCGTGAGCCCAGCAGGCTGACAAATGCAGAGCGGCTGGCACGACGTCTACCTCTCAAGCCACCGACCCGCCGATGTCAGCACACCTCTCGCCTTTTCAGATGTCCAGCAGTCCCCTGACCATTATGGATAACAGCCTCTGCTCGCCGCGCCGCGGCTTCAGCCCAAGCGGCTGCGCGGGGGTACATCCAAGTGTTTGCAGTTGATAACGCTGGTTCATTGGGTACGCCGCTCGGATTTGTGTCTTCGGGAACTCTGCGGGGTGCGCAGTATACCGTGGTGCCCGGGCGCGATGCAGCCCTTGTAGTCGCCCAGAATGGCGGTGGTCCGGGGCGGGCTGGCGAGTTGGTCACGCTGGTATGTGGAGTCGGGCTCTTTCGTCTGTCTATTATGCTGAGTGCAGACGGCTTAGAACTCGGACAGCCCGACGCCAGCATATCTCGGTCTCGTCCAAGGTAGAGACGACACCTCTTCCACGCTCAGTGCTGGGAGGAATGTGAACTATCTGTACTTGGCTTCTACTGAGCACAGTTCGTTCATTTCTCTTCCGCTCCGAGCGGCTCTGATCTGCGATTCCAGCTTCACCGAATGGAGGGCCCCAGAACGTTCGCAATTCGGTCAACAATGCCTTTGGCGGGCGAGGCCTGACCTCTGAAAGCGTTGTCGTATGTCAAGCTGTTCGACAGTCTGATAATTTGATGCTGACGTGCCCAGTGGACGACGGACTCTTCCACGAACGTCCTTTCTGCGCAATGGACTAACCCCGACGGATGTACGTGACTGGTTGCATTTTAGGCTTTACGAATTCAGGCTAACGCGCATATATTTACCTTAGCCCGTGCACCAACTGTGCCCTTTGTTCAGGGAGCTGCGATTTACTTTTCAGGCAATCCGCAGGCGTTCCAGCAGGCGTATCCCGCCCCAATCCGGAGAATCGTGCGTCTTGATTGGATGTCGCGTTTGAGGCCTCGCTAACACAGGTTATACATTCTAGGTGCTTGTATTTGTTCCGGCGTAGTGTAACCTTCTATACTTGGTCCCAGTGTACGTTGTGAGTGTATTGTGTGAGGATGTCATTTCCCGGACCAGATCGCATCACGATGCGTTTGTGTGAGTGTGTTTGACACCTATTCCATAACAGGTAATTCTACTCTTGACCCCAACCGTGACAAGCGATTCCGGCGTCGCGTCTTTTGTTCCTACTGCTTCTCGATTGACACACTATACGTTTCCACCTACGTATGGACCTCGTCGAACAGCGCATTGCGCAGTTACGGTGAGCTGTCAACTCCTTGTGTTTGCTTAGCGCTGGACCGCTAAGCGCTGGACAGGGAAATAGCAGACCGCAGGGATGCACTTCTACGGCAAATGTTTCGGATGATCAAGTGCCGTCGGAGCGCTGGGTTGGGGTCATTGTTAGGAGTTGGAGAGGGAGAGGAGGAGGAAGAGGAGGAAGAGGAGTCTGGCAAGCGGACGGCAGCGGGCACGGTGGGAGAAGGAGACGGGGATACAGACGAAGAGGAATTGAAGAGCTTCCTAGCCCGGTTCGATTTGTTCAAGAAGTGCGCACATCCCATATGTTGTTCCGCGGGGCTTGCAGATGTACTGATTTCTGTTTCTGTTTCTTCCACTGCTTTGCTTTTGCTGCTATCTGCTTGTACTCTATAGTCCTGAGACGGGGCGTATCGGCTACTTGGACCCCGGCGAATATGCGTATTTGTCTCCGAGCGAAGGCGACCAGGGTACAGACGCACTGGAGCAAGAGCACCCACGCGGAGAGCAGGATGTCGATGTTCGAGAGAGCTCCATACCGGCATTGTCGCCGCTCCCGAGCGAGGATGGGGATGATGTCGCAGAAAGAGACGAGGGAGAGCGACGAGAAGAACCAGAAGAAGACGAAGCTGTAGAACCCGAAGCGAAACCAGCAACACCGATTGAGCTCGTCACCCCGGCTCATGTTGATGAGCCCGAAGACCTAGAACCCGATACCCAGCTCAACAAACCGGTGCCCTCTCCTTCGCAGCAAACATCTCATGCTCCGACTCCGCGCGCACAGTCCCCATTGGAGCACTCCTCCCCACCGGATGCAACGGCTGCCGAACCTACACCTGGCGAGACACCTCCGAGACGGACGCCAACACCTGAGACTGTGCCCGTGGACTCAGACGACGAGCTGGATCTGATTGGGAGGCGCCCGGCGGTGGTGCCGATGGTTCCTCAAGACGAAGAGAAGGCTTCTACGCCAGTGGATGACGGGGACTTGGCAGAGGCAGAACGGATTGCGCTTGTTGGGGATACGACGAGCGATGAGGAGGAGGAGGAGGAGGAAGAAGAAGAGACGATGAACGTGCAGGTGGAGGAAGATGGTGACGGGGTGCCGGTTGCGGCGGACGACGGTGACGTTGAAGCTGAAGCTGCAGCTCCAGAGCCGGAGGTGGTGACAGAAGCAGCGCAGGCAGAAGACGAAGTACAGGAAGCGCCGCCGCCTGCGATGGACATGGATTTGTCGGACGCAGAGTCGATGGTCATTGACGATGATGACGAGGAAGTGGAAGAGGAAGTCCCAGGTCCACCCACAGTCCCGATACTCCCCCTGGCACCGCCGTCGCCAGTGATGACCCCTGTGCTAATCCAAGCGCCGCCGCCGAGCAAGGCTGGGGACGAGTATGTGTTCGGGATCAAGGAGGAAGAAGCCAAAGAGGAGGAGGAGGAGAAGGCGGCTATTGGGCTGACTACCAAAATCAACAACTACACGCTGCCGCCTGTACGGTATCTGCCGGCAGACAGTGTGCGGATGGGCAAGGGCCGTGGGAAGCAGCAGCGCAAGAAGGACAAAGACAAGAAGGACAGCACCTGGGTACCGATGGGTGTCAGCCGTTGGGGCGCCACTCTGCGTGCGAATCCGGTGCATGTCAGAGTCGCTCGCGCCGCCAAGTGTCTGGGGACCAAGGAGTGGAGTGTGAGTTGTCTGATCTGATCTCACTGCATCTAATCTCATAATCTCATCTAATCGCAGATCGCAATGACGGAACTGCGACTGGTACGTGCGCTGGACCAAATCGACACGCTCAAAGAGGCCGGACGGTGGAGCTTCCGCCAGCCAAAGAAGCAGCGGGGCGTGGGCGGGCTGGGCAAGACGCACTGGGACTACGTTATGGACGAGGCACGCTGGATGCGCATTGACTTTCGCGAGGAACGCAGATGGAAGCTGGCGATGGCATACCATCTGAGCACTGCAGTGCTGGAGTGGCATGCCTGTCGGGATGCCGAGGAGCGGGTCAAAGCCGGGGTCTGTGTTGGCTGGCGCCGACCCGTCGAGCCGGACGAAGGCGACGACGCGGGGATGCCGTCAGTCGAGTCGCAGCTGTTGGGCGGCGTAGACTATGGCTCCGATGAGGACGAGGACGAGGATGCCGATGCCAAGGGCGCAGAATCGACGGTCAAGACGGAGCAAGTGGACGAACAGCTGGCACTCAAGGCCCCAGCGAATACCAAGAAGATATTTGCGCCCCTGCGCGAGTACGTGACCTATTCCGACAAGATGGTTTTGAACAGCGAGGATTTGAAGCGGGTTCTCCCGGGTGTGGAAACACTTCCCAGCGATATTGGGGAGGCGTTTCCAGATGTTCCTGTGTTCTCGCTGCCTGCTGTCAGCACGCCCCCTGTACCGAACAACAATAAAAAGTCGGAAAAACGCGGTGACCGGGACGACCCGAACAAGCGGGTGGAAGAAACCACTTACACCAAGCTGTTCCCTATCGGGACATTCATGCATGTCAAGCCAACACTGCTTGGACCGCTGCAGCCGGCCAAACGATGGGCCCACGGGACCTGGATCCCTGCCGAGGATAGCGTCGCTGCGAATGAGGGCCTTGGGAGTGATGGCAAGGAGTGTTTCAGTGGTATGTCGTGGATTGTTGTATCGTCTCCAGCTGTTTCAAGTGTGACCAGATCTATTCCGGGGAGCACCGCCGCCGCACACAGCGTTGCCGCCACCCTCAAACAACCCACCGCGGCGAATATGGACGCAGGGAGACGACTCTCTGTTGCGGTCACTAGCAGAACGGTACCCCGGCAACTGGATGCTGATCGCCGAGTGCTTCAACTCGGCCCGCGTGACCATCCGCAGTGACCGACGGTCCGGCAGAGAGTGTGCTGACCGGTGGCGCGAGCTCAGCGACGCAGTCAAGACAGCAGCGACACCGACACCCGAATCGGCGGCGGGCAGCGATCCTGCGGGGACAATGACGACGCGTGGTGTGAAACGGCTTGCGAGCGTGTCTGTATCTGGGCCGGAGGGTAGTGCCAGCAGCAACAAGCGGCGGCGACACCAGTATCTGCAAGAGTCCATCCGCAAGCTTGCCAAGAAACGCATCGAGCAGAACCAGAAAACACTAGCGAACCAGCGCAAACAGCCCGGGATGCATGAGACGCATGCACAGTTCAATCGCTTGCCCAAGCGGAGTCCGGCAGAGCTCAGTCGCATCAAGGCGGATCGAGACCAGAAAGATCAGCAGGAGCTGATGGCCCGTAGGAAACAAGATGAGATTGTGAGAGCGAGGATGGCCGGCAGCAGCAGCAGCAGCAGCAGAGTCCACAGCAGACACAGTCCCAGCCAGCGCCACAGCACAGCAGCAGCAGCAGCAGGCATCGGCTCAACAACAACCCGTACAACAGCAACAACAACCAGCAGCAGCAGCAGCAGCAGCAAACTCAACAACAGCCAGTTCGTATCTAATCGAATCTAATCGAATGAATGATCTCATCATCCTGCAGACAGCGGCACAGGTGTTGCAGCAGCAGCAAGTGCAGCAGTTACAACAGCTCCAGCAGCAGCAGCAACGCATCAACGCAGCTGCTGCTGCTGCCGCCGTCAATCGGGGGAACGGCAACGCCAGCACCGCCAACAATCCGCCAGCGGCGACGAACCAACCGCGCTTGAATCCGAATAATCAGACTCGGATTACACTCCAGCAGCAACAACAGATTTTGGCGCAGCAGCGCATGGCGGCAGCGGCACACCAGCAACAGCAGCTGATGCGCACGACTACAGCCAGTCCTCGTCCCCCGGGCCAACAACAGCCCAACCAAACACAGCAACAAGCCACAGCGCCGCCCCAGGCAGCGGCAGCAACGTCGACTGCAGCAGGTCGAGGACCGTACATGAACATGAATGTAGTCCAGGGGCTCCAGTATTCTCCAGAGCAGCTGCAGCAGATGGTGTGCACTCTCTTTTCCCGATGTTTACGGACCTTTTAACTTGTCTACAGATCGCACAGATGCAGCAGAACCAACATCGGTAGAGTGTAGTGTACGCATGTATGTGTATTTCCTGTAATAATCCTATGTAGAAGTGGTCTGCGGCAAGTGTTGGTCGTAACCTGCTTCGATGAGCCGCTGTCCGGCCGCCCACACATCAGCTGGGATATCCTGTGCGATCTGGAATCCCAGCGCAGCGTACTCGCGGATGCGCACCAGGTCGCCGACCATCACATTCACTACCAAATCACGCGGATTCTCCGCGTCGGGATACTCTGCCCAGTCCAGTGGCGGGCTGGTCACCTGGATCTGAATCTCGCTCCCAGGCCACTGCTTTACGAACGTCGCGTACGTCCGGCGCTCCATGTACGGCTTCTGGACCAGTATCACGCGGCGGATCCCTGCAAGCAGACCCGCGTCCCGCAGCAGGGCGTGTGTCAGCCGCACGTTCTCGCCCGTGTTGCACGAGTGCGGCTCAAGCAGGATCGCGCTGTCCGGAACACCCAGGCTGCGCGCGACCGCCGCGAACGCCGCAGCCTCGGAGGCCGCGAATCTGCCCGCGGTGAGCGCGCCGACGCCGCCGGAGAAGACGAGCAGCGGCGCAAGGCCGGCGAGGTACAGCTGCGCCGCGTGGTGCGCGACGCGTGTGTCGAGCGAGCAGAGCACGAGCAGCGCGTCGCTGGGCGTGGGCGTCTCGTGCAGCCTGTGGTAGTCGTACACGAGCGCTGCGTCCGCGTCGAGCGGGTCTGGGGCGGTGGGAGTGCTCATGGTCCAAGCTCGGGAACTGCCGCGAGGCGAGCTGATCAGGATCACGATGATACCCGCGCTGTACTACTACTTTCGCACCCCGGTGCATTACGTCAAGGCCCTCGCGCTGCAGGAGCACATCCATGCGCGCCAGCTCGCGGCGCGCACAGGCCCGGACCGCACCCCAGACATCCTCCTCGTCCTGCAGCACCCACCAGTGTACACCGCCGGCCGCCGCCACGGGCCTGAGGGACCGCACCCCGCGGGGCTAGAGCTCGTGCGCACCGCGCGCGGCGGCGCCCCGACGTACCACGGGCCCGGCCAGCTCGCTCTGTACCCGCTCCTCGACCTGACACGGCCCCGGCCGTCGTCCGCGTCCCGAGCCCCGATATCCGCCCAGGCGTATGTCTGCGCCCTGCACAAGGCCCTCCAGACGCATCTCCGCAGCGCGCACGGCATTGCGTCCGCGAACACACACACGGGCGTCACTGTCGACGCGCGCCAGATCGCGAGCGTCGGCGTGCAGGTGCGCCGCGGCCTCACGACGCATGGCGCGGCGCTCAATGTCACGCGCGAGCCGCTCGCTTGGCTAGGAGGAGACAGGCACACGTCCGTGGAGAGCGTGGTGGGGCGGACTGTGGACGTCGAGCGTGAGGTGGCGGGGCTCGCGGGTTCACTCGGCGAGGCGCTGGAGCGCGATTTCGCGCCGATGGACTTGGCGCATGAGGGCGCCGTGGGAGCGGCGATCGCAGCGACGGATGAGAGCTCTAATCATATACTTGAATGGTAATACTACAAGGGACGAGGCGTGAATGCGAGCAGAGTGAAATGCAAGTACGACGATATATATCTAAATAACGAAACCACTATATCCGGGAGGGGCCCGAAACCGACCTCGACCCTGAGGACCGCGGGGCCTGCTGAGTCTGACGCTTGACCAGGGCTTCGAGCTTGACACGCTGCTTGCGGATATCGTCGTCTTTGAGCTTGACAGACAGCGTCAGGGAGATGAAGGCGTCAGGATTTGCCGGCAGCCAGGTTGGGGGAATGGGATTGCGGAGGATGTTCATGAGCGCATCCTGGTTGATCGACTCGAGCAGCCGCCGGCGCGTGCATTGGAACAACGCGAGACAGACCCGGAAAAGGAAAGGAATGCCTAGCGCAGGTCAGATTTCACTGACTGTCAGGCCACCATTCGACTCACCCTCAAACAGGAACAGGTCCCAGACACGGTTGAGGTATTCAAGAGGCAGGATGTCAACAAATAGCGTTGTGAACCTGGACAAAGCTCATTCAGCACGGTTCGGACAGACAAAACGACCGCGACTTACCACGGACGACACAAGTCGACGGGATTGACACCCATGTCTACCAGCAACTTCTTTGCCACCTGAGGATCGTTGGCCTCGAGTGTCTTGGCCAACAAGGACGCGTCGACCTCGAGCTGAGTCGTGTTGACGGAGAAGTACGGTCGGATGTACGAGTCCATGATCGACACAAATATCCAGAACGCATCCTCCTCGGGCGACAGCGCGACCAGTGGCCAGCGATGAGCGTGAGGCCGACAGAGTACTCGACGTCCGGACCATGGTCAGATATGCCTGGAGCAACGAGACGACAGCGAGCTGGTGCGCCTGGACTTGCGGGTGCTCGATCGAACACCGCGCTACATCGCGCTCGACCCCAGCCAGCGCAGCAGGGCGGGCACGCTTTCCCAACTGGGCATAGACACCCGGGATCGCCTTGCCCTTTCCGTCGGTCAGGTGCGACCAGACCAGGAACCGGACAGAAGACGGCACGGCCCCCTCCGTGAGCAGTTTCTTGATCTTCTTGCTCTTTTTGGCCTGCGCGGGGAGCACCGTGCCCATCAGAGCGACCCACTTGAGCTCCCGCTGGCGGTGGGCGTCAACCGAGGCCTCCGTCGACGCGGTCTGTGACGACGACGAGAACGACATCGCCGGGCTGTCTGTCCGCCGGTAGGCCTCGCTGAGTGCAGAAGTCCGCCCATCGAAACTCGGCCCTGCATCCCGGCCTAGCGACGAATCCTCGCTGCTCCGCCCGGAGCCCAACTGCAACTGCGCCAGGTTGGGGCGGATCAGCTCAAAGTCCATGTCCTGGACCTGCATCGTGTCGAGCTCCGATCGAGAGTCGCTGCTGTTCTGCCGAGTCGGGTTCCGCCGCAGATTCGGCAGCGACAGCTTGTTCCGCAGCGAGTCCCGGCCTAGCCCAGGTGACATCGTCCCTTGCTCAGTCTGGTCCAGCGACGGCCGGTCGTTGTTGGGCTCGACCACAACACTGGCTGCTGATTTAGGAACAGAGGAGGGCGGCGGCGGCGGTGGAGGCGGCTTCTGCGCAAGAGGCGAGCCACTCAGTGGGCTTCCCGGTGGACGCATCCCTCCAAACAGCGTGTTGTTGTGCGGAAGAGACAGCGGCGACGGAGCATGCGATGAACGCAGCGAGCTGCGCGACCCGTGTTTGCCGAGTGAAGGCGAAGGCGCTGGCTGAGCGGATGCACCAGACGAGGGCGCGCTAGATATCGAAAGCGAGGTTTTGTGAGGTCCCTTCTCTACTTCCGGAAGTCTGTCGATGTGCGATTAGTGACGACACGCTGATGAGCCAATGAATCACGCACCCAGGAGGAGGAGCAGAACTGGAATCAAATCCACTGAAACTCCTTGACCTCGGTCGAGCCGTGCCTGCTCGCGGTGTGAAGTTGGGTCTCGATAGTACAGCCGGTTTGTCCACAGCGAGCAGCGGTAAGCTCGACGGCGGCACGTTCGGTGATGTCAGAGGTGGCGAGGATGCCGCTTTGATGGGCTGCGGCCGACTGTGCGGAGGCGCTCTGACTTGCGGAGGAGCAGAGACCGAGGGCGGGACCACCCCATTCCGGAATGGCAACTGGCTCGGCAAAGGCGGCGGTGGATCGATGGTAAACACAATCCTGACGGGCCCCGTGGAACTCGACAAATCGATATCCGTCCTACCGTATATCGTAGGCATAATCCTCGTCACAGTCGACCGCCCGATGGACATCCGGATCACATTGTTCACGTTTTCGCCCGCCGGCGGTGGCTGCTGCTGCGGTAACGGCGGGGTCCGAATGTACATCGGGCCTTCCGGTGCGCCGGTTGCTGTGGGAGGAGCTTTCGGCGCATTCGGATGGGGCAGGAACAGACTCGTCCGCGGGCCAGGGGCAGCAGCGTCGTATCCTCGAAGCTCAGACAGCGATGGTCGTGGTCGATGGTGCGACTGAGGCGACGGAACTTGGCTAGCAGGCGGAGTCGATGTCTCGGGGGACGATATAGCCTCGGGCGACGAAGCCGGCAGCGGAGAGAGTGGGCTATTGATCCACATGGACGAATTCGCTTGAGAGGGCGGCGAGAGAGCATCCTCGATGACCAGCGGAGCAGGCGCATCCGGCTTACTCACTGTCACGTCCTCGTCATTGTCAACATCGTCTTCAACAACAGGATCGTTCGCGAGTTCGTCTTCTGGGCTCTTCCGCAGCTGAGTCGGGCTGGCTGGCTCTAGCTCCAGTGCCCGTCCGATCGGGCTGGCGGCACTTCCAGACGGGGAAGAGACGAAGAACGACGACTGCCCAGGTGCAGAGGACGTCGGCGGCGACTCCGAGCTGACCGGACTCCCCCACCGTGTGTGCAGCAGCGGCGACGGTTCCCCCTTGTTAAGTTCTAGTTGTGCTGGTATCCTCAAAACCCGGTCGTCGGCCGATGCATGTCCGAGTAACGTGTCTTCGGCCGAATTGGACTGCTGGGGTGACGACGAGCGGGATTCCTGGGTGTACACAGATGCGTCAGAGTCCGATACAGCATCGATGACTTCCGCGACGCTCGGGGCTTGGTCATGTTCCGCCTCCGATTCTCGTGTCTGTGTCGTGATCTCGGGCTGCGGAACAGGTGGGACGATGGTGTGATTCAGATTCGAAGGGGCCCGGTGGGAACTCTGCGAGAATCTCCGCGACATCTTGCCCGAGGCAAAGGTCGACGTCGACGACCTTGGGTTGGTAGAGAACCTCGAGAACCGGTAGTAGTCGTCATAGATTGAGCCCCCATCCCAGTCCTCTGAAGTCCGCGGGACGGTCCGACTGGCGTTCGACATGTCACTCTGCCGGCGCGACGGCGAACCAGTGTTGCTCTTCGTGGGGGCGAAAGATGCCCGTTTTTCGTCGTCCTCATCAGACGAGTCGTCGCCCATGTCGTCGTCAACAAGCCCCTGCAGCAACGAAAGCCCGATCCCAACTTCGCCATCCTCCGACCCATGAAGCGACGGCGCAACGACAGACAACCGGCTCGAGTCCTCCTCGTCATTAACCGATGCAGCGTACAATCGCGAGCCTCGTGCAGAGCGTGCATCGTCCGCTGCTTCTTCGAGTTCGTGTTTTGATTCGCGGTGCTCATGCACGTCCAACTCCGGCTCCGGCTCCGGCTCAGAAAGCGACGAGAACCGCCTGGTCTCGTCATTTTGGTCCTCGCTGCCGTATTCTGACGCCGAGTCCGACTCTTCGAAATGCATCGGTTCATCGGTCACAGGTGCTCGAGGAAGTGGCGAATAAAGCGGCTGGAATGGCGACGGCGGGACGGACCCTGCAGAATTCAACTTGACCACTTGCAGCGGGAGCGTGCCACCCAGATGCGTCCAGTTCGGACCCGCATAATCCACCTCTTGACCGCTGTCGCTGCTGCTCGACGCTGGCCTAGCATGATCCTCCTCTTCCTCCTCGCCCTCGCCTTCTTCGGGTGGCCCGATAGCCAACGCCAGTCGCGAGCTGTTGATCGGTTTCCTTGACAACGCAGACGACGGCGAGGAAACCGGCCACATTTCCACGGTCGTGGTCTCCGACCTTCTGTTGCGACCTCCACTAGGCAGATCATCCTTCTCGTCTTCCCCCTCGCCGTCATCGACACTGGAAGCGACGGAAACCACCTGCGTGCTGCTCCGCGCGCTGATGTTCGTTTCCATCGACAGACCCGAAACGGATGTATCGATCGACTTTAACGGCATCGGGTACGTAGGATCCTCGTGATCGGATGTGGGCGAGTAGACCGTGGCGGGGGTGTCGGGCACGGCGGCGGAGGAGATGGAGGACAGGGAGGAGGACAGGGAGGTCGCCGTCGACTCCGAATGGGACGCCGAGACAGCCATCGAGGAGAAACTGGTGCTCGCAGGCACGGCATCTTCCGAGAATGCCCTGTCCGTATCCGGTTGATACTTCAATGGTGGCTGCGACTGCGGACTGGGGGGAGTAGAGGTGTACGCTGGCGACCTGGGACTGGAACCCGTGCTATGCGAGAACCCATGGCTGAACGAAGTTGATGGGGTCGGGCTGCGCGCGGCAGAGATGGATGGCGTGGGCGTCGCCTTTCCCGACGCAGGTACCGAGGATCGTTTCGTCATGACAGGTTTCTTGAGCTTGGAATGAAAACGAACATGGTCGCCGTTGAACCGTCCAACGATGCCCTCACAATAGCCCTGAGAACGAGCCGAGTTAGCATCAGAGTGTGCGTTAGGCTCAAACACGTAGGTAGCCGCATCGGGCGGGCCCATGCCGAGGACGTCGATACACGTACCAGAAAGACATTCTCTTCCGGCAACTGCATGAGAACTACGATCTCGTCGTTCTAATGGGGTGGTGTTACGATGCAGACCGGGTGGCATGCGACCGAGACACGCACCTTGAGAAACATGAGATCCTCCGCACCCTCAGCTACACAATCTCCTGTCGCCGTGCATCTCCCAATGCCGCCCTTGGCAGCGAAGCGGGTCCATCGAGCGAGTTCAGCGGCGTCCATAGCACGTCCTGCTACATGCATGCGCGGGGGGTATTAGAGATTATAGCGGAGATTATAGCGTCGTGTGAAAAGAGCGTGAGCGAGCGATCCGCTGGTCGTTTTGCTGGGTCGGAACCCGAGGCAAAAGAAGGATTGAAGCGGCGCCTGACAGATGAATTATTTCAATAAGAAGGCGTTGGTCGTGTTTGGAGGGCTGCCGGACCTAGGTAAGTGCCTTCAAGAAGTTCACCCTTGACTGCGACGACCACTACGGTCCACGTCCGAACGGCTGTTTCTGCTAAACTCGTGTCTGGGAAGCAAGCCGCCTAGCCGCCTTCTTCCGCACATGGTAGTCTTTATGTTCTTGATGCATTGTTTTAACCTCCCCGGATCTTTGATCTCAGAACCTTTGACGTCTATTACTACCACATTCAAGCTGGCGTCCTGCTCGCTGCTTGAAACTCCCCGCCCCCTGTCTGCGGTTGAGCCTTCTCCAACCACAACGACAACGTGTACCTTCCGATGGTTGCTGCTGGGCTTAGCCTCGTATATGCTGCACCCTGGCATATGGTCCCTTGATTGATTCCATGCCCCTACGATCTTGATGGGTTTCTCGGCATTCCTTCCAGTCTGCGAGCTTTCAAGTTGTGACATCCCACGCGGGAGACAAAATCTCAAGGGCCATGATATTGCCGTTCCTCAAATCAAGTACATTCTCATCGTACGACAAAGCGCGGTGGCAAGTCGCCCGTTCTGTTCCGCTGAACCTGCGACCGCCTGACGCGCGTTCGGCGCTGAGGCTTTTACTGCCTATTGACTCCGAAAGGCTGTTGAGTTTATGATCGCCGTTGTTCCTGGCGGTTATCTGGCACGCGAGAGAGCCCCAACCGCGGAGTTGTCCGGATTAGCAGCAGCAGCAGCACAGCTGAGAATATCCGAGCACAAATACTGTACATTGCGTTGGTCAAACTGCTGCTTAAAAGTCCCAATCATCGTCGAGATCTTTTCGCCGTTGGAACTGTGCCAGTGTCAGCCTGTCAGGGGAGAAAGCCTAAATAGCGAGCAGCGGAGTACAGACCACGATCGTAGACTTCTTCGACTGGGCCTTTCCACTCTGGGCCTCCTCCATCTATTACACGCGCTCTAGTGAGCCCTCCCCGGAACAGGACAGATACGCGTACCTGCTCTAGCAAGCCGATGAGCTGTTCTTCCGAAACCTGCTCGGCACCGATGCTCAAATGACTGCTAGCGAAGAGAGCTAGGATGCACAGTGGCCACATACCCGCCCTCGAATCTGACCGCCCTGCACCATCCGCAGGAGAATCGTCTCAATCTGCTTCGATCGTTCCGGACTGACGAGTGCGATACGCGACACTGCGGGTGCGGTGGCTCAGGGCTAAGTGGGTGAGGCGCATCTTCAGGTAGGACACACATCGTTCGCGGGCAGCCGTGTCGAGGACCGTGGAGATCATGTCCCTGCGCATCTGCTCCTCCTGAGCACGCTTCGCCGCTGCTTCTTCGTCGCCCTGCTGGTTCGGGATCTGCGGGAGACCTTCCATGATCGAGGCAAGATGAAGGTCAGAGGGTGAATGGAATGTGGTCACGCAGCCACATTGATGATGATGATGATGACGAAAATTAGATTAGATATTGGATCTACAGCAATCTACGGGCTACAAAGGAATGCGAATGCAGACATGTACAATGAATGTGGGCAGATGATACAGTGGCCGATGTTACAGGCATCCAGGCGTGAAAGGTCATGATAAAAGTAAAAGTTATAGAAGCATGCCGACAACCGCCCCGATCAGTGCTATTGTCGCGCCGGCGCGAACGGTGTGGGCACTGTTGGCGGAGGGAGTCGCCGAGGCAGCAGATCCAGATCCGGATGCGGACGCGGATGCAGAAGTCGCGGTTCCATTGAGAGTGAATGCATTGGTTTTGAAAGCGTCGAAGTTATTCGGGCCCGTCTCGACAGCGTTAATGGAGAACACCATGCCCTGTCCACCTAAAACCATATTAGCCAGAGAAAAAAACGACCGGAGGTTTTATAATTACAGTGGCCGGCCTGTCGACAGTATCCCCAGATCGGTTTGGTCTACAGGCGATGTCAGTTGAGTGCACCGGACTAGGCCGACAAGGTCACGTACGTCGTTGATCTGGATCGTGAAGGTCGGGAAGCTGGTGGCATCGGCGGCGACAGGCATGAAACCCGAATCGAAGCCGAGCTGGCCCGTGGTACTGGTCAAAGAGAGTGCCCGGCAAGGATCAGCGAAGGAGGATGCCGTGACGGTGTGGTTCTTCGCGTGGAACTCGAATGTGACCGTATCGCCGGGCTGGGCAGTGATATTGGACGGAGAGTAGACAAGACCAGCCGTGCCGCCCACGATGACTTTGTGGTCGGTCGAAATCGGGGACGTCGGCGCAGCGGAACCTGGGTACGATCCGTACGTCGTGGTGACGGGACCGCCATTGACAGTAACGGTCGCGGTCACAGTGACGACAGAGGTGATAGCAGCAACAGCGGCAGACGTGGTGGATACTGCTGGAGGGGCAGAGACACTCGCAGCAGAACCGTTCGCGGCAGAGGCAGCGGCGTTTGCCTGGAATGTGGAGAAGTTGTTCCCTGGGTTCACAGCGAAGATCATCCCGGCTTGGCAGTGTCCAACCTGTTTACAGTACACCCATATCGGCTTAGTGTCGCGTACGGCCAGCTGGGCAATGGGGAAATCGGTCGCGTTTGCGGCGACGGGTACACTGAGAATGACGTTGAGGAACATGTGAACAAGCACAGAAAGAGTAAAACGCACAATTGGGAGTCAAAGCCATTCGGAAGGGGAGAGCACGGTGTAGCAAGGCTCGATTGAGTCACAGTGTGGTTCTTCTGCTTGAAGTGGAATTGAATGACATCGCCGACGTTGGCTCCCTGAATTTGGTTTGGGGTGAACGCCAGAACGCCTGTACCCCCGACCACGACGTCAAAGACAGCACCTCGAGAGGCTGGAGCAGAATTAGCGCAGTGCAGAAGAACAGGAACGCGAACTCATACTAGGAAGGAGGCAGATGAGAGCAGCAAAGATGGACAGTTTCGTGGAAAACATCGTGCGTATTATGGAGAGGGGAGAATAGACGGGCGGGCTCGTGATTGAATATGGGCATGATGCTCGCTGCGCTGCCGCTTTATAGCGCGCCTTCGGACAATGCACGACATAAGGTTATTGTTCTCGGTGAGTTTCTTTGTTCTTTGACACGGTGGCTGTGCATTCCCTATTTGGCACAAGAACTGCCTTTGTGCTCGTTCGATCTCCCTTTATTCACGCGTCTCTCGCCTTTTGTTCGGAAAGAATGAACTTGGGAAGCAGTGCCAATGGCGCGTTTGAGAGATCTCTCCATTCTAGGTGACACCGGCATCTCTGGCCACGTGATATATAATGATATCCTTGGTGTCGAGAATGAAATTGCAAGTAATACATGATTGTGCTCCAGAAAGGTCCGATATGCCCCCATAGATAGAGATTGTATGTACACCTCAAGATACCCGCCACGCACTCGAAGGCAATGCTGGTCAAGATCTGACATCAGCCGTGATCGCGAGAACCCGGAACAGATGACACCCACCTTCCATCCGCCTTGCAGTCGGAATCGTGTAGAAAATGAGAAAGAGAATCCCAAAGGCCATGCAAATGGTGGAGACGATGTAGTAACCGTCTCGTTCTACGACGCAGTTGGCAGCGGCTCGCGCTACGGATGCAGTCGCATCGGAAAGCTCTGAGGCCTGACACGTTTTGATCGTGAACATATCTATGCCTGTCCGGACCATTTAAGAGCGAATTTGAGAAAGGGAAATAACCCACTTTTGAGGACAAACCACTTGGGCCATTGGGTGCCGATATTTGAAACAGTGTTCAGCATCTATGCAAGACTGTTGTTAAGGGTATGCGATACCGGACAAGAGATCCGGTGCATACCGTCATATACGTCCCGCCGATCAGCGGGTCCGATATGCGAGTGAAAAAGGCATTGCTGGCAACGAATTGCACCGTTCTGTAACCCGGTTAATTGATGCGACAGACGATGTCTTTCAGAGCACGTACGATGTCAGCGAGGTCAAAATCGTGTGAACGACCAGCAGGTAAACAACCCCGCTGTAAACGGGGGCGTGGGGAAGTAATACACAAACAGCAAAGCTGTGAATGCAAACACGATCCGTGGCCAAAAGCATACACCCACGGGCGCAGCGGGTAGTCCCCTCGACACCACGCGCCCACGAACCATCCAGCGATGATCTGGAATGGGAAGTTCAGGAGGACGGCAATCGCCAGATCTTCCCGCAGGAGCCCCTTTTCGACCATCTTCAGCGAGGTCGCTGCGTCGTTGGCTGCAAAGCCTATCTTGCCAAAGAGGAATAGTATCATCAAAGATTGGATGTCTGAAGTCGGATAAAATCGCGTTCACTTCCAGACTAGCGAAGAGAGACGCACGCTCCATTTTACACAAGGCCCATATCTGCTCATAAACATCCCAGATATTCAATCTAGCGTCCTGCTTTTGGACCTCTCGCTGGAAACGCTCAATAAACTTCGATCGCCGAGCGCAAAATCGAACCAACCTCTTTCACGAACATCAGTAACACGCTCACCGCGTACACTACAAAACACCAGAACTTGAGATAGGTGGCCAGCGTGAGCCGCGGCACTCCCAACCTCGCGCTGATCGCTATCATCAACAATGGCCAACCGAACAGACATGACACGCACACAATTTGCTCGCTGTTCAGAGCGAGAAAGACTGTATAAGAAGTGAAATAGCCCGAGTTCATGCCGATGGTCTGACAAGTCGATGCATAGGACAAGTTCTCCGGCGAAAGCAGCGTCAGGGCCCATCCATCGAGGGCAATATCTTCCGAATTTGGATGTCAACAACCTGTAAATCACGCAGAACACGTCTACCTTGTGTAGCAGCGAAGAAAACAAGCCCAGTGAATACATTGGTCAAGTGGATCACATGGTGCTCCGGCTGAGTACACACAAGCAATAGTGAGCGCGGTCGCACGAACCTACCAGCAGTGACCTACCGCATCCATCAGACGCTGTATTTCGAGCGAAATATATAGCATTAAGCTGGCGCTGATGATTTGTATCGGGATGACCCAGGATTTACGCCTCCCTATCGAGGAGATGAAGACCGAGTCGACGATGGGGGACCAAAGCAGTTTGAGAGAATAGGGATAGCTGGACAGCGAGAACCAGGCGAGCTGAGAGTAGGACAGTCGTTCCTGCAAAATAAAAGGCATCGAGCCCGAAGCGAGCCCAAGCTGGACGGCAGCGGTCAGCGTGTCCGACGCGTTCCAAGAGCCGGTCTCACCGGAATACCCTGGATGAGGTCTTGGGAAGCTGTTCAGCCCCGGAGCTCCATGGCCGGAGAACAGATAGTTGCTCACACAATACACAAAGCAGAACCATCGCGCGTTTATCCTCCGCAGACACAGGCCCTGCAGGTTGCGCTGCGGGACTCCCAAACCCGTCCTCTAGATCGGACGAATGGTCCGATTCGTCGCGTCGGAGGGGCACAAGCTCCTCCTCGTGATCCTCGAAGTCGTCTTCATCCGAGCTCTCCGCGCCCAGGTGGAATTTGCGGGAGGCGACTGATCGCGGCGTGCGTGGTGTAAGCCCTGGCGCAGGGAATACCTTCCAGGCATTCGAAGGAGAAATGTGGGAAGCCATTCCAGTGGCGGAAGAAACGAACGAAGACGTGTAACACCGGGACCCGAGTCGGTCCTTCCACCGCCTATGTCCATGATACCTGCCTGGGATAGTACGACACTGATGTGGGGCCCCTGAGTCGCTTGACCAAAGATCACGGCGCCAAGGTGATCAGCAAATATGCCTCGCGACCGGGCAGAGCGGCGACAAGCACATGACTTTGAGGCTTAAAAGCCTGCTAATACTCACTTGCACTACCTAGCCTACATGCTCTTCAACAAATTTGGCCCATCTCTCTACCACCGGCTTCACGATCAGCTCCCATTCTTTGCCCTTGTAGGGCCCTTTCTTGAGCCGGGTGAAAGTAAAAATCTCTTTGTGCTGCGACCCGCCTGGGAAGTCTGTCAGCCAACCCCACAACCAATGGCTGGCAACCAATCAGCGCGTACAATCGGGGCACTTCGGACCTGATCCCATTGACGCTGCTGCGGGCTTCTTACTGGGCGTTGCCAGCGCATCGTCAGCATCGACATCGATAATTTGGGGCTGTCCCCTCCGAAAGCTCTTCCAATCTGATCGGAGATATTGCCCTTCAGCGACTAGATCTGCCAGCTCGAGATGAATCAGGCGTTCTGAGAAATGTCTTCGGATGTTGCTGGCGATGTAGGAGATTCACACACACCAAGCCTATGGCAAGACGGCCCCTTCTGACCTGCATCGACACGGCCTTTCATATGACTCGTCGCGGGTAGCCCTGTTTCAGGATCCACGCCTCCAGGGAACCATCCGCGAAGGACTAGCTCCTTTGATGAACATTGCTTGCTCCACTGGTCAAGTCGTCGTGCAAGATGAGTGGTCCGGCCGGTCTTAAGTCGGATCTGGGGCGAGTCGGGATCTAAACCGTTTGAGTCGAAGGAAGGAAAGTCAGTTTCTACGACTCACCTCGGATTTCAAACGTATAGATGTATCCTTCAGTGTCTTTCGCAGATCGAGCTTTCTCCATTTCCACACGGAGGGCGACCTGAGTCTCCGGAGAAAGATACGAGGGAATAAAATCTAGACAGAGCACAGTGAGGTTCTCCCTACCGTATAAAGGCCAAAAAGCTTACCAGCAAAAGAGACCCAAACTTCGTCCCCTCTTTGGCTGCCCTCGCCCATCCATTTCCTAGCATAGAACCCGACGCAGTCCCAGTCGCACCGATGAAGTCTTTGATATGCTGATGGCAATACCTCTCCACCACACCTTCGCTACTTAGGTTCCCGTCGATGTCCGTATCCGCCTCCCCGGTCATGCGGTACGCGAAAGCAGGTCCTCGAGATTTCACTTCTCGGGTACACCTCTTCCCCGCTTTGGTGAAGCCCGAGCAAGTCTCGGTCCCTGGTGCGGAGTTTGACCGTCGTTGACGGGGCTTCCCCTGGGTGCGCGCGCTGGGCTAGGGCCGGCAGAAGAGGTTGAGGCGTTGAGAGCTGGAGATGGTTGGGGAGAGACGAATGGCGACTCATTGTTCGACGGCGGTGGAAGAGAATGTGGTCTAGACGCTGCTTGTACTGACGCGTCCAGGAAACTGGGGGCTGCGACTTGAGGTGGAGGCCGATTGAGCGCATACTGCATCGTGAGCGAGGTAGCCGGCATCGGCATCGGCATTGCTGGCGGCCGTGGCAGTGGTCCAGGACTGAGATTCTGGGGATTGAATCCGCCGACAAATGATGGCGGGGGCGGTGGTGAGTACGAGTACGAAGACGCATGTTGTTCGGACAGCCTGAGCCGGTCAAAGCTTTGAACGAAGTCATAGGATGGCGAAGAGGTGCTCAGTACGTTGTCATTGGACGGTCGGGTGGGCGTTGCATTCGAGCCAGATCCAGAATGATATCCTGCGGGCTTCGGAGGTGGTCGAGGGGGTGTGCTATGCTTCTGTGAGTGCAGGTTGAGATCGAAACAGTCTGTCAAGAGCAAACAGAGCGTACCTCCTCGTCTGACTCTAGCAATTTGGCAAAGAACCGCTTTGCCTTATTCTTCGCATATTCTCCCGCCATCTCGGAAGCAAATCGAATGGAAGTCTTGATGATCGTTATTGAACCGGATCCGGAGAGCAAGGTCGAGATCAAAAGGCGCAAACAATGTTATTGATACACAAGGAAGATTATACTGATACAGCAACGAGAGCGAAGGAGAGATGGAGCGAACGCAAGTCAAGAAACTGGTCGAAAGCGCGAAGTGACTAGTCGAAGTGACAGTCACAGCTTGCCACAGCCACAAAGGTCTCTGAGGACGTCACGTAATTGTGTTTACTGTGCAGGCTGACGCCCTCACGTGGTTTTTAGCGATCGTGTGCTGCTCACTCAGCTAATTGCCGGCCAGGACACTACTCCGCTTCTGAACTTCTCGCAGAGCGCGCTGTAGCGGCCAGACTCGGTGGTTGTGGGCAACTCCTTACTCGTCTCGGCTCACTGATCGCCACCACGCCCCATCTGCTGATGCCCAGGTCTGTCGGACAGCCGTTATTGATCTCATCCAATCCTATAAGAGGCTACTGCAATCATACGTGCTCTCTCACTACTCTCCCATCCATCTTTAGCACGCCATGGCTCTCTTTACACCTTTCAAGTTGGGAACTGTAACCATCCCTAACAGGATCGGTGGGCGTTCCCTATTGCGCGATGTTCGGGACGGCTTGGACTGACTAGTGTTGCGGCAGGAATGAGCGCTCTGACGCGCAATCGCTCAGATCACACCGTCCCCAACGCTGTGATGCTCGAATACTATGTTCAGCGCGCCAAGGGCGGAACTGGTCTTATCGTCACTGAGGGAACGCTCATATCGCGTCAAGGGTGCGGCGGCCCCGCTCAGATGCATGCATCTCGCATCTTACTGATCCCATTCAGGAGCGAATGGCCAAATGCACCTGGCATCTTCAACCAAGAGCAGATCAACGGTTGGAAGAAGATTGTGGATGCCGTTCATGCAGAGGGTACCAAGATCTACTGTCAATTGTGGCACTGTGAGTAGCAAGGTCTATCTCCCTCGGGACCTCAGCTTAGCGGAATGATAGTGGGTCGGGTAACCATCCTGATGCCCCCGAGCAATTGGCTGCTGGAGAGGTTCGTCCTGACAACGCCATCTACAGCGATCTGAACGCATATATCGTAGCCTGTCTGGGCGCCTTCGGCCATCTCTGCACGTGGAGGAAAGTTCAGACTTTTGCCCGGTGTCCCGGGCTACGTGACGGTGCGTCGCCTGCTAGCATGAATTCTGTCGCTTATCCGTTTCCGAAAGCCCACCGAGGTTCCTGACCCCACGATCCTCATCGCCCAATTCAAGCAAGCCGCGATCAATGCCAAAGCGGCAGGATTCGATGGAGTTGAACGTGAGCCCTTGGGCCATCGATGCTGAGTGCAGATCTTGCTGACGAGGACCGACAGTACACGGGGCAAACGGCTACCTTGTATCTCAGTTCCTCGAAACCCACTCGAATCAGCGCACAGACAAATGGGGCGGCAGCGTCGAGAACCGTACCCGGTTCGCGTTGGAGGCTCTCAAGGCTCTTGTTGAGGTTTATGGCGAGAACGTCTCGATCAAGATCAACCCTGGTGATTCAATCATTCCCAATCCGCGCGTTTTTCAAGCTGACTTTGATTCCACAGCTGGAGGCTACAATGGCAAGTATTTCCTGGCAGTCAGTCTAAAGCTGACAACGAGTTCTGGTTTCAGACATGGGTATGCCTCTGCAGGATGCTATCGACACCTACAGCTATCTTCTGAAGGCGATCGACACCATGGGGCTGTCCTACGTCACCCTCGTTCGATACAGCGCGGCCCTAGACCCCGAGTATGATGGTCAGTACTGACCGACCACTTTCTTGGCTCTTCTCTCATCTCTTCGTGGCAGGCAAGAAACGGGCTACCCAGCACGACATCGTCGCCACATACAGCCCTTTCTTGCAGAAAACTCCGATCTGGGTCAATGCCGGTGTTACTCCGGAAGAGGCTGAGAAGCTTGTGAGTGGTGGAATCACTGGCGTGTTCTTTGGATTCGCACAGGTCACGTGCCCCGATGTCGGCCACCGTATCAAGGCTGGGATCCCGCTCGACAACGCGCCCGACTTCCAGCATCTGTACGGGGCCGAGGGCATCGACTACGCGATCGGGTACACCGACTACCCCGCTGCGAAGTAGAATCGATTCTGCAGTCCCTAGAACTTATCGCATGAAACAATTGTACTAGAAACGAATGAATCCTCCCAGAGTTAGACCATCTCCAACGCGAATGCAAATGCGTTCAGTGTCAGATAGAAGACCATCGGAATCAAGCCCATGATAATGTTCCCAGCAATACCTCTCCGAGTGACAGTATCCCAAAGCTCGGTTTTCGTGATAGACGCGGCCTGTGGCGAACGGTATGGGCCGACCAATCGGTAGAAGGTAGTGAACGCGGCTCCGAACAGTAGCACACAAGCACATGAGTCCCATGCTGCCACCAGAGCTCCAGCAATCCCGGTGCAGCGCCAATGTCCTTCGCCAATGTACTCATGTACGAGCTGTGGTCTACTCCGTACTTGATTCGGGCGGTCTCTTTCACGAGAAGATGGTAGTGGGGAGGCGGCAGCGGCAACTTGATCTGCCCCTTGATGAGAGAGATCCAAAAGAAACTTTGCATCTCGGCAATGGGCGGGATCGCGCCTACCCCAGGCCGTACAAATCCTATGAACGCCACGCTCTCGTCTCCGCTCTTCACGATATTGCGCACATCAGCCTCGCCCGCAGTCGCGTACCCGCCGTCTTTGTCCAGGAACGAAAACTCCTGCCGGTACCCGGTAGCGTAGATGACGAGTCGGGGCGGATGTCTTTCGTCTGCATGCGGATGGCGTCTTTGCGCTTGGACAGAGGGAAGACGGCCCGCCCATTGGGAAGGAAGTGGCTTGGGAACGGTGCCAGTTCGACGGCAAAATCTGTCTGCGGGGGCATGTCCTCGGGCGGGTCGATGTAACGGGACATGTAGTCCAAGATCGCCGGGCGGTTCCGGTACGGCCGATTGATATAGGGCATGGCTTTATGGGACTGCGAGAGAGGTAAGAGACGGAAACAGCAGCAGTCGAGGAATGGGAGAACCTTGTTGAGGAAGACATACGCCCGTCCGAGTCGTTCAGGCTCCAGCCCCCTACCTCGTCAAGTTAAAAAGGCGTTGCAGAATAACATCTCAACTCACCCATTGGTTGCAGCCTGCCTGCGTGCCAGTCAAGAACCATAGAATACGCTTGATCACGAAGTCTGATACACTACATTCGGTGAGCTGTGGGGTTCGCCTCCGGCTGCATAGAGTGCTTACAACCACCGAATATGCGCAGAAGCAACCCACGGATGCTGTCCACACCGTCAGGCACTGCGAATGACACAAATGAAGAGACGTACCACATAGGCTGTTTCACCCAAATTCGTAATCAGGGAGTCAATGGGGACCGAGGCTTTGTCCGACTTGAATTGATACCCAAAGATCTCAAAGTCATTCTATGTCCCGCCAGTCAGCTCTACAAGGCTTCGAGCCGATTTCCACGTACCAGGGCTTTGGGGAACGACAGAAACCTGAGATTATTCAGCACGGCATCGTCGGACGAGAAGCAGCATTGAGCGACGTACCCGCCGCGCGAACACAGCACGACCTCCTTCGCACCCGCTTTCGCCGCTTCGTACGCCAGATCCATCCCCGTCTCCCCCGTCCCGAGGATCATAACGCGGCGTCCCGCAAGCTGGCTCCGGGACTTGTAGTCTGCCGAGTGGTACGCTGCCGGCTTCGGCGCGTCGGGCTGCTGCTCACCCTTCGGCTGTTTCAAAACATGCTCGATGCCAGGGATCGTAGGGACCGAGGGGATGACATGCAGGCCCGTGCAGACGGCGACGTACGCCGCGTCGAGGTGGTGGATGTCCTCGTAGTCCCATGCACCGGCTGGGCTCCTTGTGACGTACGAGACAACGTGCCCGCCGGCCGGGTTGCGTGAGACGTGCACTACCTTGGAGTCGAGCTGGATCCGCGATGTGAGGTTGAAATGCGAGCAGTATCCGCGCAGGTAGTTGACGTATTGCTGGACACCGTCCGGGTAAGCTGAGAGGAGCAAGTCGCAGGCGAGTGATACCCAACTTACTCCAATGTGAGATGATCGGGGTGCTCAAGCGGTAAGCGATAGTCGGAGAACGACGTGAGCTGTTTCGACGACACAAGCGTTGCATTCTGGAGGCAATGAGCCCTTGGCGAGTCCTCCAGGTGCGTAGGACACGAACTTCATATGTGCGGAACCGGAAGGTCCCTCCAATATCAGACTCTTGCTCCAACACCACAGGTTGAAATGGAAAGTCTGGCGTAGCAGCTTCAAGAAGAGATTTCGCCGTGACGAGGCCAGCCGGGCCTGCGCCGATAATCACCACCCGCATATGTGGTCGTGTTGGAGAAGTGAAGAAGAAGAATGCCAGTTATTTAAATATAGGTGGGACATGGCACTGCAGCGGGTGTTTCCCAAGAATGGCGCCCAAAAGCCGTTCGAATACATATAATGCAATTCCAAAGCAGTAAGTCATTTAAACAATTAAGACTACTATACAAACCAAATAACCGTAGAGCATCGAACGCCGTCGAGTAGTCATTAATCACCCTGCCTCCCCCACAGTAGACTTTCCCTTCCGAATGGACAAGGGCGGCGGGACCTTGAAGGTTTGCAGAGGCAATGCACTTCGAGGCTGCTCTTGTACCGCCAGCTTGACCGCTGAAACAGACGTTTGGGCTGATCGACTTCTCGAGAGATTCGATGTCAGCCGGAACTCCTCTAATGGAAGTCCGCCACTATTGAGCCCGGAGATGGTGCTCAATGCGGGGGATGCCGGTGGCATTGGCGAGTAGGATCGCGCTCCATTCGTCGGCGGGAGAGGCGAGAAGGACGAGACATGCAAAAGGATGGCAAATTCTTCGGTGGAATTGGTGAGCCTGACAAGGTTGCTGCGCAGGACGGTCGATTGGATGTCCCCGTATTGCTTGATGATATTCGATAATTGGACTACCGTCTGGAACCAGCGAATTAGACCAGAATGACAGGAGATTTCGGTCGTGGACACACCTTTAAAAACAGATTCGAGTCTTCCCTCAACAATTTGCGATCCACCGACGAGTCGATGCCGTCCTGGACGGATTTGGTAAGATCAGCCAGCCTTCGGGTCACAGCGCGAGCCCTGTCCAGACTTTCGCGGACTTCAGGGTCAAGAGAATCGGCCAACGCATGCTCAATCTGGTTCCAGACAGTAGGAGCAACGTCAACAGCTGCTTGGATAGCATGCAATGCTTCCTTGTCGACTTGTGTCTTGGATGACGAGGGGAGCTCGAGGGAGCTGGGGGCTTTGGACGGGATCGAGGGCGAGGACGAAGCCGATGCCCCGGAAAGGGAAGCTGAGGACGATGACGCATGCAATGATGCTTGTGAGCCGGCGCGCGAGTGCGAGTTTGCACGGGAGGAGGGCCCGTCGCCGCTAGGAGAGGGTGAGGAAACTGTGATGGAACCTGTGAACGGAGCGGGAAGGTACCGTTTCGTTGTTCTCGGTGTTGGAGTGTGAGATGCAGAGCCAGTCACAACCCCGCTGGAGAACAGCGGCCCATCGTCATACGAGGGCAGCTTCTTCCCGATCTCCACGTCCTTGGAACTAAACGAACCGGCGTGTCGTCGGGCTGTCCGGATTCGGCCGATGGGGTGTGTTCGCAACATTGGCGGCGGGGAATGATCCGCGCCTAAAAATTGATGGTGCGCAGGTGGGGCCGACCCGGGATAGACGTCCGGGCTGGCCATGGACATCGGAGAGAATCCTTTGGCGTGCAGCGAAGGAGCAATGGTCTCAATATGGGGGAGGACGTCTTTCCAAGCCGCGGCGACCTCGGCTGTGGCACCGTATAGCATGAGCAGCATAGATCGGAGGTAGCGCACATCGTCAGCGCCGGCGATGACTTTGAGCTGGAGTGAGACAACACTGATCGCCTTTGCGAACGACGCGACAGTATCCCGGCAGCTCTCGACAACACCCCGACAAACCATATGTGGAGGCAGAGTCTTGCGGCTGAGCGCATCGAACCGGTCCAGTGAATTGATCAACTGCATCATATCGGAGCTTGCGGGATCCAGAACCTTCCGTAGCACGGTCTTCAGTCGTTCATCCGGAGCATGAATCGTGTAGTGTTCCAGGCTTTGGTAAACCTGGCACATGGCGAACAGAATGCTCCGGACGGAGTCAATCAACTTCAGCAACGGCTCAGGAAGTGTGTTGGAGATGGCAGCCACGGGCAGCTTGGACATCCGTCGGAAATATGAATTTCGTTCGAATGCCATCGAAGGACCGGTCTCCGCCGGTCGAGACGGCGATCCGTGGGTTCGATGCGGCCTGATAGCTGCGGAAGAACTGCCGGAGGAGTCAGAGTCCTTGCGCAAGGACGACGGTGATGGGAACGAGTCCTCCGCGGCATGCCTCACGGGCAACTCGGGGGCTTTCCTCGTGAAGTTGAGTTTGGCGGTCCGTAGATCGGGCATGCTCTGTTTGCCTGGTAGAGGAACGCTGTGCTCGCGCTCCCGGTTGCGGGTTCCACTGGCATACGAAGCATTGCGAGCGTGAACATTGACTTCCGGTGGTTGCACGTTTCGTAACGAGTCCTTTCGGGGAGGGTGCTGGGTCGGTTCGTCGAAGAACTTGTCCGAATCCGCAGGACTGGGCAGGTAACTCTCAAAGGAGCGAGTTGGCGACCCTTCCGGGCTAAAAGAACCCAAGATTCCCAATCGAAGTGGGGGAGGTCGATTGTACGAAGCTGAATCTCGTTCGTCTTGTGACTCGGCCAGCGATGAAGCAGAAAGATTGGAGTCTATGGAGAATGAACGCGCATGGGGTGTGACACCAGCGTCAAAGTCTTTCTCCGGGACAGGCGTGTACCGCTTCCATGCATGAAAGCTGTCCTCGCTGTCAATCACATCAGCACAAGGGCACCAAGGATGAATCACAGACGCACAGGTTGCCCTCCAATTCCTGCTCGCTGTACCCGGAGTCCTCGTGAATCCGAGGCCGAGACGTTTCTGATTCGATCCATGTTTGCAGGTTGCGAATCCACTCACGCATGGCCTGCGGCGATTCGGGCTCTGCGGCCGTCTCGAAAACGACGGATTTGGGCGGCCATTCTATAGGATTACGCTCCAGTTTGAGGACCTCAAGTTTGTAAAACTTGGAGAGATAGATAGGAAGTCGTGTAAGCTTATTGCGAGCGACAGAAAACACCCGGAGATTGAGTAATTTGCCTGGCTGCGTTGGAAGTCGCTTGATCTTGTTATGGCTGATGTCCAGGGTGTCAAGCGCTGGGAGAAGGGTGAGAACGTCAGGAAATACTGTGAATGAATTGCTTTTGAGGTTGAGGTATCTCAAACGCGAGAGGAGGGCGAAGGATGTAGGGAGAGTGGTCAGCCGATTGTGTCCCAGCGCAATTCTGGTTATGGAAGCATGAGCAGTGTGTCATTGTCGACAAAATGCCTCCACTCGCCGTTCCACTAGACTTTCGTCTTCAGGCATTTCTCTCCCGAGCGCCGCCAGCTCTTCCACTGCTTCGTCAGGTATGTCGGAGATGCTCTTCTTGAGGAAGACGAGTGTGGCGCCACCATCAGGAGAGCTGGAGAGCGCATCTGAGATATTGCCAGTCGTGAGCGTCAGCGAGGGCGACGAGAGGCGCATTGGCCCGCCGAGTACAGACATCACTGCATCGAGTGTAGGCCAACGGTCACACTCAGTCACGCTACTACTACGAACATAAGGTGACATTGACAGCAACCGCAACGGGACGTTCATCTTTGCACAGCCAGCTAAAACCATGTGGAGATTGAAAAGCTGACGCTTTCAGAGCGCATGGCATGCCACCAGCCTGCTGGAATGTACACTAAATCCCCAGGATTCAAGATTGCAGCCGAACCAAGCCCATCCAAGCTAGCAGGACGGTCCTCCGGACCGAACACATCGATCCCAGCGGTGTTTTTCTCTGCTTGCATCAGCTCGCCGGCACTTGGTGGCGCCAGCCAGACAGTTTTCTGCCCGACCACTTGCACTGCAAGACCGAGTTCATCAAAAAGGTTTGCAAAATGTGCAGCTGCCCACCATATATATTGAAATACGGATCCTGCCGAATTGGTCAGTCAGCTGGTGATTGGCGCAAGAGTTCATATACTAACAGTATGCGCAGGAGACACGGTGTTTCTTGGGCCTAGCCAAGCATTGATAACCAACTGTTCCTCATTAGCGGGTGGGTCAAAGCCCTGCCTGGGGATTTCCGCATAAGCGTAGTCTGACACCTCAATGTCATAACGCAGTGCAGGAAACTGCATGAACAGACTGTGCTGCGCAAGATACAGCAGCGTAGTTTCCGAGTGATCGTCGAGGGAATCAAGAAAGTCATCCCAAGGCATAATCTTTTGCGTCCAATCTTCCGTACGATAGTCGCGCCCAACCTCCACTGGCACGACACGTCCTGGCCCCGCCACCGAGCGGAGATATTGGGTAGAAGCCCACGGATGCTCATTGAGAGCAGGCCAATGAGATGCATAGTCCCGAATGACAAACGGGCTCTGGTAATGCTGAGTTTGAAACGCCGAGAGCGACGGGCCACGAGACAATACAGGGATTGATCGTTCAGTGGGCAAAGACGTCGCAGCCAAAGGTTGTATTGGGTGATAGCACGGGCTAGACGACAAAGGGGAGGGGGCAAGTCTTCCCGAACAATGATCCTGGAGTTGCTGTATGATCTCCAGCACCAGATCAAGACGTCCAGTCCCCGCACACCCGGAGATAATAATAGCTGCGTCTAATTTGGCTATCGCCTGCAGAGGTGGCAAGAGTGTCGCGCAGAAATCGACGCGTCTGTGTGCAGCCGCCGCCATGAATATAGCGATGTTTGAGAAAGATTTTCATATGCCACGGATACAGTCTCTTCGAGTCTCGCCAGAAGCCCCTCTTCTCCTTCGCGCGCAAGAAACTCCGCAGCCTGCAACGCCTTCCTGACCTCGTCCACCTCTTGACCTAGTCTGTCTGCGAGTGCACAGTCGTGAAAAGATTCGGCGATGATGGGCAAAGCATTTTGCAAAGGTGTCATCAAAACAAACGTAAACGGGGGTTCAAACTCCGACCCACGAAGAAGAGATAAAAAGGCTTTCGCCTTCAAGCCGCCCATCAATTTTCCCCACTTCTTCTCCGGATCGTCCCGGTGAGGTCCCGGTTTCCTCCTTCCCATGACATCAAGGTGATTTGATCTCCGGACTTGCATATCTCGGCCGAAACAGTTCTCAATGTAGCGCGCAGGTTGGACCGGCTCCTCCTCCTCTTGGACACTGGGTCCTCGACCTCCGTGAGGAACACTGCCGCAAAACAGCTCGCACAGCTTGCCGCGAAAAGCGTGATCAGTGATGTGGCTATCGAGGATGATAATTTGAAGATTAGACAACATGTTCCGTTGGATGATTCTCAAGCATGGTCGGACCTCATGTCTGTTGTAGCCCGAGTACGTGAACTGTATGTCTCCCTCTATACTGACCTCATTTCACTGCAGATTATTCCCTTTCTGCATTCCAAATCGTTTGAGACGCGTACTGCCGCATCGGTCGCGCTTTCGCACATCTTTTCATTGGTTCCTCTATGGCAACCACGCGCCAAACCTGAACTTGGTGAAGAACAAATGCTGCCTGAACCGGACTTCCCCAGTTTTTCTGTCAAAGAACTCATCACAACCGGCAACCGCTTACTCGCATCCTCGGGCAAGGAGTTCATGAAACCAGCCGGTATTCTCGCTAGTCCGGCTGAGGTGAAGAAAGCCAGTAAGGCCGCCATGAAACGCTTGGGACTCGAGTTTCTCCAGGATGATGAGTTGGATGAACTAGCGGATGAGATGGATGTCGATGTCGAGGACGAAGCAGAGATTCCAGTCATTCCAGTTCCAAAGAAAGCTGAAGAGGACGTGGACAGCAGCGAATGCAAGAACGTCATGGAGTTGGAACCTCCCGTCAAACAAGAGAACACGTCCACTTCAGCCCCAACGACACGCTCAGCGACGCCTTCAGATCCGTCGCCCACAACACCTGCTGCACCAGAACCTGATCTCAGTAGCATGTCAGCTCGAGAACGCAACCGCCTGAAGCGTAAAAGGAAACCTGGCAACAGTGCCTTTGTGGCCGCCCCTCCTCCTCAGACCGCCAGCAGTAAATTCACGGCCACCCCGAGCGCCGGTAATGCTCACAAGGCCAGGCTCGTCGCGAACGATGACGCCAAAGCTCCGGTCACGACACGTCTCGATTCCCCAACTGCTGACAAAGCAGTCGTCGACCCTTCCAAGGGTGGAGCGGTCTCGCCCAAAGCTGTTAAACAGTCACGCGCTCTCAACGTGAAGACCGGGACCTGGATTTGGGACGGGGTCGTGCGAGTCCTCGAGGTGGATCTATTCAGTCCAGCGTGGCAAGTGCGTCACGGCGCTGCGATGGCTTTGAGGGAGCTACTCAAAGTGCAGGGTTCGTGCGGTGGAATGCGGGACGATCTCGGTCGCGCTGAGAACGCCACTGCGCACGAGAAGTGGTGCAACGACCTCGCTGCGAAGTGCCTGTGTGTGTTTGTGTTGGATCGATTCGGAGACTTTGTGTCGGACATGGTCGTTGCGCCTGTGCGAGAGACTGTATCACAGACTCTGGCAGCTCTGCTGCTCCACATGCCTCGGCGATCTGTTTCACACGTCCACACGCTACTTCTACAAATGATTCAGCAAGATTGGGTCATGCCAGCTGTGACCAATGGGTCTAAGCGTAAGACTGCAGCCAAAAGCAGTCCCGACAAGCCTCACATATGGGAAGTTCGGCATGCCGGTCTCCTGGGGATCAAGTACGAGGTCGCGGTCAGGGGTGATCTATTCAGTGGCAGACCTCTGTTGTCGAAGACTGAAGAGGATGCTGATGCCAAGGCTGTGAAAATCGAAGCTGATGATGTTCAGCCTGACTCGTTTGATGAGTCGGGAAAGGAGGTTCTCCGGGGTGTTGTCGAGGCTGCCATTTTGGGGTAGGTTCATCAAAAATCAGCTTGATTCATCTGCTCATCTTGTTCAGCTTGGGGGACGATGACGACGACGTGCGCTCTGTTGCTGCTTCCTGTCTCCTGCCCGTGGCAGCGCACTTGGTTTCGCAGCTGCCAGATGTATTGGACAGAGTGCTGATCGTTCTCTGGCGCTGTCTGAGCAATATGAAGGACGATCTGAGCTCTAGCGTCGGTGCCGTCATGGACCTTCTTGGTAAGTTGGTCAGCTACGACCAGGTCATCACTATCCTCGCAGATCAAACCTTCGCCATTCCTTTGAACACCCTGGCTCCGACTCTGTTTCCCTTCTTCCGACACACGATTCCCAATGTCCGTTTGGCCGTGGTGAATACGCTTGCCTCCTTCATGGCTGTACCGGCTTTGCCCCGCGATTGGATCGAGGAGCCCTTTCTCCGTCTCCTTTTCCAAAACCTCGTTGCCGAAGAGCGAGAAGATGTTCGAGACTCGACGCTGGCTGCTTGGCGCACAGCGGCAGTCATCTTGGCGGGGGCACCTGGTCGCATCGAGTCAGTCGTCAACCAGGCTGTGGTGCTGCAGTGGTATGCGATCACCATGACCCCCCTGGGCATAGCCGTCGATACGACGACGTTCTATCACCCCAGTGTCGAGAACGCCGCGGCCAATGCTAATGTTCCGGAACGTCACAATGTGGACAAAAACATGCTGACGCAAGACCTCGCCCTGGTGACGGCTGAGACGACGCTCCAGGCGCGTGTCGCGGCTGCAAAAGCTCTCGCTGAACTGCTCTTCCGATGGCCTGAGCAGGTACGTTTTCTCCAGCTGCATCTCTACTTTCGATGATCTTAGTCGAATTCAGGCCCCTCCGGTCGAGGAATGGTTTGGCCCGATCCTCACGCATTACGTCGACTCGACTAGCATGCTTCAAAAGTTCCTTGGTGCTGTCATTGCTGAAGAATGGGCCCGCGAATACGACGATGCCCTTCCCTCAGCACCCCGGCTGACTGAAAAGTCGACTCTCGCCCAAGAGATCAGCGGCAAGACTTTGGCGTGGCTGCAAGCACCGCTGCCAGCGGCGTATCACGAGATGACCGTGTCCCTAATGCGCATCCATGCCGACTGCGTGGCTATGCTTACTTCATTCTCCACAGATTGCCGGCTGCCCATGTCGTCTATTCCCCATCTAGGTACGGAAGTGGATGTGACTGGCACCAGAGAAGGCTGCTTCAATCTGGAGGTGGCAAACAATGCTGTCAATCAGCAGTACACCCGATTAAAGGACAGCTTGGGTCGCACCAAGAAGAAGGAGCTGGCTGTCATTGCAGAGAAAAGGACAACCATCCTGGCCAGCATCGAGCGCTACGTGGAGATCAAGAACCAGAACGATACGCGAGTGTCCGCTGCGTTCGCTGGGGCCTTCGTTGCTTTCCATGGCGCACCTGACAAGGTCAGTCCTGTTGTCAAGGGCATCATGAACGGTATCAAGGTATGTTTTTCCATTAACGATCGTCTCTGGGGCCTCATTTTCCTTCAGAACGAGGACAACATCGATCTTCAAACTCGCTCTGCAGCGGCTGTAGCTTCCTTCATCGAGTTCTGCACCAACCACAACATCCCCAGCCCTCCGGAGAAGATCGTCAAGAATCTATGCACATTCTTGTGTCAGGATACCGAGCAAACCCCCACCTTCTCGTACAACAACCAGCATGCTGATATCATTCTGTCGTTCCGTGATGCCACCGTCACTGCGGCCGCGGAACCAGAAAGCGGTGCGAAGGACAAGGCGAATAAGCCTACTCCCGAGGAAGCTACCAAGCATCGTTTGGCCAGGCGTGGTGCGGGATTGGCCTTCAACAAGCTTTCATCCAAGTTCGGGCCACGCATTTTGGACGTGATCCCGAACATGTGGCCTTTCATGGTAGGGGGACTGATATCCGCTTTCCCACCCGGTATGTGTCTTTCACTTTCAGCCTTGTGATCTACTTTTAAACGTGCGGCAGATGCATCCACGGAAGAAGCAGACACTTTGATGGCCAAAAAGTACGGCCAAGATGTGATCGATTCGCTGAGCGTCCTCGAAGCTGTCGGCCCAACACTGCATCCTGAGCTCTGGTTCAAACTCGTTGGGACATTCCCCATGATGCAGACCGCACTGCAGAGCAAATATGCAATCATCCGCAAGTCGGCGGCCCGCTGCTTTGCAACTTTGTGCGATGTGATCATCGGAGATGCCATGCGATATGTGATCGAGAAAGTGATCCCGCTTTTGGGCGATCCCCTCGTGCTCGCTCACCGCCAGGGTGCGACCGAGTTGCTATATCGTATGTGCTTTGTTCGCAGATTCCGTGTTGTCGCTTACATGCATCAGATGTTGTGCAAAGGCTGGATATCAAGGCTCTGCCCTATGTGATCTTCCTGATTGTCCCCATTCTCGGTCGAATGAGCGACTCGAACGACGACATCCGGTCACTGGCCACCAATACATTTGCGTCCCTAGTGAAGATGGTTCCGCTCGAGGCTGGTCTGCCCGATCCGCCCGGCTTCCCGGAAGAATTGCTCCAGCGTCGGCAGACTGAGCGTCAGTTCCTGACCCAGTTATTGGATGGGTCCAAGGTCGAGGAATACAAGATTCCAGTCGCAATCAAAGCCGATTTGCGCAAGTATCAACAAGATGGGATCAACTGGCTCGCGTTCCTGGCAAAGTATCAGTTGCATGGAATCTTGTGTGATGGTAAGTCTTTCTCATTCTGCGCACCAAGCCTTTCTGAGTGCATCTCAGACATGGGGTTGGGCAAGACCCTGCAATCGATTTGTATTCTGGCCAGCAAGCACTACGAGCGGGATGCGCGCTACAAGGAGAACCAAACGCCTGATGCAGTGCACCTGCCGTCGCTGATCATCTGTCCGCCGACACTGACAGGCCATTGGTACTACGAGATCTCAAATATGTCGAGAATCTGCGTCCTTTGCTCTACACCGGCAACACCCGCGAACGCACCAAACTCCTCACCAAAACGAAATCTTACGATGTCGTTATCACCTCATACGAAGTCGTCCGCAACGACATTGACCAGCTCAAGAACCACGACTGGCTATACTGCGTTCTAGACGAAGGTCATGTCATCAAGAACGCGAAGACGAAGCTGACCAAGGCAGTCAAACTCATCAAGGCGCAGCACCGGCTGATCCTCTCGGGCACCCCGATCCAGAACAACGTGCTCGAATTGTGGAGTTTGTTCGACTTTTTGATGCCTGGGTTCCTTGGGACGGAGGGCTCGTTCAATGAGCGGTTCGGCAAGCCGATTCTGGCGAACAGGGACGGAAAGGCCAAAAACGGTGAAGCCGGTGTGTGGTCGTTTTAAATTGTCCGAGACTTTCGTTGACTTGGTCCCGTGCACAGCTGCTCTAGCGCTGGAGGCTTTGCACAAACAAGTCCTGCCTTTCCTTCTGCGTCGTCTCAAGGAAGACGTGTTGAATGATCTGCCGCCCAAGATTATCCAGGACTACTACTGCGAGCTGTCTGAAGTGCAAAAGTACCTGTACGACGACTTTTCCAAGTCAACAGCGCATGAGGATGCGGAGAGTGCCGTCAAGACAGGTGACGAGAAACAACCGCACGTTTTCCAGTCGCTGCAGTACCTCAAGAGGCTGTGCAATCATCCGCTCTTCGTGCTCAAGGACAACGCACAGGCCATCCAAGCCGCATTGGGCAAGTCGTCTGCGAACCTGCACGAGCTCACCCATGCGCCGAAGTTGCTCGCTCTGAGGTTTGTCACGTCCCTCTCTCCGGCGGGGCACTATCTGAATCGGATTTGCAGGCAAATTCTCACGGATTGTGGGATCGGTGGTGCGGTCGGCCCAGCTCTGGACTCCGGCAAGAGCGAGCTTATCGACACCGAGCCGGAATCGGGCGGAGCCTTCTCGCAACACCGGGTGCTCATCTTCTGCCAGATGAAGCAGATGCTGGATATCATCGAGACCGATCTATTCAAGAAGCACATGCCGTCCGTGACCTACATGCGGCTGGACGGCACGACCGACACGAAGAAACGACACGATGTCGTGCAGACCTTCAATGCCGACCCGAGCATCGACTGTCTGTTGCTGACGACCCATGTGGGAGGCCTGGGTCTCACACTCACCGGCGCCGACACGGTCATTTCGTGGAGCACGACTGGAATCCGATGAAAGACCTGCAGGCGATGGATCGGGCGCATCGTTTGGGCCAGAAGAAGGTGGTCAATGTGTATCGACTAATCACTAAGGGAACCTTGGAGGAGAAGATCATGGGGTGAGTTTGTGTTGTGTTTTCTTCGCTTGCTCTGTGCTGAACGGTTTATGCCAGTCTGCAACGGTTTAAGCTGAACATTGCCAACTCGGTCGTGACGCAGCAGAATGCGGGGCTGGCGTCCATGGACACCGACCTCGTCTTGGATCTCTTTAAGCGCACCAGCGCCGAGGAAGACGCGGCCGCTGCGGCCAAGCGCAAAGCGAAAGAGGCGGCTGCTGCTGCATCAGGGCCCGTGAGCCAGAAGAATCTGCTGCAGGGTCTGGACGACCTGCCCGCGGAGGACGAGTACCACGGCCTTGATCTGTCCAGCTTCATGGGCTCGCTAGGGCGGTGAGGCGAAATTGCTTTTGGTTGATATCTTTATTCCCGTTTGCATGCACGACTTAGAACACCACGCAATGTACACTTGTATCTCATAGCCACATCTTGTTCTTTTTGTAACTATATACATCTTTTGAATCGCAGCGACTCGGTAGCTTTACTGGTCCCAATTGGGGACTTCGATTTCACGTTCGTCGGAAATTGCCGGGCTGAGTTCTGGGTCTTACTCTTCATCTACTTACTGGATTACAGCCCTTTAGGTTGGCCGGAACAGTTTTTCGCTAACGACTTGTAAAATTTGATGAAATGATATGATGGACCATATATAGACTTAGCTCCGGATATCGATCCGCTTAAGCTTGAATTCTGCACCTTCCAGTTTTTGCACTGGTAACAACATTCTATTGCATGTTGGTGTATCAGTGAGGACCTAGAATCAAGAGAGATCTGACTGCTGGAACTGCGCTACCTTTGGAGGAAGCGTGCGGAAATCAGAGCGGAGTTTGTGTCGATGCGGGCAAATTTAGAGGCAAATGTGTTGTGAGGGTATTGTCATCGGAAAAGCCGGATGTGGTGGCTCTTGAAGGTAGGTGTATGGTATGCGATCTGTTGAATTAACTAGTGTTTTCCGACATGAACAGCTGAAAAATGGGTATGCGAGGATTCTGGTTCCGGAGCTAAGTCTATATATGGTCCATCATATCATTTCATCAAATTTACAAGTCGTTGGCGAAAAACTGTTCCGGTCAACCTTTTCCGAAAGGGCTGTAACTTGGTTTGAATTTGAACGCGTTGTCGCGTACCAATCGTGCCCCTGATTGGTCCTGATGGGATGGGCGCGTCGTGAAAGTTGAATAGAACGCCTACGGGACCGCACACGTTTGTCGGCCGCAGGCACGCGCACAATGCGCATCAGCTACGCCGTTCCTTCTCGATCTTCTTATAAACATGGTTCCTCCTCAGCCCGCTTCTATCGTGCCAGCACCTGACAGCAGCCGCCCAACAGTATAGCATGTTTCCGCAAGCCCAGCTCCTCACGCTCGTCGCCCTGACGGTCGCGGCGCTGAACGCTCGGGCAGCCGTGGTGCACTACCCGCCGATCCAGAGCAACATCAACAACCTCACGTTCGTGCTGACCGGCACCGGCGCGCCGGGTATCTACAATTCGTCCACGACCCCGGATGCGCTGTACGGCGAGTACAACTGGTGCAACATGCCGCATGTCAGGCCGCGGGAGTACAAGTGCGTCGCGATCGCTATGCCGCAGGCGCAGGCGTGTCGCTGGGGCTCATCATGTGTTATCTCTAGGACGCCGAGCAAGGACTACAGCCTCAAATATGTCGAGGTTATCCACAGGCATCACAAACGGACCCCGTACTCCTCCAACACCTTCTTCAAGGAGGACATCCCATGGAAGTGGGTGCCGCCGTACTCCCGTCCGCAGCGACCTGACACTGACATGGGTAGCTGCACCGGAGAAGGTCCGGTGGTCTACGGCAAAGGCCCCGGCGGCGTCAGCGCACAGGTGTCGGAGATCCAATGGGCCGGCTTCACGGATGCGCAGAACCCCTTCATCTCCACCGTCGGCCCCGGTTTCGTCGGCAGCGACTGCCAGCTTCCCCAGATCACGGAAGGCGGACTGGTCGACAGTCACACGCACGGTGCTGTATGCGCGATCAACGACCCCGATGCGCTGGCTGTTCGGCTCTGATCGTTGCCCGTAGGATCTTCGCGCGGTGTACGGCTCTCGTTTGAAGCTGAAGGAGAAGCTCGACCCGGACGTGGTGAAGGTTCGCGTGACGAACAACGTGATCACGTCGCAAGGTGCGCTGGATACGCTCTTGCTCCGCTCACTGGCACCTGACGCCGGATCATCGCGCCAGTCGCTGGATCCCTGCTGAATGCGCTGTTCCCGAGCACAGACAACGTCGCGGTCGAGATCCAGTCCGGTACGTACGACTCGCTGGAGCCGACGTACTCGTGCCCTACTGCCAACAACGTCAAGAATGGATACATGAACTCCGCGAACTGGACCGGCCACCTGTCCGCCGCGGCTCCACTGTATGCCAAGCTGGACCAGGTCTCTGGGACGTCGAACCCGGATAACGGCGGCTGGCACAGCTCGTTCGACCAGTACGCGCGACTCTGTTCCCGCCGATATCCCCGCGGCTCATCCCCCGTCGCAGCTACTACGACAACCTGTCCGCGAAGCTGTGCCACCAAAAGACCCTGCCGTGCAGCGTGAACGACACGGCGTCGTGCGTGACGCAGGACGAGGCGGACGAGGTGTTCCGTCTCGGCAACTGGGAGTATTCCTACCAGTACCGCGACGCACCCGGCACGGCGCAGTACAGCGCGCTGCACTACGGTGCCTGGGTCTTGGAGCTGCAGAGTCATCTGCAGGGCGTGATCAGCGGGAAAAGCAAGCTCAGATACGTCCACAACGTGTGTTCTCCTCCTCTTCTTTTTCGTCTTCAAGCTCCAAGTAGATCCTAGGTGGCGCACGACGGCTCAGTCTCGTCCCTGCTCGGATTCCTGCAAATCGATAAAATGGTCTGGCCTGGAATGTCAGTCGTTCATCAGATCTCAGCTGATCGCATCGCATCTAATCTTATCGCAGGGGCTCCGAAGTTGTGTTCGAGCTGTATGAAAAGCAGAACGCATACTACCTGCGTGTGCTTTGGGGCGGTCAGCCCATGGTGACGTCGACTCCACTGGGAACGCTCGACCTCATTCCCGTGCAGGAGTTCTATGATTGTGAGTTCTGTCGTCGGCACGGAGATGATTATTAATTTGTTCATTAGACGTCCAATCGATGGTTGGGACCAGCACCGACCTCTTGGCGAACTGCTTCTCGTAAGCGAAATGTATTTATATCATGTACCCGGATGGATATAATAAGAACATTCCACCAACGACGAGAGGGCCAAAGTTCAACAAGGATACATTGGCGTGGACCATGTGTGTGTCCAACATATGATGACATGGACCTTGTATACGTCCACTACAGCTGGCGCTGTCCCCCGTTCGTGTGCGAGAGGGACAGCGCCACAGTACATACTGATACATACAGAGACTATGCGTGTGCGTCTCGGGGGCGGGTGGTAGTACAGGAGTGTAACGGGAGCTTACCTCAGATGGTGCGCTGCACGGATGCGTGTCAGTCAAAGTCCGCCATTCCAACGAAAATACGGACCTTTATCAAGGACCATTGGTGGACGACGGTCTTGATGCGATCGTTTAGAGCCGTAATGCACTGATTGCAAGGTAAATGCTCTGCCAGTGGGCCGAGGACGCCCTCAAGCGCGCCAGCGGACATATCTGCATCGCTTGTCAGCCGCGGACACATGCTGAGACTAGCACGTACCTGGCCTAATGTCCCACACGATGTAGGCGGGCAAGCGCCCATGCGCGGTTCAGACCTTTCTGATCCGAGAAGTCACAGGTCCCGGTGGGCGCATGGGGATGAGGTGGTGAAACGAGCAGCCGGCGGAGTGCCTCAATCCGCCCGTTATGCATGAAGAATAGCCGTTTCAAGTAAATTGAACCCATCTGTTCGGCGTCCACGTCCGTTAATCGGGATAAGGGATATCCCAACAGATGAGATGATGTGGGAGTGGCCAAGTCGATCATATCGTAACGCGCAGCAAGGATGTACAGCTCCAAGGGGAACAGTGGAGCCTGAGAAAGGATGAGAGAAAAGAGTGGAGTGGAGGGAATGATCTGCGGCAAAAGGTCGGCGATGACGGTGAGGGTGGAAAACGAAAATGCTTACAGTGGTTTTGGGGTCAAGTCCATACCCGAGCATCGCATCTGCAGCCTCTACGAGGACTTCAAACGTTGGCGTGTACTGCTCGCACGACATTCCATATATCGAGTGCAATATTACGTTTAGGGCAGGCGACGTGTCGGGCACCTCCACAGTTACGGGCGAAGCGCCAGGCCCCGTGCTCCAGGGGACGCGGCCCGATAGACGGTGGCATGAAAGGTCGAGGAGACATGAATGGACGTAGAAGTGCACTTTGTCGGGCGTCACCAACACGACATCGGGTTGTTGGCCCATCACCTTCGATGAGGCGGGATATACCGCGTCGGGGAAAAAGGTGGTCGAAATCAGGACACTGGAGGGCTCGAAATCGAGTTCCTCCAGGCGAGGAGTGGGTTCGTTAGAAGGCTAGGACTTTTGGTTAGACAAAACTGGGTCGACAGATTAGCGCGCAAATGATAGGGACTGACGGGGGGAGAGGGGAGGTAGCCCGACAACGGGGAGTTTTCAGAGTCGAACAGAAACTGAGGGCTTCCAAACATCTCGGAGTCATCCCATGAGGAGTACATAGGGAGGGAGGGAGGGAGGGCAGATGGCGGGGGAGTGGAAGGAGTAACGCGCGTTGGTCGTGTTTGTTACACTCCACATAGGCGCATTTGATGACCCTGAACTCCCTGAACGCACCTGACGAGTTCTTTCCTCATCCACCAACTTGCTCCACTCAACCAGCACGAGTGCGATGGCGATGGCGATCGATTCCCGAATCTGAATGGAATCACAAAACAGTCACTGATAGCTCGAGATGAGGGCCTTCACAATTCTGTGCTTGAGAAGTTCCTACCGCAATCGAAGCTTCACGTTGAGCAAACAGAACTAATCCTTGCTCGGACCTTGAGTTCAAGACACAAGGTGAATGTCTTGTTAAATGACTATGCCGAATCCCACACTCGGAGGCTACACGGAAGGACGGCATGATCAGTACGAAACACCAGAGAGGGAACCGGCGCGACGTGCCACTGATGCAAGTAGACGGCCCTCCGTACTAAGCACGCTGCCGCGATGGCGTTTGGCGTGGTGATCGCCCGTGTGTTCAATCCGGCGTCATTCGGGAGGGAGTCGTATCACGTTTTTGAGCGGGAATGCCGGTCTTTTTGGCCAAAATGTTCAGTGCCCCATCCACGTACAGCGACAGACATGGTGGTGTGAATGAAGGAGGATAAGGGCCATACCGCCCTGATATACGTACTGGGTCCAGACCCGCTACATCATCTATGCGATCATTTGTACCTGCACGTGTTGTCACCATCTCTTTCCTGTGCTTTCATGAGGGCCTTATTCTGGCCAAGCGCTCTATACCTTCTCGTCCGTGTCTCTGGTGCCCCAACCCCAGATACGGATGACGCCCCCGCGTCTGCTTTAAGGATCAAATCGGAGAAGAGCTGGTTATGGGGGTGGGCATGGGGTGCAGAGAGCACAGTTTCCATCGTGGATCGTTCACCTATCATCTCGTTTGCTTCGCGACCCGGTAAGCAGCAGGGTAATCCGTCTTCTTCCGGCAGAGCTCAGTGCCCTCAAGCGGCTTTTGGTGCGGAGATCAATGACCCCATTCTCGGATATGTTATTCCACTTTCCTCCGTGCGCTCCTGCCTGTCAAGCCCACATTTCTTGGAACTGAGACTGTTTCCCAGTTTACTCGAACATGCGCTGCCAACTCCACCTTTCTTTCGTCCGCTAACACAGGGTGTCCGTCCCTTTGTGTCGACGGTCCATATCGACCCGACCCTTCTGAGACCTGGATCGCTCTAGTCCAGCGCGGTGGTTGTGAATTCGTCAAGAAGGTCCGAGAGGCCCAGCGTCTCGGCGCCCATGCTGTCGTTGTCGGCGGCGAAGACCCGGAGCTCACAGGATACCCCGACACTCTAGTGAACATGTACAGTCCCGAAGACGCCTCTGACATCAAGATCGCCTCGACCTACATCAAGTACTCGGACTACGAGCAGCTCTCCTCGCTCATCGCCGCGTCGAATACCTCCCACTCGGGTCTGCGCACGCTGTCCCTGCTGATCACCGCCGAGTACAGCGCGTGGGAATGGTACTCGCCCATCATCACCTTCATCGTCATCCTCCTCCTTCCGTCTGTATTGACGTTCATCACGCTACTCATCCACCGGATACGGGCAGCACGTGCGGCGCAACGGGACCGGGCACCGCAGGACGTGGTCCGGAATCTGCCATGGCGGGTCTGGACCGGCAGTGGATGGGAGAAACACGGCAGCGGGGAGGATCCGTATGTAGCCGAGGAACGCTCTGACGCTGCTGCTGTAGGGGCTGCTGCGGCTGCGGCTGCTCCGGTAAGCGACAATTCCGAGTCGTCGGAAGGGTCGTCTTCCACCCCAGCTGATCCCAAGCCCTTGGCGCCTTCGGAGCAAACCGCTTCTGAATCACCGCTTCCATGGTTCGACACCCAAGTCGAGTGCGCGATCTGTCTGAGCGAGTTCGAGAAGGGCGACAAAGTGCGCGTGCTGCCCTGTCATCACATGTTCCACCTGGCGGAAGTCGACGAATGGCTCATCCAACGGAAGAAGCTGTGCCCTGTCTGCAAGGCCGATGTGACGCAGCCTCCTCCAGAGGCCAAGCTTCCAGGCCAGCTGTTGACGGGGCCGTTGCTGGGCCTTCACGTGCCGGGTCACCTGCAGTCACCGAGCGTACACCCTTGTTAGCTAATCACGACCAAGACGACGACCCTTTGTAGTAGTTTATCGATTATCTCTTGTAACATTCTGTAAGGCCAACGAAACGAAACACCCGGATCTCACGTATACCCGTCCTACCCATCCACTCGCCACACCTTGACCACACCCGCTCTGTCGCCGCTGACGATGCCGGCCCGGAACGGCGAGTCGATGCAGGCGAGGGCCGTGATCACGTCCTGATGGGCCTTGAGCAAATTCTGCTGGTGGTTCGTGATAAGCGACATGCGCTGCGCCGGTCTATTGCTCTGGCTCGCAGACGGAAGCGCAGGCCACGTTTCCACGAAGGTGGAGGCCGTATTCGACGATGCGGTGCTAAATGAAAAGGGCAGATCAGAACCCGCGCTCGCAAGCTGAACAGGACTCGCCTGTAAGAAGGCTTCTCCTGCTCGGACTCCAATCCGCTCAGCACCGCCGTTCGTTCCAGCTTCTGCAGATCCCACAGCCGGAGTTTGCGGTCTTCGGATCCGGTGACCATGAAACCCCGTCTGCCTTCCTCTGCCATCCGATGCACGCCGGTCGGCCCGCCGAAATCGAGCCCGGCGATGAGCGCCCGGACGTCCGGCGACGGAGGCAGCGGCAGCTCGGCATCGGCCGAGACTGGCCGGTCCTGTCGCGAGTGAACGAGAGCCGCGATGGCCGACGCGGCATTGCTGTCGGCGTCGACCCCGGTCAGCTCGTGCGGCTCGTGCAGCGGCTCCGTCTCGCCTGGACTGCGGCACACAAATGTCTCAACCAGGGCGGCCTTCTCGACGTCCCACACCTCCACCAGGTTCGTCGACTTGCCGCGCCTGGACGCTTCGACGGCGACCATGACCCATTTCCCCCTGCCTTTCGACGGGTGGACGACACACTGGTGGATGCGCACGAACCTCCCCGTCGAGGCGACGCCGACGTGCCAGCTCTTCATCAGCAGGCCGAATCGCCGGTCCCAGAGCGTGAGCACGCCCGTCGATGTCCCGACGACGATCCAGCACCGCTTGCGGTCCATACAGATACACGTGATCGGGCCGTACGGCCGCGGGTTCTCCATCGTCTGAAGGACGCGCATCGTGCGCAGATCGAGGACGGTGATGACCGAGTGGTTGGTCGCGTAAACCAGATTGGACGCCGAATCTGTGGTCTCTCAGATGCGAGTTGCAGCTAGAAGAGACAAGATGAGCGCACCGCTGTTGAAGTGGACCATGCAGGTGGCATATTCCCCTCTCGAGAGTTGATGGCCCCGAATGACCTGCAGCTTGCTGTATTTCGGCAGTGCACCGCTCTGGGAGGTATGGACCCGCACGACATGCACGCTCCCATCATCCGCGGCACTCGCGAAGCAGTGCACGCCCTCCAGCATACACACGCATTTCACCTTCGCGTGGTGCTGGCCGTACGTATGTCGCGGCTTGCTGGTCACGTTGCGCTCCAGCCGAGCCGTATCCCAGACTTTCACCGTCCTGTCGTCCGACGCCGTCACGAAGAACATGTGGTCCGCCGACACTGCGATCGCCGTGATGGCATCGGAATGAGAGCTCAGATGCGCCACCAGCGTGGCTTCCGTCGGCTGGCGAGCTGATGCGAATGTGTTGTGCCGCACAGCATTCCTGCGACGAACCGGTCCATCATGGACCCTAGGACCGAAATCTTGCTGCATCTCTCGGTTGTTGTCCAGGTACAAATTTTCCAGCAGGTGGTTGATCCCAGCTTCCTGTCCATCTTACACATAACATTCAACAAAGGAAAACGTCGCATCTGGAGCTGACTAGCCACGCACCGTATGTGGAAATCGACGCAGCACGAGGCAGCGGCGACGACCGTCCTGAGATCTCGCCGTCGAACAACATCCTCCCTGGCCGGGCATCCAGCACACCCAACGCATTCGTCTTGGAGGAGCCGATGGCCGGCGCAGCCTTCTGGCTGTCCGCCGTGCTGTGCTGCATCCGGCTCAGCGGGCGGAAAGTAGCCGAGTTCGACGCAGACACCACTGATTCAGAGGGACTCGCAGGCCGATCGATCGGCGACAGTGCTGTCATCTCCGGGGGCAGCGTCAACGGCGTGAGTAGCGGCGACAGCACAGTGTTGTGTGTCTGCAGCGACGTCGCGGATCCGTTGATAGTGGCCAGCCTCCGTCGTAGATCCTCGAAGGGAGCGCCAGACCCGGGACTCGTCGGAGTGCCCATAACCGAAGTCCGTCGCGACTGTACCTGCCGAATGCTTCTCAGCGGGCCCGGGTCGGCAGTTTTGGTCTTCAAGAACACAGTCTGGGGGACTACACCGAGTTTGGGTAGTTCGATGTCGCCGATAGTCTTGAGGGTCTTTTCGGCCTCTTGTTCAAAGCTGATTCGAGAGGCAAAGCTAGAGAACACGGTCGGATATCAGTTGAACTCGCACAGCCCAGTTTCGACGGACCTCGAGATAGCGTTGGCCAGCTTGAGGATGTAATCCCGCATAGCGACCAGCTTCGTCTCCTCCGTCGAAGACAGCCCCAGCGCTTGGAGCTTCGCGAAATGCACTTCGTCTCTAAAAGGAAGCCGATCAGTCTCGGTTGTTCTCTGTCTACAAGCGATGGGACTTGCTCCTCTGACTTGGGATTCCTGCCAATCACGCCTTTCCGCAGAGCCATGACACTTTCTCTCGGAGACTCTGTCTTGGCCGCAACGCGGCGCTGGCCTCTCCAGAACGTGCTCTTGTCTGCCTTCATCGCCCACTGCACAGCCGCATCAAAGATTTGTCTGGAGAGCTGTCGATGGAGATTAGGATGAGACAAAAAAGGAGATATAGGATTCCAAGCAAATACGCACGGCAGGTTTCATAGCAATCAACAGGCTCTGTTCGTCGATAGTGACGAGATCCGACTTGAGGAAATGGCGGAGAGAAGGGTAGAGGATGCACCAGACGTCGCTCGGCGGGAGATGGGCCGCTGCCGAGACGATGAACGCAGCAGCGCCTTGTCTGATCCAGCAATTGGGATGACACAGGAACCCGAGCGTCGAGCTCATCAGCTCCCATATCCTCATCTTCTGGAAAAGACCCAGTTCACAGAGACTGGTCAAAGAAGCCAGTACTTTGGCGACGACGGATTCCTCGACATCTGAGCAGTCAGCACAAGAGAGTGGCAGGGACTGGAAGCAGCCTGACCTGACAACGCCTGCACCATCAACGGCAGGATGTATTCCTCCAGACTCCTTCCTCCGGCGCAGGCAGCCACATCTACGATGCTCTCGAAGAAAGCGTGACGCAGAAGCCAGTCACGGTCGTTCAGGTAGGTGATCATGTGGCTCAGGAGCACGTCGTTCGTCTTCTGTCTGCCCAGGAAGATGCACAGGGACGAGATGTCGTGCAGCACGGCGCGTTTGACCACACTGGAAGGATCCATCAACAGAGCAGACAGGTGCTCCTGGATACTGCTCTGAAGGTCCAGTAATGTTGCGTCATACGATAACTTGCAGGGGATGAGCTGGTTGCGCGTGCATAGAATTCGCTTTGCTGACCTCATATCGTCCCTGATCGTACTCCTGCCCCTCGGGAGACAGATTGAATGTCCCATGGGCTTTCAGTGCTTGGCCCATCTCGAGATATCGCACGGCGGTATCGGCCATTTGTGCAATGCACTGGGCGTAGGTGCACCGCACAGACACCTCCGTGTCCTGAATCGCTGGCCTAATATTGGGGATGATGTATTCGGGAAAGATAGCTGCATTGGATGGTGTGATGACTGTCACCATCATCAGCTGCGACAAGGTTTGAATAACAATCCACACGAGCTACAATGAGGTACGCACCACCTGAATCATGGTCCTCACCGAGGCTGAACGAACAAGGGCAGATTCATCATGCAATAGCTCGACGATGTACGGCAGCATCCGATCCAGCTTGGCTTCGTCCGTCAGATGGGGAGCCAGGGCGAGAAACACATCCAATGCTTTGACTTTGGAGCTCGGAAGTGTGCAGTCTCGGATATTGGCAGTCACAAGCGCCAGGATGATGAGAGCCGGTCCATCTAGTAGGCTATCAGCGCCCGAGTCGTCGAGTGGTCGCAGTAAAAAACGGACCTTCAGTCGCTCTCAAACCAGTGTGGAAAGCGCCCTGCAGCTTGGACTCGCGATTAGGAATGCTCAGCTCGACAGGCAAGATGTCCTAGTAGAATGGTGAGAAAAGCGCACATCGAGCAGGAAGAAAAAGCACCTGGAACGGACGCGAGAGGCTGGCAGTCGTTGCGTATTCGACCTTCACGTCCATCACTGTCTCAGGGACAAGATAGGGTTCGACGCTCTCATAGTCACCCCAGATGCGGTCCATCCGGTGGTCCGAGTCATTTGGCAGCAGGCCAGTCTCCAGGGCTTCCGGGTTCGGAACAGGTCTCATCGACGAGCCCGACACCGACGGCGTGATTGTCGTCGGGGTGGCAGGCAGAGCAGCAACAGGCGTCGGAGCGAACGGTGGATCCGCAGGGATCTCGTTGATCGTCGAAACGTAGTTGTGCAGGAAGGAATAGAAACATTCTGGAAACACCGTGCCGCGAGAAGTGTGCAGCAGGGTGTCGAAGGTGGGCCGAGCAGTTGGCTCAAGGTGGATCATCTGTTTGATGATGTTCTACTGCCCTAGATGAGAGTGTGCTCGGAACTCCGCGAGACGGCACTCACTCGAACGCCTTCATCCTCGATCGCACTTAGCGGACCATCCACATTGTACTCGCCTTCTCTGTACTTGAACAGCTGACTGAGGGTGAACAGCGGCGTGCCTTCTAGAAACAACTCGGCGATGACACAGCCAGCACTGAAGCAGTCCATCGCCTCCGTCACCTTTCCGTCGCGTCGTCCCTCACTCAGCTCGTCCGCAGCGATCTTCGACTTCTTCGCGCTGATTTCCGGATTCGTGGCTGCTGTGTAGAACCGTTCCGGGGCAATATAGCATATCCGTCTGCCCGAAGTGTCGAAGAAGAACGAGAAGTCGGCCGGGTCGTCGAGGGGGAGGTAGGTCGGTTTGTACGACGCGAAGTCCGACACGTACACCCAGTTCCACGATGTGACCAGCACGTTCTCGGTCTTTATGTCTCCGTGGGAGACCTTGCGGTTGCGAGCGTCGCGCAAGCCTTGGAGGATCTGGAAGGCTATCCACTGTTTCTCGATCATGCTCAGGAAGGGACGCGTGCTGCGGAGCGTTGGCATACGCTCGGGTCGCACTGTCGAGATCCGCACCTGATACGATCGTATAAGCTGCTTGCGACCCATTGCCGAATCATGTATCCCGCTTTGTCCGTCTCCACAAACGACTGATAGCTGTACACATTGGAGATGTCGGCCAAAGCCTCCCTGTCCGCTACAGTCCAATCAGCCGATACTCGTTCCGGATCTTCGAGCTAACGCACATTTGAGGCGCCGCTGGTAGCTTCTTAATGATAGACCGGGGTCGGGTTTGATGAATATTTTCATAACGAGGTAGCCATTGTGGTGCCGGGACTTGACGGTCTTCAAGAAACGAGCGGAGCCTAGGCTAAGAACCGTCAGCGCGACTACTGGATGGGAAGGATGTGGGACACACCTTCTCTCATAGACGACGTCTGAGCCCAGCTCCGCCACGAACGAGTCCAATGCAGCGGTGGTACGCGTAAGCGTAGATCCCGAGTGTGCATTCCCCATAGTGAATGGTCCGGAATGAGTGAGGTCACGTCGCAGTCGTAAGGCTCATGAAATTCGAAAAAGATGTGTGCTAATGCACAAGTTGGTCTACGCGACTTTGGCGAGGTGGCTATATTCCCAGGCTGAGGCGATCAAAGTTGGTGATAACTTTCGTCCGCAGATATCAGATCGGTGCGAGTCACGTTGAGGGACCTTGGATGCTGGGACACAAGTTCTTCCTTCGTCTTCATCCACGTCTTTCTCGAACGCGCCATCTATATCGCTCTACTCCCCCGCTTCAAGTACACCACCCAGTGCTTACAATCCGAGCTATGACCACCCCCTCCGCGCCCGCCGAAGTGCCTCAGGTCGCCAAAACCGATACCCCATCCCAGAAACCAAAAGATAAGAAAGCCAAAGCCCCTGCAGCGTCCAGTTCTCCTCTGGAGGTGCGTCGGCACTCCCTGATGAGCGGGATTTGAGTCTGGCTCAACGGATCTGCGTCTAGTTACAACCGCGTCCCGCTTTTTTCGATCACCGTATCCAGCTCTTCGAGAGGCTCAAGGCAGAATACGATGAGTCCGTCAAAGGTATGGGATACTGCCTCTGTGTTATGCACGGTGCTCATACTCGGCCACGTAGCTAAGGCAAGGGAGGAGATTGTCGTGACAATGCCGGATGGTTCCGAGCGCAAGGCGACGAGTTGGGAGACCAGCCCGATGGATATCGCAAAGGAGCTTTCGAAAAGTCTCTCGGAACGCGTCGTCATTGCGAAGGTACGCCCCAGGGTCCGTGGTCTCTGCGCCGACTCAGCCAGTGAAATAGGTCGATGGCGTATTGTGGGATCTGGAAAGACCGCTGGAGAGTGCTTGCAAACTGGAGCTGCTCGACTTTGAGCACCCTGAGGGTGGGTTGACATGTTGAATGTGCTGTGTCAGCAATAATCTCGATTGCATCTGCAGGCAAGAAAGTGTTCTGGCATTCCTCAGCCCACGTCCTCGGGGAATCTGCGGAACGACACTACGGATGTCACCTGTGCTTAGGCCCGCCGACCGACGAGGGCTTCTTCTACGAGATGGGAATCGAGGATCGACCTGTTTCTGCGGCCGACTACCCTGCGCTCGAGAAACTTGCCGAGAGCGCCGTCAAGGAGAAACAAAAGTTCGAACGTCTTGTTGCAAAGAAGGAGGATCTCCTGGAGATGTTCGGCTACAACAAGTACAAGCGTTACCTCATCGAGACCAAGGTTCCCGATGGAACCTCGACCACTGTGTATCGTTGCGGCCCTATGATCGATCTTTGCGTTGGCCCTCATATCCCACACACTGGAAAGATCAAGGCGATGATGATCACCAAGGTGTGTAGATTGGGGGAAAGTAGCTCATTCGCCACTTATCGCTTTTAGAACTCTTCCTCGTACTTCCTCGGTGACGCAGCCAACGACTCTCTCCAGCGGATCTACGGCATATCCTTCCCCGACAAGAAGCAACTGACAGAATACAAAGCGTTCCTGGCTGAAGCCGCCAAGCGGGATCACAGGCGTATCGGCAAAGTAGGGAGTTTCAGTCGGATGAAGGATTCTACTGACTTGCAATAGGACCAAGACTTGTTCTTCTTCAATGAGCTCAGTCCAGGAAGCTGCTTCTTCCTGCCGCATGGGACTCGGATCTACAATACGCTGTTAGAATTCATGCGCGTGAGTAAACCGTCTTTCTCCTGAGGTCAGGCTTCAAATATCGTGGCAGTCCGAATACTTCAAGCGTGGATATCAAGAGGGTTTGTCGTTTCTCTGTGGGATTTTTTTTTCGCACAAATCACTTCGTACAGTCATCTCCCCGAATATGTTCCACAGCAAGCTCTGGGAAACGTCTGGACACTGGCAGAACTACAAAGATGACATGTTCACTCTCGACGTCGAGAAGGAAAAGTGGGCACTCAAGCCCATGAACTGCCCGGGCCACGCCCTCATCTTCGGGTCGCGCGATCGCAGCTACCGTGAACTGCCTATTCGGATGGCCGAATTTGGTGTCATTCACCGAAACGAAGCGTCTGGTGCGCTGACGGGATTGACGCGTGTACGGCGATTTGCCCAGGACGACACTCACGTGTTTTGCATGCCCAGTCAAGTGGAATCTGAGATCTCAGCCCTATTCGACTTCATGCAGCACGTCTACGGAACTTTCGGGCTCGACTTCCAGCTTGAGCTATCAACTCGGCCGGACAACTACCTCGGAGAGCTCAAGACATGGGATCTGGCTGAGGAGGTATGCCCCTATCTGCTTTTTCATTTTGATCGCTTCTGAACCCTCGCCAGCAACTCAAGAACGCATTGGAGAAACACTACCCTGGAAAATGGGAGATCAATCCCGGGGACGGTGCATTCTATGGACCGAAGATTGACATCAGTGTTCGGGACAGTCTGCGTCGATCGTTCCAGTGCGCGACGATCCAGCTCGACTTCCAGCTCCCTGACCGATTCGATCTCAAATACCGAGGAGAAGATGTCAACAACGTCGAGCAGCGACCAGTGATGATCCATCGTGCCATTCTGGGTAGTTTGGAGCGATTCATCGCAATCGCAACTGAACACTTCGCGGGCAAATGGTGCGTGATCTCGTTGCATGGTGCTCGTCATTCCCAATCATTTCGCGCAGGCCATTCTGGCTCTCTCCTCGACAGATCCTCGTCATTCCCGTTGCTGTGCCGTTTGTGAGTTTGATGGCGTGTTGCCGTGGATTTCCTACTGAGCATTATGCAGAAAGAATATGCTTCCGAAGTGACTGAGCAGCTCAAAACTGCAGGTCTCTGGGCAGATGTCGACAACGGGCCAGACACTTTGCAGAAGAAAATCCGCAACGGCGAGATCGCCCAATATAACTTCATTCTCGGTAAGTTCCTCTGTTCTTTCTTCTCTATCAGCCGTCAACGTGCTCTAGTCGTCGGTGAGGAAGAATCGAAGACCGGTCAGTCAATGTGCGCAACCGTGATGATGTTGGAACCAAGGCACGATCAGAGATGTTGGGTCTCGAGGATGTCTTGGCCAAGTTTGTGGCGTTGAAGGCCAATCGAAGTTTGCAGAACAAGCTCTAGACTGTAGATAACGTACGAGAGGGTCGCCAAACGAAGTTTCTCAGCTCCCACGATTGTCATAGTGTCGTGGCGGTGCGTGTCATAGACTCCGAAACCGAGGGTGTGTCCGGTCTTGGCTCGTCTTGGCGTTGAGCACAGAGATCCTGTGCTCTCTTCCATGCCATTTGGTACTAGGCTATGATCTGGGTGCACAACCTGCAGGAACAGCTTTCGGATTGCAGATCATCGCTCGCAGAATACCACCGCGTCATGGACAGCCACTCATGGAGTCTGAATGATGTATTGTACATCAAGTCGTCCCCTCAGCTTGAACTACCACCACCATGATCTCTCCGCAAGTGCTCGACCTTTGCAAGGGCACTGAAACTGTATCGTCCCTTGTCGCCAAGGACCCCCACCTCTCTCCCGGCGACGCATGGAAGAAACTCTATGGGAGCGTTAAAACCGTGTCGACGAAGCAGTCGATCCAGAAGCGCGAGAAGCACACCCCCGAAGATCTGCAGCGCGCAAGGGAATGTGGAAAGTGGGGGCCCACTGAGCCAAGTGAACTGTTCTTGAAGGTGCGCTAGATGGTACGCTGATCGTCGAGGAAAGACCTGATACGACACTGTAGCTCTACCACGACGCCTTGTGTACCCTCGATCATGACGTCTCTGCGTGCATGGTCAGTCCCCCGCTCATGGGGAGCTGTGGTACTATCCCCTTGACCGTGATCTCTGTGTGCGTGGACCCGAGTAATTCGATCCGCTTGTGGGGCTCATGTATCGCAGCGTCCCTGACATCATGCGGCATATGTCCAACCTCATCGTACGCGCCGAAAAGGAAGTCTTCCTTGCGACAAACTACTGGCAGAACTCAGTTGCTTCCAAGTACATCACCAACGCAATGAAAGAGCTCAGCCGACGCGCAGGCGAGCGCGGCGTCAAGGTCGTGATGAAGCTTGAGTACGACCGGGGAAGTCCCCGGCAGCTCTTTGAACCGCACTACATCGTGTCACAGAAAGAATACACCGGCAAGAATGTCGGCCTTCCCGCGCCGGAGGAGATCCCCAATATCGACCTCCAGGTGATCAACTACCACAAGCCTGCACTGGGAACGTTCCATTGCAAATACATGATCGTGGACCGCAAATATGCTGTTCTGCAGAGCGATAACATCCAGGATAACGACAACATGGAGATGATGATTCATCTAGAGGGGCCGATCGTAGATTCGCTCTACGACATGGCTTTGATTTCGTGGCACCTGAAACTGGCACCTACGTTGCCCAGTGCCAATCAGCCGGAAACTGAAGGCGGATTAGGTGGAATCGGAGACGAGACAACGGCTAAAGGCGACCAACGTGCAGATGTGTTGACTGGTCCGACGACTGTGGAGAGCGTGGTCCACCCTGTCAATAGCTCTCAGGCCAATGAGGCTCAGAGTGACACCGAACAAGGCGTTTTGAGTGCGTACATCACAAGATCATCCTCGAAACCTCTGACGAAATAGCAGATACCGCCCCGAACATTCAGACTCAGGTGAAAGGACCGGACGAATACACTAGAAACTACCTCTACTCTGGGAAACAAGGCATTAGCGACACACAGATTGCTCATCCCTCACCTGAAACCAGCCCGCTCCCGGAGCACACTGCTGATGATCCCCATTATGACGTCGATATTGCGGGCGAAATCGCCCGCGTGCAGAGTTCTGTCTCTCCCAAGCCCGGCCTGACGCGCATGGAAGCAGTCACAGCTCATCTGAACCACACGAAGAATCCCGGTTTCACGGGGAACGCGCCACCGCGAGGTGCCGGCGAGGAGATGACACCGTATATTGCACACCCGACCTCAGAACCCTTTCCCATCGCCATGGTCTGCCGGGCGCCTCATGGAAAGCCGAACCACGATTCCGTGTACAATCCGCAGAACGAAGTCTGGCTTTCTGCCCTGCGCAACGCGGAGAGAAATGTGTTTATCCAGTCTCCCACTCTGAATGCTGCTCCCCTAGTCCCCGCCATCATCGAGGCCTGCGAGCGCGGAATCGACGTCATCTGTTACATCTGTCTGGGCTACAATGACACCGGAGAGTTGCTCCCTGGACAAGGCGGCACGAACGAAATGATCGCACACAAGCTGTACAGCTCGCTCTCGGACAAAGCGAAGGAGCGACTGCACTACTACTGGTACGTTGGGGCCGACCAGACGGTCCCAATCGTCGCCAAAAAGAAGAAACGGTCCTGCCATGTCAAGGTCATGATCGTCGACGAGCATATTGGAATCCAGGGCAATGGCAATCAGGACACTCAGTCTTGGTACCACTCGCAGGAAATCAACATTATGTTCGACTCTGCGACCGTTTGCCAGGGTTGGATCGACGGCCTCCGGCGCGTACAAAATACTCATTTGTATGGGCCACTTGATAAGACGGATGGAATATGGAGGGACCAGAACGGAAACCAGCCAGAGGATGTCATTGGCATCAATCCCGGCAGGTTCAGCTGGGCCAAAGGATTCCTGGGCGCCATTGATCGTGTTAGGGGAACGGGAGACTTTTAGTCCAACCGTCAAGGCTTTGGATGGAAAGAATGCAATGTAAGGATAAGGCTGTATTGTGATATGCTTGTGACACTGGGACAATCTGAATCGAACGCTTTATTTCCCACATAACGGACAAGTACTCTAGAATGGAAGCTTCTTGGGTGTTCCACGCGTCGGTTTGAGCGGATTGGGCTTCCTGTGAACGTAGTTCTGTCATGGGTAGCAATAGGTCAGCTTGAGCAAATAATTCAGGCGTGTGTTGACGCACGGTCCGGAATTTGCGGATCCGCTTCCGCATGTCGTGCAATAGGACCCATGTTCTCCATGCCCTCTTTTTGCGGTGTCGCTCGAGGCTGCTGCCTTTGAACATCTTCCTCTTCGCAGCGTACAGGCGTGCACCATGCGCTGCGCCAGCAACGACGCGCTCCTTCGGCCGCCTGTCCCACTCAACCTTCACTTTCGTTCGCAGTCCCTTCACTTTCGGCATCTTTGCTGTCGACGCAGTCGGCAGGAGCAGCTCCGGGCTCACAAGCTTGACACTCGGCGGCAACAGATGTGCCGTGCCTGTCGCCTTGGCGCGCTTGATCAGGTCTGCTTGCTGGCGCAAGGAATATTTCGGGGGTGCCCAGCGACCCGTCGCAGGGTTCTTCCATGGCATGAAAGGGTTCGGGAGAGTGACGGTCCCGGCGGTAGGCGTTTCCGTTACGGCCCCATGGCGACGAACAAAGCGCGGAAGGGCTTTGAGCTCTCTGTGGAGGAATTTTGCGGTGGTGGACATGAGAGCTGTCGGCCGCTGTCAAACAGACACAAGCAAATCATTCGGACTCGGAATTTCTTACATTCCCGAACATGGTGTATTCCATCTTCGGAGTCTCCGGTGCATTTTCAAGTCCTTCACGCTATACTCGAATAGTTTAGAGCCTATGAAGCACTCGAGCTATGTCGTATTTGCTCTTCAAGGTGTCAATATCATAGGAGCTTTTTGCTCATTCCATGCAAATAAACTGGCACCATGTTTTGGGAGACGATCGGGTTCTGCTGAATGATTAACAGCGCATAGTAACATTTAAAATATGAGAATCAGTGGTATGACATACCTTCAACGCAACTCGAGAGTCAAATTACAACCGGATATTGAACTACGTCGTAAATTCATGATGAGATCCCGCCACGACTGCACTACTCTCCCTGACAATTTTCTTGCTCCCAGGCGGTGGCAAAACTGATTGATAGTCGTGCATACTATCAATCTCGCCGTGAAGGCAAAGACAGGGAATAATCGCGGAGCAATCATGTCTTTCTCGCTCCGAGGATGTATGATGTGTGTATGATGCCCTCGATTTCGCGTGCGTCACAGCCGTTTACGTCTGCAGTCTGAGACGGCTGGTATCCAGCAAATCCGACATCAAGCTCAGACGAGACTTGCCATCGATTATTGAACACGAGTCGTCACACACTCGTGATCGGCGTCACGCGCTGCGTCATTGAAGTCATATCCTCTTCAGTTACAGTAACACAATGTCCGTACACAGCCTCTCTTCCTCGACTATTCAATTTGATTCTCATCTACGCTTTGGTCCTTTGGGCCGAGCGAACGGCTTTTGTTCAGGGCCACCTGTTGTGTTCGGGGTCGTGACCGCGCTGCCGGCCGGAGTGCTGGTGCCAGAGGCAAAATCGTATTCAGAGCGCAGGAAAGCCTCATCTATCTCATCCGGTGTAGACGTCTCAATCTTCCGGTTGTGGAGTGAGGATGAAGCGCTTTCAAGAAGATTCTTGGCGTTCAAGAAGACAGAGTTGAAGCCAGATGCGTAGACCATCCGCTGTTTGACGGGGCAGGTGTTCGGGCACGAGTAGATAAAGACTGGGATGGCTCAGACTTGAAAAGATGATAGTTTAATCCCTCACTGATGTCACGAGCTGAGGGGGAGTGTTTCCAGGCATAGAATGCATAGCTTGCGCCGTCTGAAGGGAGGGAGGAACCAACATTTGCTACCTCTGTCTCGGAGAACGATTTGAGGGTGAGCGTTTCGGTTGGTATGTCGATTGTCTGCGATAACAGACTCCGTTTCCAAACGCAGAGAATGCAAGGTAGGTCAAACGCACCATGATCAGGAGTTCAGATCCATTGCACTCCCCCAGCTTCTTGACCGCCTCTTCAGATTCGGAGCTCCAGGGCATTCCGACCGTTTGACCCATGTGGGTTGTTCGCGCCCGACTTCCTTGATATACTCCCAAACCTCCCGCCTCCCGTTCCGCAGCACGTACATTAGCCAGCTCTTGTTCACTGGCAGAGAGCGGTTTTGGTGCAAGGATGTGCTTTCTGTGCGCTTCATAGGCCTCCGGCGTCAGATCTGCTTTGGATGTGGCAAATATGGAGTCGGTGAAGAGTGTCGACCCGAGGGACTTAAGCAAAGAGGCACGAGTCGACGCATACAGCATCTAGAGATAGAGACCGAAACATCAGGAGCAGCGTACATGATTGAGCTGAAGCATGGAGCTTCATACCTTGTCTCTGACTTTCGCAGTGTCGGGAACGAAATAGATGGCTAGCCATTCAGTGGCCGGGTCATCGAGCTTGGTGAGGACGTAGGCCGGGGTGTCATCGTGCAGAATTTCGGAAGTTTGAAGTTTAGTGAGATCTTCTGCTAATGTTCCTTGGATGGGTATAGAAAGATCATGTACGAGAGACTCTGAAAGCAGTCGGGTGATTAAGAGATGAGTATGTAGATCGGTGCAAGGCTTACCGTTTTGAATCGAGACTTTGAGAAATCTTGTTTCCTTACTGTCCACTGCATGCGAGAACTGAGCGCTGAGATCTGGAGAGACCCCGATTCCAGATGTTGCCATTGGAGCAGGTGCAGATAGTCCAAGGCCGTAATGGGTTGACAGCGTGCGTATTTTGATGCGCTCCCGGACAGCAGTTGCCGAACGCATGGCTTACTGAAAGCCTTGGTCTGCTCTCATCTACATATCTCGTCGTTCGTGCTCGCACTCTTTGACTCTCTCCAACTAATCACCAGGTCTTGCACTAGTCATTAGTGCGATTAATCGGCTCGCGTTCGTCGTCTGAGCCCACGAGGATCGTTGTTAAGCACTCGGCTGCTTTCTGAGACATTCGACAATGTCTCAGTCAGGCCCCGGTCTTCCCTACCAGCCTTACAGGGTACGCGATATTCCCGCTTTCTCAATCTTGAAGTAACTTCGCGCAGTCAAAGCGGCATTCGCACACTCCGTCCAACTCTCATCCCAGCACACCGACCAACGTATCAGCCCCGCCGATATCTCGACCACCTAGCGTCGTCATTCCGAAGACCCCACCCCCGCAACCCATTACGAACGGAAGAAGTGTTTGGGAGGAGGAAGCCGAGGAAAAACCGACCGTGTTGCCGCAATCGGTCCAATCACCACCTCTGCCCGTCATCGTTCTCCCGGTCCCGCCGCAATCGAATGGAACAGACTCCCCCGAAGAAACTGTCTCGCCTGTTCCCGCCACGGCTTCTTCGACTGTTTCCATCCTTCTACCTGAACCCGCCTCAGAAGCTTCGGCGATCGGCCTGAGTGAAGGTATAGAAACCGACACACCATCGTCTCCCACTGCTTCTCAAGCAGAGAGCCCCGGGTCAAGTCTACGGGAACTACCAACTACTTCGTCGTCAACAACTCCAGCCGTTGCCGATACTCGACCCACTGGACCGCCGAGGAAGGTGTCTACATTTCGACGTATCCCGCGAAACTCTCGCGGTCCACTCCCTCCCTCTCCTTTGGCAGAAGGGAACTCACGAACACTCTCGTCCTCGTCTCTTGCTCCATTACCACTTCCACCGACCGCAGCGGATGTATCGTTGTCATCAAGACCGACCTCCATGATTGTGGACCAGCGAACATTGGTTCCACCACCTCCTCCCACGAAGGAAAATGGCTCGGGCCTCAAGGCTAGACGGCACTCTATGCCATTGAACGCGGATGCTGTCTCAGCCTCCCTAGCGACGCATCCCGCGAGAAGTTCGTCCCTTGCTGCATCTGTTGCAGCCCCCATATCCCGGGTTCCGTCGTCGACCGCTTCAGGTCAATCCACTCCGAGCGCCGCTCCCGGGTCCATCCCCCCATCCCCATCTTCACAACAACCTCCACCGCTTCGCCCCGCTTCTGCGCCGTATCGGCCCGGCTTCCAACCCAAGGGAGTGTATCGCCCTAGAACAGACGAATTCGTTGAGCATCGGAAGGCGCACGCTATATCCGCAGGGTATGCTTCCGCGGAACGGACGAAGCTTGAACGAAGGCTGGAGAAGCTTGTTCATCTGCATTTTCCAGAGGAAAAGAAGGCGTCCACCGTAGGGACTGGTTTGCGCCCTGGACTTTCTCAACCCAGCGTTCGCCGCGCATCATCGTTCTTCGACCTGGATTTGAAGGGGATCTTGTCTGGTGGAGGTGCCAAGGATGATCTGCGCGCAGCAGAGCAGAGGCTGACGCCCTGGCAAGACGATTCTTCGGTCAGCAAATGCCCGTTGTGTTTGTTCGTCGTTTGAATCTGTTTGCTGGAATGTTCATTAACTCGTTCCCAGAACCGGGTTCCACCCCTTGACCGTTCGCAAACATCACTGTCGGCTGTGCGGCAAGATTATATGCGCGCTTCCTATCAAGCGACCCCAGCGTCCGGAACCTTGTTCGATCCTGTTCGTAGTCGACCCGAAGACGAGGAACATCGAGGAAGTCGGGGAAGGGGTAGACTACGGCGTTAAAAAGCGACGCACCGAGAGTACTGGGGGAGCTAAGAAGACGCAAGATGCGGTCGAGGAGGAAAAGTTTCTTCGTGGTGTCCGGATCTGCAAGGATTGTCGACCGGTGCTATTGTGAGTGAGCTTGATCGATCACAATCTCGCTCTTACCGTTTCAGGCGCGAGCAATATCATCAACAGAACAATCAGGTCCCAATGTTTGTGAAACTTTATGAGGCCAGTGGCAATCTGTCCTGCTTGGCACGTCAACTGAGCCAGCATGTAGGCCTTTCTCTCTTTGGAGAAGGAGATAGAGGAGGCTTTGCCTCAGTTCCAGGAGCTCATCCTTAGTCTCAAGTGTGTGCGATCTAGCATCCAAGGACGTCGCTGAATTCGTGATGTAGCCAAGAAGCATCCCAGACGTCCAAGGAAGCCACCGCTGCGAGAAAACGACTTTTGGAAGCCTTTGCCCAGTACGATGCGCTGTCCAAGAGGATACGGGCCCTTCCCACCCCCAACGGAAAGGGAAGCTCCCAGGAAAGGGTTCAAATTGCGGTGATGACCAGAGCCAATTTCTTTCTCCAGAAGAATATGTTCCCTCTACAGGTATGCTTTCATGTGACCAAACCCTGATTCTGTGACTGAAAAAAATTGCCAGTCTCTGCCTACACCGAAGCGAGCAGGATCGAGCGCTCTGGTCCAGGCTCAAGAGGACGATCTCTTCGAAGACCCGAGTTCTGCCACGGCTCTGGCTTTGCAGCCGCTACTTGAACAAGAGGCCTTACTCGAAAACTACGTCGAGGAGGCCAAGGCGCAGCGGAAATTCGAGGATGCGAAAACTCTCCGTCAAAATCTCGGTGAGATTCGACAGGAGATCGAACGGGTATTGGCGGCTGAAGGGCTCGAAGGAAGGGCAGTACGGAGGGCGAAATGAGCCGTAGCATTCACTAGTTTATGTCTTATGGGTGCTTCTTCGTTCGCCTAGCGAAGCGTGGGTCTCATCTGATGATTGCCGTAACCGAGAGATTGAGCGCGCGTCAACCCCGCAGACACGTGACCGTGATCCGCCACCGGTTATGATAACCCCCACGTCAATATCAGATGCAACTTGCGCAGGGCCATAGTCATGCTAGCAGCGCTCAGCAACGGGCTGAAACGTCTCCCACCTCGCCGCATTCGCTCACAAGTCTCGCTCAGAATGCTCGGGTCTCAACCCCCCAACTGGAAAACCGTCGCGCCAGCGCCATCGGAGCCAGGACCCACGTTCGCAGGCCAGTCTTCGCTGCCGCTGCTCCCTGTCCCGGAACTCGAAGCAACTCTCGCGCGGTTGAAAGAGTCCTTGAAGCCTCTTGCGTGGTCGCAGGATGAGCTCGCCGCCGCAGAGGCCAAAGTCGACGAATTCGCTGCTGGCATGGGCCCTGAGCTACACGCGCGACTGCTCGAGCACGCAAAGCAACGCACCCATTGGCTTGAAGAGTGGTGGGACAACATCGGATATCTCGGATACAGGGACTCGGTACGCGTCATCGTCGATGTGCCGCTCCCTGTGCTCACCTTAGTCCGTCTGTGCCTGTTCAGGTGGTAGTGAATGTGTCGTACTACTGTCCGTGTGTCTCGCGACCACTGCTCCGCCTTGTCTCCTCATTCGAATTTCAGATGGGTTTGGGTCGCAACCTCCACACGCTACCCAAGGCCGCCTTGGTCGTGCTGCATATCTCGCTCGCGCGACGATGCTGTTCCGACAGAGGCTCAGACTCGGGCAGCTTCAGCCGGAGACGATGAAGGATGGCCCGATATGCATGGATACCTACCGGTTAGTCGCTCGCTCGCTGCTTATGTGGAATTAACGCGGTCGTAGATGGATGTTCGACTGCTGTCGCCTCCCCGGGCCAGAAGGCCTTGACTGGAGTGTGTCATATGCCAAACCGGGAGACAAGGGTGACACCGGGCACATGATCGTTTTCCGAAACAATCGGCCATGGAAGGTGGAGCTCACCAAGGACGGACGGATCCTGTCCGTCATAGAAATTATCAAGTGAGGACCTTTTAGTTGTAACGACTGCTTCTCATCATACTTCATAGGCAGCTGCAGCACATCGAAGATAACTCCAAGGGGGAATACCCTGCAGTAGGCGTGCTGACGTCGAACAACCGTGATGTCTGGGCCAAAGACTACGCTGAGCTGATGTCCTCTGCGCACAATGCCTCGATTCTGCACGACATCCAGTCCGCTGCGTTCTCGATCAGTCTCGATTCGTCTGCTCCGCTGTCTCCTGTACAACACAGTCGTGATCTCTGGCACGGTGCATTGGTCGATGGCGTGCCTGTCGGGCTGCAGAATCGATGGGTCGACAAGCCTGTGCAATACATCGTTTTTGAGAACGGAAACTCTGGACTGATGGGAGAGCACTCGGTGATGGATGGGACCCCCACGGCTCGCATGGCTGACGAAGTCCTGGACATGATTGCGTTGCAGTCGTTCGACACAGGCAGGAACGAGTACGCACAAGCGCCAAGAAACGACAGCTTGCCCATTTCACTGGACTTTGAGGTTTCTCCCGCGACCCAGAAGGCGATTGAAGCTGCCAATGCTGCTGCGAAGGAACTGATCGAAAGCCAAGAGCTGGGATTCCACATCACTGCGTATGGCAAGGCTGCAATCAAGAAGTTTGGGGTCTCACCCGACTCTTGGGCACAAATGATCATCCAACTGGCTTACCATCGTCTGTTGGGTGGGGCCCAGCGCGTGGGGGGCACGTACGAGGCCGCCTCGACCCGGAGATTCTTGAAGGGAAGGACAGAAGCGATCCGTGTAGTCTCCAGCGAGTCGGATGCGTGGGTGAAGAGCATGGACGCCGATTCCATTCCTTCGTGGCAGAAGAAGCAGTTGTTCAAGGACGCTGTCAAAGTGCACGGAGACCGAGCTCGATCTGGTGGCATGGGACAAGGCATTGACCGGCATTTGTTCGGTGTGGACGGTTCTATTATTGGGGGATATCTCTGATGCGATTTGAATCAGGTCTCAAGAGAGTACTCAAGCCGACGGAGACGGCCCCTGCATTGTTCAGTGACGCGCTCTTCCAGCGTTCGAGCTACTGGGTTCTCAGCACGTCCGCCATCTTTTCGAAACATTTCCCAGTGTATGGCTGGGGTGAAGTAGGAGTGTCAGCTCTTCGAAGTGAATCGGCCCTGACTCGACCTCCTAGGTTGTTCCAGACGGATTCGGTGTCGCTTATGTGACAGGCTTTGACGGTGCGCGAGTTGCTCCGCCGAGGCTTCCGCAGTGTTGACCTATTTACCAGACCGTCTGCAATACACCGTCACGTCTAGAGTAGAGAGTCCCAACGCTAGGTTCACGGAGGAAATCGCCCAGGCTGCAAAAGATCTATACGACCTGCACGCGAAGGATATTTCCGGTCAACCCAAGTTGTAGATCCCGAGCGAGTTTGCTCGTGTACTGATAATTTCAAAGTGCTTGGACTTGCACAACTTATTGGGAATAGTCACATTGAATAATTAAAAGCACTTTCCGATGAGAGCTCGCTAAGCAAGAGCGCCAACCTGGTGTTGAACAGACTGCATCATTGTAGTCACGTCCTTGCTTATCACAGTATGATCATCAGCGGCATTAGCATCCACAACCTGACATTCCTCTCGCCTTTTACTAGAGGAATCCGTGTCGGGTGCTAAACAAGGTCGCTATGCCAATTTTTCAGATAACATGGCTCTTCGCGAGTTGCCCTACTCTTCTTTTTGGGCACGGCCTTGGGGCTTCCACATCGGGCAGTATTTTGATCGCCTTGACTCTTTAGCCTGTCCCACTTGGGACACTTGCTGGAACCTCTCTCTTCATCCTGCAAAATGACAATTTCATGTGCTGCCAACGTACTCCTGACGGCTGCGGGGCTGTGAAAAGTATTTTCGTGCCTACCGCGCGGTCATGGAACGCCGGTCTCGTACCGGTCTAGCTTTTAGCCGCGAAGCATGCGAGTGCCCAATATTTACCGACTCGCTCCAGACCACGTTGAGACCTGCTTAGACCGTGCACTGGCGACTGTATAACGACCCTTGCGACATCTGCTGAACCGCAACCACTCTCCTTCACCACTACAACTACCACTACACAGTACAATCGACTATGCCGGCGTCCCTGGGCTTCTGTGCTCACCGACGCGCGGCGTTCTTCCTCGTTTTAGCCCTCGCAGCAGAGGCCGTCTCTGCGGCGCGCCCCTCGAAGCGATCGACGACGGACCCGACGCAAGTTTCGGGCAAGACATTCGATTTCGTCGTGGTCGGAGGCGGGACCGCGGGGCTTGCCGTCGCCGCCCGGCTTGCGGAGTGGAAGACGGACATCCAGGTGCTCGTTATCGAGGCGGGGTCGGACGGGACAGAGTTCCAGGACCAAATTACAATCCCAGGTACGCGCGATACTGGTGCCGGTGCCGGTCGCCCTTCTGGCTGACCACGCGACTGACTGACGGGTGGCAGGGATGTCGTATCTGAAGGGTCTTACGCAGTCGACTTATGACTGGAACTACCAGACGACGGCGCAGACGAACGCGAACAACGGGGTGCGGACCTGGCCGCGAGGCAAGGGTCTGGGCGGATCGTCCGCTATAAACGGCGGCTTCTGGTGTCGCGGCAGTCAAGGCGAGTACGATGCATGGAATACACTACAGCAGGGGTCCGGGACGACATCGCCAAACGACTGGGGCTGGGATGCCATGTCCACGGCGATGAAGAAGGTGCGTCGATCATGCCGTTGTGTTCGCTCTTCACCTTGACTGACTGAGCGACCGGTGTACTCAGTCCGAAACATTCACGCCGATGTCGGCAGATAACGCCAACCTGATGTCTGTCACGCACGATCCCGCCGCGCACGGCACGTCCGGCCCGATCCAAGCCAGCTACAGCTCGTACCAGTTCTCGCACCTCGCGACCTGGATCCCGACGATGGTCAACATGGGGCTGCCGCACGTGCTCGATCCGGCGAACGGCACCAACGTCGGCGTGTCGTTCACGCCCTCGATCATCAACCCGGCGAACGGCTCGCGCTCAGACTCGAATTTCGGATACATCGCCCCGTTCGCGGGCACCAATTTGATCATCCTGACTGGTTACCAGGTGACGAAAATCAACTGGAAGTCGACGGCGAAGGGCGCCGCGGTGGCCAGTGGCGTGTCGTTCTCGGCGAGTGCTGGCCAGAAAGAATTCACCGTGAATGCCGGGAAGGAAGTCATCCTTTCGTAAGTGGCCTGTGATATTTTTTTTGGTCGCGCCTGCTAAAAACTGTCTAAGCGGTGGAACCATTGGATCACCGCAGATCCTTCAGGTGTCGGGTGTCGGGCCAACGGATTTGCTCAACAGTCTCAACATCCCAACCGTAGTGGACCTGCCAGGCGTTGGTGCCAATCTGCAAGATCACTGTGAGTGATTGCGCATTTCAGCAGTTGAGATTCCCGGCCCTCATGTCTTCGCAGATTCAGTTTCCCTGTACATGCAGGCAACGGACAACAACACGTGGTATGAGCTCAAGGCCAACCAGACGCTGTGGGACGAACAGCTGGCGATTTGGCGAGCAAGCGGAACGGGAATGTGGACGTACTGGAACGAGGCCACGGCTTATCCGGCAATGTCGCATGTCATGGGCTCCAATCTCGCCAACTGGGCTGCGGGCATCGACGTGACGGCGGCAGTCAATTCTGCGGCTGCGCCGCTAGATCCGACCGTGCAGGCGGGTCTGAAGGCGCAGCTGGACATCGTCAAACAATGGGCAAGCTCGCCGGATATCGGCCAGCTCGAGCTCATGTGAGTGGCGATCTCTTCGAGGACACTGACTTCTTTTTGACGCGCTGCAGCTTCAACATGTTTGGTGGTGGTCTCGGTGGAATTGGCATCCAGTTCTGCTTGCAGCATCCGTTCTCTCGCGGAAACATCCGGATCCAGTCGCCGTTCACGTTTGATCCCCCTCTGATCAACCCGAACTACCTGGGCTCGTCGTACGACCTGGACATCATGCGTGCCGCCTTCAAGTACGTGCGGCAGATCATCGCCACTGCGCCTATGTCGACTATGCTTGTCGGCGAGAGCGGCCCGGGGCCATCTGTGAGCACTGACGCGCAGATCGACGCATACCTGCAGTCGACCGGTGTGACCGAGTACCATCCGATCGGCAGCAATTCAATGATGCCGCTTGAACTCGGGGGCGTGGTGAACACCAGCTTGGTTGTGTATGGAACGACGAATGTGCGGGTCGTCGACATGTCGGTCGCGCCGCTGCATGTGGCGGCACACACGATGGGCACGGCCTACGGCATCGCTGAGCAGGCTGCGGAGATGATCATCGCCGCCTACACAGTCAACAACGCCGGCTCTGGTTCGTCGGCCTCTGCTTCCGGCGCTTCCGGCAACAGCCCGACGGGCCAGCCGAGTTCTGCGGGATCGTCGAACAGCAACAACTCGGCCAGCACACCAGGTACCGCTTCATCGAGCATGTCTACGGGGACGAAGATCGGGATCGCCGCTGGAGCTGCCGTGGCGGCTCTGATCGCGCTCGTTGCATTGATCATGATGCGGCGCAAGAAGAACGACCGCCGCGATCAGATCGCTCCCGGCACGCTGGGCAAAGACGATCCGTGGTACAGCGAAGACATGCAGATGCAGCCCCAGCCCCCGTACATGACACGGCACGCGTCAAATCCCAGTATGGACAGCACAGTCCTCGGCGCATCGGAGCACAAGGCTGTCGAGTACGACCAGCAGTACTACAACCCACAGGTCTACAACGCCACGTCACATGACGGCCACGACTATGGGCAGGAATATGGCTCCGCTCAGCAGTACGGCGATCCGTCCCAGTACGCTCCTCCCTCGCAATACGCTCCGCCGTCACAATACGGCGCAGTGCACTCAAATCTCTCCACAGCAGATGTCACAGCGCTGCAGGCGCCGCACTCGCCTGTGATATCTCCCCATTCCCTTATATGGATGTCCCTCCACAGTCTGGACACATCTGACACTCCTTTCGCCCGTATTCTTGACCGCATCCGTTCATTGACTCTACCGGACACTTATTGAAGTGCTGTACATACCATATAGCGCAGCATGTATTGTAGATAATTACCGAACAAAAAGGCCTGGCGTCATGAACGTAGACTTAGCGCGGAATTTGTAGATACAATATACATAATGACCTGTCTGTGTCTGTCGATTGCTCACATCTCCCTTGGCAAGTCGCCAATTGGCCCTATCGCGAACTAAAACAGGCCTCTGAAACACGGTCGATTACTTAAAGATCCAAGCCGGTTATTCCGAACTAACATGTACTACTATCTCCGTGGGGATACGTATGTTCTTGCTCCCATCGAAGGACACACAAGGGGCTCGCAGATGCAGAGGGCGCCGCTAGATTCTGTACGCCATGGATCCTCAGTATCTTCGAGCGATATTATTGGTGTAGTAAATTTTGGTCCGAATACGGTCGAAATGTCTGGGCCACTAAGAAAGATGGAGTGGAAGAAGGGTCAGGAGATAATTCCCTTTTGAGCTTTCAGGTGGAGCACCAGCTAATATGGGGCACGTGATGCATTCCCATATCGAGCTCCACTTGCACAACTCCGAGAGAAGCCCGAGACGCAGACTTGGTACATCTTTTCTGGTCGCTTTCTGCACTGTTTCGTCCAGAATCGCGTGGCTGCACGTATCTCCGTCTTGCCAAGCTCGTCCACAGTCAACATGTCGAAAGCTTCCACCTCACCCATCCGCGTCGCGATTCTCACAGGTCCGTGCATCCCCATGTCTCCGCATGATCTGAACCCGTTCCGATCCCTCTGCTTTGCAAGTCAGCGACACCGCCTCGGCAGATCCTTCCGCAGACAAATCCGGCCCCACTATACGCAATCTGCTGCTCACCAACCCAAACGCCTCGTTCGACAGCCGCGACGCAGACAGCCTCATCGTCCCCGACGATGTGGAGCAGATACAGCGCGCGGTGCGCACTCTGTGCGAGCGCAAGGACGTCGATTGGATCATCACGACCGGCGGGACCGGGTTCGGCGTGCGCGATCGGACACCTGAAGTGAGTAGTATGCCCGAAACGAGTGCGCTTGTCCGCGGGGCTCACGCCTGAAGGCCATCGCGCCGCTGCTCGAGCGCCACGCCTCGGGCCTCGTGCACCTCCTGCTCTCGTCGTCGCTCGCGCACACGCCGATGGCCGCGTTGTCGCGGCCGGTCGCGGGGACCATCGGACGCACGCTCGTCGTCACCTTGCCGGGCAGTGTGCGTGCTGTCACGGAGAACCTGGGGGCGTTGTTGGCCGCGGGCGTGGTCGGACACGCGGTGGAGCTGATGCGCGGAGGGCAAGGCGCGGGGCAGGAGGTGCACCGGGCGCTCGCAGCGCAGGCTGGAGCCGCTCCGCAAACGGAGACCAGCCCCCAGCACCATCACCACCACCATCATGAACACCACCTCCATGAGCATGGGCATGCGATCCCCCAGGCTCGGACTCTGTCGCACGATCCGGCCAGCGGAGGTGATCTCGATGTCGTCTCGGTCGGATTGGAAGATACTCACGCGTAACATGCAGTCGCAGCGCGGAATCGCGTGTCGCCCTATCCATTGGTGTCATTCGAACATGCACTCGAGCTCATCATGCAAGAGCTCCATCCATTAGGGATTGAGACGCTCCCAGTCAGGCATTTGTTGATCCCCATTTGTAGACCCTGACTTTGGTGTGCAGGTCCAGCCGGCTCTTCGAGGTCATGTCTTGGCAGAGGATGTACACGCCTCCCAGAACATACCATACACACTCACAACCAACGTCGATGGATACGCTCTCCATTGTAAGTCTCTCAGCTAATCGACGTCATCCGTCCTGCAACTCGAACGTCCCAGCTAGTCAGCCGGCTGGAACATATCGCGTGCTAACATCCCAAACGCACGATCGCAACACCGCACTTCCGCCAAATACCATCTTCCGCGTCAACACCGGCGGGCCGTTACCCGCTGGCGCGGACGCCGTGATCATGGTGGAGGACACGCGTGTCGTTTCCGAGGCTGATGGGGAAGAGCAAGCGGTGGAATGTCTGGCGCAAGTCCCACCGGGCGAGAATGTACGGCAGCCGGGCTCTGATGTGCGACAGGGCGAGCTGGTGTTGGAGAGAGGCGATGTGTTGTCCGGTGGAGAGATCGGGACGCTTGCTTTCGTTGGCCAGAAAGCGGTGCGTGCTGTGCTACTCGTGCTTTGACGGAAACGATAGTTTTCAATTCATCCAGGTGAAAGTGATCCGACGGCCGATTGTGGCGATTATGAGCACCGGGAACGAACTGGTTGACTTGCAGAAACCCTCGTCGACATCAGACACAGAATGGGGAGGCATCTGGGATACTAATCGGCCGGCGTTACATGCCTCACTCGAGAGACTCGGATACGAGGTGCTAGACCTGGGAATCGTCGCGGACGAGTTGAGCCCGTTTTATGGTTTTCTGTTGCCCACTGACGTTTTGAAAGTATGGAATCACATACTCAGGTCATGTCGGATGCACTGGCGCGCGCCGACATCTTATTGACGACTGGAGGCACTTCGATGGGGCCTACAGATCTCCTCAAACCTGTCATTGAACGTCGGCTGAATGGTGCGATCCACTTCGGTCGTGTCACCGTCAAGCCGGGCAAACCAACCACATTTGCGACCGTTCCCTATCCCGGTGCCGATGAACACACTATCATGAAGCCCGTTTTCGCGCTGCCGGGTAATCCGGCCTCGGCATTGGTCACGTTCTACGTGTTCGTCGTCCCTGCTCTGCGACGATTGGGAGGATGGGCCGTGGAAAAGTGCCAGTTGGCACGGATTCCTGTCCAAGTATGTGGTGCTTCACTCGCTGAACGCCCGTGTGCTCATGTCTGTGCACAGCTTACAACCCCCATGCCCCTCGACCCTCGCACTGAATTCCACCGGGTGGTGATCCACGCAGATATGCATGGCCTCAAAGCCTATAGCACTGGTGGTCAGAGATCCAGTCGCGTCGCAAGCCTGAATAGCGCCAATGGATTGGTGGTGCTACCCATGAAATCGGCAGACCAGTTGGTATTGGAAGCTGGCTCGATCGCATCCGCTGTTCTGATTGGTGATATTCTGTAATCCATGTATGGTTTTGCATCAAAGATAATGATCAGCGCTCCAAAGACGACAGAGGATTATGGAAAGACAACAGCGGAGAATCAGGTAGAGCACCTTGTACGTGAAAGAAGTACCATCGTGTACCAGGAAAACGAATGTCATGGCTCAGCATCCTGTACACAAACCCTACCCGCCTCGAGTTGTCTTCTCCGTCCCACGCATTGGAGCATTGGTCCGACTCAACTCCGCCTTGTCAGGACTTCGCTTATCCTCGTTTGTCTGCCTCATGCGCTCTGCGCGGTTGCGTTGTCGGTGCGCTTGTTTGGGGCTCAACATGGTGCCCGTCTTGGCGACCCTTCTCAGGCCCTGGTCAGTGTGAGCGAACACCTTTCTCCTTCGGCGGTCGAGTAGGGTAACGGCATCGGCTCCGGCGCGTTTGCCGAGCAGCACAGCTGCTTTGTACAAGTGCGACGTCCCGGAAAGAGGTTTTTTCTTCTTCGGCGACGATGATGGATCGCTGTCTCCAATTTTGTGCTCGACCTGGCGTAGCAGCCAGTCCGACGCTGGATACACGTGCACGATAGGGACGGCGACTCGATCCGGATGGGACGCATACACCTGGAGCAGAGCAGCGGCGCCGGGGACCGGAGTGTTGTGCCGGAGCTGCTCGTGGACAAAGTGTTCGTAACGGCCGACCATGGGTTCGCGGAGAACGTTGTGCACCATGTGGTCGAGCGCGGAGGCGGGGGGTGGCATTGGGAGAATCACAAGGATGAAGCGGAGAGGGGCAGGATGTGCATACTGATATGTTTCCGTTCTACTGTCTGGCTTGCCGCGAGGGAGCTGGGTCGGCTGGAAGTACGATTTTAGGAGATTGAAAACGCTTGCAGAGGCAGGGTTTTCCGGAGAGTGGCTTAATTTGATACATTAGAGGAGAACTGCCAGTGCATGGGCAGACACACTAGAGAACGACCACATCGAGATCGCTGGGTGCACGTCGGTTCCATTCGGTGATCGCATGCTGGTGCTTCACGAGAAGTTCTTTCTGAAGAGTGCTAGGTATGACATGGGGTGGGCCATAGGGAAGGAAAACGCGTCCGCCCTTTGGTAGGCGATCCAGGACCTCCCTCCATCCGGCTTTCTGAGCTATGAAGTCGGAGGCTGATAATATTTCGGTCACCGAGATATCAGGAACAGAACTTTGCGCGTATGATCTAGTCCAGGAGCGAGCATGTGTGATTGCGCGGAATGGTTTGACTCTTCGCCATGGACGAAAGAACATGTACTTGCAAAAGTCACCCACCGCGCATGGACACAACATCTGTCACGTGAGATCAGGTCGAACATTGATCCGATGATTCCATCAATGACTTGGCGGGCTCGTTTTTCCAGAGGCCAGTCAGAGAAGAGAACAGTGCCGGGCCCACAATCTTCCAATCGGGACACGAGATGAAACGCAATCGCTTTCCGAACCTTCCCGAAGCCCTGGGCATGTGAACGCATCAACAGCATGGATGATTCTCCAACGCATGAGCGTTGCGGAGCACCGCCTGAGCAGCCCTACGGAAATCTCGAAGCCGCATCAGTGCCGCCGTGTTCATCGGACGGGAGCTTGATGTGCTTCGAAATTTACGCTCACGTGATCGCGTCATTGTTTTTTGTCGGACAGAGTCTAGAGGATATTCAGTGGATTTTAGAAAATTCAACTTGATTGCTAGGCAATGAAGCCACTCCAAGATAATTGCTCCCTCGAATGGACTGAAAAATTACCATGGCACCAGCAACAGGGGGATACTTCTAGTCGAACAGGGGAAGGGGCGGCGCGTCGGGACAAGATCCGGTGATCCGATAGTTCCCCAGATTACCTTATATTCGAGGTTCCCCAGTTCCAAGCCTCTCACAACCACCATGCTTGTCGTGCGAGCATGCGGACACGCCCGGCCGTCGTTGCGCCTCTCCCTCGTCGCTGTCAGAAACTACAGTCTTCCTGCTGAGCCTCCGAAGAAAACGAAGGTGTGGGACTCGGTCGACGAGGCGGTCAAGGATGTGAAGACGGGCGACACCTTGCTCTGTGGAGGGTTCGGTGCCTCGGGTCTGCCTGGTATGTGTGACACCGGACATTCCGGGACGTTCGAACTCACTGCGTGGATACAGATACCCTGCTCGAAGCACTAGCGAAGCGCCAGGAGGTCACGGATCTGACTGGTGTCTCCAACAACGCGGGGAACGGTAACTCTGGCCTCGGTGAGTTTCCAGACGACTCTGTATCTGCTCCATCTCATCGATCCCTGTGCTTCAGGCAAGCTGCTGAACACGAAGCAGCTGGGCAAGGTCATCGGCTCCTACCCTGGAGGGTACGCGTTCTCTGCAAAAACGTCCTCGAACCGTTGCTCATGTGCTCTACAGGAACAAGGTGTTCGAGGCGTTGTACCTGAAAGGAGAGATTTCGTTGGAGCTCGTTCCCCAGGGTACATTGGCTGAACGGATCCGTGCCCACGCTGCCGGCATCCCGGCATTCTTCACTCCGACTGGCGCATCGACTGCTGTCGAAGAGGGCTCAATTCCCGTCCGGTACAACCCTGGAGGTATTACTGCCGGTGTAGCTATTCCTGGTCGTCCCAAGGAGGCCCGCGAAATCAACGGCCGGCGGTATGTTTTGGAGCCCTCCATCGTGGGCGATGTGGCTTTCATCCGGGCGTGGAAAGTGGATGAGTCAGGGAACTGCGTCTTCAGGTGTGTCAATCCGAATTTGCTTTCCCTGGTCATTGGCTCATTTGCACCACAGATATGCTTCCAATAACTTCAGCACGGTGATGGGACGCAACGCCAAGCTGACCATCGTTGAGGTATGTCTCGATACAGGAGTGACTGTGCCGCACCAGTCTTCTCATGGTCAACTCTAGGCCGAAAACATCGTTCCCATTGGTTCCCTATCACCCAACGCCATCCACTTGCAAGGAATCTACGTCGACCGGATCGTTTCGGCAACTGCGCCGAAAGAGATCGAGTTCATCACGCTCGCCCCGGATCCATCGAAGCCTGCCACGAGCCTGAGTCCGGAAAAGTCCGCTGCCCAGGACCTCCGACACAAAATCGCGAAGCGGGCCGCCAAGGAACTTGCGGATGGATTTTACGTTAACCTTGGCATCGGCATGCCAACTCTGGTCCCCGAGCATTTGCCCAAGGGTGTCAGCGTCTGGCTGCAGAGCGAGAATGGAATCCTTGGAATGGGACCGTATCCTACTGAGAAGCAGGTCGATGCGTATGTTGCCAGCTTCTGCACGTTCGGACGTACTCTCATCACGGATGCAGCGACCTGATCAATGCCGGGAAGGAGACTGTGACCCTTCTTCCTGGTGCATCTGTCTTCGGTAGGGTGCAGTTTGCTTCTGTTCGCCTCCTCATCGCTGAGCGGCAATAGATTCAAGCGACTCGTTTGCGATGATCCGTGGAGGTCACATCGACGTCGCCATCCTCGGAGTACGTCTTGGCACTCTTCGTTCTTCCGTTTGATGTGTGATCTGACGGGTACGTGCACAGGCCATGCAAGTTTCGCAGGCGGGAGACATCGCCAACTTCATGATTCCGGGTAAAATGGTGAAAGGTGTGCCGAATTCTTGTGCAATTGACGGCAAGAGCGTTTGCTCACGCTCTTAGGCATCGGCGGTGCCATGGATCTCGTTTCCAACCCGGACAAGACGAAGGTGATCGTGACGATGGAGCACACCGCGAAGGATGGCAGCCCGAAGATTCTGAAGGAGTGCGATCTGCCGCTCACCGGCGCTCGGACCGTCAGCATGATCGTCACGGAGCTGGCCGCGTTCGAGGTGGACCGCGTCAACGGCGGACTGACACTTGTTGATCTGCAGCCCGGCGTGACGTTGGCCGAGGTCCAAGCCAAGACGGGCTGCGACTTCAAAATCGGAGCAGGTGTCCAGTAATGAGTTATCTCTGTATAGTAGGCAACAATCATCGCATCGTTAGAAACATTGAAAGGGATTCAAATTTGTTCCAAATAATGCGAATGTGACAATGACAACAGTGTATGACTACAAGTCCCAGCCTCATACCGTCAACGGAGAGTTGTTCTTTTGCGCTGTGGATCGAAATATGAGTTTGTTTCATAGCATAGACGAGACGGAAGAGCACCGACCCATGGTTATACGATCTCCCAATGACAAAGCGATTCCTTGCGTCTTGCTGCGGATGCGAACATGCCCGGTGATCGTCCCAGCTGCCGTGCGTTCAATACTCAGATTCGCCAGCGCATCTTCGCCTGCATCCCCGTCCGTTCAGCCTGAGCACATCACGTGTGTACGAAAAGGACGCACCGAACAAGCTGCGAGCATACATATTCACTGACAAAAAGTCGCACTCGCCAGATGTCGCGCCCTCTGGAGTCAGACACGACATGTTGGTCGACTTCATCACGTGCGCCAGATAGTCACGAGGGTTTCTGAATCGGAATGTCAGCAACCAAGCACCGCCAGCAAACACCCATAGACTGACGACATGGAGCTGTCCACATTGACGCGGTTTTCCCATTCAAACTCGGTCCACATGCTCCGGAACTGCGCCTCGTTGCAGTACGCAGGCTTGATGTAGTCCATGATATCGATGTGGATGTCGTTCAGGATCACACAAGCCTCAGACATATTCGGGCCCTCCCAGAGAATGGAGCCAAAGATCACCCCAGTCTCTGTGGACGAGACCTGTACGTAGGAGTCATTAGCATCAGTTACGGAAAGAAGCAAAAAAGCCCACGCACCTTGATAGTCGCCTTGATGCTTTGGAAACCATGCGGGCCAATCGTATACACCGACGGCCGCTCAACAATCTTCAAGTCACCTAGCGTAGCAAAGTCCAAGCACAGGTTCTGAAGTGTGTTCGCCGTTTGATTCACCAGGAGGACGTCTGCAGTCAATCAGCCACGGAAAACTCAGCAGTGGCGAAGTAGAAACCGACCAAGCATAATATCGAAGCCGTGCATCCTGACATGCGCCTCGGCATAGATAGGATCGGAGAAACCAGTCAGCTGCTTGATACGGCTGAGATTCGACATAAAGTCTTCATTCTGCTCGCCAGCAGTCGCTCGGCCCACATCTTGATCATACTGCGGATGCCTCAGCATGAGTACCAGATAGCTGGAGAGAGCATACATCAATCGCATCATCAGCAGACTTCTTGGAAAACTGCCGGAACGATAGCAAGTCATCGACCTGCACTGCGATGGTCTTGCTCGTCTCGTCCTCCTTCTTCTCCAACGCCCGTCGCTGCAACAGAAAAAATTTAAAGAAGCTCAGAGGCCGCTCCAGACCACTTACTTCTTGAGCTCCGAGCATGTGACTGAATGCATCCCGGGTATCGTCGAGGAAGATCTGCTGCACGACAGAATCACTCTCAAGCTCACTGAGCGTCTTGATGCAGTTCATGATGCGCTCGCTGGAGTCCTCGTCAATAGCCACAGTCACGAGATTCGACTGGCCGAGGCGGATGATCGACGCCATTATCAACATACACTAAACCAGATCTGAGATCGATCATTTCGAAAGTTAAAAGGACTCGTACCTCGGCACGCAGCATATTCAGAGTCGCCTTGTCGGCAGATAATCTGTCAAAGCGGAGGACAAACTTGGTCAAAGCAGCTGCCAAAATCGCGCCAGTGAAGAAGTCGCCGGTCAACAGAACACCTGCAAGGGAAAGATGAGCTCGTGAGGAACGGAAAGAGACACAGACGCGGACCTCGTAAGGACGGCATGTCGGCACGAGCGGCAACATTGGATTGTCCAGGGGCTGCCGTGTACGCAGATTCTGTGGCATAAGTCCCATCGGCAAGAACACGAGGCTTGCTCGCTGTCGTCTCAACCTTTGGACTCGACGGTTCCTCGGTCTCGCCGGAGGCAGCCTCGTCCCGCATCCTCTGCTCAGAAGCGACGATCGGAATCTCCCCGACAGCCTTCCGAATCTCTTGCATGGCAGATTGGATATCCTCCACGGATTCGAGATATTCTCCGAGAATCCAGAGCACACCACGGAAAACCTTAGGCGACTTGATCTCGTTCAACTTTTCCACGAGACGGCTTGTACAGCTGGCGCGAAGGTGAGGGAACTTCTCTACGACCTCCCTGGCAATGATCGTCAACGAACAAGATCAGAACAGTGATCAACGACACCAACCGGACAAAGGCGACAACGTCCAAAGCCGAGGGGTTGTTGTTGTCCCCCAAGAAATCCATCAAAGCTTGCACCACACTGGCTGCAACCTCCGAGAACTTGATCGCAGTCACATGGATGGACTGAATCAACAGTTGCCTGTACTCCGAAGACTAGAGGAGCGTTCAATATGACATTCAGAGGGGAAAGAAGGGTGCTCAACGCACGTTCTCAAAGCTGTTATCCTGTGTTCGTTGGAGTTGCTTCTTCAAGAACAACACAACATCCTCTACATTGCGACTCGAAGTCATGCTTAAGATGATGCTGATCGCCTTGCGGCGAACATCCATATCGGCACTCGAGAGTATCTGCAGAACATCCATGATCAATCCGTCAATGACATGGCCGTGCCGTTTGCGGAGACCATCCAGCCGATCAAGGACGATGATCTTGACATTGTTGTCCGACTGCTTCACGATGATATTGATGAGGCAGGAGGCCGCAGCTGAAAGGATGGTCAAATCTCGATAGAGTCGTAGGAACGAGGAATACCTTTGACGGCGGCAGGATTCTGGGAGAGTGTTGTCAAAGTAGTGGCTGCTTCATACTTGACAGCAGAGGATTGGACGTTGAGCAGTTCGAACATCACCCGGATATACCTGGACTACCAAGATACTAAACATCCGTCCAACAGATAGCATCAAGAAGCACTCACTCGGTTCCCTGAATCATTCTTGCAATCCTGGCGGATGACATCGATTATGCTCATCTGCAGCGATTCATCCAGAGACGGAATCGAGTCGTAGATGCTCAGAACGTATTCCACTGCTTTGGGCAATGAACACGACGCCAAAAACACGAACGCGTTGCGTTTGCAAGTCGAGTCGGATTCAGCAGCGAGGAACGTCGCCATGAGCTCAGGCGCGTCTGGAATGAGATTCTCGAACTCGCGGTAGATGGAGTAGACCGCGAAGACGGCGTTCTTCCGCACATAAGCGTGTCGGTGTTCGAGACAAGATCGGCAGGTGGGAATGAGGGGCTCGAGCAATTCTGCATCTTTCGAGATCTTCTGGAGGAATCGGAGAGTCGCGCCACGAATGAATTCGTTAGGATGTTGCTGCAAGACGGTCAGGGGGAATCGGCGTGAAGCTACTGTGGTTACACACCAGGTCGTTCCGGATCGCGTTGCTAGTGAGATTCAGTGTCTACACCAATTCATCGGGTAGAAGTTCACGCACACAACGAGAATCATCTCCTGCTTCAACTTCCCGGTCTCATCGTATTTGGGGCAGACCTCCCAATAGAAGTGCAGTAGCTTCTTGAGCTGCTTATTCCGAGAAGGCATGACGAATTGGATAATGGGCATCATTAGGGTGGGCTAGAGATAGAACCACAATTGAACATTTCAGAATCGTGTATTTGACGCGCAGGAACAGTGCGGGGGACCCACCTGAGGGTTCCCATTGATAGTAGAGATGATAATTTTGCGTAACGTGTCAATTTTAACATCATCCGATCCCTTCTGTAATGCCGAGCGTAGGTCGGAAGCGGAGGGGTACTCCGCCACGTTCTCCTGCACTATAGTGTAGCATGAAGAGTCGGAGGAAGCCATAGCCGCCGTGCAGGATGAGCGGTGTCAGAAATCGAGAATGAGGGAGGATGCACGCGACGTGGGCAATCAATCAGTACATACGGGCAAACAGCGCTCTGATGAGCCGATGGGCGCGTTGAACACCGTGCTAGCCTGGATTGAATGTCCAATATATCTGATATTTACGCGCTTGAATATTCAGGTGGTACATTTGAATTACTTTCTAACTGGACAAAAGAAGAAACACGGCCGGCCGATGTCCACGTGGTCGGCTCTGTGAAATACTGAGCATACTAGTCATCCGCCGATGGCCTTAGACCCAAGGCCTCTGGCAGTGTCAGCTCGCAGGGACCAAGAAACAGGAAATCAGCAATTTCATCCCCTGAAGTTCGTTCGAGATTGAATACAGCAACTCGTCCTCCCTTGTGCCGAACTTCGCTTGCGTAGCCTGCGGCTGGATAAACCTGTTCCAGATACATGAAAGACCGTGCACGCAAGACTGCATTTCGCGCGACTCACCGTCGAGCTCGTCCCCACAACTATGCATAAATCGGCGGCATCGATGAGCTCGTCGTTTCGCTTCATTTCAAATGGAATCTCCCCGAACCAAACGACACCTGGTCGTGCCAGAGCTCCACATCTGCTGCACCGAGGCAAATCTTGATGCGGGATATTGGGATCCATGGCACCCGCAACGACAGAGTCTTCGGTCCCCGACAAAGCGGGGCAGATGGGCGAAGCAGGGTTGTATTCGACATGACCACAGGCCTGCTCAGAAGTGCATCTAACGTCGAAGATTCGACCGTGCATCTCCAACAGAGGTGCGAGGTCCGGCGGATCCTTGGTATATCCCAGTTCTTTCAGTACCTTATCGTTGGCTTTGACACTCAGCCCATCCACGTTCTGGGTGATGATCGCAAAACTAGCATCCGGGGCCACAATTTGACGTTTGGATGGTATGGAGAACACAGACAGTGCCAGGTGCGCTGCGTTGGGCTCTGATTTGGTGGCACTTCAGCCCCAAGCGACTTAGTTACCCCACATCAACATGCAAAATAGACCCACACTTCGCGTCTGTAATGGTAGAATTGCCAGACCAGAGAGGAGTTGTCCTCGAATGCTTCGGGGGTAGCGAGGGACATTGCGTCGTATTTTCGCCACATACCACCAGCTCCTCGAAAGGTCGGTATCCCTATGCCCATCGGTCAAATAGTGACTAGAAACACAGCTCGGTTTCCCCTCGTACCAGAGGCGGCCGAAAGTCCAGCTCCACAGACAGCCACAACATTCTTGGATTTGCGCAGCACAGCCTTGAATTCATTGATGTCCGTGGAGGGTTCAGTGTTGGCACGGTGGAGCGCGCGAAGTGTAGACGACATTGTGGGCTTTGGTGGCATAGCTTGTTGAGCTGAGTTCAACTCGCAATCCGAGCCGGGATTGATTCGGACAAGACTCGGAATCTAATTCAATTCGAAATGTGATGTGGTGGCGGTGAGAAGTAGATCAACTCACGTGTCTACGGGATTTCCTTGGGAAGCTCAAATTGTAACTGCAAGTTTCCCCAACGTTGTGTTCATAATGGCTTCATTATCGCGGACAGCTTTTTCTTCCCTTGGTCGGCGACGTGCGTCACGCTCTCCCTTAGCTTCCCGTCTGCTCTTGACACCCGTCCTCTACAGTGATACACCACTCTCATGTTCGGCGTGCCATCACAACCCTTGAAATGCCTGCCATGTCCCCAACAATGACTGAGGGAGGTATAGCTGGATGGAAGAAGATGGAAGGCGAGTCATTCGCTGCTGGGGACGTTCTTCTCGAAATCGTGCGCGTTTCCCCGCTCTCAATCAAAGCGCCTTCCGGATTTACCCGTTGTGGGCATCTAGGAAACTGACAAGGCCACAATCGACGTCGAGGCTCAGGATGACGGTGTGATGGGGAAGATTCTCGTACGTTCACTTGGTCCGCCCACTTCTGCTCACGCTTTACGTGTTCGTCGTAGATCCCCGAGGGCACGAAAAATATCGTCGTGGGCAAAGCGATCGCATTATTAGCTGAGGAAGGGGACGATATCTCCAATTTGCAACCACCAGAGGAGAAACCTTCCCGCAAGCAGCAGCAGAAGCCAGAAGAAAAGCAGGCACCCGCAGCGGAAGCCTCCTCTCCCAGTCCATCTGCTCCCAAGCATTCGCACTCTGCACCATCCCATTCGCGACCACTCTTCCCCTCCGTCTACCGTCTTCTCGGCGAACATGTTGTTGATCCCTCCAAGATCACAGGCACTGGTATTCGGGGCATGCTGACCAAGGGCGATGTTCTAGCGTTCCTTGGCAAAGCGTCTGGGCCACTGGGAACGTTCAAAGAGAGTCCTCCGCCAACTGCTGCTGCGACCCAGCCCAAGAAAGAAGAAGCTCCTAAGCCTCTTGACGGAGCGGCTCTGCGACGTCTGATTGTGTCGACAATGCTGCAGAACTCCGTCAAAGCACGCAACCCTCCTTCAGGCAAGCCTATCTACCCAGCGGCATCGCAGTGTTCTCATTTCCTTCTAGCAGCATTGCAGAACGTCGACTTTGACTCAATCATCGGCGACTATCTCCCCTCTGCCCCGGCACCGCCTAAAGCGAAGGCCGCGCCTCTGCCACCGACCAAGTCGTCCGACTGGTTGGATGGTCTAATTTGATAAGTAGACGAGAATTCTCACTAGATATTTCGACACCGCATATATATACAGTTATTTGCACTCAAATAAAGGCGACAAGATGTGCATTGGTATACAGATGCGAGACAAGATGGTGAACATTCCAGTATCTATTCGTCCAAAATGCTTGTATCGGAACTAGGAAGCATGGCTTGCCGTCGTTGTTGAATGATTTCGTTCAGGCGGACCTGATGACCCGTGAATATCAAGACTTGCGAGCGTCAGTGCAAGAATGGAAATGTACCATACGATCCTTTCCAATCGACCAGCTCAATTTCTGCAGCCGGTCCTCCGGGCTGAGATCCAGAAATTGTTGTAGATCCATCTGGCATAGAATCACATAGGCGGCAAAGTGGTTCATCCCCTCGGCAGATGCAAGATCTGACTCTCCCTGAGGAAAGGTCGTCAACCCATCTTGATGATCCATAATCTAATCTAATCACGAACCTCGGGCGACTCGTCATCAAGCCAAACACGATCTCCCCAAAGCATGCCCCCAGATTCATCGCGCGCTTCGGCCAAATTTCCAAAATGTCGAGTGAACATCGCTGATTGCTCGACGGTGTCCGCAAATGCAAAGACAATGGAGGAAGACGGGCATCTCTGGCCGGTGCTGCCAGCGATGGAAAGCCAGCGCCTAAGCTTCTGAAGCGCCTTCAATACCGGATCGGTGTATGCGAATAACTCGGAAGTAGATTGGGCGGATTTGGAGTGGGTTGAATAAGCTGCAGGATAGGCTTCGAAGACGACCAGGATGTGCCTGTATCGCCACGATTGTCGCGAGATGAGATGGCCAAGATCCCCTCCTGTGGATGGCAAGACGAGAAGATTGGTGAACAAAACGGCCGATTGGGTGTCCAGAATCACATCGACCCCTCCGAGAGACTCTCGCTCAACGAATTCGATATGACATATCTGAGATTGCATGCAAGATATCAGCCCTTGTTTCTGAACAAGCTCCATCGAAACCATGTAATGGTGTAGTGTCGACGGTGGTTCCCAGCTGTCTGAAGATAAGCGCAGTGTGTTTCTGTCATATACAGAATCAGGGGTGACATTAACAGGCGTATGGGAAGTTGATTGGTGCGGTGTCGGCTTGGAAATCGAGGCGGGGGCTGGAGCTGGTGCAGCGCTAATCTTCTTTGAGCGCAATCGTGCGAATTCGGTGATGCCCAGAGCACGCGAGGCAATTTCAGGTTCAGACGCAGTGCCTTCTCTAACGACACTGTCGCTCAGAAGAGCGCCAGGATGAGGCCGAAACGTTCCAGCGTAGATTTCATCTGACGGGATATGCAATGCGGAATCGCCTGAAGTCAACTCTTCGTCGTTAGGGAAAGATGCGGTAGATTGACCCTCCAAGTCATATGCTTGTCGCCCAGCTTGAAGTAAATGGCGACTCGACTATCGGCATATGAGAGCGGAGACCGAGCATCGTCCAGAAAACTGTCGCAGGATGAGTTGAAACCAACACCCGAATCTTCGAAGTATTCATCGGCAGGGTAACGCGTGCTCTCAGCAACCTCTGCATTCTGCTGAGCCGGCATATTCATATCTTCCAGCTCAGCTGTTGTTCGACGCTCTTTCCTCGACCATGGCGTCTCAAACGGTGCAACTGAAAGAATTCCTGGAATTTTGCCGTCAGAGGTCTGATATTTCCTGATCCAGCTTTCTCCATCAACAGCATCCCTGCGCTGCGTTTCGGCTGTGAGCTCTGCGACGTTTGGTATCAGGTCAGAGATTTCGTTGTCGTCGGCAAATTGTGTCGCACAACCTGATTGCTTGGGGTTTGCAATGAACGTTTTTCGAAGTTTGGATCTGTTAGCAATGAGATGGAGTGAGAAAAGGTTTTGATGGCAACTGACGACCGAGGCAGCGAGGCGGTCAAAGCGGCTATTCCAGAGACCATCTTCAGAGAATGATGAACAGGCATGTCGTGACAGTCGGCCCCTTCCCTTTCAGAGGCGCGAGGAAATCGTTGAGAGACGTGGGCTTAATGGATGCTTCATCGGGAACGGTCACATTCGGCAGTGGTAGATCAGGCACTGTCAACAGGAATGAGATGCCCATCGCGCTATGTTGCAACAACTCCATTTCACACCATCCTCGGGAAATTGTTTCGCGGGATCGGGACCCAACTTTGACAGGGACAACAAATCCTTCGCATGTCCTTCATTCTTCTCGTACGCCGGGCCGATATTGGTGCCAAGATTTTCCAACAGCGCCTTGCTCTCCCAGACTTCGCTGCGTGCGACGATTGGGGGAGAAACAGCTCCCAAACTGTGATAACACCATGAGCTTACAACGCCGTCGTCGCGAAAACACAAACCTGTGACTGTCCTCGGTACCCAGTAGCTCAGATTCCACACGAACCCGCCGCTGCGATGGAGGTAAGATCTGCAATTCTGGGATAGATGAGTCATGAACATGGCATCTCAGGCCAAACAATAGACCGACCCCTTGTCTGTGACGGCATCGTCGGAGGTGGGGTTGTCTCGGGAGATAACGGCTCCAATTCATCGACCTCTGCTTGCGTCGAGGCTGGGCTTGGACTGGTAGTCGGAGAGGAGTGGAAGGTGACTACAGGAATATGTTAGAAGCATGGCCCAACCCCAGTTAAGTTACCAACGCCATCCATCGACAACCTTCATGTGATGCGCATGCAGTTCTGGCTCGTCTTGCCCGATCTTGACCGGTTTCTGGATACTGCACGGTAATTCTTGAGTGCTTGCAGGAAGCAGGGTATCATTGCCTTTCTCAGGCTGCTCTTTTTGGGAGAGAGTGGGTATGAAAGCAGGTCTCGCTCGTTCCATCTCGTGCGGAGGAAAGCCGGGCCGGCTGAGAAATCCGAGATACAGGTGACTGTCGCTCTTGAGAAGACAAGTAAACACCGATTGCAGGAGCCTGTTGAGTGGTCCCCTTTCGTAGGGTCTTAATCGCGATTGCATATCGCTGATACCGACTCGTGAGCACAAGCTCTTCGCAGCCCCAGGTGCACAAATTATCTCGTTTTGGTTCAATCGTGGCTCTGGCAAAGTCTTGACATTGACAGGTTTAATCGCCTCAGTCCATATGTCGGGCAACGTCGCCATCTTGTAGGGATTGTTCAATTTGCTGCTTCCAAAGCGCGGCATCGCTCGCATCGCTCGCTTCGTCGACATGGGAGTGAAAGATGCAAAAATGGGTGATGGCGGTGTCTCGTCTGCTTGATAGTCAGTAGAATGCGGAGGATGAGCTAGTGTCTTCACATTCAGGATCTTCATACGTGACGCGTTCTGACCTCGATAGCTTCCTGCCGACAGCTCTGACCTTGAAAAACTTCTTGAGTAGCTGCACGCTGGTAGGCGTCGACTGAGATTTCGACTCAAAAGGAGGAAGTGAATCGAGTTTGAAGATTTTTCTGAGAACTTTGAAAGGTTCATTTGGAGGATTATAAAAAGATGGGTCTGTCTCGAGAGTCGGATGCAGATGGTTTTGCGAGAGCTAAGTAGACCCAGCAGTCAGATCTAGAGACAAGGTGGAGAACGACGCAGTACATTAGCAAACGCATTTTCTGTGAGTTGTGCCCTGTCCGCAGTATAATGTATTGACGCGTATTTGAGTAGAAGTTGGCGGATGTGCATTCGCAGAGGATATTTTGGCCGTTCATCTTGCGCGTCTGGCTGTGCGTTCGGTTGCTGACTCGTGGTGGCCGGCGCATCCTCCATGATAGACTTGATTCGTCACGGCAGGGCGAATTGAGAGCGAGGGAGAAGAAGACACGGTTCAAACAGGTAGGCATTATTCCAATTTGGATGGAAGGGAAGCAAAGGTAGCGGTCCGAAATCCGAATTCAGTCGTCGCTCTTGTCCGAGTTGATATTGTGGTGCAAAAGGTTCGCACGAACAACGCACAAGACGCGTCGTTGAAGCTTGATAAGCCAAGTCGGAAGAGCGCGCCGCGACCGATCCGGTCTCGTCCACGGTCCAGTCCACAATGAAAGCTTGTCGGCTCCAGTCTCGAGCCAGTCCCAGTGATCAACGATCGCGCTCGTTGCCGAAGTCTGCTTATCCGAGCTTGTGAGACGTAACGGGACGTAACTTGTTCCTGACCGTCGTTTCTCAAAATTGAAGCCCGCTGAACCACCCGCTATCGGACCGCGCTTGTGATACGAACTTGGCGACTTTCAGTGACCTGCTAGATCTGTGGAGCTATGGCCGTCAAGATAACACGACAACATGCTCGAGATCCGATGGTTCAAACCGCGTGAACCATACTGAGCGAGACCGCAGGATATATTTGCGCTGGTTCCCGGGCGGAATGAGGGTTCAATCGGGATGAGCAACGCGGACTCGGACCAACGTGACCGAGATGATCGCGACACCGCCCCTCACCCATCCTTTGCCAAAACTTATATTAAGCACGGCCCGTCCAGGCTGACTCTGGCAGTTTCATCGCTTTTCGTTGATTCCTTCTTACCCTCATAATGGCTCGTTTCCTAGCCACTCCAAAGACCGTTTCTGTGCGTGTGCCTCCTTCGGATTGGACTGAACCTCGCTAAAACTCAGTCAGATCGTCGGCTGCCCATTCAGGTACGTTGCAACACTCGCCCCTACTGGAAGGGAGCGCTGAATAGGTCATCTCGCGCAGCGGAGGACAGGTCTGTTAAGCAGTCGATGCGATCGCTCAAGTTTCTCATTCTGAGATCTCAGCCTCGAGCTGGTGTCGATCAAGGACCGATCCATATGGTTGAAGCTGGGCTTGTCGAACAGCTCACGGAACTGGGGTGGAAAGTTCGGTTCGACGGACATCATCAGTTCGAGGAGATCAATGCTGTCCAAGACCCTCCGATTGGCAAACTCAAGAACCCGAGATTAGTCTCGAAAGTCACTGAGGCCGTTGCCAAAGCTGTCGGAGGGCATGCGAAATTGGGCGAGCTCCCGGTCACGCTGGGTGGAGACCACTCCTTGGCAATGGGAACTATCTCGGGGACTCTCGAGCAAGTGATTTCAAGTGAATGATCGGAGATTTTGGACTGACGAATGAGTCAGCGCTCATCCCGATGCGTGTGTGGTTTGGGTAGGTCGCCGATCCTGACGTATCATCCAGTCGTCCGCTGACAATCGGTGACCAGGTAGACGCTCACGCGGACATCAACACGGCAGAAAGCACTGAATCTGGTATGCTCCGCGCCACGGATCTTGAATCTTGGACCTGATGTCATTGTTTTCGAGGAAACATCCATGGGATGCCGGTTTCTTTCCTTCTCGGCCTCAACGAGCCTATCCCTGAATTTGCTTGGGTCAAGCCGCTGCTCAAAGCTGAACGCCTAGTCTATATCGGCCTCCGCGATGTCGATGCGGGAGAGAAACGCATCCTCAAAGAGCACAAAATCAAGGCCTTCAGCATGCACGAAGTAGACAAGTACGGAATCGGCAAGGTCGTCGAGATGGCCTTGGACCATGTCAACCCGGGGCGCGACCTTCCGATCCATCTGAGTTTCGATGTCGATGCGCTTGATCCATCCGTTGCACCCTCGACCGGAACTCCGGTCCGGGGCGGCCTCACTTTCCGCGAGGGACATTATATTTGCGAAGAGATCGCCGAAACAGGTCTTCTGGTCGCTCTGGACATCATGGTAATGATTCCCATCCTCCGCATGTCGCGTGGACTGAATTCTTGCTCAGGAAGTCAATCCTTCGCTAGCCGACCCCGTGGATGTTGCACAAACTGTCGCTGTTGGATGTTCTTTAGCCCGCTCTGCTCTGGGTAAGAAATCTTCTTCGATCTGTACTACATCCCTGACTCCTTTCAGGCGAGAGTCTCTTGTAAGCATGCCGGTCTTAGAATTCGTCGTAGAGTATGTATGCCGCGAATAGTCTATCTCCGGTCAAAAATAATCCAGTCAAAATCTCAATCCACTTGCCCCTAACTGACAGTCAGTTCGGCCATCAACAGTACTTGGTTCCGTCTGACGCCCTCGTGATCCAACTTTTTTCTTCCTTCCAACTTCGATCTTTGGCACTCGATATAATCGGTGAGTTCGCGACTGCATATGTCTTTTGAATGATGAAACGCACTGGGCTCTGAGTCCTTTGATGTCACGCACTACGCTCACAGAGCGGCGGCCTAGAAAACCGTTAACTGAACCTTCACCTGTCCCGTCCCTTCTGTTTCTGCTTGCTGACGGCTCTTGCGCAGCGAAACATGGATGAGCAAGGCGATCCAGGTTCGCCTCTCGACGCCGCAGGCTTCTGTACGCTCATGGATGACATGTCCTCCAGCTTCGCTGCAGCACGCGAGTCCATTCAGCCTCTCATTCTGCAAAGTGCGGACGAGCTGAACACGACTGCTGGTATCTCGTTGCTGTCATTGAAGCATCATCTTCTCTTGTCGTACCTCCAATCGCTGGCACTCGTAGGGGCACATCGTGCGATTGGCCACTCTTTGAGCGAGCGTTCCCCGCCGACCGAACCATTCAGTCAGTCTCAGCGCGGCGCACGAGGCGCGGATGGCGGAGATCTGGTTGACTCCATGGTAGAAGCCAGGGTGGCCTTGGAAAAGATCAAGGCTCTAGAAGCTCGATTACGATATCAAATCGAAAAACTCGTGCGCACAGCGCAAGAGTCCGACAAGGCGTCCACGATTATCGATGGTCTGTTCACTGTCCTTCTTCACTCCGGTAAACTGACTGTCGCTCAGATCCTCTCGCCTTCCGACCCAATCCGCAAAATCTGCTCGACAACGACGGCGACGAATCTGGTGACGATGCCGGAGAGCAGAACCAGACAGCAGCGGACGACGGGATCTATCGTCCACCCCGTCTTGCTCCGGTTCCGTACGATTCGGCACCTCCGAAATCCAAACGAGAACGAGCACCGCCCGTTCCCTCCGCTTTGCGTAATCTAGTGGATTCCTCTATGCCCCATGCGGAGACCACGTCTGGACTGGGTGTCACACCCTCGCTGCAATCCAGTCGAGCTCGTCACCTCAAACGGATCGAGGAGTTCGAGGAAGAGAATTTCACTCGCGTTGTCATGGGCAAGACCGAAGCGAAACGCCGAGCGCGCGACGAAGCCGACCTTGCTCTTGGTGCCGACTTGGGTGGTGGGCGCGCTTCCGGCAAGAACCGGCGCCGCGGTGGATTTGAGGACGAGTTCAGCGATGTTCTTCGTAGTGTTGACCGTGGATCGAAGGGATCACGAGGCGGAGGCGGGGACGGCTACGACGAGTTGAGGAAAAGAGGTCAAAAGAAGAATGTTCTAGAACGTTCCAAAGTCAACGCTCGTGCACGGGAGGAGGAGACTGGGGATGAATCGGAAGCTCGGGTCGGAAGAAGAGTCGATTCGAACAGGCTACTAAGGTGGCGAAGAGAAAATTGAAGCGATAAAACACATGCATGTTCAGTAAACACGCTGGGGAAATGAAACGCGCTAGCTCGTCCTTCCGAGCTTCTCTTGACGTTGCATCAATCTGCGGCTTTAGTACGATGCTCATAAAACGATGTACTGGCAGACGACTTGTCCTGTGCAACTTGACCACTGTTTACCATGTCCGGGTCTACCATCCTACGTCGGTTGTTTCCCCTCGTCGTTTTCCCCGTCCTCTCAGCGCTCGCGCTAAAACTGACCTTTGGAAATATTCGCGCTTCTGGCTTGCGTCCTCAACTTGAAGCGCAATGCCCGATTCCACTTGGCTCGGCGCCTCATCGTCTCGAGTACACCACCTTGGAGTCCGTCGACAAAGCGCTCTGCGGAATCGTCACCTTCTTCCACCTCGCACTGACACCAGAGGTTCTGCCCCTGCTCAACTACTTTCTCGGCTCGGCATTCTCGCTGTTGGCACTCCCCGCATTCGAATCACACCGTATCGGGCGCGCGAGCATCCTCGGCCTCCCGGTCCTCGTCGGTCTGTCGATGCAGGTGTTCACTGTCGGCGCCGTGCTGCCGCTGTACTGGCTCGTATTCATTTTCTCCGGCGCGGCGGAGCGCAAGCCCCCGAACGCGTCGGTGCCAAACGCTCATGCCCAGGCGACCGTGTTTGGACTGGTCGTCGGCGTCGGCGTCCCCTCGGCCTGCCTGATCTTGCTGCGTGACTCGCACGTCACCGCACTGTGGCAGATATTCCCCGTGTTCCAGTTCATCGCGCAGGCAGCACATCTGCTGGTCCGGCGGTCGGATACCCGATCGGGTTTCTCCTGGGTGCAGGCACTGTATTTGGGGGCCTTCATCATCGCCTCGTCGACGCACTTGGCCACGCTGTTCGGACTGGGACCTGATGTGGTTGATCTGAAGGCCCTGTTCACCCCGTCCGTCGCACCCCGATTGGACGTTCCCATGAATCTCAAAGCAGTAAGTGGACCCTCATATGAACCAAGGATCAATGACGAGCGTGATGCACTTCTAGTTTGATTTCCTGCAATGGGATCTGTTCTTCGCCTTCGGGTCGACGCTGCTTGCCACCTTGTGGTTTGCGCGATCAGCGTCTCAGTTCATCCTCCTCGTCCTTTGGAACACTGCTGGGAGCATCCTGTTCGGCCCAGGTGCTGCGATCGCCGGCGTTGCTTTGTGGAGAGAATCTTATCTGCATTCTGGCCCAAAGAGTCAAGAGAAGAAGAAAGAGTAGTAGTTTGTCTGCGATTTCGATTGTAATTCTGAGCAATCCAAAATAAATGCGCGTCGGGTATTCTAGCTAATCATCCTCCAACGGCCTGATCATGTTCATCTTCTCCATCATCTCTCTAACCTCGGTCTCCGCGAACAACGCAGCTTCCTGGGTAACGACCAATTTCTTCTCTAGCTCGTCCACCGTCATGGCCCGCATCGATCCATCCTTCTCCTCAACCAATCCAACGCAATCAAACTCGTACAAGGTGTCGCCGACGCGGGGAAGGAACCCCTGCGCGTCCCAGCCGCTGTCGTTGAACGAAAGTACCGCTCGGACAGCGGCTGTGTTAATGTCCCGATGCAGCTCCTCCAGTTTGGTCAACTGCACCTCCATCCAACGGGCTCTGCGTTCCAAGGCAAGTGTCAGCGCCTCGACGTTGTTGTCCTTCGAGTCGTCTAGGTTGTTATCATAATCGCCACCCTTCAGCATCTCGCCCAGCACACCGTCAAAGTACGAGCTCTCGTCCCACGTCGTTCGCGGAAGGAGCCGCAAAAGCGCTGAGATAGTCTGCGTGAGGGTTTCAAGCAGCTCTTGGAAGGACGAGATAGCCGTGTCAGCCGGCCCAGAACCCGCAGCGCCGTTCACGCCAGCTGCGAACGACCCACCGCCGACGGATAACGCAGACAAGGCATGTACGAGCGGCCCATACTCAAGAGGCATCTTGCTTGCAGGGTTCAGCCGGTGCACATCGAAGAAAATGTGGTTTGGAAGATCCATGCTCGGATTCATTACGTGGATATCCTCCAAAAGCTCGTCCAGCGTCGTGGGGAAGCTGTCTCCGTCGACGATGGATTCGGCACGCGAATTATTGTTCGAGCTCGTCACCGAACCAGACTTCATCACCAATTCTTCGTACGACATCGAGGGTGGCGGGGGCACCCGAGGCTCCTCCTCTTTGGTCACGAACTTGACTGGTTTCGCGATCGGCTTGTTTTTCTTCGTTTGCCTGGACAGAAGCGGTGCCATCGACCCGGGGACATCGGCAGCAGCGGCAGCGACGGCCGCTTTCTTCGTCGCTTGCGCAGTCTCGCTCTTCTTCTTCTCTAGCTCTGCGACAGCTTTGGCTTTTGCCGCAGCTGCCTTGGCTTTCTCCTTCTCGGCGGCTGCCTCTTTCTGCCTCTCCAGCGCTTTCTGCTGCTCCACTCGAGCAATCCTCTCTGCTTTCTCCTTCTCCGCTTTCTCCTTGGCAACCTGCTCCAGCTCTGCTTTCTCCTTTGCCAGACGTTCTTTTTCCGCAGCTTTTTCCGCAGCAAGTCGCGCTCGTTCAGCACTCTTGGCAGCCGCCTTCTCCTGCACGATCCGTTGCCGCTCGGCAGCCTTTTCAGCAGCAACCGCTTTCTTCGCAGCCTTGCGTTCAGCTTTTTCCAAAGCCTTGTCCGTCACTGAGACAGGGGCGATCGTGCCTTCGTCCGCAGGCGCCGACGGAAGCGCTTCAACAGATGTCGACATGGAGAGTGCGGGGAAATCGGTGGTGGACAGCGAGGTCGGTGGGGGTGAAACTGGATTCAGACAACCGATAAAAGTCAGCGTCAGGGATAGCGAGGAGTCGATAACAGGAATGGGAATTAATGAGCGGTTGTACATTCGAATAAGGGAGCGGTCCAGGTTCATTGCCGATGATAATACATTTTTCGCACTGGACATGGTTCGCCTCCCTCCCCGAGAAAAGTACATCAAAAAACTCACCATTGTTCATCTCTACGTTCGGCATGCTCGTGATCCCCGGTGGTCCAAAAGCAATCCCAGGCGGAGGGCCGTAAGACAATGACGCAGTGGTGTTGTAGGTAGTCGCATTCGTGTAAGCTGCCGCCATGATGGCCGGGTCAGTGAACCCTTGCTGGCCATGAGCGTGGTTGAGGTTATCTGATAAAGTTGAGTAAGCTAGCCACATCATGATAGCATTACGCACCATTGGGTCGTTCCCGGCTACTTTGTATCAACTCTCTCAACTGAGCCTCGCTCACACCGGAGTCAAACGGATGAAACCGACTGTGCTGTTGGTTCAGACTGTATGCCGGCTGCGCATGAGAGACCAGGGGTGAGCTGCCTGCCGATCCGTTGTAATATGAGCTAGTAGAGGTCCCACTCCAGGGAGGCGGTGTCGCCCGTTCGGAGGAATTATAGAACGAATGTGATTCGCTGGCGAGCGGAGAAGGAATGTGCAGTGGCGAAGAAGTCGATCCTCCCACGGTACCTGTCGAGCCTTGTCGACCACGCGCAAAGCCAAACCGAGAAACTTTCCTACTGGCCATATCGTCCTCTAGCGGCGAACGGGTCGCAGTAGAGTCTTCTGAGCCCTCAGAGAACGGGTTGAAAGAGCCGAGATATCCAGTAGAAGATCCACCAGTTGACTGCCGTTCAACGGGAGGTCGAATGGACAACGGATCATAGATGGATCGACTCGGGTTGTGTGAGTATGGCAAACCAGGCGGGCCCATGTACGGTGAGGGACTTGGGGAAGAGGTCGACCGCAAGGCAGGGAAAGCATCGACATATGTTCCCTTGAAGGCCATCCTCGATTCATTCGCCAATTCAGGTAATCCCAGATCCAGAGTGGCGGTGTCGCCGTCAGCTTCCGACCCAGCCAACTTCATGTCCAAATTAAAGCTGAAGCCGCCCGTCTGGTCTTGCTCCCACACCTGGAGCGTTCTATCGAAGTCCGGAAATGGCTGGCTGACGGGGACATTCTCCCGACGTTGGAAAACATCGTCGAGCAAAGCACGTGCTGCAGTGGACATTTGATATGTTGACTGTGACGCCAGAAGTGGAGTTTGCGGTGAAGCAGTAGCAACACGTGGCGGACGGCTCGGACCAGCGATACCGGGGGGCCCACTTAGACCAGGTGGCACGGCAGGAATGCCGGGCGGTACTGAAGGTGCAGAAGATATTGCTGAGTCAGTCGACTGGGGCCGGACAGGCGATAAGGGAGTCGGGGCTGAGCCCAGATCAGATTCGGCTGCAACAGAAGGCGCCGGAGACGGCGAAGGCTGAATCACGCTCTCCACGACCTCTTTGACTTTGACATCAACCGGGCTGGCAGGCCGTGCCGATAGCGAGGCTGATGGAGTAGACGGACGGGATGGGATCTGTGATAGCTTTCCGGACGAAGCGGTCTTTTTAGATGTGGCAGGCACACCAGAGCTGGTTGTGGCGGCCGTACGCGTCTGCCGTGAAGAGCCAGCCCCACGTCGTGCAGGTCTTGTCGTGATCGGTATGGCAATAGATGCCGGAATGGATGGAACAGGTGTACTGGATCCTTTACCCCAGGCTGCGGATTTAGGTAAGCCTATGCCATGTGTGAGAGGGTATAACGATGCAGCCAAAAGAGAAGGAAAAACCTTCGTCATCCTTCTTACTCCCGACCACGGTCCTCGACCTTGTTTCGGTGGCCTTCATCGTATGTTTGCTACAAAATAATCAGTTGAGCGCAATGCAGCAAGATAGAAACGATACGCACAGAGTCGATAGATCCTCCTTGGTGAACAATCCTTCTCGTCTCCCCACTCATGCAGGTTCATACAACTATGATCACCGCAGCTGACCCCACGAAGGAACGACATACAGTACTTGGTAGTACCGTAGCTAGCTCGCATGATCTCACGTCCTCCTCCAGGAGACGCAGTACCATCGACCGCGGCAATCGCCCGAGCCGCGTCCTCTCGCCGATGGTACGTGATATACAGACCAATCACGGGTGCCCCGCCACCGGAAGGAGTGCGCTTCGTGAGCAGAATCTTCGTGATCTTGCCGTACTGCCCAAAGTACTCGTTGGATCTCAACGTGGGGATGAGCTGGATGAACGGAAAGGAAGTTATCGGTCAGCTGTCCGAGGGTACTGCCACGCTAGCACGCACTTCTTCCTTGGCAAAGCGGGGTCCGATGCCTACGACGTAGACCACGTTACGCTGCACTACGCGTACGTTGGCCAGATGGCGTCGGCCGAGGGCATCGAGTTCCTTGCGCTCCCGCTCGCGCTGTTTCTTCTGCTGCGTGAGACGCTTGTGGCTGTGAGACGAGATGAGAGCTTGTAATATGAGACGGACGAGGCTGTGTCGGGACAATATAATGGGAAAGAACACGCACTCTTGGGTCGCTACGGCCTTGAACTCCACGCCCTCATCGGTGTAAATCCGCCGGCAGGCAGGGCAACGCTTGTTAAGGTTCTCCTTGATGTGGTGCCAACAGAAACGGCAAATCTGCAGACTTAAGTCAGTAGTGCACGCTTTGCCACGCGAGAAGGGCGGGGTCACTCGCCTGGTAACCACAGACGCAAGGCTTGAAGTTGAGATCTGAAATATCCATCTCTTCAAGGCAGAGCGGGCACTCCGCGTCCTCCTAGCACGACAAAAAACAATGAGATCATAACAGGCGGCGCAGACGCGCAGATAGAGCGCAGACATACCGCTTCATCGTCGCTCCAATACGCGTCTTGAACACCGGCCAAAACGGTCGATTTGGATTGAGGCACAGAGAAGCCCGCGTGGACGACAGGAGCAGGAAGGGGATGCAATCTGGACATGGTGGATTGAGAACAGAAGATATACGCTGAATACGGGCAGTATGAGATGGGCGGCACGCGGTGAGGTTTTCCTTCACAGGATGAATGTGACAGTCACAGGCAACGTCACTGGTTTGACCCGATTTAGAAGGTCACTTGCAGATCGCACACAAACAAAAGGATCGGATGAATGAGAGACAGACAACAAAGAGTGTTTACTGTCCTTTTGTTTGTAAATCGGTCCAATAAGGCTTGACAATTGTCTTCATAAAACAGTCTCAATCTTTGTGTGCGGCAAAGACTAATACATCGGCTTGCTGCAATACCACAATACATCTAGCACAGATATACAATACAATATATCACCGCTCTCTTCGCCATGACAGGTTCCGCGACTGATTATGCGACTGATTATGCGAGTTGAAGGACCCAGCGTTACGGTTGTTGAGATTGAGCGAAAAGGCGTGCCCCATGGTCAGTGCGTTACGATGCTCTTGTGACAGGAACGAGAGCTGGTTAGATGTGTTCCCGACAGGCGCTGAAGGAGTTTCCGGCACGGGCGGCTTGAAGTTCTATATTGCATGCACATATTGAGCTTGGACTCGTCGGCACGACCCTTACTCACATATTGGCGTCCCTCCTTGTAGACTTCCTCCAGTTTTTTATCGAAGACTCCCTGCTCTTCAAAGTCATGGTACGCCTTGTATAGATTCAAGGCCGAGCGCGCATCCTCGATCGAGTCGTGGGTATCCGTCTGAATGTTCTCGTGCAGCACGAACCAAGACAAGAAACGCAGTGATAGCCGCCGTTGTCGTGCCTTCAAAAAGTACAAATCCACCGTATCAATCACCTGTTCGGGGGGAACAAAGATGTCTGGCAAGAGGTCAGCTCATGCTTTCATCTGATCCAGCGTGGACGTACTGATAATACGGAAGTCTTTCGACAACCCGTGGCCAATGAAGATGCATCCCCGATCCACCAGCAGACGCAGCTTTTTGTAAACAACCTTGAGAGGCGTGAGAGTATGAGGCGATATCGTTGGATCAAGATCTCCGACTGGTGCGCTGATGAGCAATGGTAGTGTGGCTACAAGAGCGGAACACACATCTGATGCCAGAGTATTCAGTCAGATAGTCGACGATGATCTCACTGGTGTGGATATGATCATCGATGAAGGGGACGCCCTGTTTCGGTCCATTTCCTCTGAGCACAGAGACTCGCGCTAGACTCAGTCGTGCAGGTCTGAGAACCTGTTTACTCCCGTCTGATCGGAACTCTGTCTCTTCCTACGAGGTCATCAGTACTTAAGATAAAAAAGAACAAGAAATGATCATCCCTGCTGCATCGAGACAAACTCTGCGTCGATGGCAACAAGCGTCCCAGGTGTCGGAAGTTCGTCGTCACCAAGGCGCTCATGCTTGATCCTGGTAGGATCTCGATTGCTGCAGGCCGTCAGCTTGGTGAAGAAGCCGAGAAAAGAGAGCTTGCATCGAAATCGAGGTTTCGAGCCTCAGAATGGAAGGATCCTGAGTCAGAGGCAAGTTCGTCAAGTTGACGACATCGGGCAGGTCTTCCCGCTCAAAGTAAAAGATACAAGGCACCTGGATTCTTTAAGCTATCTAGATACGAATGAGCCACGCAACGCACCTTCCATGTGTCCGGAAAGCTCAGAGCCTCTTCCTCGGTGATATTTTGAACTACAAAATCGTTGAACAAATACCAGGGACTTGCAAGTCCGTCCCGTCCTTCAGCTTCAGGAACTAACAAAGATCAACACGCAACTTGCTGCCAGGATTGATACACACCTTTGACGATGGCCACCAGATGTGAGCTCTTCTCTCTCGTTACAATCTGCACCACCATGGACTGCGAGGATGAGACGAGAAAAGGTGAGAAAAGGATAGGCTACAAACCCGAAGTTTATAGACCACACTCTCGCGGTCGTCCACACCATCAATCTGACCGCGCACTTCGATCTGAGGTTTCACGAACGTTTGGCTGCGGTTGTCCATCCAGAAAGCCAGGGCATCCGATGTGTGAGCAGCGGCATTGATGGCAAGTATGGGCGGCAAATCTCGCGTTGCGATTGATCGCCGCGAAAAAAAGTTGGCCACATGCTTGCAAGACGGACAGGTTGCTTTGTGTGTCGTATATCGAAGGAGCGACATTCGGACAAGAGATCCAAGCTCGAGAGGCTCAGCTGGGGCCTAGATAGCGTTCAAGAAGAGGCGGGATTACATAGAGAGACTCACTGGACGAGGATATGTCAGATCGAGGATGTGGGTCATATTCTCCTTGGATCTGGTTACTTGGCAGTGCGAACACGTGATGGTGGTGACAGCATTGAGGCCGACGAGTTGAGTTGCGGTAGGGACACCCTTAAGCGATGGATTGTCCAGGAAGAAATTGCCTTCGAGACCCAAGTGGTCGAGCAAAAATCGATGAAATGCTTGGATCACCAGAGCATAATTGACATCCCTCGTTTCTCGCCCATAGTCTATAAGTTCGATGGCATTCGAGGCTGAGCTCGAGTGAGCACGCGGGAAATAGCCATTGTGCGACAGAAACTGTACCATGCGCCAACACGCCCACCGTCTTACAGAAGTTGCTTGATTGACAGTTTGTTCCGTGGGCATCCTCAAGCATTCGGACAACGAATCCCAGTTCACAGAGGAGACAATGTTCCCGCGGGCAGCTTGTGGTGATATGCGACTTGGCTAGCTGTCGGATAGGAGTGCTGTAATGCATCACCTAGAGCAGGTGAATCAAAGCGGAGGGCGGTGGAATGGGGCGCGCACCTGGACTAAGGCGTTGGTGTAAGAGTTGAGGATGTGGGTTTCCAATCCACTGAACTCGGTCTTGTTGTAAAATCTGCCAGGATTATCATCTATACTGTTGGCCGTGTCTTAAGATGAACACCGACCCGAAGTCGAAGTCTTCAACCCCGAACTTGGAGTATTCGATTTCTACCTTTCGATAAATTCTCGGTGTGGCGCTGCCCCCAGATTCCCACGCCGGGGTGTCTAGATCAGACTGCAACAGTCGGGAGGCAATATTCAGCTTATGAGTGTGCACGCACTTCATTCGCCCTGGACTTCCCGCTGCGGAATCGGCCTTTCTTGTTGCGGGTCGTGCTGACCATGTTGCGACGGCCTTTAAGGTCCTTGGGCAGCGCTGCATAGGCTACATTGTCGTTGAGCTTCATCGTGCTCAGGACTTGCATTGGGATCTTGGGGGGCGCTGGGTAGTTCACGTGACCTGATGTGAAGAGCGGAGACCACGAAGACAAGAGAGGCGAGTCGTAGTAAGGCATCCCGATGGTATTGAGAGGTCTGGAAGGGCCTCAAATGCGAACGGCCCTCAAAGAGAAAGAAGAACTCACGTCGACGGCAACCATTCAATCTCGGGCAGTGCCGTCGGAGGATCAGCCCATTCTACGGGCTGACCATCGAATCCGTTGAAAGGGACAGTTCCCTCTTCATCAACTTGCGACAGAATATGCACCATTCCCTCACCGTCACCACTTGCAATATAGGCACCGGTAGGTGACACGGCGAGGGACGTCAGATAAGAGCTGATATCGAGCTGCCAGCGGATCAGTCAATCGGGCGTTCCTCGCCTGGCTCTCTCACCTGATAGAACTCGCTGGCGTTGCTGAGGACATCAACAATATTGATCAGGCCTTGGTTTGAAGCAACGAGGATGGACGACGACCGCTTGGGCACAAGACTCAGGAAGGCGGGCGTGGAGGAAAACGGGATCGGCGTCAATGCTCGCATGGTGCGCATGTCGTACACTTTGACCAATGGATCGGGGAACGGCCGCGACTGTCTGTTCATTTCTGAGAGATCTGCTTCGGATTCCAAATATGTGCAGCTGCACACCTCAGACCAAGCCCGATGGTGTAGATGTAATTGGTTGCGACTTGGAGACCCTGAATCCCTCCGTGATGCGCCCGGACCTGCGATTCCGACCGCGCAAGAGCGGTGCGTGGATCGTGCACGCGAACCAGTCCATCGGACGCTCCGGAAAAGATAGATGAGTGCGAGAACTCCAGGTGTGTCAACAGGGAAGGGCAAGGTGCTTGTCTCAAGACTGCTCCAGTCGCCGAGTTCAAGAGCAGTAGTTCTGGGCCGACCGATGAGGCAGCCAGAGTATGAGAAGCCACGGATGTATTGGAGAATGTGGTGAGAGTAGGTGGGGAGCTAATGGAGTTCATACCCGAGCTCGACGACTGCTACAAAGATCACTCACCGACAGAACCATTTGTTGACACCGCCCTTGGTCCAGGATCCCAGCCCATCTCCGGCTACACCAATGGCACGCACATAACCTTCGCCCGCGAGTATCTTGGCAACCGCCAATGACCCACCAACTGGGAACGACACTCCACGCATGCCTGCCGTACCGTGGCAGGCGACGACATTGCCCGAGTTGAGTCCAGTCCAGAGTGTGTCGGATGCAGGATCGAACGAGAGTGCTGTTACCGGCTGCGGATAACTAGAGATTGAGACGGGTGCGATGGGGTGGTAGCTGGAGGCCATCCATCCAAGTTCAAGGGCTGATTATCGACTGCGAGCGGCGCGGGTGCGCGTAAGGGATCACCTAAATCATGTGACGTGCACTTGATTCGCGAACCAGACATTTAATTTCACCAGCCTGCCATAATCTATCCATGTGAACGCGGTTGAACGTGAAATCTGAACAAATACACATTCTGGGCGGTCAAGCTCGTTCTTGGGAGAGCAGTACATACAAGTCAGCTTGTATAATATGCTACAGCGAAGTTGAAGTAATGCATCATGTTATGTGCTTATTGGTATGATCGGATCACGGTCTTTCAGCCAGCGCGCTCCCCATGCCAGCCCCGCATGTCATCCTCTTTCCTGTCTAGCCTGTTCTGCTGCTGTGGAAAGCTCGACGAACGCAGTGACGATGACATTCCAGACGAGAACACTCGACTCATACCCCATAGCATTGAGGTGTCTCCGTATGTAGCACTCCCATCTTCAATGCACGAGGCTCCTGACATTGGTCAAGAAGTCCTCCGGCAGGGCCGACAATCGACCATCAAAGACGCTTGATAGAGATTGTGAGGGCGAAAGAGAGGTGCGTCGGCAGTGACTTGCGGTTCTGGACGCGTCGCTTAACCAATTCCAGGAAAATGGTGAACGTTGCCTCCATCATCCCGTTCAATTTGCATAACCGTGCCATAACGCCAACCGCGTCTCTTTCGCGGTCCACCTCGCTTTCTGCTCGGAGGAATGAAAACTCATTGACGGCTTCCAATGAGGGCCGGGAGCCTCTAACAGTGACGCTTCGTGGGCCTCCATCTCCGCTGAACGCCAGCACCCCACCACGGAACGCGTCTAGTTCGCAATCGCGCTCGGAATCTGCTTCTGGACTTCCCGCGGACCTGGGGATCGCCACCCCAATTCTCAATGTGCGCTTGGTACCCACGTCACAGCCTGCACAGGCAGAGCGAATAGGACGGCCCCGACATCGAGCTTTTGGCTCGCCTGTTTCTTCGGAGTCTACGAATGACGTGGCAGGTGCTTTGCTGGCAGGGGCGCCATCGAGCCTCGGCTCTGAAAGAATGCCGGTATCTACGTTATCTTTTTTGCTGTGGGTCTGGCTAATCAGTTGCAGACGTCTGAATCGGCAGCAATTTCCGAACCGTTAAATGAGATCTGTCTAAGCTGGGAAGATGGCGATTAATTCTCCGTTGGCTTCGAAGCCACAATTCTGCCTCAAGACGAACGCCGGGCGCTAGTCTTTCTCTCCTGGATAATAGCTATACATACCGTACTGATTAAGCTGAAACGAATAGATTCCGTCTAATGCCGACCCAATCTTCGAAGTCTGTACGACCGACGACGATTCTTTTCGGAAGAGAATGTATCGTATCAACGCCCCATGCTATAAAGCGCGTCACTCATGACCGCTCTGCATGGCCTACACCATCCAGCCAACCCCGTCGTTGGGACGTAGCATCCCCGCAAACTCGCCTTTCTCATTGGTCACTTCTCTACCTGAATGGAAAAATAACATTGCCCTTGCTTCAGGCAAGGCGCAAGGCTTCCAGCACCTGATGGAGACAAACTATCCTCGCTTCGCATGTCATGCCCGAGTCACGAAAGTAGGCCGTCGCTTTTGTTTCCTTGTCCGTTCTGTTCATGTCTGTCAGCTCTCCGCTATCATTTCCGATGCTCTGGATCCAGTTCAAAAAAGAGCCATGCTGCTCTTCCCTTGTCTTCAGTTTGCGGAGGAATGTCGCGATTACATGCAGCAGACACTTCCCTCCGCCTCTTGCGATATTCAGTGCGTGTCGTCCGTCGCCAATCCTCCAGCGGGACACGACATCTACGCGGTGTTTCTATCCGTGGAACGTGCGAAAGCAATGAACTTCCACGTCTACAGCGGGACCACGATATCTCCGCGGCTCGCGGACGTTTGTCTCCAGCGTCTGGCCGGAATCGAAGAGCCCGCTCTGAACCCAGTGCCCAGTGAAGGTCATTTCTTCTCGGATTACTACAAACGGCATGCGCCGTTGTCATCTGTGGCCGAGGCAAAAATGGCCATCCGGACTCGGTTCAGTGGAGTACTCGGGGATGGGACCAACATTCGGGGCGTTCCGACAGCCTCCCCTGACGATGTCTACCTTTATCCTGCTGGGATGCACGCGGTTTGGAGAGTGAACCAGCTGATTTCTGCTGTGTTAGGAGGCAAGAACAGCACTGCGAAGGTTGCTCATGTAAAGTGAGCACCGTGATTCTTTTCAAAATGAAACTGAACCTGAATACAGCTTGGTCTATGCCGATTCCTACCGATTTTTGCAAACACCAAACGGTCGAGGATATCATTTCTTCAGCAACGACACGCTTGACCAGCTCGAGGCGCTTCTCGCGTCCGGAACCCCTGACTCGCCGACTATCTTGGCCTTGATGACTGAACTTCCGGGGAACCCTCACATGCAAACGGCCGATTTGGAGAGACTGCGTCGACTCGCTGACAGATACAACTTTCCCATCGTCGTGGACGAGACCATCACCGGCCATCTCAACGTTCAAGTCTTGCCCTACTGCGATATTGTCGTCGCGAGTCTTTCAAAGATTTTCAGCGGATTGGCGAACGTGCTAGCTGGCGCGTGCGTACAAGTTTCAGTGATAGAACACTACACAGGTATTGATCGCCGCTTTAGCCTCATGCTGAATCCCGACTCCCGCTTCTATTCCCGTTTCAAAGCCTACATGAACGACACCTATCGCGACTATCTTTTCGATCAAGACGCCCTTATTTTGGAGATGAATTCGCGTGAACTGGCTGAACGGACTGTCGTGACCAATCGCAATGCCGAAGCTGTTGCGGATGCGCTCTACGCTCGTTCTTTGGCCGGTGGTGCGACACAGTCGGTCCTCAAAGAGGTTCGCTCGAGAAAACAGTTGCTTGCGTGGTCCTGATCAGAATATCAGATCCACTATCCTAAATATCGTACACGCGAGAACTACGACCGGGTGATGAATCCTCAGGCAGCGAAAGCGGGAGTCGCTAATCCCGGGTATTCGCATTTGATGACCGCAATATTCACGTCGTTGGAAGCAGCAGAGACCTTCTACGAATCGCTGCAATGTTTCAAAGGCACTACGCTCGGAACTGTCTTCACGTTGTCCACAGCATTTACTGTGTTGGCTTTCCCACCCGAAAAGATGGACTGGTTGCGAGAGCATGATGTAGATCCAATTTCAGTACGTCATGGCATCATCCTCTTTCTTCCTGTCTCTCACCAACATCCTCAGGTGCGCTTGAGCGTTGGGATGGAAGATCCAACGGAGATCATACGAGTGGTTCTGGCTGCTCTGGATCAAACCCAACGCACAGTCCGTCCTATACTCCCCAACTAACCACGCGGCCGAGAGCATGGTCATTCAGTTGCTAGAGTAGAAGATGCGATACGGTCGGGAAGGGTGGAGAGGCTGCGATTGCTCTGAGCAGCAATGATATACTAGACATTCACAGTCCATCCACCGACCGCATTTGCTACTCGATCCTGAACCATCTGCAATCAAAGAACAATTGAGCTGCGCGTGCACGAACTCAGACGTATATGAGTGGCATCGCCCACTCATGGCTGGATAGGAATGTAACAGAGCGAAAGAACTACTGGAGAGGCTTTGACCGACAGGGACCTGGATGCTTGTTGATCTGTACGTCTTGATCCGTGATTGTTGCTGCCATGAATGCCTGGCAAGTTCTGCCAAATTGCTGCGTCCTGCTCTTCTAATGATTGATTCTATTACTGACTAGGATGTTGCCCCAGCGCGCATACGCATCGCCGGAATCATGACTTCTTTCGTCGATTGCGTCATGTCAGTAACTCAAAACGATGCTAATATGGCTGTCCAATAGCGCTACTTACCTTACTACCGGTCTGAAACAAGGGATGCGCCCACGAGACTGGCGCGAGCCGCGATGACGAAGTCTGTCGTTCAAATCCACTCTGATCTTGAAAATATATGTATGGGTCAGTACGAAATTTCCCTCTCGCTCATATCAAATGTCCATTGATGCGTTCCAATCTGGCAGGACTTTCTTTTGTACTCTATTGCCGCGACCATCTCCGGCTGAGGGCGTGTGCTTTTCATCCGCCGCGATCGGCACAGATGCTTCGTGCTCGTTAGCGAAAAGGCTATAGTCGCTGTGGAGCACTTTGGGCCCAGCAAGCACTTTATGTCAATGAGGGGCAACGGTACTTCTTTAGGCTCTGCGAGTGTCACTGGCCAGCTTAAAACACGCGCCATCCTGAAGTGCTCTCTATGGACTTGACACCCCAGCCCACGCCGTCTTTGGGACGGAGCATCCCAGCCAACTCACCCTACTCACTCATCTGGTCCCTGCCCGAATGGCAGCACAACGTTACAATCGGTGAGGGCAAAGCGGCGACCTTCGCAGGAAAAACGGAGACGGTATATCCCCGTTTCGGTACCCATCCACAGGTTGCCAAAGTAAGCGTTCACACACTTTCGTTTTTTATTCCGTCTGATCACGCCGATGAGCTTGCAACTATCATCTCCGCTGCTCTAGATCCCGTCGAAAAAAAAGTTATGCTGCTCTTTCCTTGCCGTCAGTTCGCGGAAGAGCTCCGCCGTTACATGCAGCAGACGCTGCCATCGGCCTCTTGTGATATTCAGTCCGCTTCGTCCGTGGCGAATCCTCCCCCAGGACACGAGATCTACGCGGCGTTTCTGTCTGTAGAGCGGTCGCAAGTGATGAGCTTCCATATCTTCAGCGGCACTGGAATATCCCCACGGCTGGCGAATGTCTGTCTTCGGCGTCTAGAAGGAATTGAAGAGCCTGCTCTGATTCCTGTGCCTAATGAAGGTCATCTCTTCTCGGATTACTACAAACGACATGCGCCGTTGCGATCTGCTGCCGATGCGAAGAGGGCGATCCGGACTCGGTTCAGTGGAGTCCTCGAGGACGGGACCAACATTCGAGGAGTTGCATCGGCCTCTCCTGAGGACGTGTACCTGTATCCTGCCGGGATGCATGCGTTATGGAGAGTGAGCCAGATGATTTCTGCCGTCTTAGGCAGCAAGAACAGCACTGCGAAGGTTGCTCATGTCAAGTAAGCCACACATTGTGTCGCACAAACCATGAGACTCAGGTCGTATACAGCTTGATCTACGCCGACTCCTATCGCTTTCTGCAACTTCCAGACAGCCCGGGATACCACTTCTTTAGCAACGACACGCTTGATGATTTAGAGGCTCTCCTCGAGTCCGGAACCCCAGACTCTCCAGCCATCCTGGCATTGATGACCGAAGTCCCGGGGAATCCCCATCTGCGCACCCCTGATATCAAGAGACTGCGTCGACTCGCGGACAAATACAACTTTCCCATCGTGGTCGACGAGACTGTAGCTGGGTACCTCACTGTCCAGGTCTTTCCCTACTGCGATGTTGTCGTGGCCAGTCTTTCGAAGCTCTTCAGTGGACTGGCGAATGTACAAGCCGGCGCGTGCGTACAAGTTTCCGATCGCGGTGCATTACGCAGCTCTATTGACCTCCCGCTCAGGGTCATGTTGAATCCCGACTCTCGCTTCTATCCCCGATTCAAAGCGTACTTGCAAGACACCTACCTCGATTGTTTCTTCGACCAAGATGCACTCATTTTGGAGATGAACTCCCGTGAATTGGCTGAGCGATTTTCCGTGGTCAACCGGAATGCCGAAGCTGTTGCGGATGCGCTGTACTCTCGTTCGTTGGCCGGCGGTGCGACGGACTCTGTTATACAAGAGGTTTGCCTGATAGAGATTACGCGCCCGGTTCTGATTTTAATCCTCAGGTCCATTACCCTAAATATCGCACAAGAGAGAACTACGAGCAATTGAGAAATCCTCTGGCAGCCAAAGCTGGATTGAGTCATCCCGGCTACTCCCATCTGCTTTCTGTGACATTTACGTCGTTGGAAGCAGCCAAGATCTTCTACGAGTCTCTGAAATGCCCCAAAGGTGCCACTCTGGGAACTGTGTTCACGCTTTCCACGGCATTCTGTGCTTTGGCCTTTGCTCCCGATAAGCTGGATTGGATGCAAGCACACGGTATCGAGCCTTTCTTGGTTTGTTCGGTTACTTTTCCACATTCCCGTCTCTCAATTCTCCGTTCAGGTACGCCTGAGCATTGGAATGGAAGAAACGGCTGAGATATTGCGAGTGGTATTTGACGCACTCGATGACGCCCAACGCGCAGGCTGACAGTCAGCGCCATTGGGCACGCCAAAAACCAAGTAGCGTACTTGGACACTTGGTAATCCCTTGGCAATTATCCTGTTACATGCCTTCCAACCAGATGCAAGAATGTTGCCTTGCTTGTCAAGGCATCTCCACCACCATAATTCGCGATCAAAAAGCTGCCGGCTCTCTCCGTTTGACATTCCGTCTTCTTCCGTCGCTGTGCTCCATTGTTTGTTGCTATTCTCGCCGCCGATATATGATGATGTCTTTCGTATTAGGGAATGCACATTGTGCATGGCATACCGGCATATGACCAAGATGGCAGACTCATTGCACCAGAGGACTACATGTCCAAACTGCATGGTACGACTGTGATGCTGACAATGAACCGATCTCACATCGCCTTCCAATCGAAGAAGGAAGATTTGGTATCTGCCGATATTGTCAAGATGTGCATAGTAGCTAACCAGTCTACTGCGCCGAGCCCCTTGAAGCGTGGGAAGCTGGCACTGCATGACAGCAAAGGTGAAGAGGAGCAGAGCCCAACTAAGAAGAGGTGCTCAGTTTATGGTGCCTGATACGTATTTGTCTACCGCCTGTAAAGTCCAAAAAAATTGGTTTGATCTGTCTGAGAGGCAAGGCATGTCTGCCGACGCAGTCGGCGCTCCTAGTGTGCTAAGTAGTGGGTACTGCCAATTGATGCCAATCAAAGTCCGAATTTGGACACCCGGTGATAACTTCGTAATGGCTACTCTGATGACGCTGCATCGGCGCTGGAGGGTCAGACAACGAGCATGCCAGGTTTTCTGACAAAGGCCATCGAGAACGTCAAGTGCTTTGAGCCTGACAAGCACTCTGTGTCAATCATCCGCAACAGCAGTTCTCTCGGAACAACAAGTATCCATGGGCAGCTCAAACAGCGCACTGTTCCCAGGCACTCTCAATGAACGCAATCCCGCAGCCGACTCCGTCTTTGGGACGGAGCATCCCAGCGGACTCGCCCTACTCGCTCCTCTGGTCTCTGCCCGATTGGGAGCACAATGTCATCATAGCCGAGGGCAAACGGGACACATTCGAATGGAAGTTGGAGACGGCGTACCCTCGGTTCGGGACGCATCCCAGGGTTGCCAAAGTGCGCGTTGAATCTCTCTCGTGCGAGAGCGTGTCTATTAACGCCCATCAGCTTGTCGCTATCGTCTCCGCTGCGCTGGATCCAGTCCAAAAGAGGTTTCTGCTGCTCTTTCCCTGTCGCCAGTTCGCGGAGGAACTCCGTCATTACATGCAGCAGACGCTGCCATCGGCCTCTTGTGATATTCAGTCCGCTTCGTCCGTGGCGAATCCTCCCCCAGGACACGAGATCTACGCGGCGTTTCTATCTGTGGGGCGCTCGGAAATAATGAGCTTCCATATCTTCAGCGGCACTGGAATATCTCCACGGCTTGCGGATGTCTGTCTCCAGCGTCTAGAAGGAATTGAAGAGCCTGCTCTGAGTCCCGTGCCTGATGAAGGGCATCTCTTCTCTCATTACTACAAACGGCATGCGCCGTTATCTTCTGTGGCCGAGGCAAAGAAGGCGATCCGGACTCGGTTCAGTGGAGTGCTGGAGGATGGGACCAGCATCCGAGGCGTATCTTCAGCCTCCCCTGAGGACGTCTACCTGTATCCTGCCGGGATGCACGCAGTCTGGAGAGTGAACCAGCTGATTTCTGCCGTTTTGGGAAGCACGAACAAGACTGCAAAAGTTGCTCATGTCAAGTAAGTCATGCTACGTGTCTTGCCGACTGCGACCCTCATATTTCACTCAGTATGCTCTACGCTGATTCGTACCGTATTCTGGAACTTCCAGATAACCCAGGATATGACTTCTTCAGCAACAACATGCTCGACGAACTGGAGGTGCTACTCGAATCCGGGACCCCTGACTCGCCGGCTATCCTGGCCGTCATGACCGACCTCCCCGGCAACCCTCACATAGAAACACCTGATCTTGAGAGACTGCGTCGGCTCGCAGACAAATATAACTTCGCCGTCGTCGTTGACGAGACCATCGCCGGCCATCTCAATGTTCAAGCCTTGCCGTACTGCGATATCGTCGTGGCCAGTCTTTCAAAGCTCTTTAGCGGATTGGCGAACGTACAAGTTGGCGCGTACGTCCGAGTTCTTGCTGCATCGCGCTACAATTCACCCCATGGCTAGGATTATGTTGAATCCCGACTCTCCATTTTACTCTCGCTTCAAGATGCATCTGCAAGACACCTACCGCGACTACTTTTTTGACCAAGATGCCCTTATCCTGGAGATGAACTCGCGCGAATTCGTTGAACGCACTGCCGTCGTCAATCGTAACGCAGAAGCTGCAGCTGATGCCCTGTTCTCTCGTTCGTTGGCCGGCGGTGCGACAAACTCGGTTCTTCAGACGGTTCTTTATCCTAAGTACCGCTCGCGGGAGAACTACGACCGAGTGCTCAATCTTTCGGCAGCTAAAGCTGGATTGGCCGATCCCGGCTATTCGTATCTGCTGTCGCCGATATTCACGTCGTTGGAGGCAGCCAAGGCCTTCTACGAGTCCCTGCAGTGTTCTAGAGGTGCTACGCTAGGCACTGTATTCACGCTTGCCACAGCATTCAGTGCGCTGGCCTTCCCGCCTGATAAACGCGAGTGGATGCAAGCACATGGGGTGGAGCCTTTCTTGGTTTGTTCGATTCCGGTTTTCCTTCCGATCTCTCAATGTTCCGCTCAGGTACGCCTGAGCATTGGAATGGAAGAAACAACGGAGATCTTACGAGTCTTATTTGACGCGCTGGATTTTGCACAACGCACATGCCGACAGTGACCGCCGTCGCCAACGCCGGAAACCAGGCACTATATTTATGTAGTTGTCAATCACTTAAGTACAATCTTGTCAATTCGTATCGTAACGGGGCTTGCAACTAGACGTGATATTCGATGGTGCATAACGTCAGACCGGGCGCCACTGTCCAGTGCCACATCGGAGAAAACAAAACACGTGAAATCCACGTGTAGACACCCATCCCGGACTTGCGGCAGCACTGGTACGCGCCGGCTTTTCCTGTCAAGCCAACGCAGTCCTCGCTCAGTGCTTGGTCAAGGCGAGGGCGTCACCCGGGGGTAACCGGTCCGTCCGCGAGTGACGCACGTTGTCCTGTCCTGCTGTGTGTCTAAGCGATAACACCGGGAAGACACACCATCTGATGCTCGTCCACGAGTTGTCCGTTTAAATCGAAAATAGGTTCGGCCCTTGACTAGGTTCTGTCCTCTCCGTCTCCTGCTACTCGAGTCCTCAGAATGTATGCGCGGCTCTCGGCACTCGTTGTGCTACACTACGCATTGAGTGTACTCGCGTCCAAGCACCTGTCTTTAGCAGATGCGGCGCTTGCGAGCATTTTGGCCGACGGGGCCCCAATTCTTGGTGCGTCACCCTTCATGAGATGGCCTCGTTCTCCATCTCATGGGATTAGGTTTCGATCATGGCTGCTCTCAGCGGGAAAAGACATGCGACTGGATGAGAAACTACCCCGATCACACAAAGCTCGTTCACATGAACCTCCCTGGCACTCATGACTCGTCGACATGTACTGCTCGTTTTCGTTGCTCTGATGGATGATCGCGCTGAAGAGACTAGGGAACTACACTCAAGCCACCCAGGATGCGTTCTTCGAGTACACTGGGACGTGCGTCATACTGTCGCCGAGCCTTGCTTTGGTCTATGATTCTCAACGCATCCATCAGTGGAATTCCGCCCGCTGTGTCGTTCCAGTGCCAGAACAGTTCGCTCTTCGATGCCCTCAATAAAGGGATCCGAGTGTTTGATATGCGCTTCGCATACAATCCCGGAAATGTGGAGCTGGGTTTCCATCACAGTCAGGCCGTGTTGGCTCCACACACAACAGTCGAAGATGTCTGGTTTGGTCTCTATAGCTGGTTGGACAAACATCCTTCCGAAGCTATACTTTTATCGCTCAATTACGAAGGATCGACGGGCACTCCGCGCGATCTGCAGCTCGAAGAACATATACACGACATCATGACAAGCGATCTCGCCCAACGCTACTGGGTGCAAGCCAACGGCACGCTCGGAACACTGGGAGAGGCGCGGGGCAAGTTGACCTTCCTCCAGCGCTTCAGCTACGACTTTCTCCCCTCCAATGCTAGCAGCCTCGGGATTCAGCTTGATCCCTCGGCATGGCATGACGACCAGGCCAATATTGAGATTGTCTACAACCAAGCGGAGAAGCAGATCGCGTATATTGAGGACTATTATGAGCCCGATGATCTCGGCACCGGCGCTGGCTATGCTGCGAACATCCAGGCCAAATTCAAGGCAACGACCGAACACATCGAAAACGCAACAAAATACAATCCGGACCAGTTGTACTGGTCGTTTGCTAGTGCAGAGCACGACCTCGACACCCCACCGGTGTGGCCTGTGGTCTGCGTCCAGCAACCTCTGTTTCGGCAATGACTCACTGGTTTTAGATCATGGCGCTCGGAAACGGAACCCGAACTCCAGGAGTGAACCAGCTGCTCTTACCCTGGCTTCAGGCACGCAAGGGTAAACGATTCGGCATCGTTAGTAAGTGGGATGTGACGGCTCTCTCTGCTACTGTCTCCCTGAACAAATTCCAGTGCTCGACTTCTTCGACTCGATTCCAGGTCTTGTCGAAGCGGTTATCGGAATTTAAGACATATACCAAGTACGATAAACTATGAATGCAAAATAATCACGCACATCACGCGGCCAATATCTGCCAATCGATGCCAGCGTCTGGCCCATACCTTTCTTCAAGCCATTCGTTCGCCTTGCGAAAATGGCCGTTACCCAAGAAGCCACGATGGGCAGAGAGCGGAGATGGATGGGGGGATTCCAGAACAAGATGTCGCGTCTACGAATGCTGAGGTAGGGCTTTGAACGAAGATAGCCTGCGCACCTTATCAACACCCACTTTCTGAACAATCTTCTGGGCTGGCAATCCCCAAGCCATGAACACAACACCGCGCTCCTTGGAGCGAGCTAACACGCATCGTAGCACTGCACGTGTGAGATCCTCCCAACCCTTGTTTGCATGTGAAGCGGCGCTATGGGCGCGAACGGTAAGAATTGAGTTGAGCCAAAGGACACCTAGAGACGCCAGTTGCGAGAGGTCCCTGGCGATGCGTTAGGCACGCGTCGTCGCGAACTGTCCCTGGGCGCACCCTGATTTAGGGGGTACGAAGGATGGATAGTCGTTCTGGATCTGCTTGTAGATGTTCCTCAAGGACGGGGGGATCTTTGTTGGAGGCAGCACAGAGAATGAAAGCCCTTGAGATCACTGAACATTTGGTTGGACATAGAGAGTTCGATCACTTGCCGTGGGCTTGTCCAATATCATGATATGGGTCTTGGCCCAGTATTACTACCTTGACAGAGTCCAACGGTGTGAGACGCGACCATGAATAGATGTTCCCAACTAAATCTTAGTTCAGAGGCAAACAGATGCAGCAAAAGGGAGCGCAACTAGCGGGAAAGATCGTCTGTGACTTGATCTCCGCTTCGAGGAACTTCTTCAGCTGTCCGAATGTTGAACGGATAGGTTGTGCTGCGCAGACGGAGCACACAGACCTTGATAAAGTAAGGCTTTTCGAACTCGGGATTCAGCACTTCAATCCAACTAGCGTGCATCGTGTCCCGTTCCAGAAATTCAACAGTGATCGACTGCAGCACCGTTTGAGTCGAGGGGCCCTCGCCCTTGTCTGGGGATTGAGCCTCGTCTGCGGCTACATCTAGAGCAGCCACTGCTTTTGTAACTCGGCTGACGGTTCGGATGGGCCGAGTCGGCTGCCCTTTTGCGACTTTGAGCGTCTTGGGCATGGTTATGCGGAGAAAGCGGGATGTCATGTGTGCTTGGTGTTGTGTACGCGTTGCTTGTCGCTGTGTTAATCAAGAGTATGGCTGTGCACACGCGTCTGGAATGGTTTCCCGCCTTAGATGATGTCGACGCGTGCGTTTAGATTCCAATTTGCGAACTTGGCTCCTTGAATGCAAGAAACGTGTCTTGATCTACTTCTAATCCTGTTTGTGTCTTTCCCACTGTCAATCCGACTGCCTTACTTTTGCGATAATGTTCACCGTTGTGCGGATGTCTCAGTTACCCGCCACGTCTCACTTGCAGCGCCCCCGACGGCGCCCCAATCTCCGGTGGAGCGATCCAACCATTTCTATGCGTTCCCTGCTTATACGGAACCCAGGTCTCTGCGCTGACACTCACTTTCAACTTGAACACCAACACTGATCTCCCCCATGTCTGCTGCATCGTCTCCCCTGCTTCCGGCTTCCGCTGCGTACGACGTTAAATACTGCACTCTCTGCGACGCCTACTTCTACAGCCTTGACATGCTCAGGGATCACATCCAAGGTTCGAGCAGACACCCCAGATGCTCTGAGTGCGATAAGCGCTTCCTTAACAACAACTCTCTACGAAACGTCGGTCCCTCCCTCTGCTTCTCCTTGATAACCTCCTGAGCATCATCCCCTAGCACTATGTTCTCTCCACCAGACACCATTACTGCCGTATCTGCCAGAAACACTTCAAGACTGACGGGGGGTTTCAAGTGGTATGTAGAGCCTTCTTGGACCGGCTCTGCATCCGCTAAGTTGGAGCAGCATCTCGAACTCGTTCACGGAGAAAGCGATGACGAAGATGACGAGCTTCGCGAGTTCCCAGACGACTGGGAAGATCGGATTGCACGAGAGCGATACGATGCTCTGTACGGCTCTGAGATTCCTCTTCCTGCAGAGGATCTCAGAGCGAAGCCTCGGCCTGCTTCACAACCCGTGAGCGCTGACCCCCCGTTCGTCGCTCCGATGCTCATCTCGGACCCAGACTACCACCCCTAAAGCCGGCAACGTGTTCAGACCGCAATGCCCCATTTGTCTTTGCAGGCGGAAGAAGACCGTTGCGACACGGTGCGGGCATGTCTTTTGTTCCCGGTAAGTCAAGATTGATTACCCCCGCATGGAGCTGAGCCGATCTTCCGCAGCTGCATTCGCCATGCCATGGAGCAAGCGTCTGTGTGCCCCACATGCAGACAGCCCGCTCTCCTCGAGCAGTTGCGCTCTCTTAAGTTCGCCTGAAGTAGGACAGAATCCATTATTCCCACCTGGTCAATGCAGTGCATGTAAATTCCCGCCTGATCAATGCAGCGAATGTAATCATAGACTTGATTCATGAGATTCGTATCTTGAGCGTACGGAAGACTATGTTTGATCTATAAATATAGCAAGAATACTGGTGTGGTAGGTAGGTAATGCTACAGGCGACGCTCTAGGTCGGGGATCAACACGATTCGTATGTGGTAGTGCTACAGTGGGTTGAGTGAGAGTGTGAGTGGGTGCGAAAGGATGCTATCGGGTCAAGAAACGAAAGATGCACGAAGGGTGTACAAGGTCGAAGGCGGGTCGATGGGACGCGCGCAAGAAAACGCAAGAAGGCCGGAAGAAAGATGAAGAGTAGATCCGCCAGCGCACGGCGGAAATCAGTTTTCCAGAAGGAAGTCCCAGTCGTGGGTGGTTATTTCGGGTGCTTTGCTAGAACAGCAGAAGAGACGTCGCAGAGCCTCTTTGGAGGGGTTCTCCGCGCTGTTGGTTTGCACATCCCACATGCGGAAGGTGACGTGGCCTTTCGTCGTGACGAGGATTTCGTCCTCATCGACGAGATCCCCGGAATGTCTGTCATTGAGACGGACGTTGCGCATGATGCGATTTACGAAGCCGGCAGAAAAGGACGTGGATTTCGGACAATGGACGATGCCTTTGAAGTCGGAGGGAACCCAGATGGTCACGTCTGACGTCGATGTGCGGACCTCGAGCTCAAATCGAGAACGATAACAGCTGCGGACCTGCGGCACCAAGGTCAGAGAGGGAAGCGAGTAGGCGCCCTAGAACACGGACGAGTTTGAGCTTCATTGGAGCTGACTCATTCCCCACAAACATGCTCAGGCGGCAGTCGATAGGTTGGTTTCGTGCGCGGTAATGAGGGAGAACGAGGGACAGATCGACTGGTCGCGGGACATCCAAGTGGTAATCCCAGTTTTCGCCGGGCAGGTACTTGACCTTATGAGAGCCACGACTCTTGTCGCACGAGTACTGGGGGGTGCGATTAGGGAGATCCGTGAGAAACAGTCCGAAAGGACGCACGAAAGAATCGTCTGAAGCGATAAGTTCCAGCTTTTCACAGGAGTACTGGAGAGCAGATGAGATAAGGCGTCGCAGACACGAAAGAAAGAGCGTACAGTCGAAAGGCTTGAAGAGTCGGAGGACGGCATGGTACGGTCGTCGGCGCAAATGCGTGATAATGGGGGGGCTGTCTCCATGGATGCAGGGCTATCCTTTTTGTATGCATGCTTCCTTCCTGTTTGGGACAAAGGACTGACGATGACCGGTTCCCACGTCTGGAGAAATGATCGTGACCGCATCAGGAACAATGCCGGCCTTGTTCTTCGAACAATAGGGCGACCACGTTTTCCCCAGTTCCCCCTTCTGCAACAAGAGGTCCATGACCATACTCTCTCTCTCTCTGCCTGGGGCTCTGGCAAGAACTTGGCTCCTTTCAGGCGGCATCCGGAGCGGGCCTCTCGTCTTAATTGGGCTCGATCTTGGGAGACCATCTTTGATCGGGCTTTGTGCGTCGCGCAACTACAGGGTCCTCGCCTGTGCTCGCGTGGTTTTCACGCGAGGCGATACACATCTGACCCGATTTACCCGAGGCTCGGTGCTCAGCAGACGGCTCGTATCGAAACTTTCGTAAGTGCCCCACCGTATGACTTACGGCGCAAGTGGGGCACTTACGGCTGCTCCCTTGAAGCACAACCCTATAGTTTTTTTGCTTTGCCAACTCCTCTTGGTAGCATCTCCGAAGTTACGCCCTCGGTCTTTGTAAGATCATCTCGGTCGTTACCTCCTGGGGCAGGGCTGTGCTGTCCTGCGGTGCATCACTGATCCCGAGAGAGTATACATTACATAGGCTCGTGCACACCAATTTCAAAACATGTTGCTATCCTATGGAGACAACGCTGTTCTCGGTACCTAATCCTATGCGCTGCCTGGGCTACCCACTCGTTTCTGTGAAGATCCCCTGCTTGATCAGCTCTGCAACCGCAGCGGTGACATCCGCTCTGAGGTCATGTCGCCAGATTGGGCCCAAAACTCCTTGAAAATGACTTTGCATGTCGTTTTTCTGGTACCCGGGAAGCCCGCAGCGCTCATAATGAAGTCCGGCTGCAAAACTTCGATTCCAGACCATCTCAGCACGCGGTCGACGGATGCAGTCGTAAACAGCCAGAATGGACTGTATGTCACGTGTTTCAGCATGTCGCTTGAATGACGGAGTCTCGTTGACTGACCTGCAGATTGGAGAGAGTCGTCTGAGGGTGACCGAGCAACTTGCAGAGAAGAAAAACGTCCTCGAATCCTTGTCCAACTCCCGAGCCGAGATGCGGACACATGGCGTGGGCCTGAAAATCTTCCGAATCAGCCCAGAATAGCCGAAGAAGGGACGCATACTGCATCTCCGACCAGGACGACTCTGTCTCGCGAGTATCTGTCCAGCGGTTTCAAATGATGGATGAACCATTTGCTCGGCTTCTCCATGTGTTGGACGATCGTCTGCACGTCAGGGCCCCAGTCTGCATATTGGTCGACGAGCTCTTGCTGAGGCACCCGCTGAACCCACGATCCGGCGACTTGGACAGATCCGACCGGAACGCCAGTTTCGGTAACAAAAGCCACGACGTTGATCTACATAAGCAGTTGAGACGAGGGCAGTCCGATAAAGGCGTGTCTACCTTTGTGCGCTTTTGGATGGGGAAAGCGATGATGTGCTTACACGGGTTTCAGCGATCCCACAACACACGTGTCGGAGCTGGCCTTGACCTACCTTGCCAATGCCCACGAAGTTGAACGTGCGGCTGATCAGATCTGTTCTCACGCCGGCTCCTTTCAAGACATCCCAGGGAACAACTGCTCGATATGCAACCGTATTTGTGAATTCGAGCGCTTCCTTGTTATCTTTCCCAGTCACGAAGGTCCTGGATGAACTGTGGATGCCGTCTGCTCCAATAACCAGATCAGCTTCGTGTGTAGTGCCGTCCGAGAAGTGGATAGCGTAGGCGGATGTTCCAGGGATTGTGGAGATGGATGTGAGCCGTTTCTTGAAATGCATGTGGCTGGGATCAGGAATTAAAGGCAACACCGCGTCAAGAAATGTCGGCCTGAATATGTTGAGCTGTTTAATTTGACATGCGCGTGAATTCAGACAGACCTGTAAATGCCAACACCTCCATCCTGAGCTCCGCAGTCAGGCTGTAATAGTTTCCAGTCTCAAGTCTTGTCAACGGGCGATTACGCACGCTATCCCGGTAGTCGTACAGCACTTGATGGTCGCCAGGGCCAGAAACGAACAGCATCCTACGATCCGTGTGCTCAGATGCTTCGAGGAGATTCATGATTGAGCTGAGAATCCCAAGGTCATCCAGAGCTCGCAAGGCATTTGGTCCTGCCAGGACCTCAGAAGTGGGTTTGAAAGCCGGGTAGAAGAGAGCACGAACCGAGACCGACACCAGCCCCGACTTCTTCGAACTTGGCCTAAAAGCAGTGAGACGAATTTTACTCCCATCGGCACAGAGTCTCTACGCACAGTAGCTTCAAATAGATCGGCATGGATGCCTGCGCGCGCCAAACCGACGGCACAGGCTAGCCCACACATCCCACCGCCGATAATGGCCACCCGGAAGTCCTTGCTAGCTTGGACTGGAGATTCCGCATAAGAGTCCATTAGAGCAATGGCAAGATGCGTGGAAGAGTGTGCTCGGTTTACTGCGCCTTGGCTGTTCCGACCCCCAAGTTCTCGGCACCACTGTGCCGAGGATACAAATAGCCCATTTCGCACACGTGAAACTGGCCGATTTCATAGAGTACTTTGAGGATGAATCACAGGCTGTGGTCGGATGAGGTGTCTCAGGATGTAAGGGAATGTTGCAGTCAATTGACTCGAAGTGCTTGAGCAAAGGTGGACGAGATCTGGCGGATGAGCTGAGTCCGCAAGACACCGAGGAAGAATATGGGAACCATCGGTGTGAGTTATTTCTTGCAGCCTACTTGGCTATCTTCAAGCATATTAGAGTCGCAAAGCTGATCAGGCATGAGTTACAGCGCCGCGGCAGTCATCACGCGCAAGGCTTCGGGCTCTTCACGTGACCGTGTAACTCGATCATAACTGGGCCAAACACTACATCACTATAAATTTTTGTCTCGAAAATGTAGGATCATTGCGTCCTTCTTCCACTGTAAGTACCTCATCTCCTCTCGATCTCTTCCCTCCTTTCATGTGATGACTTTATTCTCTTCCCCGTCTTACACGACCATGCCGAGACACAGAGACGTCTGTTCGCAACAGACTCGTGTCCTTCGGGGCACACAGTGTACTTGCCAGTGCCATTTCGTCTGATCTCCTGCTTATATCTTCGCGATTTCGAGCCCTATGCTAACTGCATTCCTATTCAGTGTTCCCCCGCCTGGCTTCCGTCCTCTTCTCGGGCCATTTGTTTTCTATGCTCTTGTGAGTGTTCATCTATCGTTTTTTCCCCCTCCACTCCTCCCTTTCCATGATGAAACATTCCGAACATTCGCAGTTTCCACTTAAGTGTCAGTTGTGCTCCGTCCTGTTTATATTCCCCCTCCATACCACGTTGAACCCAAAAGGCGTTGGTCGAGCTGTGGGCTGCCTTGCGGTACGCTGGCAGGTTCGGAGTTGGCACGATGAGAGTCTAACGACCTTCCTTTGGATGTCTGATCCTCCTTCTGTTGTTCAACGATCATGACTTGAGACTGACTGCTTATTCTTAGGTCCCAAGACTGGTTTTATGCTAATCATGGGTCAAGTAGCAGTAGTACATGTGTGATAGTTTGTACGAGTATTGAATCGAACATAGTCTACTCAAATATTGTGGGCGTCGTCTGCTGTCTGCTCCGATGTCTCGTCAGCAAAATACATTCTTGGAGGTAGTGTTCGTTGTGAAAGTTCCCTTCTAACCCGGGGATCGAAGCGAGTGGGTGCTGATATGGATGATGTATATCTTGTAATAGGAGGTAGGCCGAGGCTTTGTCTGACTTCTGTCCATCTTCCAGGCATTGTGTGGATAGGTTGATGTAGTCTTGACGTGTGCAAGTGTACGAGGATAGATACCAGACTTGTCAGGGTCAGGACTAATGCGAGCACGATGACGATAACGGGTGTGTGGACGTGGTGATTGAGTTTATGCATCGTGTTGTGTGCGACGAGCGGAGTGGCGGGATCCGGATTAGAACCCAAAGTCGCCGCGGACAGCGCGCTATGGCGTGCAGGTGATGGCAAATGGCGAAGACGCGTCTGTCACTTAAGTCACGATGCTGGCTCTCGCTTCGGTCTACTTTTCCACAGCCAGACTGCATGCTCGCCCGACTCGCTCGGCAGCGGATCTCTCGTCCTCTGAATTCCTCTGTGCCATGTCCTCGAAGATGGGCGAGCGACAAGGCACCGCCGCCGCAACTGAGAAGTAGTTTCGATTCAGCCCCACGGGTGCGAGCGAAGCCCGCTGCCTCCGACTCTATGAAGTACGACACTGCGGCATTCGACCCCCCTGCCTGGTTCGCGTACTCGCCCTGGTCTAGTCAATTTGTTGGTGGGATGCAGGGGAGAGTCATGATCCAGAGTCTGTTGTACGCATTGCTCATCGTGGCCGCGACCAACTATATCGACTCCGAGCTGTTCGTGCGTTCCGATTCCGCATCCGGTCATGTGTTACTCTTGTTAATCTCATTGGGATCGCTAGCCTTCCATCCAATCTGATGTTGCGAAATACGCGTCACCACACGAACTTAAGCTCGCCATCATATCGCTTCAACAGGCATTCCCGGAAGAGGGGAGGGTAGACACGAACCCCGAAGTGTTGAAGAGCGCAGGATCATCTGACAATTCGTACCATCCTGCCGCTCCTCATTCAGTTCTCGTCCGACCGCAATCCACGGAGGATGTCGTCAAGGTCGTCAAGATCGCGCGCAAGTTCAAGGTACGTGAACTGAAACCCTGGGTACTAGTCATGCAGCTATTTCATAGGTCCCAATCATACCGTCTTCGGGGGCGACAAGTCTCGAGGGACATTTCTCTGGTGTGAGCTCAGTTGTTATGTTCTTGAGTATCATCCAACGATGACCCAGCACCCTAGCGGCAGCATCTGTTTGGATATGTCCGGAATGGACCAGATTCTTCAAATCAATGGTGAAGGATTTTCGTTCCGGTCTGGACCAGTCACCAACGTCACTTCTTCAAGTGGATGATTCCGATTTGATATGTCAAGCTGGAGCCCGCTGGGAAGATATCAACCAAACACTCAAGGAGAAGGGTATCCCGCTGTTCTTTCCCGTGCGTTCATTTGTTTGGTCTATCGGATGGAGTAATAATGCCTGGAAGCTCGATCCGGGTCCTGGTGCTGTGGGTTGATCGTACAAGCTACACATCCATGACGTTTAATGAGTTCAGACCATCGGAGGCATGGTGGGAACCGGATGCAGCGGCAGTGAGTTGTGATGTGTTCGTTCTCGACCTCTTATTGAAGTTCTCGCAGCTAACGCAGTCAGATACGGGTCTGCGTGTTCTCTATCCAGACTAGTCAGCATCAACTGAGCGGCCTTATCTAGCACAGCTAAGGCTGAATGGTTCCTGAATCTCGTAAATCCGTCCCCTGTCTCCTTGAGAAATAGGCTGAACTCTTGTGCAGACGGTTGTGCTTCCTAACGGAGAAGTGATCAAAACTCGCAGAAGAAGTCGGAAATCGTCTGCTGGCTGGGATACGACAAAGCTTTTCATTGGGGCTGAAGGGACACTCGGAATTGTTACGGAGGCGACATTACGACTGGCGCCTGCCCTCCCGACGAAAGTGGCTATGGCCCAATTCCCAGACGTGGGCAAGGCTGTGAATGCGGTTCAAGAGATCCTCAATTCTGCCTACGGATCCCACGTTCGTGAGTGACAGAGCTGAGCGTTGCCCACATGCTCAATGCGCCATGGTCGGACAGAGTGTGTCGAGCTTTTGGACAATCATAGTAAGACATCGCTGGCTTGCGGCGGACTGCGGCTGAGATCGATACTCTCCAGTGATGGATGCTATCAACAAAGGTGGCCTCGTTGACAAGCCATATCCCGTCACGGACACTCTCTTTCTCAAGCTGCAAGGGGACGATGCTGCCATCAAACTTACTTCGAAGACCATCCAAGCGATCGTTAAAAAACACGGCAGCAGCAAATTCGAGTTTGCAGCGACCGACGCTGAAGCGGATAGCCTTTGGCAGAATCGCAAGTATGCTCTCATGTCAACACTGGCTGCATATCCCGGAAGCAAGTGCTGGACGACTGATGTCTGGTTTGTGGTCGATTTATCTCGGCACGAAAGATAATTGAAGAAGAGCGAATCAGCGTTCCCGTCTCGAATCTTCCACGACTCGTCCTCGAAAGCAAGAGAGATCTAGCAAATGCTGGGCTTCGCAGCACGATTGTTGGACATGTCGGAGACGGAAACTTCCATGCGCTGATTCTGTTCGAAGACGACAAGGAGTTGGAAAAGGTAGGTGACGCAGTGCACCGCCTGGTCCACCTTGCGTTAGATCTGGACGGAACTTGTGAGCCCATCGCTCTTGAAGGAGTTGTACGCTGAAGCTTTCTCGCAAGGCACCGGAGAACATGGTGTCGGGGTTGGGAAAAAGGAGTATCTGACTGAGGAGCTTGGGGAAGGCACCGTGGCCCTCATGAGGCAAGTCAAGAAAGCCATCGACCCAGATGACATCATGAATCCTGGCAAGGTCAGTCGTGCTAGCGAGCCGGTTCCGGACAGGTTCTCACTTCCCATCAGCTTTTGCCAGATGAGAAGAGAGCTTGAGCTTGATAGAATAGTGAACATCCGGTCGATTATCTGATGTTTACGGACTGCGAGAATCAATTTCGCTCCAACTATTTCAAGTAAACACTCGAATCGGAGATGCACAATATTCACTCGGGTGATATCCAACCCAGTCGGTCGACAGTGAGCTCCAGCAGGTGACCCGTAAGCGCAATGTATGTATCGGTATGGCAGTTCTACTGTTACTTGGCTGCAGCCGGATTACTCTGTTTCCTCTTCTTTTTCTTGCGAGCCGCGTTGCTTTCTGGCACCGTCGAGGCACCGGCTGCAAGATTAGGCATGACGGCATCGTCTTCGCGTGGTCGTTTCTTCTCGTTCTTGTTTTGAGGCTCTCCTGGGCTCTCTTCCATCGCAACTTCCGGTGCGCTGAAACCTTCTGGTACGACCAGGACGGGTTCGCTAAAGACGGCCCGATATGTCTGCCGCGTTTCTGTCAACAAGAGTCATTCGTAACAGATTCCAGACAGGGTAAATGGTGACGAACGGGCGCGTAGTACGAGGGACTTGGGAGACTTGGTGCACGCGCTATGGGCGGCGTCTTGAGGCATGTCCAAGAGAGTGATCCTATGATCTATGAGATGAGCGAGATAAGTCGATGCCCAAGCTGCCCGCACAGGTTCGCAACATCTCTCGGAGCACGCAGATCGGCCTCGGCCACGACTCCACCACTGACAATGATCCCCTTCCCTTTGGAGACGCGTACGATCTCCTTGGCCGTCGCCCACCAGTTGCGTTTCGCCTGAGGGCCAGTCTCAGCGTACCCTGCCTCGGAGACGACTGGCTCGTGCTCGCCACCCAGTGCCCCGACGTAGTTGATCTCAAATACCGCGCCATTCTTGATTGCAGTGCGCACAAGCGTGTGCTTCATCCGGAAGTCAAGCCGTAGCGTGAGCGGTAGGCAGATGATGTGCGCCGTCAGCGCGGAGGGTAGGCTGTGTGTGAGGCACGCAAGTGAAAAGGTCGCTTGATTAGTTGGAACCAGCGCGATGAGGTCGTATGATTTGAAGAGCGGCGCATTTGTGGGTATCTGTGCCCCGATGAACGATACATGCTGTGGATTGGGGACCAACTAACCAATCCGAACCCTTTCTCGCTGTCCTGGTCCAATATGATCGTCAGGCGTTTGAGGAATACAACTCCAGTGCGTTTCTTGAGGCTAGATACAAGACTGTCCATGGTATTGACGTGTGTCTTGGGCACAACAGCACTTAGCACAGTCTGATTGAAGGCAATAACCGTGTATCCCACTAATCGAGTCAATGCATAACCAGACAGCCACAGTAACGAGGTACACACGATGTACCAACAGATCTACCCGTTCCTCTATGGAAGATATCTGAGCTGGAGAATACGATACATCGCTCAATTGCTGAGGCTGTTTGCCTTTATTCTTCTTCGAGGATGCGTGAGTCAGTTGTGTCGCGTGTGTGACCGGTACGTTGAGATCGAAAAACATGAATAGTGGGTGCTCCGCTTGGATAAACAAACCAAATCTTTCTCCGCAAATGGCACGGGGAAAGATTTTTCGAACTCAGCGGAAAAGGAAAAGGAGATCGCTGGCTTATTGATTGACAGCTTGCACGGACAGCCACCCTCCCTGATTTACCTCACCCCCGCAGACGGCATCAATGAATTCAGACTTGCGTCCGAGTTTCCCTTCGACCGCTGTACAGCGGGGGACCAGTTGGTGTGGATACAAGGAGCTCCAATTCCTCATTGTCTTGTGCGCAAGCTGTGAATAGAAGTGTCAACCGTCAACTAATCTCGCTTACAGCGGAGACTCATACTCGGACGTTGGTTTCCGACATCGAGTCGGATGCCCTATCCCAAGTGACGATGAGCCCTTGGGAGTGGAGTTCCCAGGCGTGACGTACGCGGAGCAAGGCGAGCCGAACTGGATCGGCCATCTAGTGACCAACTACGCGCTTGGCGAACACCAGCTACTGGTGTACGATTACGCTGAGGGTGCGTCGAAGGTGTATGATGTCAAGAGGCAGATCGAGAGTTCTTTCGTGAGGCATATCGCTGAGAGACCTGCCTGGGCGCCCTGGGATGGCAACAATTCCCTTTTCGGTGAGTCTGGATATCAGATGGCAGACATTTCGTGGCGGAGTGGATCGTGTGTGGTACTGACCTGAGACTAGTGACATGGGTTGGAATCAACGATTCAGCTTTCTCTTACGTTCGTGAACCGGAGGAAACCTGCATCGACTTGTGGGAGAAGTTGCTCCACGCTCAGGAGACGTTATACGCTTCAGGTCTGTGCTCTCCCCTGTCCCGTCTTGTTTGACGTCAACCCATGGAACCTATTATTAGGCGCCCGAAATTTCCTTTTCATCAATGTGCCACCGATGGATCGATCTCCAGGTACCTTTATCCTATCATCAAGATCTTCAGTGAACTCTGTCCACAGCCAAAATCAGACGACGAAACTACGTTGCCTGGAATACGGAATTGTATAACGCCGTGCCACGATTCGCAAAGGCCCATCCTGATGCGACTGTATTCATCTACTCTGCTTGGGACACGTTCAACGCCCTGCTCGATGACCCCGTTGGTCACGGCTTCGAGGTTGACGATGTTCAGAACTCTGAAAGCTCTATCTGGGTGGATAGCTTGCATCCAACCAGCCATGTCTATGACTTTGTGGCGCGAGACGTGTCGATGTTTCTTGGTGCTCAGGGTGCTTCGTAATTCAGGACGCTCGCTCAATTTGGACATTTTTCATCTGGGTTGTATAGAACATTGATTTTAGGGATTTGGATATCTAGGGTAAATGTTGTACATATGTCTCCGGCCATGTACTTATAGGCGTCTGACGCTCAGTTCCGGAAACTGATTACAGTTTTGTTACAACAACTGTGTCACGGCTATGTACAGAATACGATATTCGTCCATTGTCAAATTGTCGACCCAGTTTTTTAGCTGAAGAGTCCCTTCACTCTTGCTTGGACAATTTTTTCATCGAGCTGGAGGGTTTTGATTCCTGTCTTGCCTGCTCGCCACGACTCGACCATTGCTTTTGCTTCGACTGGGTGGATGCTGGGATCTTTGGTCCCGACTGTGAGGTGCAGTCTGCTGCGAACATGTCCTCCAAGCATCGACACGAACTCGGCACCAACCTGTCCTTCTCGTCCTTCCTTATCGAGCTTCAGATCGTCGACTACAACGGCCATCACCCTTCCATCCCAAAGAAGAGTGTTGAGCTTGCAGGTGAAGACGGCTTGATCTTTTTCAGGGCCAAGATCGAGCCGTGCACACCGGCCCCAGAGATCTTGTGCCCCAGGCTCGCTCAACGCCTTCGAGTGGACGAGAGTCACGTGAGGTCGAGCTGTGATCCGTTCTTTCTCTCGTAGCAAAGTAAGGAATTCAGCAGCCTTGGGGTCGGAAGAAACCGATCCAACGAGGGAGTCAAAAGAGAAATCAGGAACAAGCCCATAGTAGCGTGGAGGTTTGGGCTTCTTGACAGCAGGAACAGCCTGTTCCTTAGCCTTCTCTTTGCCCTTCTTGCTGTCGGCCTTCGCTGGCTTTTTGGCCTGGGGTTCCTCGGAGGCAGCGACAACATAATCACGCGCAGCCTGGATTCCCTCCTGGATCTTTTGTTCTGTAGGTTCCAGCAGCTCCAGCTCCCGGACAAGGCCATCGACAGCGCGGCGGATGGAAGCGTCCATGCCTTCATCGATCGACATTTCAATGATCCCGTCCACCTCTTCTGACACAAGGGCATCTGTCTGCTTGATGAACATGGAGACTACATGCCCGTGGCTGGCTTTTGCGTCGCCCGTTTCGTCCGGTCGAAGCGTCTGATGATTTTCTCCACGTTTCGTGATACGAGAGCTGCAAATGCGATGTGCGTCGACCGATGTCATGCCGTTTGCATCTAGAGCCCAATTGAGAGCAAGTAGGCGGACCGGAGGGTTTCGACCGGCTACAGCTTGACGTAGCTGAGCTCGGTGCTGTTTGAGATGATTGTTTCTTTCGCGATGTTAGGGATATGAATAGATCGGGTTGAACGCTCACTTGTCGGCGATTACAACGTCATGAGTTGTCAATAGCGCATTAACGTTTTTCAAGAAGATGGGTGCAGCTTTTTTCGCCTTGACGTCGTCACTTTGAGTGTGACCGAACCCAAAGATATGCGTCAGGGCGACTGCAACTGCTGTCTTGCCTGTAATTTGTGAATGATGGGACCATCAGCACAACATAAAACATACCGCTACCAGGAATTGCAACTGGCACGATGACAGTCTTGCCAAACTGAGCACGAGGGCTAGCTGTATCCGCTGTCGTGGCAGGTGGCAGCCTGTTCTCTTTAGCGAGTGCCAACTGCTGTTGGCCCTCTTCTGAAGCCAGATAGACCATGAACTTGTCCCTCGTTGCGATAATGCCCTTGTTTTTCCCGTACTGGGCAAATGTCTCCGGGTCGCGTACGATCTCCTTCATGACCCATCGAACATAGACTTTGCTCTCCGGCCTACGCATCTTGCCCTTTGACAGCGCCCCCTCGCTCATTCCTGCCCCTTTGCCAGACAGCCCTTTATCATGCGCAGTCAAAAGCGATTTCGTGAGCTCCCTCCAGTCGCGGTACATCATGTACGGCTCATCGAATTTGATTTTGAAGAAGAATGTCGAGCCAGGAGCGTAGGGTGCGTCTCCGGGTTTCGATGTGACGTGTGTGCGTACGACGAAACCTTCAACAGGCTCGCACTCCCAGTGGCCGGCAGCAGAGACCCCGTCAGTGAAGGCGCGGACGGCTGCGAGAGTAGGAAACTCCAGTGACGGGGTGCGGATGAAGCCCCACTCATCGGCGAACGCGTCGATCACAGAGTGAGGGAGAGTGTGGAAAACTGAGGTTGAGGTGTTCAGCCCGTGCAGGTGGAGGCCGGTTTTCTCGGGCGAGTACCCGAGGACATGCTCTTCGAACGAGTCGTCGCAGAGCTACATCCTGGATAAGATCGGGTTGGCAGGCACGCAAGCAATTACACACCTCAGCGATGGCAGTCCAGTTATTATCCCAAAGTCTCTTCGCGAAGTCAGCCTCTGCCTTTCCCTTCTCAGCGAGATATTTGCGAAGCCACCCCTCTCCTGCTTCGGCATGGCTGATGTTTTGTCCGACGACGGGTCCGATAGAGTGTTTCGATGTAATGATGAGTTTATCTGGTGTCAAGGCAGCGATGAAGATGATGCATCCATTACTTTTGAGAGAAGCCGTGTACGGCCCGGCGGTGTGTTCCTCCAACGACGGCCACTAGACTCTGTGAGATATCTATATAGAAAGACGCGTCGGATCGCGCACCGTCGTCCAAGGAACCTCCCCGATATTGAAGAACTTGTCGTACCCGCGCGCAACAATCCGGTGGGCGTTCTTTCCATCCTTGCCCGCACTCGGCAGCGTGACCGTGAACAATCCTCGCGCAAGGGTCGGGAACGGCGACGGGACATCGTAGTACCGGTATTCGTCCATCTTCCAGCTATGCACCTTGATCTCAGGATCTGCGGGCGCGTCGTACACAGACGATTTGACGAGCTTGGACTTTCCACTCTGCTTGTTGGCCAGCTCGTGCAATGTCGAGACTAGCGCCGAGTCTTCGGGCACGACGGGGCGTTGGAACGCAGCCATGGTTGCGTCGATGTGGTTGGGAGGGGGAGTGTATTTATGGTCTAGATTGACTCGGATTCAGCCATCGCATGCCATGTCGAGTCAGTGGGCGCTGACAGGGCGGAGCCTTCGAATGGTGCACAGGTATTCAAGCGGACAACTGCACAGCGTAAGAACAAGACGCGGCGTATGCGATGCCGTTATAGTCGCGAATGAACCGCTAACGAACCGTCTTTCGCTTTTGGATCGACGGCCATTTGCTCATCTTTACACATCTTTACTCCGGTCTGTTCGGCTCCTATATTCCATACTTATCAAGACACAAATCGCATGGCGATGCGGTTTATCTGCCCCGAACCTTTGTCAACGGCAGCCTGAAGTCTGAGAGATTCCTCCGATCTCGCTATCTATGTCACGCCGCGCCTAACCCCGGGATTACTTTTAGGCAGTTTTAAGTTTGCATCGTATCTCGTCGCGCGTCAGCTGCTCGTTCTCCTCCATCATGTGGCCCTGTGGAACGCCCGGGGCGTTTGATCTAGGCGACGCCTGTGTGCGTCAATCGTGGGCCACACTGACGCCCTTGTTCGCCGTCGTCCTTGTCGTGTCCGTCGGCTCGAAGCGCTCGCCGCTCCGGTCCTGGCGCTTTCCTTCACGCTTCAACGGCTTGTTTTTCACATTCCTGACGTTGGAAGAGTCTGAAGCGCTTGTCGATGCTGCGAATACGAAGGGGGAAGTCACTCCCGGCCGCGGAGAGCAGGCCGATCGACGCCGGAAGAGAGTGGTGGTCTGGCGGTCGATGATTTTGGCGTTTGGTGGGCTGGTTGAGAGTCTGGGGTGGGTCGCCGCGGCGGCTATCTGCTTATTGCGCTCCCAGTCGAAATTGCTCCTCACGGAACCAGCTGCGGTGCACTTGTATCTCACGGCAGTGTCTTGGGTGTATGCGACGGCCCGCCCGATCGCCGCTCCGCCAGCTACTGTGCCATATGATTTGTTCACATTGTATGTTCTGCATGCAGCGGGCGGTCTGCTCTTGCTCGGGGGCTTGCTCTTTGAGTATGTGGTTGGAGTCGCACCGTTGCCGAGGACACTGGTCCTTGTTGGTCTGTCAGTGAACTTGGTCATCATCTTCGTGCTGTTGGTGGTGGTGGTGCAAATGCCCAATAACGTGCCATCAGAGCGCGTCGACGAAGGAGAAATCGTATGTTGTGTTCTCCCTGAAGTCTCTTCTGAATATTGGTCTGACAATGCGTGAAGGGCCGGAGCGTGTCCCCCGAAGATTACACTACTCTTTGGCAATGGATCACCTTCGATTGGGTTTATCCCCTCATCAAAGTGGTAAGCTGGTGTTTGCACGTAGTGGAACATCGACTAGAGTCGAGTAGGGAACGAAAGGAACCCTGCAAGAGTCTGACGTGTGGGGACTGAGCCCAACGATGCAGTCACGACCTGTTTTCATCAAGTTCCAGACTCTGCCACCGTATGTGTCTTATTGGAAAGTCGGCGGCTGTAGTTGACCAAAAGTTCCAGCGGAGCATCCCTTCTCCTTCGTCTCTTCATCGCCAACTCTCAAGATCTGTTGTTGGATGGAATAGGGACGTGGATCGCTGTTGTGCTCGAGTATGCCGGCCCTTTCTTCCTCAAGTAAGCATAATCTTCGTCTTGTAGCTTCAGTTTCACACCGCCAGGCGTCTCCTGGATCTCCTGGATCAACCTGATGTGAGCAGAGAAGACAGAGGCACTGCATACGTCTATGCTGGAGCTATGTTCCTCGCCTCGTTGCTCAAGGTAAGCGCGCTTGTCTGCTTTCACGTCTCGAGCCGACGTTTGTAGTCCCAAGCCAGCCTCAACAATCTCTGTCTGTAGTAGTCTTTCGCGACCGGAAACACATACTTACCATAGTCACTGCAGGGTTCTGCAGACGGGCCGTGCTTCGGATCCGCTCGCAGCTCATGGCCGCGATCTACGACAAGGCCCTGAAACGAAAAGACTACAGCGCACTGATCAACTCGGATTCAAAAGAGCAAGAGGGTGCGACAAAGTCGGCCTCCGGTGCGTTGTGTAGCCACGCACCCCTCAATGTATCTCATGCGTGAAATCCAGATACCGGCAAGATCAACAACATGATGGCCAACGACGCGGAGAATATCTCGCTCTATGTTTCTGTAAGTTGCGTCAAGCTCTTTTGTTGCACACCGTTTGAACGTGCGTCAGATATGCTTCATCTTGTACACCGCGCCTTTCCAAATCGCGATTGGCGCCTACCTGCTGTACCAGACTCTCGTATGTCGATTCTTCAGTTCACTGGGTCACCCTCCTAAGCAACTTCCTGCAGGGATGGAGTGCCTTCACGGGTTTTGCGGCGTTCTTCGCCTGCTGGCCGCTCAGCGACTATCTGACCAAGCAAGGGTACAAGATCGGACAAGAGCGTTCGAAGGCGACGGACAAGCGGATGGCTGTGGTCGACGAACTC